CGGTGGTCAAGCTACTACTCGAGAAGGGCGCCGACCTCGAGTCGACAGACAAGGACGGCGCAACACCGCTGTTGTGGGCAACACTGAAACGGAATGCGAAGATGATCACGCTGTTATTTGAGAAGGGCGCCCGCGAGAGTTATGGGCGACCCACTTTGCGTGCGGAATAACACTGCCAAACTGTGCCACCTTTTTCGTCCTCATCTTTTTTGGGGAGAGTCTCACCTTGCTCCAGTAAGACTCTCTTGCAGAATCTGGTTGGTTGACACCAATATCTCGCTCTATCCGATGCCTCTTTCTAAAGTGGGCAAAGGATATGATGAAATACAGTGGGATCTAGTGTAGACAAGGACAGGAGATCAATAAGAATAGGCAACGGGCTGGGAAGGCAAAAGACAGGAAATCGATTCTAATGAAGTATTTGCCAGCATTGAGACTATAACACTGACGACAACCAGGACAGTGCCTAGTGTATCGACAACCACTAGGAATAGAGGCTTAGAGGGCGCAATAGATGCCTATATGCATCAATTTAGCATTCATAGCTTCTACTGAGAGAAAGACGCAACGTGTCCGCAAAGGGAGGGCGGTTTCGGGAACCACTGCACACACCCATAGCTCTCTACCCAAGTGACTCTGCCGCGGAGCCGGAGCAACACATCTTCGGAGGCGACGCACATCTTAGAGAGACAATGCACGGACGAGCCCCCCTTCTCTAACTCAAGGTTAAGCACGAGCCAGCCTGTGCGGCTGAAGCTTTCCCCTGACTCAATCGCGGATCAGCCGGAAATTTTGAGAGTGGCGTTAGCCCAGAGATCCGTTGGCACATTCTGGCGTCTCACACGGCTTCGATCGATGGAGTCAAATTCGACCTCACAATGGCAATACTCGTGCCCATCCGATGATTGTTTAGAGATGCTAATGTGTGCGGCTTATGCCCTCTCTTCTTTCAAAGCAGACGTTGGCATTACTCGGTGTTGCCTGCGCAGGAACTTGGAATGCGCCTAAACTGGATCCGATGGAGGGTTGTTAAACAGATCTAGTTAATCGCACGTGATAGAGTGCCAAGTATCACGTGCTCAGCGCCCCGCTCGAAGTGGTCCATGGATTGGATCCGATGAGCCAGTATTACGTAACCATCGGATTATAGATTTTCCGGACCCCGAGGGGGCTGGCCAATCACGCATGTGTGCGCCGCCAAGAATTGCCAAGACCAATGTGGCTGTCTCAATCACGTGATGTCTCGAGCGCAGCGAGGCCTGGGGGTTGGGGGGCTTGCCAATGGCTTGGCGTACTTAGCGCCCCGCTAGGTGGACCTTAGGATGGTTTTACACTCTGCAGTATATTTTTTTACCAACCTCCCCACTGTAGCATTGAGATTAAGCAAGTCTTCCATAAATTCTTCTACGTTGTTAGTATATTACCCGCATTGAGAAGAGTCTTTGTTAAGATATAGACTAGCGCTGTAGGGGAAGAACTCTCGTGACGACGACAAGAGGGAGTGCACATCGTCTTTGCGAGCGGCTGTGAAAAGCTCTAGGGAATTAAAGATTCGTACATATCTTAAGAGCCTTTTTGTAAACATATAGATGTCAGAAAACAGTCTCTGGTGTACGCGTAAGGTCGTCGAATATCGCTAGTATCCTGTCGAACTGGGGAACAACTTGAAATGTATTGAATGCTCTGTTTTCCTCACAACCGGTCCTGCCGGGTTGCTGGTATATATACACGTTGGTTTGTCCCCCCTTTTTTTTCTATTCCTACCTGTCAAACTGGGTTCAACTCGAAGATGTATTGAATGCTCTGTTCTCTATCTATTTGTTGAGGTACTGGGACTTCTTTTATAGACATGCGAATACTACGTCGCTACACAGAGCAACCATCAGTAACGTCGTCGTCTATGGAAACCTCTCACCACTGTTTCAGCTGTGGAGCCTATACACAATAGCCCTTTGTTCAACAACCTACATCACCCTCTATGGAATGGCCCAGCTACCCTAACGTACATACGATAGCCAACACGCTGATCGAACGCATGCGAAACGCAGGCTTGGAGCCTACGCTTCCTGCCGAGAGACTCGAGGAAGACGGTCAAGTACTCTTGCCTTAACTTGAACGCAGTGACTATGCAACAAGTAAGGAGGACGGATGCAGTCTCTGCGACGTCTTCGAGCATCAGCGCATGGAGGACCGATGGGAAAGATATGTGATTAATGCCTCATTTCTTGAACTTTCGATGACGGAGATTCAAGAGAACCGGCAGAATCAGAACAGGGATAGACTGGAGGAGAAGGCACAGGCACTAAATCAAGGTGAGCCTGAACCCTAGCGGAAAGCGTAGAAGAAAGTGCTGGGAAACTAGCAATTTGGACGCCTGGGTGGCACTGCTGTACCGGTCGAGTGTCCTTCCCTATACCAAAAAACTTTGCTGAGCGCAAAGCGTCAAAAGCAGCGGAAATACCTGCCAAACTCAGGCGGCAGATTTTCCCTGCTACCTGTGTTGAGCCGGTAAGTCTTTTCAAACATTCACTCAGTCTTAGATGTCTCCTCATCTTCTCTCAAGCCCAACATAACCAATGGAGAGGGTAAATGAGAGGCGGCTAGACCTGCTCAACATATTTCTCATTCCCCTTCTCCCCAGTCTCAACCGTCGTGGAAGGTCCCGCTGTCCTCAATCTCTCACCATTGTCATCGGCAGCAGTCGTTGAGGACTTCTCACTTGGGCTTTCTTCGTCGCCTTCTTTCATGAAGATTCGATCAATATCTTCTAGCGAGATGTTCGAGGTTTCCGGGTAGAAGAAATAGATTATTGGGACGAAGGAGAACTGTGTCATGTGATTTTGAGGATTGTGACGTAGAGCAAGCATGGAATAGGAGCCGAGGGGAACACTTACGCTCAAACACATGAATATCAAATATGTTTTCCAGCCGAGTCGGTTGATCAGCACTGTACGTCTGTCGTTAGATAAAGGGGCAAAACTTTTGTGGAGTCCTCAGATGGCATGGCTGAATGACGTACCTGGAGTAATCATGACGACGAAGAAGTTCTGTTTCAAAGCAGTCACGTTAGGCCATTGTTTTCCATTCGGGGGGTTGCTTTTCATTTTTCCCTGGCTTTGCAAGGGAGATTCAATCGCACTTACCCAAGTCCAGTGCGAAGAGACCGATATGGCAGTCCCGCGCGATCGTGCTTCGAGAGGTAGAATTTCAGGGCCCTATTCAAGATGTCAGATCAGACGGCCAACGTGCATCTTTTCGCCCCAATTCGGATTTTGACGTACGTAGACCCAGGGCACACAATTGATCGATCCGCCGAAAACAATCATGTACACGAAGAAGAAAGCCACTGCAGCCGAGCTGGTGTTCTTTTTGCCGAAACTCAGGAGAATCGAGACCATCATCATGCAGATTCCAAGGCCGAAAACTAATTGTTTGGTTTTCGCATGTCAGTGTATTGCTTCGGTCATCCCGAGATCTCAGAAGAAGGGGAATCTGGAGTTGATTTGGGCTGATGGCATACCTCCGTACATCATTGTCTTCTTCCGTCCCATCCGGTCGAGAGCCAAAGCCGGACCAAGACTGCCAATGATGAACATCAACTGGATACTATAAAGTCGTCAGAACCAGATCTCCTGGTGACAAGGAATGTCTCTCAGAACTCACAATCCCCCGATAATCTGTGCAACTCGCGGAGTCATGTTGACATTTGTAACCAGCACGGCTGTATTCCGTATCAGTCGACCACTCCTTTTTTTTGAATCATGTTTTCACCGAAACAGGGTCGCTTTTTGCTTACTCGGTACGTAATAAACGACAAGATTTATGCCGACCATTTGGTTCATAAACAGAACAAAATAGGCGAGTAAAACTCTTCTTCGAGTTTTCAGTCGGTCGTTTTTGAATAAGGCCCTATGACTTCTGACACCGGACTCGATGGAGATCGCGTGTTTGATATTCTTCACTTCAGATGTAATGTAAGGATCGGTCGGTGGAAGGTCGAAGACGGCGCAAAGGACCTGGATCGCTTCTTCTTCCCGCCCCTTTTTGAAAAGCCATCTAAAGTCGAACACTGTGTCAGTGATGCTGATGCTGACGTGGGGGAATGGTGTTGGCTGGTAAATGAATCGAGAATCTCTCACCTGGGGGATTCGGGAAGACCGAACAACAAGGTGATTACAGTAATGGCGAAAACCAGCTGGACAGCAATGGGTAGACGCCATGCAACTGGACCGCCAGCATAACTCATTCTGTTCGTTCGTCTCTTCGTTAATTTGGGCCAGCTTTGGGGAATGGGGCAGTGCGGGCGCCTACGGACCCAAAATCAAGCCAATAGGCAAACGAAATGCCAATACCAATGAACAAGACCTCCCAGGAAACAAGACGGCCTCGTTTTTCCTTTCTGCACAGTTCCGACTGATACATTGGCACGGTGGAAGAATCAATTCCGGTACCGAAGCCCGTAATGACTCTGCCGATGACGAGGTGGGGGACGGTATAGGCAGATGTTTGAAGACTTGCGCCAACTATGACGAGACCCTAACAGGATGGTAAGGATTTTTTCCCTCGAATTAGGTGGGAGGAGCATGAGGGAGTTAGCGAGTATGCGTACCATTGCAAGCCACATCATTCGACGCCGTCCGAATCTGTCTCCAATGAAGAAATTGACAACACATCCTCCAAGAGCTCCCAGGCAGTAGCAACTGACCAAGATACCTGTTTCGGTATCATCCTGGCAGCAGGTGATGAGACATTAGCTCCTGGAAATGAATAATTTGACACGGTCCAAGTCGCGGTCGGGTGTCAAGGCGTCTCTAGGACACTCACCGGATGATCAAACAGGTCCAACCAGTCTTTGTTCTGCAGGATGCCGGAGAAAACGCCCTGGTCAAAACCGAAGAATAGGAACGCAGCCAGACAACAGGTCGAGATGGCGACACGAAGTGGCCGCCCATGACGATACCAGTTTCTCATTTTCGCGAAGACCTCTGCCGTGAGGAATGATCAATTGTTGTGCGTATTACGCCGGAGGTGGAGGTGATATGGATGAGTATGTCTTCCCACTGCGATAACCAGCGAGAAAGATTCGAGGAATGCTTAGAACATTTTGGAAGAGAGGAGGATTGTCGTGACATTTTGAGGGCGATTAGATGTACCGGCATCTCCACAAAAAGGATAGGGGAATTGCAATTCTGAATCCCACGATCCTGGTAGGCACGATTCGTGGCTGCTTCCATGACTCCTCCCGCTGGGTGACCGTTGAATAGTTTCTTGATCCGCGTGGCGATCCTTTGAATTTTCTTTCCCTCGACGGGATATGATCATCCACGGCTCTGGTCGAGATTGGGTGCGGCAATTGATACTACGTTTTGAGCCCTGGTGACAAGGGGAGAAACCTGGAGACCGCATATTAACTGAGTGACCTATAGGAGTGGGAGAGTCATGGCTGTCGATATCATAGAACTCTTTCACCGTGTAATGGTCGACAGGGAGTTGATATCGAACAATGGCTGGATGATCGCAATTGTGGATCTCGTTGGAGAAATCTAATCCGGGGAATAATGTGACATTGGAGATGGACATGGTTTTTGTGCGGAGACCGGGATTTCCATCTAGGGTTATACGGAGATGGAATAGACAATTTGGGTATTCCGAGAATGAAGTATTCCAAGGTCCTTGAACAGGAAAGCCCCCCATCGTCCAGAAAAGCGCAAGCATTCATTTTCCGCGAACGCTTGTATAATGTTCTCCGAGTAACATACAGCTCTGGATCCCCAATGGTCGGACCTGACCACTTCTCTCCTGTCGTATCCCAGCCTCTCTTCTTGGCCTGATGTTCATTTCATGCTCCACGACATCTCAGAAGTATCAATCTCTTGTGACAGGAATAAGTTCTCCAGACAATAGCCTTGTTTGGTCGCATGGTCACTCCTTCAAATCTCCCATTCAAGGGACGGGAGTGATAATGGGTAGCGACATCAGAATGCTCACTGAACTCGATTTTGAGAGCCTGGCGTACGGCGTGGAGCTTCACCAGGAAGGTAAGGCACGAGGTCTTCCTTTAGCAGATCTCCCAATATTCAAGTCCTCATCCTCATCATCGTCTTCGTCGCAGTCATCATCACTAGATTCGACCGAAGTATTATCGTTCACCTCCACCGAAACCCTGGCACGACCTTTTAATCTCTCAAGTCTCCCATTTTGCTCCTTGATCATCCTCAATAGTTCGGACTGAATGGTTTGGTACGAGCGCTCAGTTTGTACAACCTGCTGCCTCGCGAGATCAATGATGGTGTCCTTCGCGGCTGTGAGCAAGACTGCCACCTCGGTGGGGGCCTTGCCCGTCTCTTTGATCAACTTGTTTCTCACTCGGGAGAGTCGCACTGTCGGAAGGCTTTCGCGTAGCTTTAGAATGGCATTGGCTTCGACTTCGACGCTGTACTCGTTGTCCTGTTCTTCCTCATCCCCTTCTCGTTTTCGCTTTCGAGATTTCTTCTCTCGAAGGCAGTGAGCGGGATATGCACACCAAACACCGGGGGCTCTATCTGTGCTTACCAGTCTGAGACTCGTTGTTTGCAGCCTCCCGCTTCTTTTCCTTTTGACTCTCCTTGCTCTCACGGCCTTTGTCTGCCTTATCCCTGGACTTTTCTCTCTCTTTGGGCTTCTCCTTGCCCTCCCTTTCCTCGCCTACCTTAGTCTGGAGCTTCTCAGACTTCTTCACGCTCTCTTTTCCTTTGGACCTCTTCTCGCCACCGTTTTCTTCGTATGTCCTCTTTTTCTTCTCCTTCAGCTCCTTGTGACTGGGCGTGGGTGTATCGTCTCGATCAACATCTCCCTCTTTGACATTATCCTCTTTATTCGCCTGGACGGTGTGGGCAAATGAGGGCCGCATGTTTGCACGGGTTCGGGTCAAGGCGAGTCGTTGGAAAATGTACGCCGGATTCGGTTTTGGATCTTGGGGAACGGCAACGGTACATGGTTTTGGACCAAAAGCGGGTGTGAGGACGGTTGGTTTCGAGACCACAGGCTTTGGACGTTCAGGTCGGGGGGCGGTCTGGGTGAGATCGATCAAATCCAAAGGCTCTTTTGTTTTAAGTGTGGGTGCACTCGTGTGGCGCCGGCCACGATCATTCGATTTGTTCTTGCCCATTGTTAGTGTAGTGTCGATGAGTGCTCGTTTCCTCTGATGGCATTGACGGGGACGGAGAATTCGCTCTTTAACAGAGGTAGCGGATGAAAGTTTGCGTGGAGATGACAGGCTGAATGAATCGGGAGCGAAGGTCGAGATTTTAGATCATGGCAGGGGATGTCTTTCGAGCTCGAGACATGTGAGGGTGGACAGTCGAGTTTGGTTAGCGAAGACAAGGGCAAACAAAGAGAATTGTTTCGGATGCTGCCGGCCAATATCAAACATGGTGGGTTAGATGTGGAAGTCGATCCCTATACGCACTTGCCCACTCCTGGGCAATGATCATACAAAACTCTGTATGTTGAATTTGGTTTCATTATGGACTCATCAAAGACTCTGTAGACTCACAAAGATTCATTTTCACCATCCGATCATTCCTCTTGGCGTGAATCAATGTCGTCGACAGGGATCTGTCCGTATCAAACTGCTACCATCTCTCCCGCCTTATTGACTTTTTCAACCTTCTCGACCTTGTCCCAATTGTCCCAGATGTCTGCTTTCATCTCCTTCAATCGCCTGTGCATTTTCCATAGATCGCTCATGTCTTTGTCATCACGTTCGTTCTCATCCTGTTGGGAAATTTTGTCATACAAATCCTTGTATCGCTTGTAGTACTTCTGGAATCGTTTTGCCTCCTCTATGACATCTTGTCTGTTTGGACCGGGCTTTTCGGGAGATGAGGAACGCTCCGAGTCGGTTCGAGCGGGAGGGGGACGCTTCATGTGTTCGGTTGTCCCATTGGTCAGTGGCGCTCGATGATTTGAATTTGCTTGCTGGCGTTTTGGTGGACGCTCCCCTTCGGTTGGACCGGCCTTGCGTTTCATTGGACTTGGGGCGGGGCTCCTGCCTCGAGAGACGTTTCGACTCTTGTCCGAGATGACGGGAGAATACTTGTTACCGTGTTTTGGTTGAGGCATATCCGTGCTTGATGGGGGAGACGAGGGCGCCGATGATTGATTCGAGGTCTTGCTTGAGGTGGAGTGGTCCGGGTCAGTCGAGGTCGTGGGAGGTGACGATCCGAGAGGTGAAGGCTTTTGAGGTGAACTGTCGTGGCGTGGCCGAGGTGAGATTCGAGAAGCCGAGCTTTCTGTTCTCCGATGAGGTTTCAATGACTTGGTGGAATTTTGGACGGCTGTTCGTGGCTTCTCGTTGCCATTGTTGCTGCTGGTGGACGAACTCGAGAGGGATGATTTGTGGAGGGTGTTGGGTGGAGAAGAAGTTGCTGTTGTTGACTTCGTGGGCCGATACGAATCATGTTCGGGCTTTCTTTTGATGCTCGAGTTCGCCTTCGATGAGCTTGGAAGTGTTGCCTCCTGAGGTTGGGCAACGGCCTCTTCTGCTGCATCGGCTTCTTCATCTGAATCTTCAATTCGTTCGGAGGATTTGAATTTGCTCTCTTGAGCCTTGACTGACTTATTCCGCGATTGTGAGGTCTCCTTCCCCTTGGCGAGCCCGCCCATCTCTCCCTTTGCCGGGGTTCTGGTGCTGGCTACTTTGTCCTTGTGGTTCTTCTGGACAGCTCCCGGACCCTTCTTGGGCTTTGCTTTACCATGCTCCCCGTCAGACATCTCGGCCTTGCTCTCACTGCCGTCCTCGGTGGGACGTTCAGGCTTTGGTGTGGCGTGATGGGGCACTGGTTTGTCAAAGTTCAGCCTGGAGAGGATCTTACCCTTTCCTCGCTCCTCATGAGGTAGCAATAACTGCCACAGGTGATCTGTCTTCTCTACTCGCATGCGATCATATGCTTGAATAGCATGATCAATTGCTTTCTGTCGGTCTTCTCGAGACTGATAAGGAAATTTCCAAACATCCAATTCACGATAACTCTTCTCCTTCAACTCTCTCATTCCGTCGCCTGCTTTGGACTCCCGAGCCACCTTATCGAGCAACTTCTCACAATCATCCTTGGAAGCATGGAGCTGGCGGCAAATCGCGTTCGGGGTCATAGGTCGAACAGCCAGGAGATGTACCAGGGGTATTCTGATGGCGTCAAGGCGTATTCGGTCTTTTGTGCACAATCCGGATGGCAGAGGGGTCGATGTTGGTCCCTGTCTGGGAGAATAAGATGCGCTGAGGAAAGGGCTGGACGGAGTGGATCTTGCCATTCCTCCTAGCAAATGGTCCTTCCTGAGAGCGGAGCCTTGTCCAAGCAAAGGGGATGGCTTGTTCTCTTTCCTTCCTGCCTGTTTCATGTCCTCTTTCTCGCGGACGAAACTGGTTTCATTCGACGCTCTTTGCTCTTGAATCGATCTCAACGTGCTTTCAAGGGCCGCCAGTGCTTCATCGCTTTTCGCAGTGTCTTCTTCAGCTTTCTGAACTTCAAGTTTATGACTTGATCTTCCAGAGAAATACATGGGACCGCCATCATCGGTGGATTTGGTGAAGATCTCGGAGGGGAATGTGTCAAGACTGCTGTCCAGAGGGAACGACTTCTTCCCTGCCTGAACCACTGGTCTTTTTCCACATCGAAGTCTAACTTGTTCATTGTTTTTTAAAGACCGAAGAATTTCCTTGGTCAGAGTCTCAACTAGGTCTAACCGGATCACTTGTGTTGGTTCTGTTGCATGTTTCTCTCGTGAATCCTGGCTCGACCCATGTCGAAGAACAAGTCCCCCCGGAGGGACGGTCAAAGCAGCCATTTTGCTCAGACGACAGTCGACTCTTTTCCGTCAAGGTAGGGTGATCGTGTGGGAGGTGAATTAGGTCACGCCCGCGATGTGAGAAATGGGCAAGTCAAGGGACCGTGGTGGTCAACGCTGATCTCCTGGCTGCATGGCAGTGACAGCAGCTCACCAAGGGCGTCATGACAGAATTGGAACAAACAAAAGAACTGAAGCAGTGAATGAGTCGAGGTTGGGCAAGGGAGTATGAAAGCAGAGCAGGCGAGGTTGAGAGATGAGAAAGCAGAGCAAGATGTGCTGACGATTGGAGGGATCAGCTTGTGGAGAGGGGGGAAACGAAGCGGTTTTTGGTCCTTGGAAGCACGCGGTCGGACAGGTGGGACGACCATGGCGCCCTGGGAGTGGGCAAAGTGCGGGAGCGGAGCGCTCTCGAGCAAGCCTCTTTTTGGCTGGTTCTTGCCTGAAGAGCGCTGAAGAAACGAGCAAGGTGTCTGGGAAGTCAAAGACATACCCTAGGCAAAAGGCAGTCGAAGGATAACGATGGACCAGGGTGCGGGCGAGCTGTATTGGCTATGAATGGTTTGTCTGCAAGCCTCTTCTGCTGTATTACACCTGTTGCGGCTAGCTTGCCGCCTTTCCCGGGACCTAGGATCCCTTGCTATTAGGCGTTGTGTCAGCATCTTGGTGCCCACACCTATTGTCCGCCGGGGCTCGAGCCAAGCCATCCAACGTGCGCAACGTCCCAGACTACGGGTTGAAGTCTACTTGGTGCCATGCAGGCGGAAGCGAAGAAGTAACAATAACGGTCGGGAAGAGAAGGAACCAAAGGGTCCAGCACGAAGAAGCTTCCGAATCGAATTTGTTTTGGGGTGTTGAAGAGCCGATACTGAATCGCCTAGACAGTATTTGGGACTTGGGACTAACTAGGGCGAGAACTGAGGAGGGGCGGGCCCACGGTCACGATGCGAAGTTCGCCACCTGCCCTTCGCTTGGCCGAAAGGGACTCGAGATCAACTGGGTGTCAGTTGTATCACGGTTAATGTGTCAGGACTCGAATTACAGTACCATGCCACCTCTTGATCTAACGCTGCAGGTTGACACATGTTTGCTGCGGGTAGCCGGGATGGCGAAAAGAAGACGTATGCATGGCCGGCAACGGTTCGGTTTACGGAGAGAACTGTGAAGAAAACGAACACGACGGTTTGTGCTATGTAAGATCTGACTCCGAAGGACCTTGAAGTGGCTAGTGAGGCAGAGAAGTGTCCAAGGGGTGCCTAAGTTTGATGGCGAAGCAGTGATATGAACTTGGCCATGTTCATCTCGGGCATCAAGATGGAGGATTGTCTGAGGGTGCCAGATCTGTGGCCCGACCGTAGTAAAGGTACCCAAAAAGTGTGGATGGGCACTCGATGGTGTGTGGTGGATTTAAGAAGAAGGGTCTCGGCCGTTTTGTAGCGGCTGGCCGGAAAATCTCCCGCTCCGAGCAAGCCTGGGGCATCGCGCTTAACGCTTAACGGCGCGTCAAGTCGAGCGTGTTCGACAGTGAGCCTGCCCTACGCAAAACAACTCTTCGTTATCCACCGCCTGCGCCGGTCGTGTGTAGCCCCGTCAAGCCTGCTGTGGACAGGTCAAGACCATATCTAGCAGTTTTCTCTTTCAACAGGATGTCTTTAGGTATGTTTGCCAGGTTTCCCTCGCCAGAGTGACGAACTGTCTCCATGCACACACACTGGAACTAACTTTCATGCCAGCATTGGATGAGAAGACTTTAGAGAGCGTTGCCAACAATGGCGAGATGGAATAGTATGCTCCTTATGTTTCTCCATATTTTCTGATTCCGCAACTGATCCGTTCCAGCGATAAGTGGCCCTCGATCATTGAACCATTGCTCGAGCGACTGAACCAGGTAAGCAGATTCTGACCTATCCTCTGCATCCGAATTCACACCCCTGTGCAGATTGTCTATACGGAGTTTCCCATGCCGCGACCCTATCCATCCATGAACAGACCGCCTCGACAATCGTCACCCTCTCAAACACAACTGACTTCTGCACGAGACTCCAACTCAGCCTTACAAACACCAACCACGCCCGTCCGAAATTTACCTCCTGTTCCTCCTTTCTCACATTCATCGGCGACTCCTGTCAGCCATGTTCCCGATTCTCTCCCTCCCTCACAAGACCCGGTGGCCGAGTCTTTGAATGAGCTGCCGGCGCTCCTGCTCCAAATGCTCAACAGTGTTACACATACTCTACGTTCCACCTTCTCCGAACGGCCGCCTCATACGATTCAACGACTGGCAGAGCTAGTTTTACACCCTACCGAACATTACAAAACCCTTCCAGCATGGCTGCGGGCGATGGACCGAGTGGTGAGCGTGAGCAGTTCTGCAGATATCTTTCCATTCTCTGATACACCGCCTATGGTGAACGGCGTCAATGGGGATGGTGGAGGTGGTATTCTATGGAATAATACTGACACTCGTAATGGCTACGACAGTAATTCTCTGGGGAGTGACGAAAGTTTGGGTGGGGCTCTCCTTACTCCCATACCGTGGTTGCGAAATGGAGTGACCGGCAGTGAGGAGGATTCGAGTGAAGATTCCACGCAATTGGATTCCAATAACAGCACGAGTACAGATGATCTGGGTGAGCCAATCAGGACATCTGCCCCTCAGGGTGACCGGGATCCCCTCGTGCCGGAAAGAGCAGACGGCGCCGTCACGCAAGGGGAATTGATGCGAATGGAACAAGAGGCCAGTGTGGTATCCTTGACGCCAAATCCTCAAGACAGAAATGCGACCAGAACCGTGGCTGGTACCGAAGAAGGACTTTTCATGGATGACGGAGATCTCGTCCCCCACGCTCGAGGACCCGACCTTGTAGGGCCAGTGGACATGGGTCGAGTTGGTGGGCAAGATGTCGAGATACACATTAGCAGCCACCTTGGGGCCGGAGAAGGGCATGTTTCAGATCCAAATGATGCACAGACCGTCCTTCCAGGACCGGATAATCTGGTCGCAGCCACTGAGACATCGGCTCCCACCTCGGCCGCCGACTCCGAGGATTTCAAAATTGTCCTTAAGGATACTACAGAAGGTGGTGAAGCCGATGCGATGCAGCTTGACGAGAACGATAACAATGACAAGACAGAACAGAAGCCGACTGAAGAGCAAGATGGTGATATTGTTCTTGTGGATACAGATGGGAAAACTGAGGACAAGGCTGCCGCCAAGGCTAACATTTCGGGTGCTAGTTCTAGGGCTGACGCTGTGGATTCCTCCACCGTGACTTGAAACGGCCCTTTCCGCCTTTGGCCACGCTTTGGTAGGAACCTCTGACGGCGAAGTTCGCGGAGTCGAGCTTGGTCTTGATGAAAAGTGGTTTCACGAAATCGGCGAACAAGAACAAGGCCGAAGCAAGTGGACAAGCGGTTCTGAAGGGGATGAAGTCAGACTCCACCAGGTGATCGAAAATAGTACAACATCTCTTGTCGGACTCGACCTGGACAGATACCGGGTCTCTTCAGTGACCGATATCGACGGCTTTCGCCTCTGAAATTCTGACGCCGATAACCGAGACAAATAACTCCAGAATGCGGTGGAAAGATCATTGAGCTGGACTGATCATGAACCACGCTGTGCATGACAAAGAAAGAGGCTCAAGGTGTCTAGATAGGTCACGAACCCTCTGAAAAGACACAGACCACAAGTCAAATATGTCTATCGAGATATATTGTACTTTGTATCCCTGTCCCTATTTGTGTTCGTGTTTCTTGTCGATTATTCTATTTCCTTTGCGTATCGTCGCTCATAGTCGTGTAACATTGTCGCACCAAGATTCTTCGATGAAAAAGTGTCCATACCATCCTCCGACCAATAAGCCGATCCATCCCTCATTGCTGGCGGCTGGTGGCAAACATATATATCTACTTTGGCTGGGTGCGTATTCACGTTTTGGTCCGTTTACATCGACCGATCCAAGGTCCCGATTGCCGGTCATGTAGTCCGTCACTATCGAGATCTGCCTGATTCCACGGTTGATTGAGCTTTGGATGGGCCGTGCTCACTTGGAAATACGTCGTCACGCTCTCTTATCTTGTTTTTAGCTCGTGGCACTGTACTGGAACAATAGATCTGTCAAGGGCAGCGTTTAGGCGTTGTGACCTGGGTTCCATCATAGCCATCGTTCTGGTTGTGGAGGTTGTGGGGATTGTGGGATTCGATCACAGGTGCTCCCCCAAGTCAGGCAATACGTTGGAAACCTGTTGCGTCGGCATGAACTCGAACGCATGAAAAGGTCGGATCCAATGCACGATCCGCGCTGTCGTCGACGGGCTCGGACAATTGCCTGATGAGTATCCTCAAGTATTGAGCCCAATCCGCGTTGCGAGATCATGATGACCGCGAAGGACTGAGTCGTCATTATTTGATTCTTCCTGTGTCACATTTTATGTCGCCTCCTCCTTGGAGCCTGACTCTTTATTGGGGGGCGGGACAGTCGGAGATGGGTTCTTAAGTGTCCCTCTATCAGAGCTAGTGTTGGCCGCGGCAGATGTGGCTTCAGGATTTGTGACACCAGTTTTCTTCTTCTCCTTCTTCGCCCACCGCAAGCCGCAGGCGTTGCAGAGTGTTTTTGGCCCGTTGGGACCTTTTCTCCACTCCGGACTGTCGAGGGTCCCGCAGTCCGTGCAGACGTATTCTTCTGCACTTTTCACTTTCTTGTGCTTCTTGTCCGAGTACGAGTATCGAGATTCCCCTTTGTCGACGGGGATGTGAATACCCGCGTCGCCTCGGATGAGAGCCGGTGACGTTCCGCCGGTCGATATTCCGTGTGAACGCTCGCCCTCACGATATCGAAGACCGGTCAACATCTCAATGGAGTCCACGTGAGAGGAGCCTTCGTATCGCGCCATCTTGTCCCGCATGCTATCGGGGCCAGCAAATGCGTTTGCTTCGTCCAGAGCTTCACGGGTGAGAGCGGTATTCGATACAGTTGGTTTTGCCGGAGGTGGCATGCCGGAATAGTCAGGATACTCGGTCTTGGAGTTGACGGATGGGGATACGGGTGCAAGGTCGGCGGAATTGGGAGTCCGCGCGCTCGAGGCCCCGGCTTGTTTATGGTAATGCTCTTGGTGGGCATCGGCGTCCTCGGCTTCTTCTCGTTTCAGCGCGGCGATTCTGGCTTGAAGTCGGACATTTTCTATTTTGTGTTCCAAAAAGGAATCGAGAAGTTCGGAGTTTTTGGTTGGATATGGACGCGCCATCATGAAGAAACCCCGACAGACTCCTGCAGCACCCACGGGCGCTCCAGCCAATTCACTTTGCGAGATATCGTGGGTGAGGTGTGGGTGTCCATGACATTCAAAGATGTGGTACTTTTCTTCAGCGGTCCGGAAGCGGTGGAAGAAACGTAGGGAGTTGCCTGTGGCGATGCTCTCGTTGAATTCGCGAATATAAAGAGCCGAGTCATCAGGATGAACGAAATCCGATATCGTTTTGCCGAGGAGGTCTGCTGGGCTGTATCCGGTGAGATATTTGGCCGAAGGGGAAACATATAGAAATCGGCCATCGGGAGTCAGAATGTAGAGCAGGTCCTTGAGCTCCTCAAGGAGTCGTTGAGACCAGTTCCGCCTTTTGGTGAATTCGATGAGAGTGCTACTAGAAGCTTGAGAGCTGTTTGGAAGAATGCCAGTAGGTAAGGGCCCGGCTCCGATGTTGTTCGGAGGCATACTGTCAGACGCGTGGGCTTTGGTGGAGTCTTCCTTCATCAAAGTGGGTTGGACAGCATCCATCTCCTCAAAAGTCGTAGGAGGCATAGAGTTCATGTCAAGCGACGTCAAGGCGTCGGGATAAACGGTCATATCAGCGTTAGGGACAAAAGTGGGATCCAGCATGCCTGGCTGGATACTGAAAGAATCCATGATAGAGGTCGGTTTCGGCTCCGATTCCGGAAGGTGTCCAATCCTGTGCGGTGAGGTCGGCGTGTGAGCGCTACCTTGCGACAGCCGCGAGTCGTGGATGGCTGGTCACTGGTCCACGGTACGGTCGAACAATCCTCCCATAGCAGCTCAATGTGGGAAGTTGGAGCTCGCCGCCGCCGGAGACGTCTGGAATCCTAGCAATATCACAGCGGAGAATGTAACCGACATGCGGCCCATTGGACGTGGAACGGAGGTGGCGTGAATAACTTTGGGCGCGCTGGCGATGGGGAAGTTCGAGTAGGAGTCAAGATCAAGATCGAAGATTCAGATCAAGATCCATCACCACCCTACCCAGCCAAGCGCCACGGTCACGTGAGAGCGCAAATGGGTCGCTGCCGAACTAGGCCCAAAGAGGGCAAGGCGCAGGCAGCCTCCGCCCCTCTCTCAAAACACGACGCCGCGTGCCATCATACCGGTCGAAAGATGAGGATAACCTTCGACTGAATCCCTTCTCTACTCTCTCTGTTCACGACTGCTCCTCCGCTCCTTTGCAACCATGTCCCGCCTCCATGCCCTGGAAGTCTCCAACATTCGCTCTTTCGCCGACACCCCCCAGGTGGTCAGATTTGAAACCCCCCTCACTCTCATCGTCGGCCAAAATGGCTCCGGAAAGACGACCGTCATTGAATGTCTCAAATTCGCCTTCACTGGAGTCCAGCCTCCCAATACCAAGGTTGGCGGTGCTTTTGTCCATGACCCAAACCTAGAAAATGCCAAGGTCCTCCGAGCCTTGGTGAAAGTATCCTTCAAAGCCGCTGATGGCGGGACTCACGTTGTCGCCCGACGCCTCGAGCTGACCGTCAAAAAGCTCACTCGTTCTCTCAAGACCTTGGAAGGCTCATTGAACCTCTCTAAGAACGGCGAGAAGACGGTCATCTCTTCTCGTGTCGCCGAGTTGGACATGATCCTTCCGCAATATCTGGGTGTTTCTTCTGCCATCATTGAAAACGTCATCTTTTGCCACCAGGACGAAAGCTTCTGGCCGTTGAGTGACCCTTCGACTCTCAAGAAGAAATTCGACGAGATATTCGAGGCCCAAAAATACACCAAGGCGATCGAGAACATCAAAAAGATTCGGAAAGAAAAGAACGAGGAGCTGGCCCGGGTCAAGATTTTGGAGGAGCATGCAAAGAAGGACAAGGACCGAGCCATCGTCGCTCAGAAGAAGGCCGAGGATCTTCAGCGAGACGTCGAGTCCTTGAGGGCACGAGTAGAAGACCTGGAGCAGCGCACGGCCAACGCTCGCAAATTGGCCGATGAAGCCTGGAGAAAAGGCGAAGACTACGCCAAGATCATCGGATCTCTAGAGGGGAAGCGAATCGAGGCGCGAGGCAAACAGAACACGATTGATGGCCTCCAGCTTCACCTCGACGAAGTCAGCGAGTCCGACGAGTGGTTGCAAACCACCTTGGAACAATTCCAGGCTCGACAACAGGAGTTGAAGGATGACATCAGAAAAATGCAGGAAAGCTATATTGAGCACCAAGACCAAATCAAGAAGCTTGGAAAGGAACGAGAAGACAAGGTCAAGTCCAAAGGCAAATACGAACAAGACAAGGAAGAGCACGAGCGGCAGCTGGTGAGACGCAGGGATATGGTCCGGGAAGTCGCCACCAAGCATCAGATTCGCGGCTATGACGATCTCACTGATGAAAGTCTTGTCGAAGACTTCTTACACAGAATCAGGAAAATATCCAAGGACCAGAAAACGGCCCTGGACCGAGTCAAGCTGGAACATACTGCAGCACGTCGGGAAGCTCAAACACTCATCAATCGATTGACGGAGCGCAAGGCAGCCCTTCAAGATAGCAAACTCAGCATCCGAAAGCAAATCGAATCGAATGACCGAGAAGCCGGAGACTTTCAGCGGCGCGTCGATCAAATCGACGTCGATGAGGGCAGCAGAGCGGTAGTGGAGTCCCGAATTGACAACCTGAACACGAGATTGGATCAGGCACGACAGGCCGCAGGCTCCAGTGATTGGGATAAGAAGCTACAAGAGGCAAACTCGGAGCTTCGATCTCACGAAGAGACGACTTCGAAGCTGAATGACGAGATCGTCCAATCGACCAAGAAAGCCGAGGCCCTCGCCAGATTATCGCATCTGAAGCAAGAGTTGAAGGAACGACAACGAAGCCTCGAGACTCTCTTGAATGCGCACGGTGACCGTATCAACAAGCTTCTCGATCAGGACTGGAATCCCACCACCGTAGAAAAAGTCTATCAAGATGTTTTTACTCGGGCCAGCCATGAAGCACTCTCGGCCGAACGGGAAAGAGATTCCGTCGGCCGGGACCTGGAGCAAGTGCAATTCAAGCAGAAAACTCTTCGGGACGATATCGCTCGAAAGAAGGCCGACGCGGAGAAATATGACCAAGCAATCCGTGCGGTGGTTGAGGAAGGTCCGGAAGGATACGAAGAAGCATTACAACAAGCGGAAACTGATGTCGAGATTGCGCGGGAGGAGACCAACGGATTTTCGGGTATGAATGATTACTTCCAGAGCATTTTGGATGCCATTCAAGGAGACAAACCTGTCTGCCGTGTCTGCTCACGACCTTTCAAAGGTCCCGCGGATCCTGTGATGAGAAGAATGAAGGAACGTTTCGAAAAGAAATTGGACGAAACTCGCGCCATGTACGAGAGGACTAACCCGAAGGAGTTTGAAGCCGAATACAAACGCCTGCTCGATCTTCGGGTGGTGTTCGAAGGGTGGAAGAAACTGGTCAATACCGACATCCCCGCGGTCGAACGGGATTTAGCAGATCTCAACCATCAACGAGAATCTTTGCTCGCGAGACTGGAGAAGCACGACAAGACCGTCGAACAGCAACAGCAAGGAAAAACGGACATTGAGTCGATTGGTCGGACCGTCGCGTCCATCGGCAAATGTGACGGTGAAATCAAGTCATTGAGCGCTCAAGCAGAGGAGCTCTCGGCCAAACAATTCCAGCACCGCGGCGGGCGGACCTTGGAGGACATCCGCGAAGAATTGAACGCCACGGCCGAGAAGATCAGAGGAGGACAGAACCTGATCAGTCGGCTACGCTCCGAGCAGGAGCAGTCGCGGGTTGCCCTATCCACCATGGAAATTGAGTTGAGGGATCTCCGAGGCGAGCTGAACACAATCGGATATCAGCTTGACAAGAAAGCGTCGCTGGCCGCTCGGGTAGAGGAATATCGAATGATGAACCAAAAGCAGCGAGAGGCTTTGGACAAGCTGGACCGAGACATCGACCAGCTGGACCCAGAAATTTCCACCGCCCAAGCCAAGTACGACGATGTCGATCAGCGAGCCGCTGCCAAGGAACGAGAGATGTCGCACGAGCACTCAAGACTCAGCGAAAGTGTCACCAGTCTCGATCTCTTGAATGATCAAGTTCGATCCTACATAGACCGGGGTGGTCCTGCCCAGCTGGGACGCGTCAATCGGGAGCTCCATCACCTGGAAAAGGAGTTGGATGGCGTGCAGACGGAGCAAACACGATTGACGCGGGAGATCAACAAGGTCACCGAACAGATTCGGGACAGTGAGGCGACGCGAAGACGATATTCTGACAATCTTCGATATCGACAGGAAACACGGGCGCTTTCCAAATTGAAGGAAGAGATTGAAGAGCTGGCCCGTCACAACGCCGAGGCGGATCGGGATAAGTTCCAGCAAGAATCGTCGAAATGGACGCGCGAGCACAGCAAACTCAGCGCCCAACAAGCCGGGTTGATGGGAGAGATGAAGACGAAGGATGCACAGCTGGGCGAGCTCCTGGAAGACTATGACCTGAACCTCAAAGATGCACCGACGCGATACAAACAGGATCATATCAAAGTAGAGGCACTCAAAGCGGCGGTGGAGGATTTGGCTCGGTACGGAGGAGCGTTAGACAAGGCCATCATGAAATATCACAGCCTCAAGATGGAGGAAATCAACGGCATCATCGAGGAGTTATGGCGCAAAACTTACAAAGGAACCGATGTGGACACCATCATGATTCGAGCGGACAATGAGTCCGCGCGCGGTAACCGATCATACAATTATCGCGTGGTGATGGTCAAGAGGGGTGCGGAAATGGACATGCGAGGACGATGCAGTGCCGGTCAAAAGGTCCTGGCCAGTATCATCATCCGGTTGGCCCTGGCCGAATGTTTCAGCGCGAATTGTGGATTGATTGCATTGGACGAGCCGACGACAAACCTGGACCGGGACAACATCCAGAGCCTGGCAGAATCGTTGAAGGACATCATTCAGTATCGTTCTCAGCAATCGAATTTCCAGTTGGTGGTGATCACGCACGACGAAGACTTCCTGCGGCAGATGGATTGCGCCCAATTTGCCAGTCACTACTATCGAGTGTCGAGAGACCTATCACAGAATTCAGTCGTTCATCGACAGCGCATTACCGAGATGATGTAAAACAAGGCAAGACCAGGAACGTTGTCGGGTGGGACATGTGCTGCTTTGTTATTTGCCACAGGATTCATGGTACCTGACCAGTATGGCGGATTGGGACTGGGGGGCGAATCTGACGTGGCTTCGAATTCAACCAAGGTGTCCGAGCGACGAAGTGACCCTGTTGAGGATTCAATCATACTGAAAAGTGAGACAAATATGTGCAATTTTGTCCAGCTGGAGAGTAAACCAACAGCGGCACAAGTCGTATCTTAAAAAGGATAATTACCAAAGAAGTCTGCTGTAGAAGCCGCGCTGACGGGGAATGGACCCAAAAGGGAGAAAGAACCGAATCCCCAGGCAGGTTAAGCTAAGCGAGTTGAAAGCAAGGCAGCGATTCAAGTTTTTTGGCTTTTGTTACTGCAGGCTGCAAGGAACCAGGCGAAGGAACCACTGAACAGGAAGAATTCGTATAGGCGCTGGAAGGGAGGTGTTCTCGGTTCGGAACCTTGGCAACATGCAGCATGTACCTCCCTACATCACAGTGACGTTTTATTGCGAGTGCCTTCAGAGACATCACCAGACTACTCAACAATTCCCTGGGCATCAGCTCATTAATCAAACTCAGACTCGCAACGACCCTGTGTTGTTGCACTTGGAGACGCGGAACAACGAATCATCTCGCCCAGATCGACAAAACACAAAACACCCAACCCTCGCAAGCTCTCCTGCCTGCGTCTCTTCCACCCGAATGAGCTTGAAGCACAGGTCTCTTCCTCTACAAATGTCGCCACTCACAATATTCCTTGGGCTTATTGATCCTAATCGTGACCGAGTCCTCGCTGTATTTCTCTTTGGGACTCCACCGAAGCTCTGTGCCATGTACTATCTGTGTCACGACCAACCTCCCCCCCCCCCGGTCTGGTAACCAGCGACGCAAAAAAGCGGGTCTTGCCTGCGAGCTCCTCCCAGCTTCCCTCTTATATTCCTTCCTCATTTGTCGAGCTACTTCGCTTCTTCTCTTCGGTCCCCGCCAACGCGTCGCAGGTACCAGCACGACCCAGCAACAGACCATCCAGAACCAGTTATGCAGGACCCAATAGTCCTCCACGAGCGTTGCAAATTCATGAACTCCACCGGGCCAACAAGAGTAAATACTGTGCTTGGGACCACAGAGGGCCACCACTCATTCTCAATCATCGAGCCCACGGACCTCTAGCAGCTCCAGTCTTCCAACCTAAGCTTATAGTCACAGTACGTGAGAGAATACCACCACGGAAGACTCAAGGTGAATCCATACCTTCTCCAGAATGCCGTTGTCACTTGCCCTGCCCATCAAGCTGCTATGTCGTACCGAGATCGAATCCGATCATCGTCCAGTCCTTTGACAGCTTGCTCATTCCAATTTTTTTTTTTTTTTTTTTTTTCTTTTATATACCACATGACTTGTCGGTTGTGACCTCTTGACTGTCCTCACTTTCGGTAGAAAGGTGCCTGCAGTTCAATCCAATCGTTTCCCTTACGTTCTCTCGAACTGCTTGTTTTGCTGCTTGGACATATCCTCCTGCCCTACACGGCATTAAGGTGACAAACATCCCCTCCAAAAAGCCGTCTAGCCCCCCGCTGTTCTTCCTCCGTGTCGGTGCTCAGCAATTACCCCAAGCAGCCAAACCGAAAGACCTGGTGATCTCTCTCCGAGAGTTCGCCATGTTGACTCGAAGAGCCTTTCTCACTGCGATGGCAGCTTCCGCTGTCGTGGCGTAAGTAGGGGGACTCCGATATCGCAATTCATTAGTCTGACCGGCGCTCAGTTCTCCTCTGGCCAAACGTCAGTTTTCGTATGGTTCTACTCCAGTTCGAGGAGTCAACATTGGAGGCTGGCTCTTACTTGAACCTTGGATCACACCGTCCGTTTTTGAACCGTTCGATGAAAGCGTTGTCGACGAGTACACGCTGTGTCAGAACGTACCCAACGCCGCCGACATTCTCCGGGGCCACTGGGACAGCTGGGTATCCTTGGGCGACTTCCAGAAGATTGCCAACAACGGCTTCAATTTAGTGCGCATTCCCATAGGGTATTGGGCGTTCCAAAAATATGACGGAGACCCGTACATCCAAGGCGCAGCAGACTACCTCGAGACCGCAATTGGCTGGGCTCGCGAGACCGGTTTGAAGGTCTGGATCGACCTCCACGGTGAGTCTTGTCTCCTGCAATATCCAAGCCTGGAAATCTCACAGCTTCCTCTAGGTGCCCCCCTCTCGCAGAATGGCTTTGATAACTCGGGCCAACGTACGTCGACCCCGGGTTGGACCACCGGCGATACAGTCGAAGCCACTCTCGACGTGATCGGAAAAATTTCCCAGCAATATGGAACTGCAGAGTACGCCGACGTTGTTGTGGGCATCGAACTCCTGAACGAACCATTGATGCAATTGCTGTCGGGCGGAAAATCCGCCACTCAGGGATACTACCAATCGGGCTTCGACATTGTCCGGCAGTCTGGGCAGACCCCGGTCGTTATTCAGGACGGCTTCGATGACCCTTCGAGTTGGAATGGCTTCTTGACTGGCCAAGGGAGCTCGGGAGCCCTGGTCGACCATCACGAATACCAGTGCTTTACCAACGAACTCGTGGCACTATCCCCAGAGGACCATGTGAACTATGTATACTCCCGTGCACAGGAATGGGCACAAGGCCAAGACAAGTTCGTCATCTGTGGTGAATGGACCGCGGCCATGACAGATTGTGCTCCCGGACTCAATGGCCGAGGTACCGGCGCAAGATATGATGGCACCTACGATTCCTCTACATATGTGGGCTCCTGCGCCACCATCAACGATATCGACCAATGGACCCATTACCAGAAGTCGACGACGGCAGACTACATCCGTGCTCAGCTAAATGTCTTCGAATCCCAAATCCAAGGCTGGATTTTCTGGAATTTCAAGACTGAGGCTGCTTCCGAATGGGATTTGTTCCGTCTCATCGACAATGGAGTTTGGCCTGCTCTATGAAGAGGCCGACCGCCGGCGAGTCGTGGTTGATGTGATACAACCACTTGTACTTCGACTCGCTGCACATGGATCCGATAATCTAATCGGCCACCTTCAATTCGACATCTCAATCACATATTGCGAGTCTTTTTTTCAGTCGTGCAAATGCCATTTTCATTCTGGATTATACATATCTATATCGGGCTTTGGCTGGGTCAGCGTCGGTACAGGCGCATATGCGAAAGACTTGAAACTCTTCCAAGAAAGCTAATAACAGGGCGAACTAATAAGTATCGGTCAATCATTGTGCTACTCCAATCCCATGGTTTCCAGTGGCCGGAAGCCATAAAGTGGGAAAGGGCAGTGTAACAAGCTGAGTGTTTGGAGATGATTTGGGAATCTAATTTTCGACACCAGATGGATGATCGGTCACTCGCTTGTTGGAGATTGAATCTTGGTAGTCAGAAAGGAGACGTGATGGATGCATTTATACATGCAAAGCTGATTCGGCAAGAGTATTAGCATCGTACATACTAAATGAAGTGAAGAAGTCGTAAATACTGCCAAAGAAATGAATGACTTTCGTACAATCACTCTTGGAGCCAACGGAAGAAATCCGCGGGGGAATGCCGAGGACCAGTGGCGACTTATTGGGGAAGCATTGAAACCCAGGATAAAAATCACGTCGAGCTCCGGTCGTGTCGTGCCGCATTCTATTTCATACCGCCCGGGCGCGGCTCATAACAATACCATTCTTTGCACGAGACAGGGCCTTGGCTATCCCGCCCATCCTTTAAAATGTTCCCTTCCAAGCTGCCAGAGCATCTATTAGGACATGTTACCCCCCCCATCATCATGACTTTCCTTTTGGCTTTTTGCTGTCTCCCTGTTAAGAAACCTATCATGATCCGTTTTCAATGTCCCTTTGGCTTTACTCAATCACAAACCCATCGGCAGTGGCCTTGATGACCTTCTCAAACCCAACATCCTCATCCATCTCCAAGAGCCGCGCTCCAAGGACATCGACCTCGACAAACGGCCGGGCCATCTCGAAGCAGACGCTCATGGGGAAGAATTCGGAGTCGTCATCCGTTTGGGCCTCGAACTCGAAGCTGCCGTTGTTGTTGTCGGCGTCGATGATCCCGATCGTCCACTCCAGCGAGTCGCCTGTTACTTGGTACATGGCATCGAAGGAGGAGACGGCCGGTTCGGACGATGAATACGGGATCGTCACCGTCACGTCGCGCAGGGTGTGCTCGGGGTTCGTCAACTCGTATTCGATTGTGATTGTGTAGCTGTCGTCCGACTTGTTGACCCACGCGGTGAAGGTCACGGGCAAGACGTCCGGTGTGTCTGCGGGCGCGGTGGCGCGCCAGCGTAGGACGCCGATGCTGTTGTTCGAAGGGAACCGTTTGCTCGTGTCTTTCAGTTGGATGAGCTTTTGTGAGGTGAAGAGGGCTTTGTCTACGTTGGGATGGGTGCGGAATTGGGCTTTCAAGGGCCCTTCGACTGCTTGGACGGACAAGGCAAGTTTGGTCAGTGCTGAATCGGTGATTTTCAGCTGTAGGTCACCTTTGACTTCGAAGGATTTGAGAGCGCCTTCGCGTGAGAGTTTCGCGGTGAGTGTTTCAGTGACGGAGATGAGGATGGGGTGAGCGTGAGAGAGGCTCGGGGTGTGGGTTGTGGCTGTTGGGATACTTCGGTCGGGTAGCTCGACCTCGAGGGTGCTGCTAGGTTCGGGTTCTGGCGAGCCGAGCTCTTGCTGGACCCTGGCAAAGGCGTTGGACGTCTTAGATTTCTTGCCCAGCTGCATGCCCTTTGTCGATCTGGAAGCCGAGAATTTGCTTGAGATCTTGTTCTTCTCGGCCTCATATGCGTCGTAGGTCTCTGGTCGCACCGGGGGGGTGTATGTGGGCTGCTGGGGCATTTTGGGAGCGACTCCTCTTCCATACGCCGCAGACCGAGCGGCTTCTTTTCTTTGCAGCTCGAGTTGTTTAGCTTTTCGTTTCCGTTCCTCTGAAGCTTCCAGCTCCTTATTCCGGGCAATGATCTCCTGAATTCTTTCCTCGTGGGACTCCATTTCCAGGAAGGTCTTGATCTGACTCAAGGACAGGTTCTCGCGGTAACCCATGGTGACGAGCTCGTCGAAGGCGCTGAGTAATTCAAACGCATTGCGTAGGATTTCCCGCTCGTCCGTCTTTTTGCAGATCGACGTGACCACCTGGCCGAATAGGTGTAGACTGTCAATGTCCTGTAAGATGTTGGATTGTTTATTGGTTATGAGGACAAGGTACAGTTCGTCGAGCGGCTGGTAGACGTAGCGGACATTCTCTTGCTCGACCGTCGTGTGCTGGGTCGAGGAATCGGCCAATTTGGGGAATGAGGCCAGCAGCGCTTCAACTCGGGATTTTTGGATCTCTCTGAATTGGCGGGAGAGAAGGGGCTTGCCGCCTCTTGTGCAGATGGAGGCCGCGAGGATGACCTGAGGAATTAGCAGATGTTTCGAGATATATTTCGAGACACACGAACCATGTTGGAACCTTTACAGAGAGAGGGAAGTTGTCGACCTCGACTGAATGTCGAAGAGGACACGCTGCCGACTCAGTTCGTGGGTCAAGAGAGTCATGCAAGTCACGTGGTCCGTACTCAACCCTCCTTTTTGAAACTCTCAGCCAAAGCCCAAGTCACTTCACTTCTCTGTCGTTGTATGGCTCAAAATGCATTGCCATACCGAGTCCCTGATGCTTAGGGTCCATGCTGAGAATACAGTATAAGATCTCTCAATCTGGCCTACTCTTGTAGTAGACGCGCCAGACGACAGCCAGCACACCACCTTTTCAAATGATCGGTACCCTGCGTATCCTCTATTAATCATGTACCTCGATTGACTACATCTCTGCTTGTTGAATTTGGTCAACAGATCATCACTCTTCCACTCCCAAATCACGGCAAACATCGAATCTCGGAGTCGTACCACACGGCCACAAATAAACCGAAGTGCCATGCCTTAAAGTTTTACTGGTATAAGCTCTGTCAGGCTTCAGCCCCCTTCAGTAATAGACTCTTCTGTTCTTTTCATTCCAAACAATACCACAGTCTGTTGTAATTCACGGCTTAACTCGACAATCGGGACACTCAACAGCATTGTCCAAGAAAAACCGGATGTCTGTCTTTCGTCCTTACCGATCAAAGGAACATTATCTTTGTGATACTGAGAAATGCTCAACATGATATCACGTGATTCGGGCCTAAAACCTTCATCACAATCATTTCTGCACTCTGAACATGGATTATGGCCGTGAAAAATTCCTGAACTCGCTAATTACTCAAAAAGTTGAATGCAATATTGCTCCTAGAACGTGTGGTTCAGCATCGGCCCAAGGTATCGTATCAGAACGGAAATGGTTCAGTTGGGCAAGGGAATGCCGGGAGGAAGAAGACCAGCAGCGCGAAGTGAGCAAAAGAAGATCGGGCACGAAGCAGCGCTGTTCCGATGTCAAGCAAAGAGCTCCAACGCCGCATGCAAGACTTCATCAGTGCCTCCCAGAGTGAACCTCCAAAATCTCAAAAAGGCAAAAAGAAAAGAGATGAAGGGGAAAGAAGCACATTGACGGCGCAACGGGGATCCCAACACAACTTGCGGCCTCCCAGCAAGAAATCCACCGAGGACCCGAAGGTTTCGAACCAGTTGTTGTCCGCATGGAAGAGGCAAGCAAACGAAACGAAATCGAGCCGAACAAGACAAGGATCAGGTGCAGAGAAGAAGAAATGCGGACCAGGCCAATAGATAAGGCAGAGACCCCTGGATTTGTTCTCCAGGCTCCTGTAGAGAAGAAGAGAGCAAACCGGATGACGATATCGTAACCTTCAAATTTAGGAAAGATCGCCACAAACATCGTCTGCCTAAGCTTTGGCTGGAAGTCAGCAAAACGGGCGCAGCTGGAAGAAATGATAAATCGATAGTTGGCCGCCGCGCTCCCTTCATCTCTGAAGAACGTGCTAATGTCTTCAAACAGGTATGGCATAGTTCTGGCTTGGAGCCGAGGGATCCCAGTGAACGCTGGCAAGAGTACCTTGCGATCCGATCTGACGCAGTCATCGATCACGAAACTTACCAGAATCCGAAGGATTTCCTGTATGAGCCACTTCCCCAGGAGTGGGACGCTTGTATACGCCCAAAAGTGCACATGGTAAACTTCTCAAATTTACCGTCGAAAAAGATTCCTCACTGACACAGTTGGCCAGCTTTCAAGAATGGGTTGATCCGTATTCTGTATTCACCAGTACAATCCACCACCCGAAGAGCTTTCGAGCCAAAGAAGGTGGTCGACCGCTGGATCTGTTCTTTGACTTTTGGCCAAAAATTCAAGGAAATCACACTGCCCAAGTCTATGATCGCTATCACGATCAAGTTGCTTCATCCAGAGGCCCGTGCGTTTGCACACGAGTCGCCTGGGGCTCGGTTCGCACTGCTTCGCTTGTGGTCGGCACTGCATTTCTACCCTCTAATGATGGGGCCTGGTAACCGTGGTCTTTCATCTTTCATTGGCGCAATCGGCCGACTGTGGGAGTGAAAATTCATTCCCACTGTCCAGCCATATTCGGAGTGGAGTATTCATCACACCCTAGCAGAAAGACTCCAATCTTTCGTGCCGAAGTTTGCTTACGGCGGCAAGATCAAAATCAGAAAGGACGTCGCACCGGCGATGGGGAAGGATGAAGACAATTTGTGGAAATTGGCTGGGGCGGCGACATTTCTCGTGCAGACCCAGCCTTGGAGTACTATATCAACATTGACCTTATGTCTCTGGCATCTTTAGCGGATGTCTGATCTTGGAATGGACATATCACGATAGTCGACAAAGATCAAAGCTCCACTAGATTTTGAGGATTTACCACCATATTCCTTCGAACCATAAAACTTAAGGAAATACCTCAGCATCTAAAGTCAAAAGTGGGAACAGATACCCCGAGTGCAGGCTGTGATTTCCCTCTTTCCCTCGGAACTCCAGCTATCGATTTTGTGCCGTTCGTCGCGTTCTCTCCCATGCGAGAAGCGAAGAGGAATGGTCGCCTAACCTGAAACTGATACCCGCAGTCACGTGCTGCTGTGGCTAGGCAGTGAATTCAAATTCTCCGCTCTCAGGGACCAAAACACTCGCTCACTGCTGCCTTCTCGTCTATTCCATTTACTCACCTGCACACCACGCGCAGTAATGATTCAGCAGACTGTTCATCGAAATTTGACACCGTCGTCCTATCGAGTGATTCATCGACCCTAGAAAAGATCTCAACCGCCTGTCACCTTCCCTCCCACACTTGACGTGGCATCCATTACCTCCGTATTCATTTCCATCTCGCAATTCGACCCATTTTATCTCCGGCTCATCGCAAAGTGCAAATTTTTTGGCCCCAAAAAGAAAGAAAAGAAAAGGAAAAAGAAAGAGAGGGTACTTGGGATAGGCCGCGAAGCCGTAACGTCTCCGTGGCTCTTCGATCTTGCTCGGCAATGAGTGCAATACCCTCGCTCTCTTTGCAGGACATGGATGCGTCACATCTTGATGACAAAATGGACGTAGCTTCGTCGCCATTTCGACCGCCTGACGACTTCGATGTCGACCTGGATTCAGTTCGTGATCCTTCCGTAATAGAGTCTTTGCATGATGACATGGTCGATGACCCTGAGGAACCTGCAGACGCTGGCAACGACTTAATGCAGGACCAGATTGACGAAAACTTACCTGATGATTTCATGATCGATGAGCCAATCTCATCTGCTCCTACCCGACAGACTGATGTTGATTACAACATGGACACCTTTATCGACGGAACCCAGGCTGATGAAGACGAGGATATCTTGTACGAAGAAGAGGATGTTGAGCCTACCATCCAACAAGGAGAAGATACAGTTGAAGTCGTCCCCGACGGAGAGCAACACAACTATCAGCAGGATGAAACTGAGGTCATCTTGGCAGATTTTGAGGAACAGCCTGTTCCGCCAGACGAGACCAATCCAGCTCCCATCGAGGAAGAGGTTGGGCCCACCGAACAAATCCCTTCCACGGTTGAAGGCATCGAAAAACCAAAAGAATCATTTGATATGGCTCCGATTTCAGCTGGTGAAACACTTGATCAAGGCGTGGAGCAAAGAGCAGGCCAAGGTGATTTAGAACACGGCCCGATCGATCAGGGCCAGGTTGCTCGTCAGGATTACCCTTCACTCGATGACGATCAGACGGAACAAGCGGAAACTACAGATCATCTCCTAGAGCCTCAAGACACTGACCAACTGCAAGGAGATGATCAGCAAATTGTAGGGACCGAGATGTCGATACCACATGACACCGTCGAGTCCGCTGAATACTCGCAGCACGAGGACACGGAACCAGTTGGCTCAGCTCACGACGCCTCCTCTCAGACCGTGCATCCTGTTACACTAGTTTACCTGGAGGAGGAGATGTCACTCTTCCCCCCCATGGTCGGGGATGGGTCCAACATTTACTTTTTGCAAGACTCTTCACTTGCCTTTGAACCCCTCGACAAGTTACTTGCGGCATGCCGTGAAATCTTAGCCGGGACGCTAGATCATCATGATGAGCTGGTGCTTGATATACCTGGCCTGGGCCTCCACATTTGTGAAGATTCCAAATATGCGGCTCAAATCACATTGTCACAGATTCTCGACGTATATTTGCATCTCTGTCACAATGACCAAGGCCACGACGTGCAACCCTTGTATTGTCACTTGAGCAGCCGCGTCAGTCTGGCTTCGCAATACGCCTATCTCTCGTCCGCAGGTGTCGAGGGTAAGACATTTTCCGAGATAGCCGCAGGCCATTTGGACACGCCCGGTCCTGAGGGTGATCAGAATGACGCTGCCGATTATCATCGGCAACCGGAGGAGACTCGCCAAGAATCACCTGTCGAACATCACCAGGCCGTGGAAGAAAATTCCAAGGAGGAACCCACTGTCTCTCAACCTGAAAATGAGGATGACACCGAGATAGCTGCCGGCCCACAAGACCTTTCCAATAATGAGACGACGACTGAGGAGATAGGCCAGTCTGCCGACTATCTGGCTATTGAAGCTTCACCCAATGGATATACCGCTGAATTGGACCGTTCCGAAACTCTTCCGGCCGAGGGAGAGCCGGAGCAAACAGCCCCAGATGAAAATGGCCATGTATCTAATAATGGTCACGATCAAACAGAAGACCAGATTGACGATTTTGGAGCCCACTCTCTAGAGCAAGAGCAGTATCCCGAGGATCTGGATCATCAGCATGTTGAAGGTCATGAAAACGAGACCAGTAGTTCACACACCGTCGAAGCTGATGCCGCAGATACTGGCACTCGGGAACTTGAGGACGACGAGCTCGAAGTGGACGAAGGCCCCGATTTCGTGGATCAGTCAAATGGGCTGGCAGACGGTCTCTTGGGGCCGGATGAGGGTTCTCCTCAACCAGACGTAAACCCAGAGTCGTACAGCGATGAGGAGCTCTTTGCTCCAGGCGAAAACGAAAAAGACCTGTCTGAAGACGCCTCGAATGCAATCCAGGATGAGGCCCAAGTTGCAACTTTGCCGGATACAAGTGAGCAAGACTCCTCCCAGAATGATGATTGGGTTTCGTCAAGTAATATTCCTCAATCTGGGTCGACCCAGTCTCAACCCGCATCGGCAGCTGATTTGCAGCCCGTGAGTGTTGAAAGCCCTCCTGTGACCCCATCCAAGCGGAAACAAGCGAAGCGAAAGGCGGAAGATGATGATGAGCTCTATCTCCTGGACTTTGATACCCCCGAACCAAAGCGCCGAAGGCCTTCCTGACTTCTCCATTCGAATTATCCCGCCACCACGGATTGGGCTTCAGCAACTACTGCCCGGCAGCACTCTCTTCTCGATTCCCAATGTATCGAGACCACAGCTTCAACGCCATGGAAATCGACAACGACCACTTCTAATTCTCCGCCACACTGACCTCGCTGGACACTAACATCTAGTTCAAGATCGTAGACCTGTGCGCGTTGTTCTGCGCCGCTTCCCAGCACCTTGACATGAAATTTGCCCACTGGCATGCTCTTGAACCATTCACCCCTCCCCTTTTCCCCATTCTCCTGTCCTACTACTAACTCTAGCTTCTTTCGCATTTCAACACGTCGATTCAAACCGAGATTCATCAGTCTCCTTCGACATGCTCCTCGGCTCGATGGCAAAGGATCTGTATTGCACTCGCTGCGGAGAATCCGTCAATGTCACTCTCACGAAGACACGTTTTCAGCTTATGGTGACTGCAACGGCAGGGTGGGAGGGTTTGCAGCTCACTGTAAGTTCCCAACCAAGGGAAAATTCTAGATTCAAGCGGGCAGGAAGAAAGTGCTTGTTTTCCATGGTGTTCTTATCAGCTTGAGCTTGCGGTGGATGTCCAACATTTCCTTTTCGATTCTGCTGATTCCAGGAGGAGACATGTCATCAACAACCCTAATGAAAGGGCGAGCTGCATCGGCGGACAAGATCCCTATGTGTGAGGGCTCATACGGCTCATCGGCCATCCACGATTCATGTACTCATGTTTATTTGCCCTCAAAACCCAAAAGCATTGAAATCACGGAACAGACCCTTTCGAGACCTTTTCCTTCCTTTGATCCTTTCGTGTGATCACAAGCTAGATCTGCCTGTCCCTGCAATCATCAATTCCATCAACCCTCAGGCTCTACAATTCGCGGAGGAGATCACGTGAATCATATAATTCGAGTAGCCAATCACGTCCAAGGTATTTCGCAGCATCACGCAGAAAGTATCATCATCACCGAAATATGACTGCAGCAGTCGACGACCTATCTTGATCAATCCCGGAACTGCTCCACCGCAAGGTGACTCCTCGCGTTATTCATTCCACTCTCCCACCATCATCTTGTTCCTCCTCCAATCAAGACAGCATAGCATTGCTGGGCCATTCCGTTCTGGCATGAGCTGAATCAACATGTGAGCGAGACCTCATGCCTGACTGGCGACCTCAGCGGACTTGCTACCATGTACCAACTTCTCCTCTGCCGGATCGACACTACCGCTGCTAGTCCCGTCATCACTGCTTTTCATCGGTACAGCAGCACGATCTCCTGCTCTGGCCTTGGTGGGTGGATATCGCCCTTTGGTCTCTTTGAATCTCAACAAAACGAGGCCAGCAATGACGACAATCCAGAAGACATTGTATCCGATAACGCTGCCATAGGTGGCACTGTTCTGCCAGCCCAATAGTGCATTGAAGATACCCCAACCACCCCCACCGTTCAACTCAGGGTTGCAGCAGTTGACGTGCCAGACACTGCGACGGATGTCGTATGAGCCCGGTCCGGAGCCATTCTCAGCAGCGTCACCACCAGTAGCCTTGTTCCAGCTGTCCGCTTCCAGATACCAGATTCCGCGGGAGAAGAGGCCGGCGGCCACGAGGTAAAGGAAGCAGGTGCTGACGATGAGGAAGAACTGCAAGGGAGCCATATTTCCACCTTTGTAAATGATGAAACCGACAGCACACCCTGCGGCGAGACCACACACGGTTGGCAATGGAATCGAGCTCGCCTCCAGACCGAGACTCACCCCACCAATGAAGACAATGGCCTCGATACCCTCGCGCAGAATGGTGATGAAGGGGAGGAGAAACATGGCATACTTTTCAGCCCACGCCTTGAAGCGGTTGCCGAGTTTCGCGTGTTTGTTGTCCTTGGCCTCAAGGGCCTTGGCCAGCTTGATCCGCCACTTGGCTTGCATCTTGGAGATACGCAGGAGTGCTGCACCCATCAGGGCAATAATGACGGAAGCAATAAGGGCAAATACGCCTTCCCAGATATATTCGGTCGAGCCCCAACTGTCTGTGCCGATTCCATAGAATGCACCGATCATACCACATCCAATGATCAAACAGATGACAAACCCGACGAGTGTACCGAACCAGATCTGAGAGGTAGAAGGTCAGTATAGGGCTCCTCAACCGCGAGATCTTCGGTCACAACATACCTGATTACGCAGCTTCTTGTATACATTCCTGTCTCGATCTGGAACGAGCTGTTGCTTGAGGAATGACAACAGCACCGAAACAACAATGACGGTCTCGAGGGTCTCTCTGAACACGATGAAGAACACGGGAACCGCAAAAACGTCCGGCATGTTGATCTCTGGCGAAATATACTCTTGTCTCCTATTGAGGCACTGGATTCTGAAGGGGGAAAGTGTGACAGGAGACAAATCTGATCAGATAAGATTTGACAAAGAGGGGAGGCCTTGGCCGCAACATTCAATGCTGCATATACACAACAAGTCGAGCAGCAAAGAGAAACCCAGATCGACCTTACTGTCAAACCCGATGTGCAAGTCCCTCATGAATCATCAAATATTATTCCCACGATCAGTCCACCCCTCTGCCGATATCGCTGCCCCAAAGGATCCTCTGTTACGGGTTCAACAGCCTTTAATGTTGCCCGTGTGACGTACGGCCTCGCTTCACCTTGCAGCCTCTTTTGACGGCATTCTCCTTCGTGGAGGACCAGTGGCGCTTCAATTAGAGAGGCTAAATGACAAATGTCGGCTACGAGTGCTAACCCCCCGCGTGATCCACGGGTTTGGAACGACGTTACTGGTCGACATCCGAATGACCTTCGTATCGTGCACGTCTCATCCCTGAAGTGTCTCCAGAGCAAAGACAACAGGCCTTGACAGTTTCCTTTGGGACCATTACCTGCTTCCGGACTTTCGGTTTCTTGGCTGCTTAAGAGGGGCATTTGATGCGGCAGAGGACATGGCTCCGCTTCTTTTGCTTGACCTTCTCCAAGAGAAGCTTGTGCGAAGACAAGTTTCCGCGTTCATCTTCGAAATTGGCAATGAACTGATCTAGGGGCCCCATCACAAAATGTTCTCTCATCAAAACGGATGCAGGGAAAGGTAGGTTCCTTGGGGTCAAAGGAGCAGGGAGACGTCGTATTCAGGACCAAGTTTTGATCTGATAAGATGAACTGCAGCCCTAGAGCCACGCTTGACTGGCCCTAGATCCTCGAGACAAGATCAGGTAGGAAAATTTTTTTTTTTTTTAACCTGATCTGGCCACCGTCAATCTCCACGGTCCGCTTCTTTTCCCGCTCTGTCACACCACTCACCATCTCAAGCTGCTTCTATTCTTCAAGCGAATTCAATGCCAAGTTTCAAGCCATGTTTTAATTGACAATCTGGTTGCTGCGTTTGACCTTTCAATCCAGACCGGATCGATGATCTGGGCGCCCCACGCCGCAACAACCAGGCTTTAGCCAAGCAGCGTGGCAACCATTTGGCACTGACATCGACCTCAATCGCTTACCAGACCCCGCAGCGGCAAGGCCAATTCTCCAGCTGGTTTCTTTTTACTGGCTCCTTCTATAGCTATAAGCTATTGTACTCCACTCGCCTCCTCGTCTCGAGACTCGTGAATTTCTTCTTCCCGCGGAAGATTCCACCAGTCTAGTCCGCCTGCATATGGTCCTGACAACTTTTCAAAGCTCTTCGGGCGCTGCAGTCCTCTCCTGATCAGGTAAGTTGCGTGAGGAATCTAATCAGATCGTCCGACTCTCAATCATTCCTTCCTCCCACACCGGAGCCCGATCGGAACCATGATACGAGAAGAGAGCAGGGAAGCAGGCAGGAGGCATCGTTTGGGCCTCGGGAGCAGGAGTCCTTTCAAAGATCTTATCTGATCACGATTATCAATGTCTATCCCTTCCCCCCTTCCCATCTCAGCAGGACCCCCTCCTCAGGTTTGCACGAGGCTGAAGCACAATGGCTCTCTCTTTGTCCAACTTCTTTATTGTAAGCGTTTCGGTTCTCCTCTCATTTGTGACGGCTGCTACTCGCACCTACAATTTCACGGCAGGCTGGGTCATCAGAAATCCAGATGGACAGTTCGACCGGCCAACCATTGGTATCAATGGGCAATGGCCACTGCCTCGAATTGAGGCCACCGTGGGCGACAGAGTCGTTGTGAATCTGAAAAATGATTTGGGAAACCAGTCCACATCGATCCACTTCCATGGTTTATTCATGAATGGCACAAATCATATGGATGGCGTGCCCGGCACCACCCAATGTCCCGTGCCCCCTGGAGCCAGCTTTACATATAATTTCACGGTTCGTTGTGGTCCAGGTCTAAGCTTCTCCACGCCGCTCACCCAAGCAGGTAATCCAGCCAGGCACCTACTGGTACCATTCACACATGGATGGACAGTATCCTGATGGCCTACGAGGGCCACTTATCGTTCATGATCCCGAGAATCCATACGCGGATCTCTACGATGAAGAACTGGTCTTGACACTTTCCGACTGGTATCATGATCAAATGCCAGGTCTCATCAAGAAATTTCTAAGTGTGACGAACCCGACGGGAGCGGAGCCAGGTAAGTACCAAAGAATGACAAATCTTGCATTTGGTGGTGCTCAATAGCTTTCCAGTGCCGCAATCTGCTTTGATGAACGACACACAGAACCTCCAGATTCCGGTGCAAGCAGGGCGAACATATTTCCTGAGAATCATCAACATGGCCGCCTTTGCCGCGCAATACTTCTGGATCGAAGGTCACACGTTCCGTATCATCGAAGTCGATGGCGTCTACCACGAACCCGCCGAGGCGAGCATGATCTACGTCACAGCGGCGCAGCGGTATGGTGTCCTTCTGACCACCAAGAACGAAACCGATAGCAACTTTGCAATTATGGGTTCCATGGACCAAGAACTGTTCGATCAGATCCCCGACGGCCTGAACCCCAACGTCACCTCGTTTCTGGTTTACGACAAGTCCAAGCCGATGCCTACACCCAGGGAAATCGACACTTTCGAACCCTTTGATGATATGACACTGGTCCCAACCGACGGCGAGGAACTGTATGAAAACCCCGACTTAGTCGTCCAACTGGACGTGGTCATGGACAACTTGGGTGATGGCGCGGTATGTTTCCACCTTCTCCTTTCTCTATGGCTAGTAACAGTGGATGTATTGTTTCTCAGAACTACGCCTTTTTCAACGGCATCACCTACGTGCGGCCCAAAGTGCCATCCCTCTACACGGCCTTGACGACAGGCGACCTCGCCGCAGACCCCATAGTGTACGGCGTCAACACCAACTCGTACGTATTGGGTCATAACGAAGTCATCGAGATCGTCCTCAACAATCAAGACCCTGGCAAACACCCCTTCCACCTGCACGGACATAATTTCCAGACCATCGTTCGCGGCGACGACGATTCAGGCAACTACGACGCCAACGCCGTGCTGAATGGTTCGGTCATACTCCCTCGTCGGCCCATGCGTAGAGATGTCATCCTGGCGCGCCCTAACGGCCATATCGTCATGCGCTTCAAGAGCGATAATCCCGGCGTATGGTTTTTCCATTGCCATATTGAATGGCACGTTGATTCGGGGTTGATCATGACGTTCGTCGAGGTATGTTGACCAAGCATCACATTATCTTCCCTGACTCTCTTTCCCTCCTTTCCTTTTTTTTTTGGGGACTATCCCAAAGCTGATGAATGCCTTCTACACATTGTCAGTCCCCACTGATCCTCCAGCAAACCCTAACGATCCCTGACGACCACTTCACCGCCTGCGCCGCTTCGGATCCGCCCATGCCGACACGTGGTAACGCGGCCGCGAACACGGAGGATTTCCTGGATCTCACTGGCGCCAATGTCTCACCGGCCCCGCTCCCCGATGGGTTCCAGACAAAAGGCATCGTAGCGATGACGTTCAGTATCCTCGCGGGGTTGTTAGGTGTGGCGGTCGTGGCGTGGTATGGGATGGGTGAAATGGGCGAGATTGCGAGGGAAAGACAGGGTTTATTGGTCGAAAAGGTCGCGAAGGAAAGGGGGCTGGGTGCGGATGGCGCCGATCCGCAAACATATGTAAGTGTTGCGGGCAAGGATGTGGCAAGGGACGCGGATCAGATAACGAGCGTTCGTTGAGGGATGAGCTTTGCAGCCGCTCATGCCCGCGCCCGCGCCCGTACCTATTCACCTACATGAGCTTGGGTTGGGCTGTCTCGGCTTTGTTTTAGCAGAACAAGACACATGATATGATATGGTAATGTGGCATAAGTGGGAGTCAGCCTCTTTGACTACCGTGCAGAGAGATCGAGAGAACTTTGAGGGGGATATATATCGCACGCAGCAATGAAACCAATTAACATCCTGATCTCAGCCTTACAGTAAATGCGCGGCAAAACATAATCACGTCTTAAACAGTTTTTGGGTCAATTGCAAATCACCACATCTCATTTATACAGTCTGAATGATTGATCGCGTGTGCGACAAGTGAAACGTGATGGATGAAGCTGATCGGGCAGGGAGATAGGTAGGCAAGCATATATATATATATGAATATCGTGTCTCATATATCATTAGTACACTCATATTCAAACAACGGCCTTCACCGCTCATTACACGCACCCATTTCATTCGACCAATTAGGCTGAACTCCTATCTACACTGCTTTCTTTTTTTCATGTCGCGAGAAGAACGGACTCAAACGACATCTACGACGCAGACTCCTGCGACAGGGTAACTTGATCCGTAACCAACATGCCGGCAATGGAAGCCGAGGTGAGCGTGGAAAGCACACCGGAGAACAAGGCGGAGAGAGCAACACGAGAGACGTCGCCTGATCGAGATGGTGCAATTTGAGACAAAACACCGATTTGAGTACCCAGGGAGCCAAAGTTGCCGAAGCCTGGAAATCCTGTCAGCATTGAAATCACACCGAGAGAGACGGTCGTACTGACCGCAGAGGGCATAAGTGGCAATCAACTTAGATCTGGGGCTCATGTTGATGTATTGTGGTTCACTGGTGAGGGAGTTGTACGCAACGAATTCATTGGCAATGACCTTGACGCCAATGAGCTGGCCGACTTCCAGCAAATCATCTCTGGGAACTCCGAGAAGGAAGGCCACGGGATAACAGATATAGCCGAGGATGAGTTCGAGGGTGAGATATGGTTCACCATCTTGGGTGATGTCGATATATCTAAACAGGAATTGTCAGCATGCATATAGATGGGCATGGGGCACAATTATAAGCGGAACAAAACTCACCTTCCCCACCATCCGAGAAGACCGTTGATCAAGCCGATCAACGCGATAATGCAAAGCAAGGTGGCCACAATCATCCCGGCGATCTTGATACCGAGCCAAGCACCATTGGCGAATGCATGAAGAGCATTGGTGGCACGATGTTCGTCATCATCGGGAATCACGACACGTCCGGAGGTGATGGTCTCTTCGGTTTCAGGATATCTCATCTTCGAGACGGCCAGTGAGGCGGGGATAGACATGATGCACGAAGACACAAGGGCCTGGGGGTTGAGACCCAGACCGATGTATGCCACCAAGACCGATCCAGCAATGGTGGCGAATCCAGACGTCATGACTTGGTGGATTTCGGCGAGGGTCAGGTGAGGAACGAAAGGTCGAACCAACATGGCAGATTCACCCTGGCCGATGAAAGGGGAAGCAGCCGCTACAACGGCTTCCGCACCAGAAACACGCAAGCTCCAGAAGAAGAAGACGGCGAATTTGCCAATGAACCATTGGAGAATTCCAAAGTAATACAAGACTTGGACGAGTGCCACGAAGAAGATGATGGGAGGTACCACACCAGTCAAAAACCAATGAAGGTCAAGAACTGATGAAGCGGTCAAAAACTCGGTACCTTCATCGGCAAAACCAAGCAAAGCTCGAGCCAGAGTAGAGATGAAGTTGAAAATGTCGTATCCGGCCTGAGTACGGAGCACGAAAACGGCGATGACAAATTGAGTCAACATGCCACCGATGACCGTGTGCCATCGAATCTTGCGGCGGTTCCGGGAAGTGGCCCATAGGAGGGCCAGCATCACGGCCAAGCCGAGGAGAGAAATGGCACGGTTGCCACGAGTGTTGTCGGCAGATTCTTCAGAGACAAAGGATCCGACCAAGATGACGGCAATGGCCACGAGAGCGGCAAGAGGGATGCGAAATTTCTCGGGAATGGTTTGATAAACTCGTACGCCCGTCATGTTCCAGACGTAGTGCATTGGCTTGGTGATGATGGTGATGGGCACCCAGAAAAAGATAATTCGGAGGGTGATAGCGAGGTAGAGGAGGAAAGGAATAAGCCATCCCAGGTCATAGCGGTGGAGGATCAGACCCGCAATCCACCATCCTGTGAATAGCAACCAGATGAAGAGGTGGATGAAGATCTTGTATTTGGTATAATGCCTCGAGAAGTGGTGTTTTCTTCCGTCATCGTCTGAGCTAACCATGGTCTCCGTTGGGGTCGGGCCCGTCACTCCCTTCTCAGCATCCATGACGGTGAAGTCCTTCGCATCACCAACCGATGATCGCAGCTGATGTTTGACGTAGTCTTGGGGCGCTTGGTCTTGAATATTGGACTTGTCAAAGGTGGTGCCTTCAGCATACAGAACCTCATCACGGCGGCCAGCAAGCGAGGCGCGGCTGTGATGCAGATGCTGGTGCTGGTGCTCATGCGAGTAATGCAGAGTCAGGTCAGGGTTTGGATCAACTCCAGTCTGCATGGAAGGGTTGTGGCCATGGTCGGGGATGTCATGATGAGTTTGTCTGCGTTCGCCCGTCTCACCATGAGCATCGGTTGGATGTGAGGAAGAGATCTCTTTGGGGTCAGTGGGTTCGGGATTTGCGCTCATCTTTGCTGTTTCCTGATGGAACTGTCGTCAAGGTATTTGGGCAGGACAGTCGACCGCAGGAAGGACAGGACGACGAGGAGGACAGGAGCAAAAGCGGCAAAGGTGATCAACCACGGAGACATGGTGAAGAGGATCAGTTATTTACTTTATAGAACAAGGGACCCGGGGTTGGTGGACGTGGGTTCTTTGCTAATTGCGCATGCAACAAGCATGGGCACGCTGAGATGCGAGACGCGCTAGACATGGAGCGTTATCGGTCGAAGAACCTTCTTCTGGCAGAGTCACACTGAGGCAGACTGGCAAATGGTGCCCCCAGAAATGCAGTTCTGAAGCTTTCGGGACCCGGGCGCGATTGAAACCTCTCCTCGAGCCCCATCGGGTAGGGGAATCTTGGAATCTTGGTCGGTGGTGATCTTGTCGCCAACCGCAGCCTGTCCGCGGCCTGCAATTGGTGGGAGGCCCCGATACGCAGCGCCACCAACCAGTGGCTTGAGAGATCAAGCATCCAGATTGCAACGCTGCACCACTTCGGTATTGGCACTTCTGGAGATTCTCCTCTCACCTCCGACTTGTCTATCTTGACGTGTATCGCATTCCATAGCGCTAACTTGCTGAACACGAGCAGATGGTCTAGGGGCCAAGCATCGATATAGCTCTGCCAAGCTGATAAGACCATTGCAAAGGCAACGCTCTAATCGATCACAAAGACGAGACAATGGACGAGCAAGGCTCGCCCTCTCCGCTCTTGTTCCTCGCCTCCGCCGCCACGGGTTGCAACCTTGGGCTCCGTATCATTGACCTCGGCCGACTCGTCGAATCATCTCCCCTTGTTTTCCATCTACGATTTCACGCTTCGGTCGCCTCCGCCTGCACCTCTGTTCCGGAGCGATTTCGAGGATTCACGCGGTTCCGTTTAGCTGCAAAAAGCCGATAAGTGGGCAATGATGAAGGATCCAACTGAGACAGACGAGATTGACCGAACCATATGATTTTCTATCTCACATTGCCACACTCCATCGATTCCAAAAGAGCCTCGGATGCCAGCAGTCAGATGCACAGGACAATCATAATTTTCTTTTCCATGAGAACTCAATATCAATGGAACCTTTTGGTTGCACAAGCAGAAGAAATGAGATCCAAAGCCACCTTTTCACATGGGGCCCCCTCTTTTCCCACGCCATGCTACGTCAGTAGAAATATGACGCGCCTGGATGTTTAGCCAATCGCAAAATAGGTTACAGCCCGGATAGTCGGTAGCAGGAGGCTCTATAACTACAGCCCACTTCCCCAAGCCAACCTCTGCAAGGCCTAATGGTCCTTCCCAGGCCCTCGCGTGCTCAAAATCCCAAAACGGAGGAATACTTCCGAGCAGGTGACCAGGATGGAGATTCCAATCAGCACTATGATAATCCAGGTTATCCGCGACATTTTGTTGTCCGATATGTAGTCTGACAGCACTTCGGCCAGATCTAGAAATACTCGGCATCGTTCATTGAGCACCTGAATCCGAGGCTTGATTTCGAGATATTCTCGGACCGCATTGTAGAGCGGATGCAGGGTTGGCTCGCTATCCCAAATCAGGTTGGGTACATCGAGCACATTCGATGCTAAAAAAATTCCATGGTCAGCCCCCAAACTCCGTGACAAATTCCTAATTGCCACTCACATAGGTTGACTTCCACACGACTTTTGAATAGACCACCCAGCAACTTGATCACTTCTTCTCGCTTCAGACCAAGTTCGCCCGTTTTGGCCAATCGTCCGGGGACATCTTTCGCCGCCTCCATTTGCGCTGCCATGGTTTCTTCGAAGAAGCTTAATTTGGTGCTTTGCGCGATGGCGTGGCTGATGGCTAGCTTGATCATGTGGTCTCCACTTCGCAAGGTAATCATGTCGTTATATAACCGTGGTCGAGAGATTTCATTGTTATACTCGAAATGGAATTCCTCTGTTTCAAAATCTTCCTCATCCAATGCATTGGATGTCAGAGAAATCGGCGATACCATGTTGGTATTGGGGTCCACGACGGTCGAGAATGTAAAATCAGCCAGGACATCTTTTTCTTGTCTCTCGGTGAAATTCCAAAAGACAACCACTCCATAACTGAAGACGAACATCTCGGCGAAGCGGTATGCATCCACGGGTACACTTGCTCCTGGGCTCTGGGATTGCTCGCTGTCTCTTCGCTGTCCATTGACTTGAGGGGGATCCATGTCGCCGGTATGTCGGTGCGTATCACTCGATTGCTCTTCTGGTGTATAGTTCCCCCGGACCAAATGTTGTTCCTCTTCCTCGGCATAGTAAGGTTCTTGATAGTCTCGTCGTTCACTGCGTTCAATGGCTTCGTCCAACACCGTGCCTCCTTTCGCACTCTTGACGGGGGGACTGCTTCGAACGCGATAGCCCTCATTCCCGGGCAAAAGTGGTAAATGATATGCGCAGTACAGGCAGTCATCATAGAGTTTGGCTCTGGCGCCGTGGCGTTGTCGCACGAACGTGGCCGTGGAATGCAACTTGTATGCTTGTGCCGTACAGTATGCTGTCACTCTGGGGAGTTCCTTTTCTGTCCGTCGGGACTTGGGCAGCCTTTCGGCATAGCTTTTCACTCCTTCTCTCCCTGGCTTACGATAGTCCTCGTCATCCTTGGGCGGGCCTTTGTCGGTATCGGCACCGAAGTCACCTTTCCCTTCTTCTTCCTCGACGGCTTCGGGCAACAAGACCAATTTCTCCGATGTTTTGGTCGATCGTGAGGGCATATGTGATGCGGTGTAGCGACCAGTCAGTCTGGGATCTACAGGATGGCCAGAGCCCGTTCGGAATGGTCGAGGTCTCTGGGGCTGTCTCTTCTGCATGGAGGGGATATCAGAAGCATACTGAAGAACACTATCAACGGTGATAAAACGACGAGAAGGTTGTCTTCTGGGCGGGAGTGGTCTTGCTTCGCGAGGATCCAGAACCTGTTTGGATTGCATGTTAGCTTTACCGGCCCTGTGTCATGAGATTTCCACCCGACCAAAACTTGAGGACCTCTTTTTGCGGTTGAGCTTTGGGGAGGCATGCCGACAAGTGCGCTCAGGTGCCTCGAGTAAGGAACCAGAGCTCAAGACAAAGAAGTGTGGTTTACAGCAGGACGGACCATCAAGAACGAAGAGGTTGCTGCAAACCGTTGTTTCGTCATATGCGGTCGGATTATCGTTTCTCCGGCCCCGAACGGCCCAAGTCACCAACTACTCGCTAAAAGCCCTTAGCGTCGAACGGTACTTACAAGAAGGTACTTTGCTGTTTACGGCCTCTTCCCAAGGTGGCTGTGGGGAAACATCCCATCACCCTTCCATTCGATTCTCTCTCTTTTGCCTAGATTGGGCCAGCCTTGGATCCTTGCTCCTAGGAGACTACCTACGTCTTCGAAACAATCCAAATCATGCGCCTCGGACTTTATTTTTTCTTTCGCGTCTTTCGAATTGTACGGTTGACCCGTTGGCATCCTTTATTTTCCCCCGCCAGTCCACTCCCCAACTTCACTGATACCTTTGTCAATCGTGGTGTTGAGCCAGGGGTCTGACCTCTCTTGACGTTTATAATGGAGGACCTCCCCGAGGAAATCCTCATTGATATTCTCGACTACCTTGACCCCGAGGAATTGATATCAGCCCAACGAACTTGCCGGGCTTTATCCAGGTCAGCACGAGCCAATCCTTTGTGGAGATACAAATGCTTCGAGAAATCCCCCAGTGCCTCTATGAGAAATGGCGCTGGGACATTGAGTACCCTTACTGCTGCACTACAAAGTCTGACCATATCAGAGCCACCTCCTCCACCTCAGGTCATGGCAGGGAATCCCCATGGTGGGGAATATTTATATCGAGAGAGCCCGAGAGCTCGAGCCGTCAATCGGTGGGATCTCTCCGCCAAGGATGAACAGGTCGACTGGTATTCGGAATATAAAGGGAGATGTGCTCCATTAAGCACCGACTGGCTTGTCGATGGTCCACCAAGCAACTTGGAGGTCAAAGGCGTTGCAACTCTGCATGGCTCCGGTAAAGCCGTGGGCTACTTGGAGGACTCCAGTGTCTGCCTTTGGGATCTGGACCAAGGTGCGTCAGGGAGAAGACAGTTTCGAGAACTGGGACGAAGCCAACCCTCCGCACTCTTCGCCGATGCCGTTCAGCCCGGCGAGTCTTTGATTGTCGACGGCATAAGCACATTCCCGGCGCAGCAAAAAGGATTCGTCGCCATCGGGAATGTTCTAAACGAGGTTGACCTCAACATTCTCAGGGTGGTATCACATTCCAAATATGCCTTCCCCATAACTGCCTTGTCTCAGTCGAGCTCTCCAGAACTGCCCCTCACGGTAGGCACCCAATGGAGCCTCCACATCCTCGACCCGCGAATTCAAGTCGGCCCTTCGACTCCGTCTTTGGGCGAACACGTGGAGGAAGTTCCAGCTGCACCAGGAAGCTCAACCGCCTTTCTCCCTGACCTGTCTGGAAATTCAGCTCTGTTATCATCCACCTTTGGAATTACATCGCAATGCTTAGCCAATCCTGACCCATCTATTTTCCGCCCGGGTTCACCTAGTTGGCGACCATCCCACCGTTCTCCAAATTCATACAGGATGACGTATGCGCGTGTCGAGCCTGGACCGTTGTCAATTCTCCACCACGCCGAAAACGAGATCCTCATCGGAGGTAGGTTTCCTAGCATTCTATCTTACGACCGTCGGTATTTTCCTCGTCTTCAATATGTCATACACTCCAGCGCCAGTCTATCGGCTCTCACATCCATCCCTTATCCACCAGCAGGAGCTTCCCCCAATGTCCGCGGCACATCCACCCTCATCGCGTGCGGTGAATACCGAGGTCGTGGATCTCTAGAACTTTACTCTCTTCCTCATGTCAAATCGGGCCAAAGACCCCCAGGTGGTCAAGACCCGGCCAACAGCCAGAACCCATCAGATGACGATGGATGGGACATCGGCAGCATCAGAAGTCGCGGTCGAGGTTCCGACGACAGCCTCTTCAGTTACAAGAACCGCCAGGATGCAGCGAAATCGAAACTCCTTTCCGTCGTCGCCCAGGGCACCAAGATCGTCTTCTCCGATTCCGAAGGCGGCTTGAAATGGGTCGAGCGCGACGGCCATAGCCTCGTTCGTCGATGGAACATTAACAGCTACCAGCTAAACCAAGCCGGCGCCGCTATTGGCGGCGACCAGGTCGCTCGGAAAATCATCCCACTCAACGAACCCGACTCGGAGCGTGGTCACCGCGGCGACGCAGACCTGCTGATCTGGACGGGCGAGAAGATCGGGATTGTGACGACGAATCCGCAATTTGCGGACCATGAAGAATTGGTCAGGGAGCTGGAAGGGGGTGAGAAACTGAAAGAAAAGGAAGAGAGAGAAAAGACAGAGGAATATTCAAAGACTATGCGACGGGCGTTGGAACGGCAGGCAGACGAGAGAAGGTGGATGAGCCAGTTCCGACTGAAGAGGAGAGATTTCTAAACTATCAGATCCCATGGCGCTCTCGTCCTTAGTGGATGCTGTCTTGCAAACCTGGCTCACAGGACGCTGAGAACCAGAAGGGACATCTACACTGGAATAAATAGAATCACAGTTCAAAGAAATACACCGACGAAGCTGGCTTCTCTTTTTGATCCCCATTTCCGCGCTGAAACCTTGGTTGAAGCTATATTGGCTATGTATGCATTACACATGACTTAAGATTTGTAAACCGTTTTGACTAAAGCCCTCAATATCCGTTTTCGTAGCGTGTTCATTATGTGATGCGTGCTGATCCCTGATGATACTGACGTCCCGATGGTCTCGACTTGCCGTCCCTAAAGGAAACAAAATACCAATATATATATATATACATTTCGTGTGGAATAAAGATGCCATGCCCATCCGAATGAAGTCCAAGACACCGTTTGAGGTGGCGTACTTTGCAGAAAAAGAAGACACAATGGCTTTTACGAGATGACGTTGTCGTATTGATAGCAGAACGGGCCGGCCGTGGTGCTAATCAATTCTCTGACCTGAATTGGGGCGAGTTGGAAGTATCCCCAGTCCGGCATGATGGAGTCGAGCGTGACGATGTCGCTGGGGGGCGTGTTCAGCGCGGTGCCTGTGCTGCCGTCCAGTTGATCTGCGCGGCCGGGGTAGTTGATCTGCCAGCTGGTGTAGACCTTGTCGATCATGGTGTGCAAGGGATACCAGAGGGGGTCTTGGGCCGACACGTGGATGCTGCTCATCTGCCCGCCGACAGAGAAGTGGGCACCGGAGTGGATGCCGAGGCTGGCGCCACCGATGACGCCGTTGAGGAGGAATTCGAATTCTGTCGCGTTGTCGGCGTGGGCCGCGGCCACAAGTTCGGCTTCGTTGGTGTAGGTTTGCGAGACGTAGGCGTTCAGGTCGCGCATTAGGCAGATTGGGCTATAGTCGAAAGCTCCGTCGGGGAGGACGCCGGTGGTGAGTTGTGTGGGATCGATGAATTTGAGAGGCGCGACCATGTTGGCGAACGGGCCGGTGGTGACGCAACCGCCGCCAGTGCCGTGAGGAATGGTCAATTCAGCGCCGAGTTGGATAGGACCGGTGTTGTTGTAGAGACCGTCGCCGGACATGGAGTATTCGGAGCCATCGAGGATGGGGAATGCGTGAGGGTCAGAGGCCGTCGAGGCGAAGTCCCAGTATGGGAATGCACCGGTATATCCACAGGTTTGTTGGAGGTCGGTCTCGTATAGCCAGAGGAAGTACCGGTGCCAGGTCAAGAAGAAGGCGTCTAGGTGGACGTATTGTGTTCGATTGACGTGGATGACGGCATAATCCATATAGCGGTTGATGGCGGCGGGATATTGGACCGGGTCGAGCTGAGAGGCCTGGCCCATGAGGCACTTGACGGCGTCAGTATAGGCCTTGCGGTCAGCGGGAGCCATCTTGTTAAAGTCGACTCGCGTCCTGATGGTTTCCGAGTTGCATTCTTGATAGCCCCAGTTATCCCAGGCTTTGGGGTGGGCCGCGCGGGCATGATTCAAGGGAACAGCCGAGACAATCGAGGAGATGAGGGCCGTAGCCGTAGCGAAGGACAAGAGGGAGCGGAGCATTTGGGAAAGCTAAACGAAGATATAGCGTACTCGACAATGGACAGTGAGGTTTATGGTCAGCCAGAGTGAAACGAAGGCGTATGCAGAAAATAAGTTATTCAACTGGAAATGGGGACACCTGCAAACTAAATACCGCGTTGGAAGAATCATCATGACAGGAAAAAGCATCGCATGTTACAGGTCCAACCATTTTGTTACCTTTTGGCAGCATCCAGCCGTATGCAGGAGGCAGGGTGCAGGAATACGGTGTTCGTTGAGGGTAGTGGTGACATTGGTCCAGTTCGATAAAGAACTTTGGTGATGAGGTTCAAGGGTTGCGGGTCTAAATACTGTGGAAGTGGAAGCCAACGGCCTCCAACAGGGTTAGCTTGTCGCTAAACCCAGTTAAGCCAAGGATCATTTTGGGGGAGGCGGGAAGCTTCCAGGGCAACCCTTAAGGCCAGAATGGCCGCCTCGGCTTTGGTGGTTGGCTTGGGTTTTGAGTTAAGCTTACTCCGGTTAGAGGCGATGGATGGGCTTCAGGAGGCTTGGACTCCTGGACCAGCTGTTCGAGAAGGCTGCGAACGGTGACAGTTGACGGACTGCCTCATCACGCAATCGCTGTTTGGGCTGAGCCATCTGATGAATTATGAATTGCTCTGCATCACGCCTCGCCGGCTGCTGTGCCCGTTGTCCTCTCATTTTTGTCCAACCTCTCTGCTTCTCGGTCTGAAAGGCCGCGCCTCGCCCAGAGTATTTTGAATTCTTTGTATTCTCAAATACGCCAACTGACATAACCTGGCTTTTGTGGATATCTCAGTGAACATCTGGTGAAATCAATACTTACACATATCAGGGGGGCTGCATCTCGAGTTGCTTTGGGTGTGTTACTTGGACTAGAGCCCTGGCAACCAATCTTGAATACTTGCTGCATCCTTCTGGCCTGGAAGCTGCATGAACTGGTGGACGTTGTGCACCATATCTGATCAAACAGTGCGGTGTAGAAAATGCGCCTTGTACTTCATTCATCGGATCAGGAATGACATCCAATAATGAAGATATCAAAGTGAGAACAACATAAAGGCGGAGTTCCCCCCGCGCAGAAGCATTGAAGACATCAATCAAAGGAAGTTGGGCTGCGCACGAAGTAAATAATTTGCAAGCAGTTCTGCACTTTGAGCCCTCTTATCCGGTAGCAGGCAATGGGATCTGATGGTAGTCAATGGCACAATAGGAACAGTCGTCCAGCCTGATAGGACACTCCCACTGATAGACTTGGTTTGAGAGTATGCCGAAACGCAGTCATCCAATAGATTTGAAACCAGTACGATAGAGCAAATTGGCTTTCAATACCAGAGTGTGGTTGAATAGCATGACTTATCAGTCGAGTTCAGTCTGTTGACTCTCACGAATATTGTCGTGAACACCACAGGGTCTCGAAGTCGAGAGCGGGGGCGTCGGGAAATTGAAAGCTTGGAGCCACAAAGTGAGCACGGACAGTCACGTGCGCCAAGGCGTGACTCGATTCTTTTTGTGCTGAAACTGGGAGCAAAAGAACGCGGACGGGCATACCAGCGCAGGAAACTTCATCACTGCCAACATCGATCAGCTCTCACCAGAGGCACGCCATTATTGCCGTCAACGTTCTTCTCGACGCGTCCGCCTCGATGGTACACTCTCTTCATTTCCTCCTCGACCCTACCCTCCTCTCTCGGCTGTCCCTTTCCCTCCAGTGACATGCCGAAACGTGTCGCAGACGAATACATCACTAAGGAGAACGGATCAATTGCAAATTCAACGTACGGCGAGGACAAACCCAAGATGTCAACCGCAGCACAGCTTGCGAAAAGAAGGTAAGTTTCATCATTTTGATCCCGTTGCTTTGGTTGTCGCGTTGTTTTTGTCGTCGCCGCAGAGCGAATTCCTCAGATGCAGTCCCTCACACCCTCCCCGTCGCCACAGTTGCTCTGCCAGATGACATGGATGTCAACGCTCGTGTCCCAATCTCGGAACTCACGCACAAGGGTTTGTGAAAATTGATACTGACCTGATTCATAGGATGGCCACGCCCAAAGGCCGGTTCAACCGCCCAGGCACCTCCCATTCCTCCTCTCACGGCGGCAACACCTCGAGCATATTTGGACAAACCACGCAGCAACAGGCATTTGGGGATATGAATGGTGGCATTACCTTTGGTGCAAGCCAGTCTTTCCCCCCGGGGACAAATGCGTCCTTCACCTTTCAACCTCCCCAGTCGAGTTCATTCACCTTCGGCGCCCCATCCACAACACCGAACCCCTTTGCTTCTTTGAACGGGACCGGAAATACCACGAGCAACCAGCAGCAAGATGTCTCGATGGAATCTCCTCAAAAGAAACCGATATTTGGTAGTGCTTTTGGGGCAAATAATATGGACAATACAAGTTCAGGATTTACCTTTGGTCAACCGGTACAACAGCCATCGAGTGGAGCATTTGGCATGAACGAGTCGTCAAACATGAATGGTGGCGGTCTGTTTGGTCGGCTTTCGAAACCGGAGGATTCATCTGGACCAAACAGCATTTTTGGACAACCTTCACAACCTCAAACTTCGCCATCATTGCCTTCATTTGGTGGATTCGGCCAGGCCGTCTCTGCGCCGCAGACTCAGGCATCAACCTTCATTTTTGGCCAGAACAGTAACGCCAATGGCGCATTTACTACCTCAACACCGGCCACGGGCTTCAACTTCGGCCAAAACACTTCGGTCCCTCAGAACCCTCTCCCATCTTTTGGATCTGGTCAAGGAACTACTTCTCAACCTGAAGCACCCAAATTCGCATTCGGACAAACAAGTACTGTTACACCAGGTCAGCCCTCTGGTCCTAGCTTTGGTACAAGTGCGCCGACTAGCCAGAATAACGGCGGTTGGTTCGGTTCAAGCACCACCACAACCACAACCACTCAAACACCAACCGTGGGTTTTGGAACCGCGACTACAGCTTCTCCGTTTCTATTCGGGCAGACCCAGCCGTCTCCAACTTCCCACAATCCTTTTGCCGGCCTTGGTGCGTCCAAGAGTGAAGAGACAAAGGGTTTCACTCCTTTGTTTGGCTCTTCTACATCCGGCCCGCAAGCGCCGACGGAGAGTCAACCTGGCAATGTGTCATCAGAGAAGCCGGCGACTTCATCCTCAGAACCAAGCACAGAGACTCCTAAAAATCTTTTCTCCAGTCTTTTTGCTGGGGCGACCAATACATCGCAGACATCTATGGTATCCAAACCGGCATTCGATTTTGGTCAAACGACTCAACCAACTGCAACGACGGCAGACACTTCAGAGCCAAAGCCGGCCGAAGTTAAGCCATCGAGTGAGTTCTCTCTCGGCACGAAACCTGCGAACCCTCCAGAGTCCTCCAACATTCAACGGACTCCAATATCCATGCCTGCGGTAGAAAAAGTCGATGAAGAAAGCACCCAGTCAAAGGAAACCAACGATACCACCACGAAGCCCTTGTTCGGTTTTCCAGCTCCGTCCCAACCTGACTCCAGCGGCGGATTATTTTCTCCTGCCAATGCCACAACGGAAAGCAATCAAACAACTGGCGGATTGTTTGGAAAGGCAAGTGGTGGGTCCGAGATTCCTGCAAAACCAGCATTCGCCTTTGGCGCGCCATTACAGCCGACACCCGATGGCACCACCCAGCCGAAGGAAATGGCCCCAAGTCTGTTTTCTTCCACTCCCAAGGCTACAAGTCAAGTGGGCGACAAAACTCCTGAAGTCAGCACCCCGCAACCCCCATCTGCCGCCTCTTGGTTCGGTGGTTTGAGTCGGCCAGAGACGAAGCAACCTCCGAGTACGCGGAACGCTGCTCCGCCGTCAACCTCGTCTGCAACAGCACCCGCTTCAGTCATCAATCTACCAACTTCGAAGCCAGATTTATTGGGAACGGCCTCAGATAAGCAACCACCAGGATCATCTGAGATGACAAAGGTTGCATCAGACCTGCCACCAGTGAAATGTCCCATTTACACAAAAGGTCCCCAAATAATCCCTGGTCATTTGGATGCCGGAAAATTCCGAGAATATGACCGCAATTATCGATTGCATGCCTTGAATCGTGGTTTGCAAGCACAATTGGCAAGTCTAGACGCATCCCAACACGACTTTGAAAATGTTATTCGACATTACGTGTCGGCCCGTGACGGTATTGGTGCTTCATTAGGTCTGTATATGCGCAGTGCTGCGGGGACGAAACGCAAAGGCGATCGCATCGATGATGAAGACGAGGAATCTACCCTCAATAAGCGAACCCGTTCGGAGACCACGCAGCAGACCTCTGCTGCAAAGTCTCAAAGGGTATCTGCTTCATTTAGCACATCTTCCACAGTTCAGGAATCAGCGTCCCCTGCCATCAGGAATTCAACCCCATCAAGGGCCAAAAACCTACTTACTAATATGATCCCGGAATCAAAGTCGGATGCAACGGTAGGACAGGCTGCTACAGAACCCAAGCCAACTCCAAATCCTTTTGTAGGACTTGCTTCAGACTCCAATGCCACTTCTAATCAATTTGCACGGTTTGAGAAAGACACAATCTCGGCACCGCCAGATTCAACGACCCCAACGAAATCACCGCCCAAGAAACTTGCTTTCGAAGCACCTCGGTTGGGAGCCGATGGTACAAATTTCATGAGTACTTTTGGCCAAAAAGCCAAAGAAAATGCAGACAAGTTCGCGAAGACTCTTATTGAGAAACGCAAGGCCGAGGATTTTGACTCCGATGAAGATGACGAAGAAGCATTCCGGAAACGAACCGAAGAAGAAATGCGAGCAAAACGAGCAAAGATTGATGCTATCGCTAAGAGCGGCGGCTTTACGCCAACCGTGGCATCCGGATCTGGAACGACTTCTTCCAAACCAACCTTCTCGTTGGGATCGACATCGATTGCCCCAAAGAATGACAAAGACACTTCGACGCATACTTCTAGTGGCTTCATGAAAGCAGCCTCGGCCAATCCGGTCGTCCCTCCCAGCTCCAAAGGGACAAGCGTCGAAGAGTCCGAGGTCGCTGGCGACGACGAAGGCAGCGAGTCAAATAATGATCAAGCCGAAGGCGATGAAGACGAAGACTCCCACGGTGATGGCGATGATGAAGAGGGAGAAGATGATCTTCAGGAAGACGAAGTTCTCGAAGAAAATGGGGATGAAGACGATTCTGATGATAATGATTTACAAGCTGCTATGGACCGAGCAAGGAAAAACCCAAATGCAGGGAAAAGTTTGTTTGATCGAATTGAACCCAACCCCAACATGAAAGAGAAGACCGCTTCCACTCCAACCGATGGAGACCAGCAAGAACCTGCCGCGGATTCCAGTCCTATTATGCAGCCTGCCAAAAATTCTTCATTTCCGCCGTCCATTTGGGGATCTCACATTGGCAAGTCTACGCCTGAAGCTCCATCATTCTCACCGATCACTCCGGCCACTGGTGCTTCAAAGTCGCCTTACAAACCTGCCACGACCTTCAACTTCACTCCATCGGCACCAGCTACCACTCCGACGCCAACGCCGGGTGCTTCAATCTTTGCTGGTGGATTGACTAAAGATGGCCCAGTTCCTGGAGAGGGCATGTTTGGTTCACGTCCGAGTACACCGAGCAATGCGGAAAAGAATACCAGCAGCCTGTCTAAATCGATTCTCAATTCTCCACCCGGAACTGACAATACCTGGAAAGAGGGGGCACCCATTTCGTTCGGCAATGCAGAAAAACCCACAAGCGCCCCTACATTCAAATTCACGGCTGCGTCGCCTGGAGAGAAAGAGTCGTCAACACCAAAACCATTTGGTTCGCTTTTTGGTACATCTGCAGCAGGATCGAAAGGCTCCGAAGCTTCCAATCATCTTGGCTTCCAATTTGGTGCACCCACTTCGACGCCAGCACCAGGTTTCCTAGGAGCTGTGTCTCACCTTGGAGGTGGTTCGGTGACCAATTCGGCAGTCTCCTCCCGTGCTACCTCTCCTGGATTGACAGACAACGAATCTGTTGCTACCAATGACACCGGGAATGAGACCACCAACGATGACGAAGCGAAAGATCCACAGACATCCTTGATGGACTCCAGAGCAGGTGAAGAAAATGAAACTTGTTTGTGGGAGAGTCGATCAAAGGCTCTCATGTACGTAAACAAGGAAACAGCCAAGGGGACCAAGTTAACCCCCAATGACTGGAACTCGATGGGTGTCGGTCAAATTCGTGTTCTCAAGGACAATACGACCGGAAAGACTCGTGTCGTCTTCCGAGTTGAACCCAGCGCGACTATTCTGATCAACTCTCATCTCGTCGACAGTGTGCAATACGAGAGTGTTCCCTCCACCAAGAGCGGTGCAGTCAGAGGTGCTCTCTTCTACAAAGGAAATCTGACTCGATGGGTTTTCAAAGTCAAGTCTCCCGAACTGGCAATTGAACTTGCCAAGGTCATGGACGACAATAAAAGTGCATGACGAGTCCCATAATATTTAATCCAACAACGTGTTACCTTGTTTTTGCAAAAAGCGGGCTTTGGTGTTTGGGTAACAAAATTGCAGGATCCGAACCGCAGGGTGGCAGGGAGGGCGTTCGGCTCGGCATTGCATATGTTTCAGATTACTGCGTGCACAGCACTCGGACTGTAAATGCACAGCGAAGGAGTTTGGGATGTGCTTGTTTTCCGCATTTGGCTTACAACTTGTTAAGAACACAACCAGCGCGGTTGTTTTTCTCAGTCACAACGACTACGAGTGGGTTGGAGAGTGTATCTACGGCCGGAATTCGAGTGTGTACAACAAATATGGTCATCATCATGTCAAGCGGATTCGTCTCCTCCTTCCTTCAACACAGTTTTGTGGATGTCCGGGGTCCGAAATGATGGAAAGGAATCCTGTCTCCTAGTCTTTGAGACTGAGTTGAGCTGCCTTGTCTCATTTCGATTTTGCGTCGACTGACAGAACGATATGTTATGAAGGGACGAAGGAGATGATAGATTGAGCCTCGGTGACTCCATGGATGGTTAGACCCCGGTGGTGATCTCTGACAGATGTCCAATGGCATCTTGTCATCGAGCTCCCAGTGGACAGACTGTTCATGTTGAGAGCCTATGAGAAGATCTCCCGTCGTCACTCCTTGATTGTCTTGATGGATTCTTCTTCGAGAGGATTGATATGTAAAAGCATTGATGATCAAATTGTTGGAAAGGAGTGGAAGTGGTGCGCAGATGATTGTCATTCAGGCCGAGAATTCAAGATGACTTGTGTTCATAGTTGATGAATGAACGGAATTTATTTAGAGGCAAACCTTTGCTCATTGGATCTTTGCAAAGTCCTCAAGTCGTGTAGGAGTACCGCAATTTTCTAGATTATTGTATCCACGGTTGATAAAATCGAGGACAAGGACGGATGAGTAACATCAGACACAAACGAGGCTCGATGTAGTCATGATTTTCTCATTTTTGAGGAATAGTAAAGCTCGAAAGTACCCGTCGCCATGCAATTTATATGCGAGATTGACGTCGAAAGTTGCTCCGATGATTATCTTTTTGGTGATGACAAGGCTTGGTCATTCAGGCGTATTGTCTCCACGGTCAAAATTTTAACCGTAATTCCTCGCCCTTCATCTTATCTGGCCCCAAAGCACATCTTTTATTTCCTCCTCCTGGTCTCGTCAACGCCGAGTTCGATTCAAGGTCTTCCCGAGCTCTCCTCTTATCATTGCATCAAGGTACAGCTACTGTCCCCCTTTTTCCCAACTCCCCCCCCCGCGGCAGGGATCCACAGATTGATTTATTGATCGAATGAGTGATTTATGCGTCTTCAACAACAACCGTCTGCAGACCCTTAGCCTCCTTCTCTTTGACGTTCACAGCCTGCACATAGCTGTATAGTTTCTCCTTGGCGCCCTCTTCGTCGTTACGCTTACGGCTGATGCGCACACGCAGTCGGAATGGCACGCCTTTGATACCAGACTCCCAGACTTTCTTGTTCAGTTGGGGGTCGAGGCGGACGTCGCGGGTTCCCTGCACAAACACACGTCAGCACTGTGGAAAAATGACAGGGGAGAGAAGGTGAAGGATGACCCTAGCTCTCCGGAGTCCTTTGGGGTAGTAGAAGAAGAATGTAGAACGTACCATGGCCATGGTGGCAAATTTACGGATTTCCTTGATCGCGCGAGGCGCTCGCTTCTTGAAGCTGATGCCATGAACCTTTTGTGAAAAAAGAAATGTATCAATCAGTCTTCCGTCCAAAATGCTTGATATTTGAAAACAGGAAAGTGAAGGGAATATTTTTGAAAAGATGATTGTCGTGGCAAGCCATTCGGGTGGACTTCATAAAACTGATCTCTTTCTTGTTCCTCTTCGCCATTCGCTTGAGGGAATCTTGGGAATCTTTCGCGGAGAGAACTTTTGGGTTCAGGTATATAGACATACTCGCTTGTGCAGATGGATGGTGTATTCGCGGGCGACGACATCTGAGATCGCAGAGCGCGACTTTTTGGGCGCAGATGTCGTCTTTTTCGATTGAGTCTTGGGATTGTCTTTCGCCATGGCGACGGTCTGTGGATATGAGGGGTTAGTTTGACTTTATCCTTTCCGACACCTGGAGTTGCACAGTTTGAGGGAGACTGGGAAGAGAAGAGAGAGAGGCGTATCCTACAGATTAAACTGGATCAGCGGTGAAGAAAAGAGGGAGGTTGACGAGAGAAATCCAAATGGCTGTTGGATAATTTGGTCGGCACAAGCAGTGTGGGCTAGGCCAAAATGGGAAGTTTTATGCCAAGATTTTGTATCACGTGTGTCCTTGGAGGTGCCACAATTATGTTTTAGCCATCGTTGAGACCACAAAGACCAACGATTTTATAATATTACTTGTAAAGCTAGGTATGTCCTAGGATTGGCTGCCACTGCTTTCATCCTCATAACGCACCTTTCCAGCACTCACATCAGGATAGACATCAAACCTTCTTTGGGTGTAGATGGGAATGCCTTTTCTTGTTTCTTCAATCTTTGCTCCATCAATTTCGGCATAGACAGTAGTTTCGTATTCTTCTGCCTCGGTAAGAACCTCAGCATTTGGGTTCACAACCATGGAATGTCCGTATGCATGATATGTTGCTTCCATATCTCGGGCAGGACTGCACATTGCGACATAGATTTGATTATCCATTGCTCTCGCGCGAGCTTGCAAAGACCAGTGCATCGGTCCTGTCGTGGTATTGAAAGCCCCGGGATAAACAAACATGAAGGCCCCTTTCCTAGCCGCAATCATGGCGAGTTCGGGGAAACGAACATCGTAGCATATTGCCAGTCCAATCTTACCATATTCTGGCAGGTCGATTAGAGTCACCTTGTTGCCCGGAGATAGCACATCACTTTCCTTGAATTTGATCTTGCCGGGAATGTCGATATCAAACAAATGTGTCTTGCGATGCGTCGCAATCAGGTTTCCCGCAGGTGAAAATACCAATGAAGTGTTGAAGTACTCTTTGGTCTCAGGCACAAACTCTGGTATACTTCCACCCACTAGATACGTCTTGGTCTCTGCTGCGACAGAGGATAACATATGCCACGAGGGTGACTTTTCTTTGGACGGAGGTGACGGTAGTACAGTCTCAGCGTATTTGGGAAAATATTGACAACCATATGGGGAGTTGAAGCATTCGGGAAGGACGATCATCGAAGCACCAGCCTTGGCTGCCTCAATCACTTTTGATCGAGCATGGGCTAGATTTGCTGCTTTGTCACCACCTGGAGTAGATCAGTATGAATCCAACTTCGTTGCGGGGGATTGGCACTCACCACTTACCTGATGCTAACTGCACAAGGCCAAGCTTGAAGGGTTTCTTGAGAAGACTTGCCATGACTAGGAGTAATATCGCTAAGAGATGATTCTCGATTGAATGAAGAAGTGGCAGGCAAAGTGCCGAGTGGCAACCAGTCAATGTTCGGAGAAGAGCGGTTCCAGCAAGTTAGCCGAGCCGCTAACAAAACTGCGACTAAAAAGCAATACTGGAAACGAATGGGCTACAACTCCAAAGAGTGGCACCTCTAGGACAACTGTCGACAGCATCTCCACGGATGAAGAGAATGCCGTTCCTGGAACTGAAGTACAGCCTAAGGCGTCAGGTGCTGCTAAATCAAAGAAGAGATGCTGGAATTATAACGTCGATACGATGAATCGCGTGGAGAAACTATTGCAGTGGAGGGAGCAGATGAATCCAAAGATACCCATGGCAGAAAGAAAGATGAGGTCAGTGGGGAAGCGGGCGAAGAAAGTATTGCGGTCCAGACTTGAATTGTCATGACACATGGTATGAGTCACCACTTGATTCATCAAACAGCCCGAGCAAAAGGACTTGGGAACCAAATTGGCTCGTGAATGAGCACGTGAATGGCTGAACATGTTCATGCCTGCAAATGTCGGGAATAATTTGATCAACCAGAAGAGCTTCGCGCATTGGCTGGCAAGTGTACCTAGTACGTCATACAAAATATTTGATTCTCCATTCATTGTCTTTCTCATTGTGATTCTCCATGAATTAAGACAAAGTCTACATCTTGCCCTTCCAAACGTCCAAGAGAGATCTTGTCAGCAAATGTTCACAAGGTCCAACATGGTTGTCCCTTCTAATAAAGTAAACTTTACGGCTATATGGTGCTGTATTCTCTAGCCGTTAAAGTATGTAGCCAGAACCATCGCCCAGAATTCGTTTTTGCGCTGACCCAATAGGCGAGCGATTTCGTGACCATTGCCGTAACTGATGACTTATTTCTCGACCCGTCCCTCATGTCATCGTCGATTCATTTTCCATCGCTATCTTTCGTCAGATACTGCTTTCATGATGGCCCTCAAGATCTTCATGTGAGTGAAACCGATCTCGATGTTCACATCGTTGACGCCGTCAATAGAACCGGGGTGACTGGCTACATAGCCGGCGATGCGATCAAGCCCATCTATGAGGAGCATCCAGACTTTGAGTACAGACTTTTAGTTCGAACAAAGGAAAAGGCAGATCTGGTTCAAAAGGCATATCCCACCGCCAAAATAATTCTGGGAGATTTGGACTCATCAAGTCTCCTGGAAGAAGAAGCCGCGAACGCTGATATCATCCTTCGTAGGTCACGACTCGGTCTTCTTGAATCTTCTACTGACATTTCCTGCCAGATGCTGCAGATGCATCTGATCATGAAGGAGCCGCAAAAGCAATCGTCACAGGCCTGGTCAATGGACACACCAAGGACAGCCCTGGTTACTGGCTGCATACGGGCGGCACGGGTATTTTGACGTTCCAGGATTCCGAGAACAACTTCCAGGGCCTTGGAAAATGGTCTGTCAAGCAGTACAACGACCTAAGCGGTGTCGACGAATTGACCAGTCTCCCTGAGGAAGCGTTTCACAGAAACGTGGACAAAATTGTTCTCGACGCTGGAATCAAATATGCTGATCGCGTGAAGACGGTGATTGTCTGTCCACCAACGATCTATGGTATGTTAGTCGCGAATGGAAGCGCAACAAGCTCATAACTGTTCCAGGCCAGGGCCGCGGTCCCGTAAGTGGTCGTGGTCGACAGGCGTATGAGCTCGCCAGCCTCATTCTGAAAAAGGGTGGTATCCCGGTGGTCGGTGAGGGCAAAGCGAGATGGAATAACGTTCACATTGAAGATTTGAGCGAAGTCTACCGATTGCTGGTCAACAAGGCGATTGAGAAGGATACGAATGATGAGATCTGGGGCGCAAAGGGATACATGTTCACCGAGAATGGGGAGCATATTTGGGCTGAGTTGTCGAGGGCAATGGCAGACAAAGCCAAGAGATTGGGATATATTTCCGATCTTGAGGAGTATTCGGTGGGGAAGGACGAGGCAATGGAGCTGGCGGGCTTCGAGGCCGTTAGCTGGGGATTGAATTCGAGGGGCAAGGCGGAACGTGCTAAGAAATACCTTGGCTGGAAACCGACCAGGCCGTCGATTGAGGATTCCATTGTGGAGATTCTGGAGGCTGAGCGCAAGCGCATGTCGAAATCGTAGGATGGGGCTCAGAGGGCGAAAGATTGTGAGGTTCGAGGGTAGAGTTCCAGGGAGTGGACACGTTCTCGAGGAAGAATTGTCGTCAACCAAAATTGACGGACCTGACTGAAGTGAGTCCCATGCCATGGTCATGCTAGCCGAGTAACATCTATTCTTGATGTGGCTCATTTAAATGTCAACCTCTGACCCGAAATCTCGACCACATGCCCAAGTAACGTGGCCTTCTCGATCATGATGAACTTGAATCGTAATTTCCTACTTCATGCTCGCTTTTTCGGACCGGCCTTGACCTTTTCCACTGACGGCATAGAGGCAAACGTAGCAGGCCATACCAATTCCACTTCGTCCTGTTTACCGTCAAAGCAGTATCGAAGCCATATACTCCATGTAAGGTTGAAGTACTGAGCGATTCCGGTAAATATATGCCTTGGGACATCAGCAAGAGGGAAACAAAGGCAAATTCGTTCAAAAAATTCCTCACCACCAGCCATGACCCTCGAGCAATATCCCCCACGGCAAACCAATCTCTCTTCGCCAGCCTCGGATCGTAGAGCAAAAAGCCCTATCCAAATTCCAAATCAAGAAGCCCAATGCAAAAGACCCAAGTCCCACGGGGATCATCCTCCCCCACATGATTCGTAGGATCCGCCGGTCGCGACGATCCATTCTGACGCGCTCCGCATCGTCATTGGCACTCGTGCACGCGCCCTTCTTGACCTTCCAGGCCGGTCGGAGATTGATTTCCATACCGTAAACGCTGTGAAAGAAGACGATCGCAGTCAAGAGCGCAAATGCGTTCTGGTGAAACAGGGGTTCTTTGATGTACATATAGTAGGCTGTGACGAATGCTCCGATGCCAACAGCGAGCAAGGCGATCAGTATCGACATCTGCTTCGACTGTCTGTGGGAGAAAACTGCGTAGAACATGATGCATGTCGTGTAGATCATGGCCAGCTCGTCGAGGAGTTGCATGTTGTCTATAGTAGCAAATGGTCAGTCAGTCAATCAGTCCGACGGTAGTCAATTGACAGGGAGGGTGAACGGGGAGCTGGGTCTCTACATTTCAACGTCGAGTGGAAACAGAAACTCCCCAAGCCAATAACTAGGTAACTGACGAAGCCGAGCAGGAATACTGTATCATGGCCATTGCGGAGGCAGCTTGATATGCCTTTGTACGCGAGATAGACGAATGCCAGGTTCGTTAGGGAGTTGACGAGTTCCGCCGAGTAGATGGTGGCATAGTAGTCCTATTGCATCCACACGATGGTTAGTCAGCAGCAGCTTGGAGCCGCCCCCCTCCAGCTAATGAAGACAACTTGGGTGAGTTTCTTGCTTGCCTCCTCGCACCAATTCAGCGTGGATGTCACAGGGTCCCAGTAGCCGTTGCCGGAGGGCGGATAGGGGGTAGATGGAAGATAGGACTGCATCACTACTTATAGCGATATAGTATCTTGCAAAAAGATTTCAGGGAGCTTCGGTTCTTACTTTTGCGGGTCAACTTTTGCCCCTTTTTCAGGCTTGGCATCTTCGATCTTTCCTTCATCTTATCCCCTTTTCCTTTTGCCAGAGAATGGCGACCTGGCTCTTCACGCGAACCCCTTGAACAGGATATCACCCACCATCTTCCCTGTAGGGCCGTTGTTTGGATTGACTTCTGTGACTACCAGACCGCTAAGATCGTGGTCTGCTAGTGCTGTTTCGGTTTACCTTCTTGACATCATCAAGCTCGATCCCGGCATGGCCAGGATAATTCCCGAGTGGTCATTTACTACTGTCCCCGACATCCACGTCGAAGTGCAGCAAGATCATGTCGCAGTCTTTCTTGAGAAAAGCAAGAGTCTCGTTCATGGCTTCCGCCGGGTCTGAAGTGATTGCTTTGCCTGTGAATACGTGGAACTGATTGTCTCGAAGGTAGGAAACATGTTGTGGTTTAGATTGTGATAACGTTACGTCAAGACCAAACAAAAAGCATAATGCTATCGGGAGTAACGAAAAGTCCTCCAGATGCATTGTCGAACTTGTACATCGATGCAAGACCACCTTCGTGCCGAGTTAAATGAGTCAATATCATCGAGTCCATGATTGCCACGAGCCTTTTTGGGATCTGGCCAACTTGATCATGTCCAAATGGAATCGCCCCAGATGTGCATACCCGGGGTAGAAGTCTCACTCGGAAGAGTGAGATTCTCATTATTATCCACATAGGGGAGTCCAGCTCGTATCTCAGGATTGGCCTGACAAATTACCGACGGGACGGCAGAGGAAATCGAGCAGTCTCCACCGATGACAATGGGGAAGGGTTGTCGATCCTGTCCGAGCAAGAACCGTGTTAAGATGCTTCCGCACTTCTTTTCATCCCTTTGAGAGTTCCAGCTTCATATCTGACCTCATTTTGGTTGCTGAAGGCGTTCAATTTCTTGGCCCTTCTCTCCAGGCTTAAATTGTGTCGATCGCTTAGCCAGATGGCCTGGCCAGGGCCAATTTGTCCTGGAAATCACTGTTCCGAAAGGCCTGCAGTGCAAGCTGTTGTCCAGGCCAATGAATTCATGCCTCAGTTGGCACGTCGAAAATGGATAATCTGCAATTCAGCATTCCGTTGTGCGGCGCCATATTGTTCCTATGATATGAAAGTATGTATAAGGTGCTGTCAGAATAACAGAGACAACCTTTGGAAGGCTAGGGGTATAAATATTATCCGTAGCGCGTACTACATTGGTCATGAAAGGGTCGTTTTCAATTGCCATGACGTCCTATGCTCCTTTCCAAAGTCCGACGAGACGATCATGGAAGATCTCAACCACACAACCATCGAGACATTTCTTCTATGAGTTCAACGAGCTTAACGCGCCCTCCTCATCGCGATAGACCTTGAAATCCTTCTGCGTATCAATAGACACGATCCTCTCTCTGTCCTCATCAGCCCCAGCCTTGACCATAGATGAACTCCCTTGTCCAATCACGGCAGCTCTGAATCGCAGACTACCTCCTCAGGCTGAATAGCTTCATATAGCGTGCTTGAGGAGCTGTCATCTCCAGACTATACGGTGTCAACATCCAGATTTAGAGAATCGGCTCCTCGGATTGGCACGAGCACATGTTCATAGACCGATTTCGGTAAGAAAGCGGCAGAATCGGAATCGGAGTCACCTGCGGCCTCCTAAACTGATGATCGCTAAAGATCCTCCGACTGTCCATCCACGTCATCAGAGAGAGGTCGGTCCTGATAGTGGCAGGTGGTTGTCCCTGTCAAAAATGATCATGAACCATATGAGATAGCATGTTATTCCACGCAAGGGTAGGGTCATCTTCCAGCACTGAGCGTACTTCCTATTGCAAAGAAAGCAGCCCACAAAGGTATGAAGATTGTGGCCTCCTCTGAAGTGTGAGAAGACACGCATATTTTTAATATATAATGCACGCGGAAACCTAGTCACAGTCCACTATTTGAAAGGGGCAGAGGGGTTCTGTGCCTTTCTGGTAGCAAAATGATAGAGCTACCATCCGAGAGGTGCGAGTGGTCTCTTCTCAGCGGAGGCAATCTGTCAGTCGTGGCAATGAACATTGTTGGACATAGTTCGGCCCCTTGACTTGCGTCTGGCGGCAGTGACGGATGGATGGAAACTGAACTGGGAGGCTGCAGACCTTTTCCATGTCTTCTTTAATTTTCGTATGGCATAATGTAAGCCCATGGATCAGAGCCCCTTACCGTAAGCTACCTGCGCTGCCGAACACCCTAGTTGTTTGAGCGTAACAAGTCTCTCATACAGCTTCGAACCTATTCTGTACAGAACAGATTCAGTACAGGGATTTCCAGACACGTCCCTCCAGGAAGTCCGACAGTAACAGTCATACTTACGTTGGATGACCCGCCGAAGGCGTTCGTGATTTCATGGCAACTTACCTTATTAGGAGACATTACCTCGAAAATATCGCTATTCAGAGTCGCTGTCGCGTCAAAGACGGCCCAATCTGCGTCGGGTCCACGGAGGCGTCACTGTCCGAAAGCATTTCGTCCAAGTCAATTCCAAAGTTGTTGAATTGGTTGAGGCTTGAGGTATTGGTAACAGTGTTTGCATCTCGCACTTGCAAAGCATGCCGGGTGTTTGGATTTCTACCTGCAAAACGTAGGAATGTTCATCTTCATCTGACCTGCCTGAGTCGCTGTTGCTCTCGGAGATATTCTGTTCCTCCATTTTACTAAGGTCAAGGTGCCAGGGACCAGCAAACGGCTGGAGGGCAGTACAGTCATAGACATGCCCCTCTATTGAAAGAATCCCTCCGAAAACGCCGTAGGAAAATGAACTTGATAGGGATGGCTTGACTATGATTCGTCTGCTATAGAGCGAGGTGGTGCGGTTACGTACGACGATCTTCCTAGAATGCTTGCTTTAATGTCGAGATTCGCCCTAGCGAAGCGAGATGGCGCTATTCTCGGGAATAGCCATCCAGTCTGTGAGCAAAAATGGGAGTCGTGATTCGCCATCACGAAGCGAGGGGTTGTTATCTGACACCACTGTCTAGTGAGCATGCTGGCCTAGGGCTAGAGAGGAAGACGCTCTATCCATCATACGGACAACTTGAAAGGGGGAGGTCTATGCATATGGTGTGCCATGAGTGCGAGAAAATAGGCTGCTATCAAGGAATGCCAAGGAACAGAGGGGCAAGCGTGACTCAAATTGACAAGTCGTTAGTGTTTAGTGTCTTGGTAGGGGCCCGCCCTGACAGCTGCGTTGAACTCTCTGAAAGGTTTAGAGGTTAGTGGTAATATTAGGCTTTGGGCCACATTACAGGCACGTGTCAAAGCATCGAAGCTATTTGATTAGACCACATCGAGCACATTCAGGTGTGCAGATCTTTTGGGCCGAAGAGGACCAAGGAATGAGCGGGGATCAGCGGTGAGGCTGAGTAAACTGAGATGCCGCGTAGATCTGCCTGACGGATAGGTGCCGAAATTTCAAGCGAGGCAAAGCCGCGTGGTGTGTTATCCTTGTTCTATAGAACTCCGAACCCGAATTCTATTTGCTCTTTTCAAATTTGTGTTCCTCCCACCACAGGTCGGGGCTGACATCTTATTCGCTTTAACCATAATTGTGAATCCCTTTGCAGGCTTTCCGGGAAGCTGCTCTGTACCGGGCAAACTATTTCAATGGCCACCCCGTGGTCTCCTTGCTTCATCAAACAATGAAGCAAAAAGAATTCGGATCCAACGATTTATAAAGTCTTCGGAAAAAGATGGCCATGTCCTCAGACTCAATCATCGCAATCATTGCCGTCATTGTCTCGCTTCCACCGTCAGCCCTGGTGGTTTGGACTCTGCTTTGGAGGCTGCGTCGATCTCGAAGCCCTTACTCTAGCCCGTCACCCTTGGACATGGATGCGTTAGCATTGTCAGCCGCCTGCAATCCACCATCACATAATGCCTCTTCTCCAGCGTCAGTCAATACTGCGGCTGGAGCTCTGACATTTGACGCCATAGCATCACCAGAGTGGAGAGAGACACGGAAACTAATTTCGACGACAAGAGCCGACGCAGGTGAGGAACGAGAGATTGGAGCTGTTCTTACAACGTTCCCCCAGCTATATATTCTCCAGAACCGTCTCCCGCGGCTAGTCAAAATCAAGAGCTCAAACAGTTGGAATCGGATCGTCAAGAACCATGATCAAACGAGAACTCCGCACCTTTGCATCTACCAGAGGCCAGAGTCAAGACTGTCGCATTGGGTGGATAGAAATCAAGACGTTGACAATATTTTGGCCACTTCTTGAGATCCGAAGGCTTTTTTTTGCCAGGAATCGACTCAACTCTGCTTACGAGTGCTTGTCACTTATCGTTGACCCCTTGCCGGACCTTGGATATATGACCCTTGGGCGTGCCCACCAATTACACCAGTTATTCGCGCAGGTCATGTGATATTAACGCACGTGACCAATATCTTGGCACCGTGAATTGGGGGGTATTATTCTGTACACCAACTTTTGTTATTCTGTACACCGGAAAACCTGCTTATTCTGTACACCATGCCTCAACTCTCCTTATTCTGTACACCACCACCTCTCTCTCGCCTTATTCTGTACACTTAACGCTCTCATCCTGTTATTCTGTACACCGCGCTAACAGAGCTTGTTGCCGTTGGCCCGGCGATGGCGAGAAAACACTAGTAAGTGGCGTAGCTGTGGAGGGGTGACGCGTTAAACTCTCCCCGTTATAGGTGGTTGCGAAGCAATAAACACATTTGATTCCCTTTTCCTTGGTAGATAAGTACCGTGCATTTTGAGCTTCTCTGTATACTTTGTAAATTATTGTGGCCTACACAGCCGGATTTGTGTAGAGATCCCCTGCACGGTCGATACCTCGTGCTGACTAAGGTAACAAACCAGCGCCCATAGGCTTGGGAGGACCGCTCATAAGCCGGAGGGGGAAACCGCCCATGAACCGGGGGGAAACCGCCCATAAGCCGGGGGGCAACTGCCCCGCTTATGGGCGGTTCCCACCCAAGCCTATGGGCGCTGGTTTGTTACCTTAGTCAGCACGAGGTATCGACCGTGCAGAGGATACCATCGTTAACCATCATTTCTGCATTCTATATAGGCAGACTTAGGTGTTGTGACATCACGTATCTTCGAACTGCGCAGATAACCGGAAAAATAAAAATCCGGACCAATCAAAAGCGGTGTACAGAATAACAAAATGTGGTGTACAGAATAACATTACCCCCGTGAATTTGTTGATTCGAGCTCTTCAAGTTTCATACTCCATGCCATCTACCAATCGCACCTGTTCCCGCCGGATTGCTCTGCTTGCACGACGCAGTGCTTGCTCTCGTGCAAAATTGTTCTATTTATTTCCATGGTGAAATCAACACACCAGTTAAGCTGAGTGACACTGCTTCCGGCGAATGGCTGGGAGCTCGCCTTGAGCCACGCCAACACCCCTTATCACGTGATCCGAAAGTTCCACTACCAGTCTGCAAAATACCTCCTTTAGGCAGCGAAAGTACCTTGAACTGCGAAAGGATCGCTCCGACGGTCGTATCTGAAAGTGCACACTCTTCAGGAGGCCCGTGATCATCCTCTTCGCTGGTAGCCATCCCGCCCATCAATCAGCCTTGTCAGACGGTTGCATTGTTCATATCAGTCTCTCCTTTATAAGGTTGCCACTTAACCACTACATATAATGTCCAACCTAGAGATCCGAAGAGGCGATTTCCTCTACCGAGACAACTTCTTCGTCGACCTGGGCGAAAACAAATGTCACCCTCGCGCCTCAATTTCCATCCTCCAGGACCTCTTATTCCCGGGGGCCGTCAACCCTGTAACCAAAGATCAAGTCGACCACTGGTATGAAGCACAGTTGATTCATTATGGTCTCCCGCAGTCCAAGGACAAGGATACGGCCAAAGCGTGCCTCACAAATGCCATCACGTCCAACACGCTCGCTGTGCCATCATACCTCATGCAGATGGAAGCGGACATGAAGAATGAATATGTCTCCGCGGCGAGGAAGGCGAGGACTGCCGCTACCAAAATGCAGAGTGCGACTTCAACTAGTGCGACTGTAACGACGAATGGAAAGAAACGGAAAGCAGAAGACGACAGTGTCGGTGGCTCAATGACAACAGTATCCCTCAAGGTCGGCGATGTTAATCTGGACATCGGTCACCAATCTGTGACGGCAACTATTGTCGGAGCTGGTGAAAACAAGAAGAAGAAAGTCGGAGAATCAGCTCCGGTCAAGAAATTGACTTCTAGGCCCAGAGTAACAACAGATCCTGTTCCGGCAGTGAAGGCAAAAAGCGCAAATGAATCAACGGGAGCATCAACGGGGTCTCCAATTCGGCCTTCCGCATTTTCATCACAATCAACATCCCCAACCACTGCTTCCTGGCCCAGAAAAATACTGGCCGGTCGACGGGGACGACTTTTCCCGAGTCCCAGCTCACGAATTTCACCCAATACGAACAATCCACGCCGATTCTCCGGCGAGACTCCGGCCTCCTTCTGCAACTACAACAACAAGAACAACCGCGACAAGGACATTGAAATGGTCGACGCCCCTCCTCCCTGTGACCCGATCGATTTCACTCACCAACTCTACTCTCCATCTCCTTCTCCCTCTCGCATCGGCATGATTCTAATCCCAGGAACATTCGCCATCCGCGCTTATGTACCCAACGAGTCCTTTCCCATCCACGCCAGCCTCACACTCCGTATTGACAAAGTGCACAACACGCTCTGGGGCCGCTTCAACATCGGTTCGCGCACAGGGATAATTCGCATGGACGACACTTCCGGTCTCGCGCGCGGTGATACGGTCTCGTTTGGCTGGAGAGCAGAAGACACAAACGCGAGTTGCCAGACGAGGTACAAGTTTGGACGTGGGTGTAATGGGTCAATGGAATTTGATGGGCGGGGCGGAGTGCGTGGACGGTTTTTCGGTTTAGTTTATGTTCAGGATGTGGAGTTTGAGGGCACAATGGAGAATGAGGATGATGCACTGGAGGCTGAGGAGCTGAAGTATCAGTGGGATGAGTTTCTGAGGCTTGCGTATGGAATGGCTTGAGCTTGATGTTGCGTGGTGCCTGCTATTGGTTGTTGGTTGGACTGCTGGTACTAAAGCTGGTGCTCTGGTATGTATTGATCATGGTTGGTTTTGTGGGATTGCCTATTGGACTGGTTGGATACAGGGTGTTGCGAGCGTGGGGGAGAAAATTGTGGCAGAGTATTTGGTCCAGAGATCGGGTCTTGAAAAAAGTTTGACATCTTGGACTCTATGTAAAAAAATGGAGGCCAGGTCTACTGTACAAAATGAGAGTCCCTAATGTTTAATAGCAATCTGTTCGAGTGAAAAGCAATCACATTCACTTCCATTTATTTCCTAATACGAGGCATGACGAGCCATAACTTTAATCCCTTCGAATCCGGCGCTCTTTTACTAGCTGAAGAAGCGACCGGCAACTTCGCAAAATCAAAACGGAACAAAATACCTGACACATCTCACATTCTCTTGCCTACTTTCTTTACCCTAGCTAGGTGTTCACACTATTGTCAACGTCCTTGTCCTTACCCTCACTCCTTAGTTTGTAGGGGCATAATACACCCACGTACTTGCAAATCCATCCGCCGTATGAACAGACGCCTGGTTCTATTTTTGAAAACTGAGAAATCTTTGAACTCATTACGCGTGGTCCCGATCACACTGCCGTCAGCCTGATAATCGGCGTCCTTGTTGATTCGCCAGGTGAATATGATGCCGTCGGGGAAGGATTTGGTTATCACAAAACCCCCTAAAATAGTCAGCATCGAAACCACGGCCAATGCATGCGAGTCCTATTTGCCTGGGTGGTGGGCAAGGAAAGTAGAAGTGGTCGAGGTACGTACATCACTCAGTCCCCCGGTCTTCCGGCATCAAGTCCATCACAGGAGTTTATGTGGGTAACGTCGACTATTGTATCAGGGATCGATGCGAGCAGTGCAAAAGTGAACTCTGTCGGGCGTCTTTAATACTACGAGTTGGCTGGGGAAGCAGAGTAGTGTTGGACTGAGGGTCAAGCTTGCATTTGATGGAATGGATGAAGGAAGAGAATACTGCAGCGTCATTGGAGACGTCCTATAGATTATTCCATCATATCCCATATTTTTGTTATTGCTCAATCATGACACAATGTTTGTAGTCAAGCAATGAGGTCGCTGCAGCAAGCTATCATCGTACTGCATTCACCACGGATCACAGAAGAAGGATGGTAGTCGTGGATGGTAGTAACAGTGGTGCTACAAGGAGTTGGGACATATGAACAGAGTGTGCATCTCTGGTCAATATGGTCTGAAGAAGCTCAGAGCATGCGAGGGGTTTTATCATCACGATGAGCAGAGAGAAAATAGTGCCAGTAGAAGGTAAGATGTCTGACGGTCCTGCGTTGGGGCTGACATGGACGGAAGAAGTGGCGTAGCTTATCGTAAAAGGCAACACGTAGACTCTCCAGCTCGGAGACGTGGCGCTCGTTCGGATGGTACAAGGCTGCCTTGGCATAGGGGGCAAGAGTTGTCTTCAATTGCTGAGGTACTATCTGCCTGCTATCTAAGTACATACTTCCTCGACATCCTGTCGTAGTCTTCTAGCTTGTGAAGGCTAGACAGAGTCTAGCCACTTCATCCTTGACCACCCTCAATCTGCAGCAAGCACAAGCACAGCGAAGCAGAACCTGTCCATTTCTTAACTCTTCCGTAACCCTCTTGACACGAACCCTCGCTGCGGGTAATCTCTTCCAAATTGTCCATCACTTTAGGCTGCCATCCTAACTCTTCCTCACCTTCGCACAGGAATCCCTGTTTTCAACCTCCAAGAACCTCGCGACCATATTCCAGTGTGTACCACTGCGTCATTTTTTGTATTATCTCGCTTGCACGCACAGGTACGCTTCCTATCGAAGCTATGGCAGAGTCATGAGCCGCAAGAAAGCCTTGAATTGTCTGAAAAAACTTCTTATTCATGTCTCATTGAGCTTTCAAGGTCTTCAGAACCGCCCAGTTTGAATGATAGATGTGACAGTGGTCACACCTGTCAAAACAAAATTGCGACTATGATCCCAAACATCCAGGACTTCTGCATATCTCGTCGTTGGGGCCATAGCCATGTCCAGCCTTCCAGATCGCCCAAGTAGATGCCCTCCACACAGTTCCAGGACCCGGGTCCCGCGGCCTTTGCTGTGCTCGATCATGTGGAGGCCCTTACATCTACTCTTCAAATTTTCTTGTTCTATCGACAGTCGAGGGAAACAAATGGATCCGCACAAGGCTGGGTCACGTGATCGGACCTCGGGGCCATTGGAGTGCGGAGAGGCCAATCACCGGCAAGTGGCAAATGGCTGGGGCCTTGGGCAAAACGCTGCCTATTTAGGACTCGGACTTCATCTTTCCCTTCCTAACCTCCTCATCATTTCACACATTCGTGTGGCGGGTAAACATCATGGCGGCTCCGGGAGGTGACCTCCTGATCCCCAAGGCCATGAGGTTGATCAGATACGCCGTCGAGAAGACGGGTCGTATCATCCGTGACAAACTGCCGCAGGCATCCAAACCCGTGGTCGAAACCGAAGTCCAACCTGCCTATGCCCGTGTTTCTCAACAGCAACCCGTCAATCGAATTGCTGCAATCCGTCAGACCCAGAGCCGTTGGTATAGCACTTGGCGCTATACCAAAAATGCCCTCAACGATTCCGTCAGGCACTACTCCTCCCAATCTGGGACCAGACCTCGAGCATCCTATCCCACCTCACGAACCGCTGGAGCAGTCCAACAATGGACTGGTCGTACACCATTTGCAAGCACCCTTCGACCCAATCTAACCGGAGGCACTCTGTGTCGTTCTGCGGGTGGTTATGGATTAGGTGGTGGTCGTGTTGGCGGAGCAAGATACTTCTCACACTCACCTGCCGCGCCGGCACAAGTGGTTAACAATGTTTCGCAGGCCGTTCGAGCCTTTTGGTTGTCGGGTCAGAAAGCTCGATTTGACGGTACCAATCCTCGAACAGGTGAGAAACGGTTCCGAGCCGTGTCCAGCCTCCAAGATGATGCCCGACATATTATGGACGCGTCACCCGCCAACGCTCCAGGATCATTCGTGGACTTCAAGGTTTCCCCCACCATCACCGCCGTGGGCCCATTAAGCAGCGTTCCACGTTCTTCCACCACTTCCTGCAACTACGAATTCCACCAAGACACGTTGAACAATGTCCACTTGATGTCCAACCTCTCCCTCGATTTCACGCGTGCCCTGAAGGACCTCGCTGCCATCATGAACGACCTCAAGCATCTCGCCACGCTAGGCGATCTTCCGATTTCGTTGCACAACAGCACGACTCTCCGCGTTCGGTTTCCAGGCTGTGACGCCGACACTGTGGAAAGTTTGTGTCGAGAACTCAACGTCAAACGTGGAATCGTGGGTCAAGATGAGAACTTTGACGCCCAAAATGGTACTGAAATGGCTCTGCTCTTCCCCTTTGCGCCAAGTATGACTGCCAGCGAAGTTTGTCTCGATTCCAACTACACCGATAGACCGGTCAAACGGGCCAAACGAGACCGCGTCGAGTGGCACGAAATGCTTTCTCCGCCCCCGCAGCCATCCGCCGGCTTTTCACACATCTCAGCTACAAGCCAGTCACCCGACGCCTTTGAGATGATCGACCAGGCAGTGGGGCAGAATCCATGGATTTCTTCACCATCCGGCTACTCAAGCTTTCATGAGAGTGATTTACACGACCATGACGATGAAGACAATGTTGCCCTGTATTTTTTCCAACCCCGCAATACTCCAGTGCGGGAAAGACTTACCACTATAGCGAGTGGAGGGGATTATGACGGATTGGAAGGGATATACAGGTTTATTGAGGAATGTGACCGAGCACGATCTTAAATGTGCGTGCTGGTGGGACATGTAGCTGTTGCCGTCGAGTGCAGCTTGGAAGTGTTCGGAAGGAATCATTTTTTGGGTGGATATAGCTGACTATCCTTACGGTGTGGTACGAATTTACCTGGACCACGCTAGGCCATTTCTTTCAACGTTTTCTACAGAGAAAAAAAGAAAACCCCTACACTACCGAGAATCTCGAATTGACATGGATTATTATTATCAATACCAATATCACGAATTGTTCTTGTGTAGTTCTCTGCTACTTCATGCCGCATGTAACGATTCCCCGCCATGGTCTGCCTCGCTACCCTGTATATTTTTTCATCCGCCAGCAGCTTCATTCCCGTCCTGATTACTATGAACATACTGAAGCCTTAACCGCAGCTCTTGATTCTGCTTGACAACTCTATCTTTCTGGCGCTGCAACTCATCAATCCGTGTCTGCATCTCTGCCAATTCATCTTCGGCACCCGACGAGAATTCCTCCATGATTTTAAACACGCGCCACAATCGACCGACCACGACGAGTGAGCCGGCTTCTTCAATAGGTCCGCGCAGGAGCACGTCCACGATGAATGCCGCGACAATCACGAGGGCGTCGAAGATGTGGAATTTCGACTGGAAGTAACTATACACACAAACACATGTATATATATTAGTATCGGCCACTGTGGTCGTTTCCCAGCCAAAGCAAAATGTAGAGAGAGGGGAGGGGGAATACAGAATAGAGGGTTATGCATACTTGAATCCAAATGCAAATACACTTGACAACAACTCAAGCATGAATACGCATGAGAACGCCAGACTGACGTAATCTAACACATCGTCTGCCTTTTGCCATGCCCTGCGATTAAAGTCCTTGTCACTGCTGTGGTCACAGATGTGTAACGAGATGAGGAAATCCGCGAAAATACAGGAAATGTCCGCGGACACGAGCAGGATCACAAAGTAATGACCCCATTTACTGGAGAGGAAGCGTTGGAGTTGGTGGCGCAGGCGCCAGACAAAGGAATCTTCGCCGTGGATTTGGAGAATGTATGTGCCAATTAGATCATAAGAGTTGCGAAGGGAAGAGAGATAGCGACGGTCGGAGGAGAGGAAGGGGGTGTGTTCATTGTCGTTAGACTGGGATGGTTGAGTTTCTGGGTCGCCGTCGGTCATGGTCAACACTGGCAGGCTGGGGAGGGGTCGAAAGCCTCCTGTCGAACTTGAATAAGGTGAGAGGAGAGTTGGCGTGCATTAGTAGTGGGACATGATATACGGATGTGACGTGGGATATGTATGTTGTTTCGGGCTTTCAAAACAAGAGGAGAAGAGAGATCCTGTAGATGGAGAGATAAGAGTTTGCTTTGCTCGTTCACTCATGCGAGATACCGGGTCTGGAACTCAATGCTGCTTTTCGACGGAAGCGGTAGTTCCACAGCAGGGGAAATCAAAAGCCTTCTCCAAGGCTTTATGGTGGCCACTCAGAAACCTGCGTTCACCGCGACATCCTAGCAAATTGCGAAGGAGAACTCTTGGTAAATTTGTGGTGCCAGGCATTGAGATGCGGCGACCTGCAAAGTTGAGATGACGTATGTGTACAGCCGCACCCCTATTAGAAAAGATCGCGGATGCTTTTTTTTTTTTCTCCCCCTACCACCCGAAATCGTTCAAGCCTTTGTCTGAATCCCGATGTCCTTGAGAGTACTAACTCCCTGCTAATACTTACATTGACATATGTGGCACAGCCTAGCTGGAGAAGGAATTGGTATTACGCAGCATCAATGATGTTCAACATTATTTCCAAAAACTATGTTGTCACAAATCGGACTGACATAAGCTGTTTATTCTCTAGAATCTGAAGTATCCAGGGAAATTCAGCCCAAAATCGCCCGTCTTCCTTTCAGGTGAGAGTCACCCTGCAAGGGATGGAATATAAACCCTGAACCCGGTCTCAGTCTGTTTCCCATCGCGTGTTTGATGCAACAGTCCCAAGGCTCTAGTATTGAATGAGAGAAAGCCCGGATTGCTGCAGCGAGACCTGCCGCGTTCACTCCCTTCTCCACTCAACCACCCAGATCTCGTCGGTTCATCTCCTTATGGATGGGCTCTAGCTTTCTTCCGTTCACATACCATCGCCCACGAGAGTGGCGAGTCTTGAACTTCATTTCGCTTCTTTGGATTGCAACTGGCGCGTATGAGTTCGGCATTATCGTGACGACAAAGATAATTCTGGTCCTTGTGTTGGTCGAACGCATCAAGAACGCCAACTCCGGAAGCATCCTGTCCTCTGACGGGTCCCTCTTGCGTCGTTTCTCCTAGAATTGGGAATGGTGTGCGGGAGGGCGTTTCGAAGATGTTCGTGGATGGATAGGTGGAGGACGCTGAATGGGACGATGGGCTGTTCAAGTTTGCTCGATTCAACAACGCAGCTATCATGAGCGTAGTAAGACTGGTGGCCAGAACGGCAGTGCCCGCGGTTCCGCATCGACGGGTGTTAAAGTCATCAGAGAGCAAAAATCTACCACATTGAAGGATGCGAAGGAAGGAATGAACTTCAAGACCTGTATTTCCAAGTAGACTGCCAACTTGTTTAACAAATGACCAACCTTCATGATAATCCCGAGCAAAACACCGATGGCGTAACCAATGGCATAGATGGTAGTATGTAGCACAGGTACTATCACCTCTATCATCGCCTGTTCAGAAACGAAGCCGAGATCATTTGTGCGCAGCAGGGGAAACAGCAAGCGAGGAAAAATCGACAACTTCACCGTGGGAAAGGGGAAGAGTCGCCATATGCAAGAATATCATCGTCGAAGGCGAAGGGTACGGAAGACGTCCAGCTGAATGTGCTCGTATGTTTGAGATATCATGCGACAGGAATCGTCTCCCTTGGGGAGGGTGTCTGAAGTGGCCGCAAAAGTATTGGTAGGATGTACCTTAGCCATGTCATGTGATTTATATCACGTGATAACACGTGACGGCCAACCCTACGAATAAGGTCATTCTCCGCCGCGACGTACACCTAACCAGGCAAACCCTTTGGCCCTCCGCGGCACCTTACATGCTTACTTGAACGCTTAGCTCGCCTCGCGCTTAAGGCATCCTAACAAAGAGAAGGACGAAAACCCCCAATCCTCGTGGTTATCGGTACGAGAGTGGAATACGAGGTTGAAGCCTGAAGAGTGACAAATTTTCATGCATGCTCGGCAGAGTTAAATGATGACCCTGGTTCCCCAGATTTGATCAACATCCGTATTCGCATTGGTCTGTGTCTGCCACAAATCCTCTCCAATGATGCCGTGGCGACAATCTCGCGATCTGGGCATTACAACATCGCGCCGTCAAGATCAACATGAGGGGACTGTTGCCTAACCTGATGACTTTCATCTCCGTTGAACCGCAAAAGTCCAAATACATTGGCTTTCTCTTGAGAAGGATATAAGGGAAGAATGTCGGCGAAGAACCTTGTACACCACTCCTACAAAACCCTACAATCAGTCAGCTCTTTTGAGTTCTCCTCAGGTCGAAGTTGAGTCGCCGATATGGTTCGGGTGGCAGTTGCTGGAGGCACATCGCCAACGTTGGGCAAGTCCATTGTGACTGCTCTTGTCAGTACGGGGAAGCATGAAGTCCTCATTCTTTCAAGACAGTCCTCAACCCATCAGGTGAGCATATGCACATGCTTTCTTCCTGGCCAATGCTGTTTTCAATCTATTTCTTCGGTGATGGAGATTTTCGACATCTCATGCTTGGGGGCACGTGACAGCAATTTTACGTTTGGCTTTTGTCGTTGGCCTCTATGGCGGATTCTGGATCCGAATATCCCGCCCAAAGTCCCGTCACTAGAGCCACAGTTGCAACAGAGAGGCAGAGAACCCTGACCCGATACCCGGACAAGATGCTCGTTCCCTGTGCAGTTTTCCGGGAACAACCATTCATCCTTATGGGGTGACTCAGGCTGGTTTTGCCAACGATATTCTAACCATGCGGCCCACTCCCCGAACGAAGCTATCGACGCCGCCCGAGATGCTGTCGACAACGCTGACAACCTTGTCACTGACCAACATAACTCGGTCAGCATCTCTAACACCAACAGCCCAAATGACTCTCGCAGTTCCCCAGAGAGAGAAAGTGCAGGCAGCACCTCTACCCCGGATGAACACGCTCTCCCAGCCCATTGCTTGATCGTTCGCACTTGAGAGTCGCTCCGATCTTACTGGCAAACGTTGTGGTCCTCGGTTCCGGGTTTGACTCTTTCCTTGACGCTGACTTCATCATGCAGACAGGTCAGGACAAAATGTACGGTGCTTCCATTTCTTACGTCGATTACGCATCCATTGAATCCCTGACGTCGGCACTTCGAGGGGCCCACACTCTCATCTCCGTATTCAAGGTCATCGATCCCTCTGCCATGATCTCACAGCATTCCAATCTCTTGAAAGCATGCATCGCTGCGAATGTCTCTCGTTTTGCACCGTCCGACTGGTCCATGGGTCCATCCTCTCATTTCAAGGTCGACCTTTTAGTTCACAAGGATATGCTGTGGCAGGTCTGTGAAGAAATTAGTGCCCAAAATGGAGTCGAGTGTGCTACGTTTCAGAACGGCATGTTCATGAACTATTTGGCGCAGGGCAAAACATACTCCGGAACCGATCGGAAAGAGGAGGAATTTGCTCTCAGTGGCCTGGTGGACGACCTCATGCTTGAATACGTCGACATTCGGAAAGGCAAACTGGTGATTCCCTTGGACGATGTCGGACAACCTAGCAAGATATCCATGACACATATTGGAGATATCGGCAAGTTTGTTGCTGCTGCAGTCGAGCTTCCACCGGGCCAATGGAAAGGTCAACTTGGGATGGCAGGCGATACTTGTACTCTGGAGGATGTCCTCAACCTTGTTCGCGACAAAGGCATTCAGCTCCACCATGAGACCCTCACCACACAGCAATGCGATGAGAAAATTCGAGATTTTGATCAACAGCTGGCAAAGGGATTCAGCATCGATGCGCTCAAAGGCAAGATGGTCGCGCAGATGATGAAGGTATCATGCGAAGGGCAAGTTGATGGGGCGATCATCAGACCGACACTGAACGAGCTGTGTCCCCAGGTCCAGCCCGTCAGTGCACGAGAGTTTATTGATAGAGTTTTCTGAAATCATTTGGTTTTGTCATTTGTGAGTCAGTATTGAAAGGGAATAGACCTTGTTTCCTCTCATAGCTCACGATACTCCGTTGAAAAACCAGACCCTCCCAGATCGGATTCCTTGCTCAGAAACAAAAGGGGAAAAATGGTTTTCTTTTTGCTTTGAATGAAAACCTGTTCATCTTGTCACAAAGGAGATTTAGAGGTTTACATACGGGCCATTGGTCATGGAGGCAAATCCTTTGAGATTCGGTTGGCACAGCCGACAACCTGTATACCCCCTTTTCTTTTCCATTTCGGACCCGAGCCTTCGTCATGGCACACACCAATCTCGGAAATAAGGCTTCACCTGCTCTTTTTGTTTTGCTTGAATGCTTTAAGCGATCCAGAACCAAATTCTCTCGAGGAAATTCCTCGGCTTGACCTCCGGCCACGTCCCTTCCAATCGATCAATTTCCGCCTTGCCGCTCCACAAATCCATCTCTTTCAATCGAACCAACCTCGTCCTTTTCAGAAATTTATACCCCAAAAACAACGACGCGAAAATCGGAACATCTATATACGGCGGAATGAAGCTCTTCGCACTGAATCGTCCCGGGAAAAAAGCGTCGAAACCATTAAATACTGCGACGACGGTGGAGAAGGCGACCGCAAAGTACGCGAGAAACGGCTGCAAGGGCGATTTGAAGGGCAGACTCGACCGAGAGATCCGATTGTGCTTAAGCCCATAGTAGAAGCGCAGGTACGTAATGCAGACGCTCGCCCAGACGATGAGCGTCGATACCGCCGAGAGATTCGAGATCCAGAAGAAAACGTCAGCGGAGCGGGAGTTGACGTTGAGGTACACCAGCAGCGAAAGCAGGGTTGTGGCGGCCACGCAGGCGTAGGGGATCCCGAAACGTTCGAACGTCAAAAAAGAGGGCGCGCGACCGTCGAGGGCCGTAGCGTAGAGAATGCGCGTTGACGCATAAAAGAACGAGTTTCCCGCCGACCAGGCCGACGACAGAATCACGGCATTGATGATTGACGGCAACGCGGAGATCCCGCCGTTGACAATCGCGATGACGAACGGGGATGCTGCGGCACCGGGCGCCGAACTGCTGATTGCATTCAACAGCCGTGGATCCTTCGCTGAGACGCATAAACTGACCAAAAAAATAGCCAGGACGTAAAATATCGCAATGCGCCAAAACACACGCCGGACCGCCTTGGGTACATTCCTGCGCGGATTCTCGGTCTCGCCTGCGGCAACCACGACCATTTCGCTCCCGCCATAGCTAAACGTAGCCTGGATGAAGACTTTCCAGAACGCCAGAAACCGCCCCAGCGCCCCGGGTTCAAGGTACGTCAGCATCGGGCCCGGGTCATCCCAATATCGAAAACCTATGCGATCGCCACTCGGCGTCCCGCCCAACGTGATGATGAACATGAGCAATATCAGCCCGACGATGGTCGTGAGCTTGATCGCCCCAAACACGAATTCCGCCTCGCCGTAGATTCGGACGGGAAAGCAGTTGATCAGAACCATCGGGACGAAGAGGATGGTGATCCAGGCAGCATTGGATACATGATTGGGCCAGTACCCGATGACCACGGCCGCGGCTGAGATTTCAATCGGCACGCCTATTGCGAATTGGTACCAATAATTCCAGCCCAAGGTGAATCCGAGGGCTGGGTCGACAAAGCGTGCGGCGAAGACGGGCACAGCGCCCGGAAGGGGTAGGTAGGTTGCCATTTCGCCGAGCGAGTTGATCACGGCGTATAGGTTGAAGCCGGTGATGAGGTATGCGAGAAAACAGGAGAGAGGGCCGCCGAGGCTGAGGGCCTGGCCGGAGCCGACGAAAAGGCCGGTTCCAATTGCGCCGGAGAGAGCGAGGAATTGGACGTGCCGCGATTTCAGGCGGCGGGTGAGGGTGCCAATGTTCTTCTGCTCGCGGGCGAGGTCTTTGAGATTAAGGTCTTCATCTTCTCGAGGGGGCTCGATGATGGTGTCGGCCGTTTTGCCGTGTTCCATGTCCTTGGATTCGTGCTCGTGCTCCATGGTTGACCACTAGTCGGCAACGAAATGAAACGACATTGGGTCGTGAAGTGGGGTATGGTATATGATGCAATGTTGATCTTCTGTGGAAGTTTTGCCAGAGTGATAACGAGAGATTTCGAGACAGATAAGTATGATATCCTATCAGCAGTACCGTACCACTTGAGGGGTAGGCGACCCGTTGAGACCACGGATATGAGCGGTCATGTTTATGGATATGCCTATTTTGGTGGATGTTACCTTGTCAAGTGAGGTGACAAAGATGTCGATCCGTAGGAGGATATTGGTCGAACCGGACCGTAGGATTGTGGAGTAAAGTTCTGCTGGAGGGAAGATATCGCCGGAATTGGATAAACCCTAGAATAAGTAAGCGTTCGACCGTCGAGATGTCTAATTGATGCTCAAATCGCTGGACTCTCGGTATATCGATCACCGAAAACTGTCGTCTGGAACATCGTTGATTGCGTGACTTAAAAGAGGTGTTGATGCTCGGAGCCCAGCTTCACACTCTCTCATATTCTTTTCCTTCGGGTGTCTCGGCGTCGGCATCGAAATCAGTTTTCTCCTCTTTCAAACTTCGTCGTAGACAAGTCTCACACCTTCCAGACCTCCTCCATTCCGGAGTCAGATGCATCCAAACCTCCTCTCTCCCTAGATTCTGTAAATTCTCCCTGGATCGCTTTCTGCTCCCGGGCGTAGGCCTCTTGATTCCTCTGTGACGGATCTTCAACTTCACAGCCAGGTATCTCTTATCCGACCTATGCTCCGAGGGCGTTCTATGCAGGACATTTAAGTCCAACAGTTTCTTCCCTCCGATGGGGGTCGCACCGCATCACTTAGATATCAGAAACGATGCCCTGAGTGATGTACTCGAACTGGTCTTTCTGTCTCAATATCTCGACGGCCGTAGGGGCCCCGACTGAGTATCCCACGATGGTTACGCCGTGGATATGCCCTCGATCCGTCCAGTAAGACCCGTCGACGCCATCAGGTCCCGACTTGGCCGTTCCAATAGCTCCTCTAATTGAAGATTGCTGGCGGCTGTTTTCTCACCATTTCTGGCGCCGATCTCTTGCATCACTTGATAGGCTTCATGAATCTCCGCCAGACGAAAATCAATCTGTGCACATCGGGACTCTTTTTCCGCCTGGTGTCCAGGCGTCGTATCATCCTGATCGTACTTTGGAAATACGGAGTCCACCGCATCATATGGTCTCTTCGGAGGTCCTTTCTCCGTTCCTTATGGCGAAGATCTGAAGTGGTGTGGCCATGTTGAGGCCAGTGATCTGCAAGCCTGGCGTTCTTGTGCGCGGGCAGTTTCGTATACCATGTACTGCAAAAGAACCAGACCAAAACGAGTGAGTCAGGAAGGGAGACAAACCTTGGATACCCACGACTTGTCTGATCCTGTAGGCAACTCAGCCATGTTGGGCGAAACCTTTGTTTTAATGAAGGTGCCTTCAGATCCGTTCGGGCATTAAGGTGGGCAGGGATAGTAGATGGTCATCAACACGGCCTTGTGTTGTGTGACGTCGGAAAAGGTCTGTGGCTCCTTCGCAGGGACTTCGTGGTCAATTGTTCCAACCTCGTAAGGCCCCGAATATTCGGGCCACTTGCTATGAAGAGGGACTTTATCTTTGAAGCCTCGACAAGCCTTGTGGTGTCAGGTGCCGTCACTGAACGTCTGTTACCGCGTGTTTCCGAATACCAGCAGCATTGAATGAGAGGGGCTGGGATTTTGGCATGATTTAGAGCAGGCTGGACTACGGGTCACATTGAATTCGGATCCTCGTGGCAGAAAGGCTGAGGTGGAGAGAAGCCACCAGGTTTGAAAGATTTTGGATAAATTGAAGTTTCAAAACTCAAACATTGAGTTTTCCCCTCCTTTCGAGGCGCCAGCAGGCACTGGCACACCAAACAGCGACGCTGCAGAATGTCCTCACAATGCATCAAGGTAATCCCCGAAATCCGCCATCGTCGAGGTAGTCGCAAAATTGTTCTTCCCCAAAATGATTCGACCCGCCTCAACCAGCCGCGTTGTCCGGGCTCGAACGTCATCCCGCATCTTTCCCCAGTCTGCATGCACCAACTTCCCATCTTTCTTCAGGATCTTGCCATCGATCATGGTAAGATCGATATTCCCTGGATGAGCATTGAATATCAAAGTCCCGATGGGATCAATGACAGGCACAACATTGATATCATCACATTTGACCATGATCAAGTCTGCTCTTTTACCCGGGGTGATGCTGCCTACGAGATGGCCGATTCCCATCGCTTCGGCCCCTCCCAATGTGGCCATGCGAAGGACTTCATGGGACTTTCGCTTGATTTCCATTGGAGCTGTTCCCAGTTTCGCATTGTCCAGACTCCTCTCTGCTTGGAGGAGTAGTCTCATTTGGACCAACATATCATTCGACTGGTTCGAAGTGATATCAATGCCCAATCCCACACGACAACCGTGGCCTTCCGCGCGAAAGGCTACGGAATGGCCCATGCCCATCTGTAAATCGGTGTCAGGAGTGGAAACTACTCCTGCTTTGGTTTGGGCGAGCATATGGCATTCCTCATCAGTGAAAGCCGATCCATGCGAGAATAACAGATCTGGTCCCAACATCTTGGCGTCTCCCAACTGTTTCACAATCTGATTTCCCGCATCATAATGACCGACCGCAACGTGAGCGGTTATGATGGTGGCTTGCAGTTCACGTCCCAATTTGATTTGTTCTTGAAGTTCAGACATTGGCATTGTCTCTGCTTCATACGGAGCAACGCCGAAAGTGAGCAGGTCAGTTTCCCACGAGTTTGTTGTTGAAAAGTGTTCCTTGCGGGCCCGTCGTGCGTCTTTCATCTTCGCAGACGCTCCAAACTCGGAATTCGTCACGTCAAACTTGTTGTGCTCTTTGGGTAGAGCCGGGTTGTCGTAGAAGCCATAGCACCATACCCCACGTATGGCAGCGTCCTTCAGGCCGCGAATGGCGGCGTCCGTGTGGGCAGGAGAGTTGAGAATGTGACAGTGATCAACCACAGTCGTAACGCCATTGTGGATCAAGTCAAGGGCAGCAACATGGTTGGCCACATATACATCTTCCGGGGTGTACAGACTGCCATAACATCTTCTCATGACATAAAGGTAATCGGCGAGAGACCAGTCCGTGGCTAACGATCGCAGCAATTGCTGCCACATGTGGTGGTGGCCGTCCACGAAACCGGGGGAAACTATGGAATTTTCTGCATTGATGATCTCTGCACCGCTGTACTCTTTCACGTCGATATTTGGCTGGACCTTCGCAATGGTGTTACCCTGAACGAGGATGTCGCAGTTATGGACCACCCCGATCTTGCTGTCCATGGAGACCACGGTTGCCCCTTTGAAGAGGACATCGTGAGGAGACGATCCCGCCATAGTGGGTATGGGGTCAGTCGATTGGAGCAGGTAGATTTGCAAACGGTGCTTACCGTGGAGTAAACATAGCTTTCCGAGCATCAAGCCCCTTCTTTATACCTTCTCATTTGCCTAAGTCTCGACAAAGAGCATTTTCCAACCTTAGCATTAGCGGGGTTCGCTTAGATCAAGCTTTTCCTCACCAGATCGCAAAAAGGCCCCCAAAGACCAAGACCTTGGGAAAGTCAGGGGGTCAAGTAGCTTCAAAACCATCCATGCTTCGGGTTCGACTGAGATAATCAGCTCTCGGGGCTGATGGACGCCTGATAGAGGAACCACCAGGCAGATCCAGCATTAAGGTCACCGCATTCGACATATCGTGGTTGAATTGCCCAGCTCGGGGTTCTCTGAAAGGACGATGGGTATTCGCCCAGGTGCCAAGGCGCTAAATACATTTTGCCCAATTCGGCACACCTGCCTGTATTTCGCCCAGGATCCACTTCGCTGCGAACTAGCCTAATTAGGATGAACTTGTAAATACAGGGCACTTCTCTGACAGCCCTTAAATCGACGTCATTTACATTGGAGCGACTGCGGATGCCATCCAGGGTACTGCTAGCAGGATGAAAAGGGTGTTCGGCGTCATCGTCTGGTTTGGTGTTGACGGCATCAACATCGATTTCTATGCACCCACACGAAGACAAATGGAAGCCTCTTATTGGTCAGGTTAAAATTTTGCGGATCCTGGGCCAAATACCCATAAAGCTTAAGGGGGGGGTAATATCCCGATTCTTAAAGAAGCGGGGTTTCCGAGCCAAGAAAGAGCAGGACCGCTAAATCAACTGATTTTCCGCAACATGCTTCAATAAACTGATGGTGGCCATTGGACATTGTCGGTCGTCACCTGTTTCTCAGGAATCGGTTCCAATTCGGTAAGTGAGGCATGCAGGTAGTGCCGAGCCGCTCGTACTGACTTGGAGGTTTGAGGCAACTGTTCCAGGGCCTTGAGAAGTGTTGATTTCAGGTATTGGTGGGCCTCGGGCTTGATTTTGCCTTTCTTGTACTCCCTGCTTACCACCTTGTTCATCAACTGTACACAAGCAACCACATGATGTGGATATGGGTCAATGGCGACAAAGGATGCAGAGACCGACGCGTCGGGAATGGTATCTGAGTTCGAGCCCGGCGGTCCGTGGATGGTGTAAGTGCTTTCGAGTCCAAACTTCAATGCGTTAAAAACTTCATGCTCAGCGTCAATTCTGGTATCGGCAAGCTGTGCCAACAGATCGCTTCGCTCAGCGGCTTCCACCGCATCAACCAAGATGAGGATGCCCAGGTAATAATGTAGCATGAGTTCGTACCAGTTCAATCTTTCCACTTGGCCGAGGAAAGGAAGTCTCCGTTCACAACCATTCAGGAGCGGACGAAAGCTAACCTTGAATATTCCCACAGCCTCGATGAATGCTGACCAGGCTTGGGCGACTTTTTCTTCTTCGTCTCCCTCCCTCAGTGCTTCTTTCAAGACGGCAATCATTTTCCAGACATACAACTTGCATGCTGCGGCGGCCGCAATGACCTCGGCCGCTATATCATCCGAGATGTCGAACGGATTCCGTCGTAGGTCTTCGGTCCGGGTATGAAATGACCCCGCACCCATCTTGAGAACACGCCAGGGCGATTCCGAACTCACGCCGTGGAGGCCAGACGAGAGAGAGGACCGGAAATTCAGAGTCAGGGACGCTGAGGTGTCAAAAGTCAAGGCTGCCCAGTATGCCCGGCTTTCCGAGCTCAAATAGCTGTGAGTGAGCTTGGACGGAGGCGCTGGGCTTTCAAGGGCGTCTGGTCCCGGTGATACTTTGGCACCGTTGAACTGGCAATTTCGTTGTCGTTCACGCAGTCTCTGCACCTGTTGTAGTGCCGTTTGAACGCATATTTGGCCTGTCAGTCCATCCATTTCTTCCTCTTCCGAAATTCCGGTCGGAATGGGAGTCAACCCAAAGAGGAACAATGTAAGGACGGAACGATACGATACGCGGTTGACCACCCTCAGCATATCCCGCCGCGACGTTCGCCATATGTCCCTGACGATATCGTCATGCGCGGGACCCACGCGGTCCGTAGACGGGATGAGATGCAGCCACCGAGCCGCAAACGATCGTATTGCATGTCGGAGAGACCGATCAATTTGGCGATCTCTCTCTTGCCTGTGGCCCGGTAATGAGACCGCACGGTCAAGATTTCGTGCTTCCCAATCTTCGCCGATGTACGCATCGAGTTCACTGAATAGTCGAGTCGGCCGAAAGATGATATCGCATTTCGGATCCACACTAGACGAGTCAACAATCTTTCCCTTCGCGGACGGTCGGTGATCTCGTACACAAACGGACAACAATGTCGGCCCATCCAGAAGCCAAAGATCATTTCAAAACAGCTTTCAAAGATTAGTTCGAGCCAATCACCTAACCCCGTCGTGACCGATTCAATGGGCGTTTGTATTGAGGTCGAGGGGGTGGAGTTGGTCGCAATGGCATATGATTCGGATGATTGGCGTCTGTGTCTCGGGTTTAGTGATGTTAGACTCGAAATGGTTCGGATCCGCTTACCGATTGCGCCCATAAGGAGGCTGAGACGCAGGTTCCGAATATGAGGAAGCCACGGCATCGTTTCCGACATGTACATTTTCCGGAGATGAAGACGAGACTTGAGAGTGACAGGCAGTGACGGAGAGAGCTCGAGTATTCCGACGACCTTTGGTTGGAGTTCTCTTTGCAGCGCTGATCCACTGATCAAGGAGCTGGAGTCAGCATCTCCACGCAAACAAATCTCGTACAACCTAGACATGATTGATGGCTGTAGAGAGAATCAGAACATACCTCGAACGTACATCGTCGTTTTCGACGAGTACATCGCGAACAAGATCCTGTCCAGCCTGGTTTACCCGCATCGTAACCAACCCTGGCAGCATCACAAGCAAGGCGTGAATGTCGACAGGCGTCGCAACTGGAAAACTGGGTCCTTCGAGGGCCGGCAGTGTCGTGCATTTTGGAACATTGGATGGCTCATCGATGGCCGGTGCAATCAATTATTTGATAAGACCGGGAAATCTTCTGTACAAGGTGGAGGAGGAAAAGATTTTAGGAAGATGGAGATATGGCCAGTCGTAGCTGTCAGCGTAGTCCTCTCAGACTAGGGCAAGCCCAGCATTTTGAACCACCCACTGAAGGGAGAGATGGATGTCGTAAGGGGAAGAGAATCATACGGACTAATTAGCGCATTCCGAGCGTATTTTCCCCGTTCTAGTTAAACACGCTAAAGGTTTCCCGTCGCGGGGTTGGAAGCGTGGGAGGAAGAAACGCGCAATGAATCCCAAAGCATCTCATTGCTCAGGGCCCGTGAAATGAACCACGAGCTAGCATTCCCCCCTGTATTCTTCCGCGTCTATAATTGTGGCTTATTCGTTCTCATTCGTTTTCCGAATGATGAATGATGAAATAAGCCCGGGGACGTTCGCATTGACCGTCTTTGGCCGGCCTCTTCATGAGAACAAAAGGAAACCATCTTTGCATCACAATTTGCAATCGCATCTACATTTTATATGACCGAGCGAATGCATTCAACTTGCCCATTTTACTCCAGATCGTCACTAAGAAATTGGAGCATCAGGTCCCACAAGCTGTCCACGACATTCTCCGAAGCCCAGTGCTCGGCCTTGGCCATCATCGCACCATGCTGAGAGAATGATCGAGTCGCCGTCCTCCAGATAGCCGAGCTCTACCTCCCCGTCCAGCTTCAAGGGCTGCCTAGCATGTTGAGTCGCCTCGAATAGACAACCCAGTTCTACCTTCTTCCCCGTCTCGTCTTTGCCGTCTCCTGACACTGTACCCGTTCCCATGAGGTCGCCGGTGCGAATGCCGCAATTCGCTGATGCGTGGTGTGCAAGCTGCTGGAAGGGTGTCCAATACAGATATCGCAGATTGCTGGTGCAAACCCTGTACCGCCGCCCGTTCCGTTCGAGATATGCGGCGAGTTTGATGTCGAATGTCCCGTTGTCGAAGTCGTTGTATCGGAGATGCTCCAGGGGATGGGTCTTGTGTTTCGGGGCGCATTGAAAAGCATGGAGGGCATCGAGAGTAATAATCCAAGGAGAAATGGTGGTGCCGAAGGATTTGGAGTTGAAAGGCCCCAAGGGCGGCATTTCAAAAATCTGGATATCTCGACTCGACCAGTCGTTCAGCAGCACAAATCCAAAGATATGATCCCGCGCATCGTCGACTTTGAGCGTTTCGCCGTATGGGACGGGCTTAGAGACGATGTATCCCATTTCCAGCTCGAAATCGACCAGTTGTGAAACTCCGTGCACAGGTTCCTTCGTCCCCGGCCTCCAGTAGACTCCCCGGGGTCGACGCACGAGAGAGGGAGATGGGATGACACTTGATGCTCGGCCATTGTACGCTGATGGGGCATGGAAAAAGTTATCTGGGATTTTGCCATCGCTCATAGGCGCGCACTGAATACCCGTGAGTGAAGTTGAAGTCTCGAGGGGACTGTGGCTTACATTTTGGCAATGTTCAAGAGAGCAGAAAAAGTCGGTATACCCGGGAATATCCACGGGTAGGTGCATTTTCACGCTTGTCAATTGATGGAGGCAGTCTGGGGTGAGATTCCCATTTTCCCACGCCGAAATGATTTGCTCCCTCACAGAGGTCCTGATCTTTGCTGGTAGAGCCGCGAAGGCGTTCAAAGTCGTCTTTCCACGAATTAGAGCCAGATTTCGACAAGTAGCGTGGACGTGTTGCGGCAGGCCTACCTGAGATAAAGCATCGGTCACCGAAGCCTCCTGGAAGAGTCCCGATATACTGAGAGCGTGAAGATCCAACGCATAATCCCCGATTGCACTTGCGCATCGCGGTGTGGGATTCTCCTTGGTCGAAATCACGCCAAATGGGATATTTTCCAGAGTAAACGGTGACCCGTCAGGTATCTGTGGTGGTAGAGAGGCCATTTTTGGTGTACCTGGAATGTCGAATCAGTCGCGTTGGGAACTCTGCTCTTATATTGTCGTCAAGTCCCAAATTCCCCGGATCTCATCCGACTTGAGACCTTGGTCCGAAATACACCACCCACTCGGGGAAAATGATCCAATCAGTAATTACTTGGACTCTTTCGGTTCCGAGCCTTGTACGACTTCTGAACCGATGGCAAGTAATGTTCTTCCCCCATGCCAATGGATGATCTTCCAGCAGCTTTATCGTTGTACAACGCCATTTCGTCTCTTGGATTTTGTACATCCATCCTGGTCGATGCCAGACGGACATTGAATGCCTGGATATTAACCCCGCATGACTACTTGTAGGTCCAGAATTCCCCAGATTCTAGTATATTAAACCGAAGGCAAGTTGTCTTGTCGATCGGAAGACACTGCTTCAGGTCCATCTCTTGTAGACCACTTGACGTGGAGCACCAAGATATCTTCGGCCTCTCCCAACATCAAACGAAGGCAAACATGGCTATGTTTCCAGACCCTCGACGGATTGTCACCGGTCACGATGAACAGGGTAATTCGATCATTCTAAAAGATAGTCAAATCCCCTGCGTGCCAACGGGGGTCAAGGCGAATTTCGCCGTGCTATGGGAGACGAGCCAATTTCCCGCCAGCAACAATGGCAGCGCGGATCCAATCGACCACAAAACACAGAGTCTGGCCAATGATAAAGGTGTTGTGCTGAGGGTGGTCGACATTCCAGCGAACACTGTGACGGTCCGTTCAAAGAGACCCGTGCTGGTGCCGATGACTGACGGGCATCATGTAGATGTTCCACCGAACAGTGTCGTTGGATTTTGGCATTCTTTTCGAGGGCGAGCTTGACTGGTGAGAAACACATATGGAATATCCATGGCGACATTCTGACGTCTCAGTCACCTTGACAACGGAGCTGTCATTCATATGAAACCCGGCGACGTTTGTGTCCAACGAGGTACCATTCATGGTTGGACAAATCCAAGTTCCAAACCGGCAAGGATATACTTCATCCTTATTGGTAAGGTTCCGATTACAACACTGTTGCTCTTCGGCTGACCTCACGATAGCTGCCGAACCTGTAAAGATCGGTGACAAAATCTTAGGCGATGCCGGATTCCATCACGAAGACGTGGCGTCAGGTGGGAAGTGAATTTCGTTCGGCGAAGAGGATAGTGCAAGACACTGGATGTTGCCCGACAAGGATCACTTTCATGACAGTCCACATCTCCGGGGCAGATGCAGTGTTAAGGTGCGACTAGGTGGAGCTGTTCCAAATCCACCTTCCAGCTGCAGTGCCCACTCTCAATGCATCGAGGTATTGCTAAATATTTCTTGAGGCCTGTCAAAGTTTCCTCCCACTCCATGTGTTTGTACCTCCGTAGGATCAACATTAAAAGCTCAAAGCGTTTGTCAGTCCAGTAGTTGGCCAGTAATTTACTGTAGATACTCCCGGCGGAACCATTGTGCCTACCACGTCTGATGACGCCTAAAGATAAACTTGCCCCGGTCAGGATCTTCAAATAACTTTTGCAGCAAGAAGAGCTTCTCCGATTGATGCTGCATCTGTTAAACATGGGGGGGACTGAAACGCTCAGACTGTGGAGAATCCACCATGGCAACTAGGATTCTCATACAGCAAGCGTGTTCGATGAGGGTAAGATCTGTGCATGTCATAAGTCGGACACGGTACTCGGCCTCCTCCATGTGGGCTGCGTTGACCACTCGAGAGTCGGAGAACAAGTTGATCTGTTCGATGTACTTTCTTTTCATCATGACCCGGTGGATCATCGTGATGGCAGGAACACTCAATCGAAAGTTCAATGCCAGGGCTCCAGAACTCATGGGGCAAAGACGTTATCACATCTCCAAGTTCAGCAATAGGTTGTCTGTAGTAGGGATGTGTTAGGTCCACATTGTCCAGGGGTGTCAGCAATGTCAGTTCTGTTCGGCCTGCTTGGACATGTACACCCAGACATTCTCTAAGTTATGAAGTTGGTTAGGTCACTGCTTTGTTCATGGAGTCTTGTTGAAAAATGGGCAGTGTCCCTTTACTTGGGAAAGGGTTATCACCCCTATGCAGGATAAAGGGGAGAGATGGAAGAAGAAAAGGGGTCAACCAAACATGTATAAATACCAGCAACCGGGCAGGACCAGTTGCAGATAGAGAGAGCATTCAATATACATCTCAATTTGAACCCCCAGTTTGACAGGGTGCCAATGTAAGATGCGACTAATTCAGAGATTATTCTGGTCCAGGGGGTGGATGTAGTTGATGAAGGTAGGGTTAAGTATTTCTAGTTGTTGATCTTCTGTTGTCTTTGTGTAGAGATGTCTTGGTGAATTTTATCCAAAGTTCAAAATTCCTGTCATACAAGACAGAAATTCCGCTCCGGATTCCAGCCTGCTATATCCCAGACCCTGACCGAGCTTTCATAATCCACATTCTCATTGGTGAAATTCTCCTGACTCGAGATATTTTCAAGTTGCTTCGGGCCGAGATGAAAAGCGCAGCGTGGTCGGAGGCCTGGCCAAGGGATATCACGTACAACCTAGTCAGTTCTTTGCCAGGGAATAAGCTACGGTCGTAAGGTCGCTGGGCCGCCTGGAAGCCAACCGTTGTCCATGTGCGCAAGCTCCGAAACTTAGATTTAACCTGAAAGGGTGCTAATCCGGTGCGGGAAATCGGTCATGTTACGGTTCACAGGTCGCTGCGTATATACATCTAGATATCAAATCATTTTGATCATGTCTTTCGTGCAGAGATCTGCCTCAAATGGGCTTCCCAATTCCATCTCGCTCGCAGAACTGCTAGTCCTCCACTTTGAGTCTCCACTGTTCGGCCCCGGCCTCGGTCATTGCTATCGTCGGGGGAAATAGGTTGACTAGACCAATCACTCGGTTTTGGGTTGAGGTGGTCATCAGCCCCAATTGGGAGAGTGGTACGCTCGCGGATCTCGGTCATCATCTCGTCGTCTGGTTCTCCAAACGTCCACCACATGCCAAAATGGCCATCAGAATCTCTCGTGGCTGAAGCAGCGTCTGAGTTGTGAGCAACCCATTTGTCATACGCCGCACAGCGGGCGAGATGGTACTCATAAACATCTCGGTCGAATTCTGCACGTTTGTCGGTGGTGGTGAATGCCTCTTCCTGCGGCCACAGAGGCCGACAAAACTCCGAGAGATGGTGAAAGAAGATACCTTTAAATGTTTGTCCATCTTGACTGCAATACCCGCTGTGGTCGCAGAACTCTTCCATCACTCCGGCCCGCCCCATACCGCTCCAGGCGTGTTCCGAGTTTGGCCACCCAGTCGCCCGTACAACACTTTCCACCAAGACATGGCCTTCATCGAGGTAACTTCTGGCTCCGGTGGCCAGCCAAAGGCCGCGGCTGGCGGACAGGATAACGCCTTGATTGTAGGTATACACCATAGGATTGAGTTCGTCGCAATTCTTGGTGCCTGGATTGATGGTTCCATTCGGATATTTATGCCACCCCGTGATATGGAAGCCGTCCTGGTAGAGGCCGGTTACAAAGTTCCGCATCTGACTCTCCATGAGCCATTTATAGCTCTTGATCGCATTTTCCAAATATGCCGGGTCATGAGGCTTGACGAATCCTTGTCCGCCTTGCGTCATATATGGTGAAGTATTGTTGTCGCCAGGAAAATAGAGATACATTCCAATGCTGGCGGCGGCAAAGAGTTCGTTGGTGATGGCGTTCTTGTACGGGGTCAAATATGGATTCCAGTTCATGCCCCCATGGCAAAGAGACTCATCCCAGCCAGCCGAGGCGAGATCGTAAAAGATACGAGCCCGGTGAGCGGCCATAGGGCTGAATTGTAATCCTTGCCAGCCACTTCCCGAAGAAGTCTGCCTCCCAGATTCGACAAAATCCCAATGTCTTAAAGAGTACATTTCTGCAAATTTCAGGTTCTCGAGCCAGCCGAGAACCACCCAGAGCATATCGTCGTAAGCTTGGTTTCGCACTGCGAACGCATTCTCGCCAAAGTAAAAGACAGACGTATGTGCATAGTATCGATCGATGGTATTTTGCCACGACAACATGTCGAAGCAGGTAGAGGTGGATGATGCATCAAGGGAAGAAACAATGCTGGCAAGAGTCGCCGACACATGCGTTCCCATGACCGCCGACGTCCAATCGATAGCGTCCGGCCATGTTCCAGTAAAAATGTCAAAATATGTATCTTGCATGACTTCTAGGGCATCCAACATGTCGCGCAGGATTGGTGGCATGCCGGATCTCCATGTTCCCGTCGCATTTCCGTCTTTTATGTTGGGTATCAACGTTTTCTGGTGGGCCGCCCCAGCCAAGGAGCCAGCCTGGTGGCCATACTGTGTTCTTTCGAATGTCCCGGCTTGCGAAAGCCAGGTGCCGTGGAGTAAAAGATGAACGAGGGTCAGAAAGCGCATCTTGGACAGGTGATGTCGACAATCATGATCGCTCGAAGCATTCCTCTCGAGAGGAGGGGAGATGATAGAGATATACAAGAATCAAAGCAAAACCGAATCCTCAATTCATTGATGCGAGGACGATGGGTCACAAGCTCAAAAAGCCCCTGTGATTATGTTCGTGGAAAGGGGAGGCGTACGAAGGAGGAAATGTCGCGTATCCAGGTCAGCCAATAATCCAAGAGAGAGTGTGTTTCCCCAGGGTGTGACGGTGGGGGAAGAAAGATGACCAGTTGAGATCTGAGAACTGCGAAGGTGGGTGGGAAATTTCAGCCCAGAGCCTGGCAGTGCGAGGGGCGAGGTAACCGATTCACGAAGCCACTATCGATACCAAGTCCAGGTGACATGTGCCCGCTGTTGAGCTGCGGGGCCGAGTCCCCAACTGCACTTTCTCGGTCACCTTTTCTCCTTTGATATCTGTTTCATTGGAATGAAAAGCGCACGTCGAGGAGCTGTTCTACTTATGAATATCCAGCATCGCCTCCATCACTTTCACACTGGCACACGCACCAAGGTTTGTGTCGAAGAGCGCCCCTACGCGGTTCCGCCGAGCCGTTCAACCCACTCGTCGCGTTGACCAGGTTCAAAGAACCTTGAGCTATTCCTACAATTTTTCCAAGCTATATCCTCTGTGTTCAGCTCGCGATTTCGTCGACCTAAGAAACGGACCAGTCCTAGGGGTCGATTTCTACCAGAAACATGGGCTTTTTGCGTGGATAATCGGATTGTTCCGGAAATTAAAAGCAAAAATACGTTGTCAGATGGGTCCGCAACGTAGCGGCCAAAGAAATTTCTGCAGAGAATCATCAGTCAGGTCTGCCATGCGGGGATTCCGCGCTCGTGATCAAAGGCATAATTCCATTTCTTCCAAAGTTTTCTCCTTGGGGGTACTGCCTCTGAGTTTGGTCAAGAGCTTGTATCCTTGATTTGCCTTAGATTGTACACAATCTTGAGGATCAAATTTCTCCACGCGCTCGCAATTTTGAGCTCAAGGGCCGCTGACAAACCCGGATAGTTGCTCTGCAGGCAACACATCCCGTTGGTATGACTTTCTTGGCGGTGCTCTGTGTCCAACTCAGCAAGAACAGCCTGCTATGATACGGTATTGATTCGGTCAACGTTTTACTGTGGTATCAAGGGTCATTTTCGTCGGTGGAGTAAGCAACACGTGATTCGGTCCAATGTTGCTCCGGGGGTCATCTAGCTAAACTTTACTAACGCGATCCCCAAAGCTTTAACCAAACACCACCTATACTTTCAGGCTGACTTAGGCTACTGGCGCCCGGAGTCGCAAACCGATAGTCACGTGCATCAACCCCCGCCGACGAAAATTTCCCTTGATACCACCGTACTGTCCAGCCTCTGACTGGCAGGCATTCCGACTCCTTCTCCGGCATGCCTAGGATCTGCACAACTCTTTATCACCAAAATGATCGTCAAAATCATACCAGGATGCGATAAGGCGTAATCCCCACACTGATGCCATCTACTAACCGGTATCGGAAGCCCAAAAAGATCATCCCAGCGACTGGAGCCTCTAACGTTAACAGAGCTTCCAAGCATGTCCAGGAACTTCTTGGGGGTGGAGTAGTTCCCGCTTGCCTAGCTCCCGGCCTTGGAACAAGCAAGTTCCTGCAGAAGCTTGAACGCTCTTAGGCCTCTCGATCCGGAAAGGAGAGCTGCTGGTTGGTTCAAACCTTTGCAGCTTGATAAGCTCTGGCCTTGTACCTGACATCTCTTTTCTCCAATGACGCATTCTAAGGCCGGCCCTGCTCGAAATGTGGTCAGTATATTTATTTGGAGGGCCACCCCGAGAGTAGCATGGTCAAGTGAGATCCTCTTCAGGCGTTCCTTTTCGCCATGCAGTTCTCTGTCGTGCAGCTTTTTGCGCTGCTCTCTCTGAGCGCTCATACACTTGCTTTCAACAAGAGAGCAATCAACGCTTTCAAACGACCTCACGACGTGTGGTCGCAGGTTCTCCATGAGCGAGCGCCAGTACCGCCAGCTCATCAAGCTCATCCGATTCAAAAAGAACGACGTGTTCCCCCTCCCAAGTCCTCTCGGAAACAAAAGCGAGCCTCACCGTACCTGAATGCAAACACCGAAAAGTTCGTGGTCGACGGCACGGCTATTCCGGACGTCAATTTCGATATTGGAGAGTCATATGCAGGACTCCTACCAATTTCAGACGATCCCAATGAAACTCGACAGCTCTTTTTCTGGTTCTTCCCCAGCTCCAATCCCGCCGCGGCGAACGAAGTGACCATTTGGTTCAACGGTGGCCCGGGATGCAGTTCGTTGAGTGGCCTTCTCACCGAGAATGGACCATTTTTGTGGCAAGCTGGCACTCTCGCTCCCACGCCAAATACCTACAGTTGGTCAAACTTGACCAATATGCTATGGGTAGAGCAACCTATAGGCGTAGGATACACACAGGGTGTTCCCAACATCACCAATGAAGTTGAGCTCGGTCTGGAATTCATTGGCTTCTATAAGCAATTCGTGGACGCCTTTGGTCTGCAGAACCGAAAAGTTTATCTCACCGGTCAGTGCCGAACAGGTTCTCCCTTGTTGGACGTATGACTGACCAATTTCTCACTTGCAGGAGAATCATATGCCGGGTATTACGTGCCCTACATCGCGGATGCTTTCATCACGGCCGACGACACGGAGTATTACAACCTGGCAGGCGTAGGGATCAATGACCCCATTGTCGGAGACGAAACAATTCAACAACAAGTGGTGATATCCCCCTTCGTGGACTATTGGAGCCATCTATTTTATCTCAATGCATCTTTGACCGCCGCCATGCACGATCTTCACGATTACTGTAACTACAGCTCCTATTGGGACCTCTTCTTCACATTTCCGCCACCGTCGGAACCGTTCCCTGTGCTCCCAGATCCTTTCACGAGCGACGACTCTACCTGTGACATCATTGACCTTGTGTATGCAGCGGCTCTCGAAGTCAACCCATGCTTCAACATCTATCACATTACCGATACCTGCCCCTTCGTCTATGGACACCTCGGCATCGTCAACTCAGGTGACTATCTGCCACCCGGAGCGAACGTCTACTTCAATCGCACCGACGTTCAAGCAGCAATCAATGCGCCAGTGGGTACCAACTGGATGCAGTGCACAGATATCAACGTGTTTGGAAATGGAGACAACGATAACGAGACCCTCCAAGACATGTCTCTTGCTCCGGCGCAAAACGAGGTATTGCAAAGAGTCATCGAGTACACGAACAACACTATGATTGGCGTTGGAAATCTCGATTTCTTACTTGTTCCCAACGGCACACTATTTGCGCTGCAGAATGTCACCGTATGTCTTACTTCACCGCATCTGCAACATCTTCCCGCGCCCCTCCCTGGATACATTACTGACCTCTTTCTGCTGCAGTGGAACAACGCGAAAGGCTTCCAATCCTACCCGCAAGGCGAGCCGTTCTACGTTCCCTATCACCCCGAAACGAACCTCGGACGTGCCTCTGAGGCAGGCATCGTCGGGTACTGGGGCACCGAGCGCGGACTGACGTTCTACACTGTCCAGCTTTCCGGTCATGAACTCCCCGGCTATGCAGCTGGTAGTGGGTATCGCATGCTCGAAGTGCTTTTGGGGCGTGTACCGAATCTGAGCACCAGAGGCGACTTCACGACGCAGACGGGAAATTTCACAGGCTAATTAATCCAGAGGAGGGTCTAATGAGGAAAGGGTCAGAGCGTGGGGCAGGGGGCAATGAGGATGTCAGAGGCCATGGTATGAAATTAATTAAAAGGAACGACGAAACTGATGTTTGGTTTTCCAAATCATCAAATGATGAGAGATGGATTAATGCGAAGAAATGGCCTTATCCCACTATCCGAATACTAGTTGTATATCCATCCATCTCCTAGCATTGTCATCCCATTTCCTAGCTTGTGAAGAAGGCTAAGATTCAGAAGCTTTGATAGCCAATCAGATGCACCGCGGATTTCATCTCGCCTTGTCAGCCACGTGGTGTAACATGTACGGAGCCCTTCAGTGGAGTCACCGAGATCGACGTCAGGAGAAGAGTGTTATGGAACTTGCTAGGGGCTTAATTTAGCGGTGAAATCGGCATCAGAAGCAGAAGGCGTCATTGTTCAAGTGGTGAATGGCTTTATTTGGCGCGGGCAACAAAGTGGAAAAAGGATGGCTGCGAATAAGCGGAAGCGGCCAACCTGGGGAGAGGAAGAAAGAATACACCACTCGAGTAATTCGAACGAACGAACGAATGGATGGATGGATGGATGGATGTGTGCTGGTCTAGTTTCTTCCGGAAAAGCGTTCGATGATGATACCTCTGTCTCCGATGTCTGCCTGAGTTTCGAAATCGACAAGAGTCGAAGGGTCGGTAGGATCCTTGTTCAATGGTAGAAGTTGTCCAAGGGAGCCTCATGCTTGATCTCCTCCCATATGTCGTCGATGCCATTGCAAGCCTTCTCGCTCAATTTGCCCTTCTTGATGCCCTGGAGGGTCTGCTCTAATTGCTTGTGACTACTCGCGCCGATGATGATTCCGTCACCATACTCCTTCCCCAGCGGCGAGTTGTATGTAACCCATCGATATGCAAGTTCGGCAGGGGAACAGCCTTCTTCGTTGGCGATCTTTTCCCATTTGGCCAGGGCGTCGAGGTAAGTGGGCCTCATGTACAATCGTCGGTACAAACCGCCAAGGGCCTCTTCGGAAAATCGTCCTGCTCCCTCTTTGACTTGCTGTGCGGTCTTGGTCAAGAAGCCACCGGCCAAAGGACTGTAGGCATAAAAGGCCATGTTGAGTTTGCGGAGGGTCGGGAAGAGAAGCGTCTCTTGGAGTCGTGCCACGGGGCTGTAATTGCCTTGATACACGGTGGGGAGGACATAGCCTTTCGCTTTGCAGTGATCGTAGACTTTCTGGACGTCTGCGGCGGAATAGTTGGAGAGGCCAAAGCGCTTGAAGACACCAGCCTTGTACACTTCGTTGACGCCGTCAAGAGTCTCTTCGAGGGGTGTTTGGACATCGGGAGAATGGAGGTAGAAAATGTCGACCTGATCGGCAGAGAGTTAGTGTGTGCTTGGGGGAGGAACATGATTGGCGTGGTAGGCAGTGCCCCCTTCGGGCGTCGAGGAGTTTCTTGCTCGCCATTTGTGCCTCTGATATCTTTTCAAGACGCCAATTGAGACGAAAACGAGTAATGAGACGTGTATCCATACCGGCTTCACGCCCAATTTCTTGACACTGTCCCTCGCCGAATTGATGATGTTCTCTTTGGTGGCCGAGCCGGGAACCCATCCCGCAACCCACTTTGTATCGATGGTAAACTGCTCCCCCGCCTTGACTTCACCCAGACGCTGTTCTGATTTACCATACAGCTGAGCGGAATCGAGGATCTTGACATCGTGAGCCTTCAAGGTCGAGAAGAGGACATGGAGATCTTCCTCAGTAATGTATGGATCACTGTTGCCAATGCGGGCGGCACCGAAGATGACGGTCAGAGGTTCCGTCGCCATTGTAGGAATATTGGTCAAGCTTCTCGCAGAGGTTCGAAATGAAGATTGAGTGATGTCAACGACGTTTGAGAAGGGTATTTTAAAGACGCTCCCCTTTGGATCTTGGATTAATAATGATTCCTGGCGTGGGAACAACGGCCGAGGTTGGGGTATGTGGGAAGAGAAAAGTCCTGAAGTGGATAGTCACACCTCTAACCGAGAAGAAGATTGTGCAGTCTCTTAGTAACAGGTCGACAGATAAATGAAATGATATAGAAGAAGATTCACCGGCGGGTTTGTGCTTTTGCTTGTGGTATCTCCGCCTCGGAAATATCCCAGGAGTTACCAGTAAAGGCGCCATCATAGGACGCTAGGAGATATACTTTATGTCCCCGAGCTTCGATGTCGAGGCACCGTCAATTTTGCTAACAACCGTGTTGATCATGGTGCCAATGGGATTTGTCATCACGACATTTGATGGCAGAAGCCTATTTTACGGGCACGAAGAGGTTGCTGGATCTAGAGACCCCGGTCGAGATCGTACAGTATCTCGCCACTCGAGTGACAAGTAGGCCACGGTCCTTTACCTGGTATCCATCTGGGATGGGCGACTGGGAGAAGGGTTGTGGATGGCAGCTGGCGATGACCATTCGTCCGGCTTTCATCCGAGCGCCTGGACCAAAGCCATCTGGGTATTAGGCTGACACTATCATCGTTTGTTCCTGGCCATTGGGCCTGCAAGGCGTCTCAAAATACGATCAAGGGAAATGGTTTTGATGGTGGAAGTCGGACATGGCCCCGGTGAGCCCGAGGAACGTGTCCAATGCTTTGAGCCGCGCTCTGCGGTTCGAACCGAACACCTTGGGTATTTTGTTTCCACATTGGATTTCCTTCGGCGCGCCTTGCGATTCGTTTGCGTTTCAGCAATTCTCTCAACGCGTATACAAGGCACCTTACCGGAGACAAGTGAGGATATCGCCCGAGATGATTTCAGGATCTTTGCTAGTTTAAGGGATGCTGGTGAGACCTGTGACCGAACAAGCGGCTTGAGACTGACACGAGAATTCCTCCTCGAGTCAGTCTTGGAGAATCTTTGGTGTAAGCGCTACAGTGGCGGTTGTAACAGTAGCTTATAAATCGGCCATAGAAGGGGGTGAGAGTGATGGGGTGACAACGATCAAAATGCACATTCATAATTTCTCCTGCATTTCGTTCCATCGCGGGCATTACGGCCATTAGTCCACTCGGGCAAGGAGTTGGCCTTGATGCCAAACAGTCACCTGGAAGAACAATGAAGGGGAAAGAGGTTGTGATTCAACAAGGTCAGAAGCCAATGACCAATGGGTGATCAAGCCTGAAAACGGACATATAAAGTAAATCCACCAGAATCTGAAATTCGGAGTTTCCGAGTCCTCCGTCTCTTATCCTGCATAGGTCCTCGCCATGCCGCGAAGTCGTGATCATAAACAAAAGGCCAAACAATGCGGAAACTGAACTGTGGGCCACAGGAGACGTGAATGAAGATCCCAAAGCCTTTGCAATGCTGCCATATTTTCTCGATACCCGGAGAGAAAGATCTGAAGTGTGAGGGTGATTTTGGTCGTGTCTAGAAAGGAAATTCGTGACCAATTGAGTGCATAGTCGTTAAAGACGTCGATGACAGAGAGTGAGGACGGTTTTATTCTGCACGGAGGCTGTGGTCTTTCTCGGCACAGTCATCGAAAAGCGGAGGTGCGCTGTCGTCTCAATCCGTGGCTGCATATACTCGAAGTCGAGCGGGACCGACCGGCATTGACGGAATAGTATTAAGCTTGCATTTGTCTGATGCATCACTTGAAATGCCGTGAAATCGAGTCAGATCAGCGCCGTGCGGCATGGATTCTGAGCCTGGTTGCTCGCTGGGGGGGGGAGGTCCAAAGGGCACGACCAAACTCCTATTCTCCCGCAACCATGTCCCTGACAGTGTCCGCGTCGGTCTGTTACTGCTTGGAAGAAGCGTCCCCCCCTCAACATCGCTTACTGGCATCATATTGTCAGAATGCGTATCCGAATCTGGCATCGATAAACTTCTGCGATGGAAAGTGTCTCGGAGGAAGGTCTCAAAGCTCGGTAGCGTGCACAACTTCGTCGTGTCCGGTGCTGGGAGGATGGGGTCTTCTGGGAGAGCGCTTTCATTCTCCTTTTGCGATGGAGATCTGCCTTCGGCTGGGACAGGAGGCGGTGACATAATTCCACTTTCTTCCGACATGTCATCGTCGAATTCCCCTGCTCGATGACCTTTCCGGCCGACTGTCATATGATGGTAATGGAGGCGACATGCTAGCTCGGACTTTTCCAATCGGCTGGCGATGTGTTTGTAGGGTAGCTTTTGGTTTCGACTCCGGAATAGGAAAGATTCCTGTTCGTTCGTTAGTAACTCCCACGAGAGGATGATGGCTGTCGCGGACCTCTTCATCAGTCCAACAGCGGATCAGCTTTCCCTGTCGAATTTTGTCTCTTCTTGAGGGGTTCGGGGTCTTCTGAATTCTTCGGCTTCGTGAGACTGATCCCACGGAAGGCACCGGGAGGGTAGGCGTTGCCATGGCACATTCCATTCGAATATCGGTGGAGGGAATGAGACGAAGGGTGTTCTTCTGAAGGCAACTTCAGCCTTGTGATTGGAAAATAGACTGAACAGAAAAGCACAAAGGCTTGAGAAATCTCGTAGAGTTCAATCCGAATCATCAAGCACGATGCGGCTCGATTGATCTGACATTGTCGTTCTCTTTGCCACTCTACGAATATATAAAATGACAATGGACAATCTCTCAAGGCCTTTCTGCCTCGTTGAGACGCGCAGGCAGATTTGATGTCGGCTTCGCAACTGTTCGACCTTAATGAGGCCTTTGCTGTGCAGAAATTATTGGCTTGGTGACCGTAGGTGTTGAATCTTCGATGGCTGTGAGGGAGAGGGGGGGGGTGGAATAGCCGCTGGTACCAGCTGCAAGTGGCTTGCATTAGAGGTTTAGGGCAGTTAGGCTTTTCCGGCAGACGGATAGCAAGCGTAGCAGAGGCAAGACAGAGTATAGGTTACTATAGCATGGCGATCATGCAGCCGAATCCCTGAATGGACTGCAACCGCTGCCCGAAATGGCCTTCATGCAATCGGGGCACTCGCAGATGGACAGAACAACCACAGCAGACGTGGCGTGAACATAGGGATTCAACAAGGTCGTTTGAAAACAAACATGGGCTGGGATTCCATTGCAAGGTTGCTATCACTCACGGGCCTTTGGATGAATGGCAGTCCTCGCCTTGACGATATCGTCGACATGTGAAAATCCCCGAAGTGGAGGACCGAGCAGTCGTTTAACTGAACGATGCTGTGCTGTTCTCTGCCTTAGGGCCTGGGTGGACAAAATCGTAAAGGGGATGGACGAATCGTAAAGGGAGTGGATGTGGTCCAACAAGCGCCAAAAGCCTTTCGGCGGCTAATTCTGAACGACGAAGCCACACGGCAAAGGCCAAGTCGACAGGGAAACAATGAACCAACCTTTGAAGTGCTGGAACCTTTTTCAGAATTGGATTAACAGTGCCGCCGGCCGTCGATGGTGGCTCATTTATGCAAGCATGGATCCGCAGGAATTCACTCAAGGACCCTTCAGGATCCGGAGCGCGCCCTGCAGCATGGGCTGCTACGTTCTCCGCAATCTCTGTGCCGCAAAGGTATACAGCCATTGAGCTTGAAAGGTGAGAAGCGAGAGGTGGAGGTCTCCTGGAATCCTGGACCGTGTAGCTTCTTCTCCAGAAGCACTTGTATGGTTCTTCTCCATCATTCGCGGCAAGGTGACATTGGGCAGTACTTACAGCCGATCCTTTTCTTGTATTCTCTCCAGAACTCGAAAGAATTAAGAGCATGCTCTGCTGCATCTCAGAGCCAATGCTTCATCCGTCCTCATGTATACGATGTCGTGTTCAGAGGCGTGTATCCCTCAGCAAAGAGTCTGTCGGTGAAAGACGCGTCGAGACGTGACAGACCTCGCTTAACATCAAAAAGTACTATCAACTGATTCGCCTGCCCCCGGGGTGGCCAGGTTGGGGGCGAGAATCGTTCAGACCAGCCACCATTTCGCCGCGTCCAATATCCCCGAGTGACGGGCGAGTTTCAGACACACCGCCCGTGGGGCTTAATGAGGCTAACAGCGAAGGATGATGCCCGATTCCTCTGTCCTTGGGTTACGCCAAACCTAAATGAGAAGCTGTACGTTGGGTCAAGAAACGGCCGTCAACTTTCCATCACTGACACCACAGAAGAAATTTTCATTTCATGCCACAACACACAGTACTGTCTAACGCAGTGCTCACTCATCTGTTCTCCCAGGCTGGCTTCAAATTCCGCCTATGAGAGAATAGAGACATCAAACAAGTCGCAGGCGTCTTCGGGGCTGCTTGGTCTTTGGTAGAACAGCACTGTTAGCTTTGCCATATTATGGTAGAAATCGACCATGTTTTACCATCTAGGCTCTGAACAGGACGCTCTGATGATGAACAACGATTTATCCTCTTAAAGGTCATCGAAGCTGCACGTCTCCAAATGGTCTTGATCTCCCCATTCACCAACGGTTTTGCCATATGTTGTCTGAAGCTTCGTCTTGCAGAGACGACACATAGTCGTTTCATATGTCGAGAATGTTCCTCATCCCAGGTCAAAAGTCCGCCTTGAACTCTGTCCGGCCTTTGGAAATCAGCCGCAAATTCTATCACTACACCCCTGCACGTCTGATTCCTTCTCAAACACTATGGACCCAATAGTGTGGAGGGTTATGGCGTCCCAGACCGGCTGCAACCAGTGCTTGTCCCATTCGGGCGCTTCTCGTTTCAGAAAATTCCTCCTTGCATTGGCCACATGACCTCAAATCTTTCGTCCTTTGAGATGACCGACAGAGAACCGGAGATCGTACAAAATGGCAACGACGTGGACTTCACGATCTCGCTCTGGAATCACTGTGTCTGCAACGATGAAACCCCAAAGGAAGGATCGGGGGATATGATTGAATGTGTTGTCGGTTGAGTATTCGCGCGCAAAATCTATAGCCTTAGCGACGAGAGGGAGATCGGGAACCGTGACACCAGCAACGACCTTTTGTGGCAAGGTCATGAAGGATGGAATGTGGATGACAGCCTGTCTACAAGATCACCAACTAAGTCTTCAGATATTCTGATGCCTCGACGCTGAGTTCTCTGTATCTCATGTGAGATATGCAAAGGATGCTAGGAAAGATGGGTGCTCCTGAAGCCCAAGAATCCATCAGGTTGTCCTGTCATTGCCAGCAACAGCAAGACTGGCACCGATAAAGGTAGGTCTCCGAACTAGCCTAGAAGCCGTCCTCATTGGTAATGAAAGGTAGGGTCTGCCCCGCTGACAGTGGGCCAAGTCAGAGCATGAAGGAGAGGTACACAGCCTGCGTTTTTCTCCTATCATTCTCGATCTTGTCTCCGATAGCGTTCACATACAAGTAGCACTTTCTGCTCTGAAGGCATTGATGCTTGGAGGCAATTCTTTGAGGATAATCACACACGTGTCCGCCTCTTTCTGTATCTCACCCTGGAGAACAATTCTCCGGACGATGTTTCTAATCTTCTTGCGAAGAGAATACGTCCGTCAGCGCGTGCCATGGCCTATGGTCGACGCCCGGTTCCCTTGCGTCTCTCCAGCTGAATATTCCTTTGTAGGGACTGCGCCAGGGTTGTGTGGGCAGCTTGCCAATAACCACCTTGTTGGCCGCCGTATTTTATCACTCGATTGAAAGATTTGATGTCGGGAATCGAATTTCCGTCTGCTAACTTAGCGCCTCAAAAATTTCACCTTTTGCCGACCAAGCTAAATAAGTCTCCGGGGAAATTGTATACGGGGAGATCTCTTGCTCCTACAATACTAACGACCCAGAGCTGACAAAATTCTGGGGAAATTGACTTCGGTCGGAAGAATTCGATCTCACCTTTGTGACCTGGTGTGAGGCGCCTAACTGACGAAGAGCAGAACATAACCGGCAAAGAGTAGCAAGGAGGCAAAATGCCGGATATGAGGGATGTTTGCTCTCTTTTGAGGTCAATCAGCATAGGAATAGAAGGATTCGATATGAAAGATCAAAGCAATGCGATGCAGACATGTTATCTAAAGCGCCTTGGTTGTCAAGGGGGGTGATATGTGCCTTCGTACCTACCGGAATCTTAAAACGGCAGCTCTGAAACAGGCAATGCAAGGGGCGGCAGGTTCCGTTCGGGCTGCGCAATTCCACCTACGGGCCACGTCGACATTGGATCTGGCTTCGAATTCCCGATATTTGAATTTTGGTTGCCTGGAACTCCTCGCTGTGCAACAGACGCTTTTTTCATTGCTTAGTTTGCTGCATCTCCTCAATTCCACCACTGCTCGTCCTTGCGACATCCAACCCCTCAAACCGCCGGGCCATGTCTATCCAGCGACGATGAACTTGAACATTTTCCGCATCCTGGGCGACGTGTCCCACACTGCCTCCAAATGCATTCTCATATGGGCCATCCATTCTAATAAAAGTGCTGAAGGTGAGAAAGCGCAAGAGAGCGGTGATCTGATCCTCGGCCTTTCAGTTCCTAACATCGGCATGCTACAGGTGTATCCCTTTTAACCCAGATCCTCTACATCGCCGTCTTCCTCACGCGGTACCTAGATCTCTTCTGGGTGCCCCCTTCAGCATCATGGTGGAACTTTACACTCAAGAACTTCTATATCTGGTCCTCGATCTACATTATCATATTGATGACGAGGGTCTACGCCAGAACACGCGAGCGAGAAAAAGCTTGGAAATGGGGAGCGTACGCCGCTGGTGCATCGCTCATCGCTGCCCCTCTAGTATCTCTCATCTTCAACGGCTGGTATCGCTCGACCTTGACCGAAGTCCTATGGACTTTCTCCATCATCCTCGAATCCATCTGCGTTCTTCCACAACTGCTACTCCTCCGCCAAACGAGCGTGCCCACCGTGATTGACTCCTTTTACTTGATCACGCTGGGTTCCTACCGAGCATTCTATCTTCTCAACTGGATCTACCGAGCATTCACACCATCGAAGCCCGACCCCATTTCCGTCATCTTCGGCATCATTCAAACTGCCTTCTATCTCGATTTCGCCTGGATGTATTGGACGAGACAGCGAGTCAAGTTGAGGAGAGGAGGCATTGTCGATGCAGACGATCTGAGAAAGGGCTGGCTTGTCAACAGGGTCATCAACCACACGAGACAACCATCCGACGAAGATCCTGAGCCTGGCAACTCAACGGAGAGTGGACAACCTCAACAACCAAAGGTCAATCGATGGGGACCAAGGGGCATATCAATATCAGCAGATGATACCCTACATGAGCATGACAGGGGGAAGAAAGCATCAAATAACGGAAATACGGAAGCAGATCCAATGTTGGATGACGATACATTTGTCACGGACGATGAAGACGATGTCCCTCATTTGGACGGGCCTGGAAAGAAGGTGCTCAACAGTGATCAAGAATGGCGGGATAGTTCATCATCCAACAAATGATTCCAATGCATATTGTGTATTGCACTTTTGGTTTTGGTTGTCTTTGGAGCGCATGGATTACAAACCATGGCGTCGGCTGGGCTACGAGCTGTGAATATGATATCTTACCTAGCACGAAATATCTTGATATTTTCCTCTTCCCAAATATGCGACCGTCAGCTTCGTCTTCAGAATGGTCACGCCAGCCAATCACGTCAACACCGTTGAGAGGACTAGGAAGTACAGGATTGTTGCGTTATGTTATTTCGATCTATAGGTCACGAGGTCCCGGATATTGGGCCGCGCGAGGCTTTCTTCAACCCCATTGGCAAGGGCACAGGAAATGCTGCTCGGGTTCCGCGGCAACCACGCTTTCCACCTGGAGCTTAAACTCCCAGCAGCGTGACTGCCATTACTAGCGGAAGGACAAGAGCGAGTATCAGAGTTATCCAGAAAGCGTAGGAGGTTGTCCCATCATCCTTGCCTCAAGAAGAAGGTGGAAGCACCGACTTGGCCACGCTGAAGTCAAGAAGGACTTCTGTTAGGATGCTGTTGAGCTCCAAGAAGGCCAATTATTAGTGCTTTTGTCGTAATGCTTCGATTAGTAGAGTGATTATCGGCAAGCCGGTGTAGTCGACGAACAGAACGGAGGGATGAGCACCGCCTCGCCAGAGAAGGAAAAACGGCGTGGTATTTCTATCGAGCACATCAAGTCGACCCCGCAAAAGCTGGTAGATGGCCATAAAGACCGTGCCAAGCCAGGGAACAGGTTCTAGAGCGACTGGTACAGGAGTAAGGCTGAGAACCGCTGCCAGTGTCAGTACAGTGATCCCAAGGACAGTCAGGATGATTAGCTGTGACTCAGTAGGAGCATATCCTCAAGGCAGGGTCTTATAGGTTTGTAAGCACCTTTCTTTGTTTTCCGTTTCCTTGGAGTAGATATTCGCCAAATGGAGTTATTCCCCAGAGCAAATCGTTCGCGTGAAGTCGTTTGCAGCCATCTCCTGCTTGGTCGAATCAACGTCAACGTCATTCATATGCTCCAGAACATTACCATCCGCCATTACCGAAAGTAGTTCCGCAAGTCCACGCGGACTTTTCGAAGGTCTGATGGTTGTTGTCGCAGGAGGATTCGCGATGTGGTAATACAACGGGCAATCAGGACAAATGTGGCTGTCGGCAGTCTTGACCAAAACCGGGTCGGCGATTACGCGGATAATCGAAAGACAATCTTCACAATAGACGCACTCGGCAGCGGAGGTATAACAACCAAGGCGAGAATCGTAGCCAGACAAGATACCCACATCTTGGGCCCTGCTTTGATGGGATGTCGAGGATATCAGACATAGCCGAGAGGATCACGGAACAGTGCACCATTCCCTCCGAGACCTTGTTCTCCAGTAAGGTCGTAAATGATGCAAGACGCCCGACTTGATGATCGGTTGTTACTACATGAATGCCATAGAGAACGACAATAGTCGGCGGAAGACAACGCCAATAAAAGCCATTGCGCCGTGGTATCCTTGTCAAAGACATTGACGTGGAACTCCGGCTGCTCTTTGGTGGCCGCGAATTGGACCCGGTCCGATTCCCGCGGAGAATCTTTCAGCGAGAGGCTTAAATTCACCTGTCTTCCTATTGTTTGAGGAAGATCGGTGGCATCAGTGCTGAAGCGTGTTGATGAGAATTGAATGTCAAGCTTCAATGCCCCAAGCCTTGTGGTACGGTGATGATCAGGCGTTGAAGGTGACTCAGGCGACTTGTGTGCTTCTAATGATACTCCCAGGCGCGAAGAGCGAGGTGCAACCATTGAGGGTTGTAAAGGCAAGGGGCGAGGCTGGAGGTCTAGCTCTTGACCGAGTGGGCACACCGATAGTATAAGTGACCACTTACTACTCAGTACTCTGTAACCTGTGCCCAAGTCCAAATCACTTGCATTATCGTGCAAAGAGTTGCAGATTCCAACATATCGGATACGGTAATGCCTAAAGACGTCGCGTGGTCTAGTAGTGAGTCCGACAAGGATTGTCTGCGTGCAGGACATTGGAGGTTTCAGCGCCGTCCCCGGTTTCCCAGCAGCATGCCAGCTTCGACTGATGATGGATACTCCAAATGTAATTTGCCTGGTTCAATAGTACAGTAGAAGAAAGGTTGGCGAAACGCGCTAATTTCAGCGAGCTTTACTGCGGAAGAGAGTGAGCACAGGGCGGCATGACCTTGTGTCAAAAATGGATTTGCCTCGCCTTGGCACTTTTTGTCTGTTTGGATTGGTCAAACATGAACCATTGAATCACTGCATCCTCCGAACTCCACTCATCCACCATTAGGCGCCAATGTACCTAGCATTCACTTAAACAAATCATCCTGCTTCTATGAAATGCGGCAGCCAGCGTTGCCCAAGCACATCCTTAACTTCCAGCCGCACCGATCCCACACCTTAGGGTTCTTCACCAAGCAAAACCGAACAATGGCCACCCAGCCACCAGCACGTCTCGACATCACGACTACGTACCGGATGAATTCAGGATATCATATCCCGGCCCTTGGCTATGGCGTATATCAAACCCCCGCTGCCTCCTGCGAAGAAGTCGTCCTTCACGCCTTCCGGACTGGCTATCGACATGTCGATTCAGCACGAGCGTACCGCAATGAGCAACCATGTGCTGACGCAATTCGTTCCTCTGGCCTGAAGCGAGAAGAAATCTTCTTCACAAGCAAAATTCCACCACGGAGTATGGGTTACGAAGAGGCAAAGAAATCTATTGAGTCATCATTCATCCAGACTGGACTGGACTACATCGACCTATACCTGATCCACTCTCCCTACGGCGGCAAAGAAGCCAGGTATGGCACATGGAAAGCTCTTGCCGAAGCCCAAAAGGCTGGAAAGATCCGCTCTCTCGGCGTGTCTAACTATGGTGTTCACCATCTCGACGAGTTAGAAGAGTACATCATATCCTCTAGCGTTGGCGGCACTATTGACGTCGGTCAATGGGAAATCCACCCTTGGCTCCCGCGAAACGACATTGTGCAATGGGCCCGCAAAAGAAACGTGGTTGTCGAAGCGTACTGTCCCATAGTCCGCGGCGAGCGCTCGAATGAAAAGGCCCTGAAATTCCTGAGTCAAAAACATGGGAAAACCTGGGCGCAAATCTTGCTTCGATGGAGTCTACAAAAGGGATATGTACCATTACCAAAGAGTGTGACTCCCAAAAGGATTGAGGAAAATGCCGCTATCTACGACTTTGAACTCGATGATGAAGACATGCAGAGCCTCAATTTCCCCGATTCGTATGCCCCGTGCAGCTGGGATCCGACTACGAGCCACGACTAGAGTCGTTCAGCTACATATCGTAGTTCATTAAATCATGCACGAAAATATCAATTGCAATACCAGCTCCCAATATACCAGATCCCAAGTGCTGATTGCAGCGGTGTTCTGGTTAATAACTACAACCACGACTGCGCAGTTCCCGTCAGGACAGCGCTCGTGATGAGAGGGAAAGACTGATTACTTCCGCAGCAGTGACGGCAAAGATCTTATGCCGCTTCGCATTGGCAGCCGTGGAGCACAGTACTGCAGGTGAGGCTTTAAAGATCACTGCTGTTGCGTTCTGTGAATACCCATTCGACCGGTCGGACGCTCTACAAGACCATTACAGATCCCATCACCAACGTAAACAAGACACCGACTAACATATTGAATCTCCTCTTTTCATAGAGAGATAGTTTCAATATGGGTGGACCGGCTAGTTTCCGGTCTTGCACGTCCATGGGGAAGATATTCTGAGAGCTGCTTAGGTTTGCCTGGTGTCGACAGATATGAGGTCGTCAATATGTCTGACGTATTCCCTATCTGGCCTTCCAAGTCTCCCATCGTTCCAAATGAGGTTCGCCGCGTATTGGCGACGATTTTGGGGAGCTGGCTCGAACTGATACAGGTCTGCAGACCTTTTCAGCAGTTCGTCTGGAAGATTTGGTGAACTTTGTCCAGAAAGAGGTGCGCTACCCACCACATGTTTTCCACTCCCTGTTGAGCTCCTGGAACAGTGGTTTCCGCGGCGAACCGTCTCGTGTATCCATCGTCCTGGCACCTCCAGGGGAAACGACGGGTTTTCGGATCATGAAACCCATTGTAGTCCAGGCATTCTAGTTTCGCTTCAATCTCACCAAGGACTTCCCGATGATACAACAAAAGTCAAAGTCCGCAAAATCCATAACGACGATAGATTCTGAAATTTGAATCAATATCTCCACGCGCGCTACGAGACGAGGCCATCTGCTGGGGGATCCCAAAATTATCAATTATCAGCGTCGTGGCAGCTTTGGTGTATTGTTGCATACCTTTGCGGACGTGGATATGTTTGTATCGGCCTTCCACCTTGGACCGTTCTTCTTCTCCTTTGTCTTTTTGACCACGTTTGCAAGACCGAAAGAATCGACCTACCACGTCGCCATTTGAGAGATAATCATGAGATCCATAGTTCGAGACATCTCACAAATACAACTAGGATGACCATGCTCACTGGTTTCAGGACCCAATCCGTTTTCCAGATCAGCTGGGCCAGGACTGTCAGTTGATGGGAGAGGAAGTGGGTTGCTCAAGCATGGCAAATTGCTTATTGCTCACAACTATCAGGGCCAAGACGTTAAGGGGGAAGAGAATTCGGTTATTATAACACATCTTCAGAAAGATGAAGTGTTGTTACACTATGCCGCTACACAAGAGTCTGTCTTGGCCTTTGAGAAATCGGACGCCCAAGTATCGACTTCATTCATCGGGCGTCGAGCGTAATTACTTTTTCTGTTCACCCCCTTTATCGAGTCTTGCAACCAGTCTCAACATCCAAGGCACTTTCCAGTCAATGCTCGCATACTTCTTTGTACGACGTGCTCCTTACCTTATAGAATATATCGCTTCTTCCTTGTATTACATGCCCTTGATCGACAATGCCTCGAAGCCGAACGGCTTCTCCAAAAGCAGCACAACGGTATTCATTCTTTCTCTTCTATTCAGGAGTTCGCCTTTCACATACGTATCTGCGCCGAATTTTGTGTTCTTTTTATGCTCTTCTTTTTTAAACTCCAGTAGAATTGCTTGTTTCCTCTTCAATGTCCTTGCCATTGCGGTTGGGATCGTTCGCAAGATAGTTTGTCCATTGCCGTCAGTGGAGGTATTCTCAGCGTTCCGGATGTCGGCCTGTTAGCTATCATTTCGTTGCTGATTATTGCCGCTGGTACTCTGGTTGCCAGGATTTCCATCAGCCTTGGGATCCTTCGCCCAGGTGGCGTTCTTCGGGCAATATTTCTGCTTACACGTTGAGTAGGGTTCACTTAGTTCGCGACATAAGTACCACTGTCAAGAGTGTTCTCGGTTGAGGACGTAGAGCTTTGCTTCTTGCTATAGGTTTTCAGATCGAGACGAATCATCATTATCCTTGCGATTCTTTGGATGGTCCTTATGGGGACTTGCCGACGTGGTGGATGGACTCTCTCGGTTGAAAATTTTACATGTTCGGTACTCATATCGGCATCCGCATCAGTTATATGACCAGTACTGGTTAGCATTCCACCGTCAGATCAGACCTGATAGAAAAACATAATATCTGGCAGAGGATCTGTACGCGCTCCAACCAATCATCGACATGACTACATGGTCTCATTGCATTTTGTACCTATCATTTTACATCATCCGTTGATAAACTCACACCCGTCCCCTTTGGGCAGTGTACAGACACCCTTTCTGGAGTCAATCAAGGCAAACCCATCCTCGCCGTCGTCCTCTCATTCAACCCCCAAGCCGTACTACTCCCATCATGCACCGTCGTCCTTCTCATGTCCCTCTTGTACTTGCCCATAAATGTGCCCTCTCCTGCCCGATGCATCACTGCTGTATTATCCCAAGCAATCAAATCACCAGGCTCACGCCACTCGACGCTCAGCACATACTTATCCTGCGTGGCATGCTTAAGCAGCGTCTCAATGAGCTCAGTCGACTCGGGTTCCGGCACGCGTGTCCCGTCCGCATATTCCAGATGGTGCAAGTGGTTCGCAATATACAAGTTCATGCGGCCTGAGGGCTCGTGGAGCTGCGCAATGCGGTGCCGCCCGAACGGGTACGCTTCAGGGTCGATACCTTTCAGGAACTCAGAGTGTGGACAGGCCTTTTTGCGCGAGTGCCAGAGCGAGTTGGCGCCGACGTAGTCGTGTTCTGTCAATTGTGCTTTCAACTCAGGAAGGAGCTCGGCGTAGGCAGTGCGAGTGTCGGCAAAGTCGGTGTTGCCTCCATGACCGGGGGGTGGGAGCTCGTGGGCGCGCAGAAGCGAGTATCCTGCGCGTCGAGGGTTGAAGGCGGAGTCGACGTGAAAGAGCGAGTTGCCCTGCTCGTCAAAAACAGAATATGAGCATGGTATCCGTTCAATGATTTCGTAGCGTCTTCTCTTGCTCTTCACGAGATGGATCTTATTTTAGATTCATGGGATTGGTGTGTAACGCACCCTAGAGACTTGATCTCTCTTGCTGTCGACCTGCACGAGCGATCCATCATCTTCAAGATTCGAGACGTCAAAGAGTTCGTCGAAAGGGAATCGATTCTTTCGTCCGAGAGTAAGGTAGGGCTTCACATCGTCTAGTTCACCGAACAAGGCAGAAAAGGTGACATGCCGCGCGTCGTCGAGGGCTGCTTTACGAAACACTAAGACGCCATACTGGCGTCTTGTTAGTTCCGGGCAGGGAGCAAAAGTTGGGGAGAGGTTTTACCTCTGTAATTGCATGAAGGACTTCCTTGAACACTTCTGGTTCGACAGGTTTGCTGAAGTCAATGCCAGACACTTCTGCACCGAATGTGGGCGCAAGCTTCTTGACCTGGATGTACTGATAGTCCGGCTCAGTCGCATGTGGCATTGTGCCTGATATTCGGTGAGATGCTCGATATCTAGAGGATTTCACCGTCGAGAGCTCTGCTCCGAGGTCTTTGATATATAGAGAGCATCACGACTGACTCCGCCCCTCACCAGCTTATCTCCAACTTTTGGCATGGAGAAGACCGACCAGCGCCCTGCGGCCGAGTCAATGCAGTTCAAATATTTTGGGAAGTCTGGTCTCGTGATCGCGTTGAAGCTGATTGGTGCTAGTGTATTCGAATGCGTGGTGTTTTCCGCCATTGTTTCATACTGCTGGCGGGTTAGTGTTGGTGAGAAGAGCTTTCAACAGAGGAAGCCGGTCAACAAAGGAAGATCAATTGCTTTCTTCAAGGCATGAAACATGCCCGTATCACCTTATGTACAGCGTTCACCAATGCTCCGATTCAATACCATCTTGGACCATTTCTGTTCTTCATCTATACCAATATTCAGGTCTGACATAGTCAGCCATGGTCTTGGGTGCTTCATAGCCATGGTGGTGATGGTGTGGGTCGTCCGGAGGTCCAATATAATCCATTCTGTAGACACTACCGCATTCAGGGCATCGTTCAAATGGTCGCTTTCGGGACATCTTCACCAGATTGACGCGTCAGCTATGCTGTTGTCCCAAGATCCAAGCTCCGGCCCAAACTAGTAAGGAGCGAACGGAAAGAATAAAGCAGTTACTTACCACAAGCCATTTGACAATATGCGAGTCTGCAGGGCAACCAGTGCAGCCAACCTGAATTTCCTCTCCAGCTGATCTCACAACAATTGGGTCCTCAAAAGTACCTGTATGCGAACATGGTCAGCCCAGGTCGGGGATCCCGATACTTGGCTTTCCCAAGCTCTTTTCACGGGTGATTGATCTCATTCAATGATCACGTACCAACTCTGTCCGATGGGAGCGGCGACATATCAAAAATGTCAACCCCTTGCATCTTTCCAAGAATTTCGAGACGTTCGAGACCAGTTGCTTGTTCCAGATCGGTGGGCACAGTACCCGGCTGCGCACCGGGAGGAAGGAGATCTTTCTCGGATTTGATTTCTGCAGTTTTGTTCCAATATCAGTCTCCGTTCTTGCTCTCACTCGGCCTTTTGGCCGCTTGATTGGGAGCTGGCTGCGGCAGATGTTCAAGGATGCCTCACCGTCAAAGGCGACCAATTTTCCTTCCGGTTCACCTGGCTTGGGATCCCATTTGCCTCCTATCACCCAGGATCAGTCAGCAAAGCTCAGATGATTGAATTTGGGAGCTTCGAGGGAAATGACGTACGGCGAGCCGCGACAGTTGCGAAGGTTCGGGGGGGAATACGAGCTGGCTTGAGAGGCACACGCCTGGCCAACGAGAACGCTGTGCGTGCCGCCGACATTCTGGTTTGGATTGAGTTGAGTGTTGAAGAGGTGCAAAGAACCTTGGAGCAGGAAACTGCGTCGAGGAGGTCGATTGAGGTTTGGCGCAAACAGCAGAAAAGCTCCAGGCTTGGCACCGGAAAGTGGTCTGACCAGACTCCACTCCACCACTGCTGGCTTTATTGATCTTCTGAAATCCATCAACATCAAGATTTTGTACTCCCTCTCCCAGTTCGAGGGAGAATCTTACCAGCCAAGACTATGATCGATGCACCGAGCGACAAGACGGACGAAACGATACTGTGGAGTAAATCTGTGCACAGTCTCGTGCATCTTTCCTACTTTCGACCTCACCAGATGACTCCCCGAGAAATTCGAGAACGCCGCCTCCTGATAATTGACCGTCAAAGTCACCCAAATGAGATGAATATTTTTCGCAGCCTTAAGCTTTGTCCACGTCAACGGTGAAACCATAAAACAACTCGTCCACTACCCCCCACCATCCCATCCGGCGGAGGGATCGAATTGGTCAAATGAGTAACACTTCCCAACACACCCATACTGATCACTTTAATTCTCTCGGGATACAGATAGAAGAACCTTAAGGCGAACTGACCCTTTCTCAAGGACCTCGCCAGAAAGAACTTTGTCCGTTTCAATTATGTTGGTTCACCTCTTCTCCGCCTCATCCAAAACAGGGCGAGGCCATACCGAATGTCTTGATATCGTCTCAAGTTATAGTTGCCTATATCATTTGGATCGTTGATGTCCGTCGGGCATAATGGTGCTATAACCGCCGCACCACGAGTATCAGCAAGCTCCATAAAAGAAGGTGCACTGCCTCGACTGTTCTGATAGTGTCGTGGACAGTGGTTATGAGAGGAAGCTTCAATGATGTGTCGTTAGCTTTGGAAATATGACCAAGTCCGGAGGGACGGTGTAATGCACCGTATGTGCGGCTAACTCCAGGAGTCTAGTGAGTGTGCTGGTCTTCATTTTTGCCTTACAATCGCTAGCCGCGAAGAATCCAATGACGCTGAAACTCCCCGATCTGTTTTCTACTTATATGCCAAGAACATTAAGCGAGGACACCATATTTGCCGATATTTACAACACAATTCTATTATGACCGACTGCCCTGGATCATCAAGTCGCGGGGTATTTGCGGGAAATACAGGGTACGTAGGCATACCGGGTCATGGCTCGGGCGGGGATTTGAACTGCGTTCACCTACGAGACCGAGTCATGATTCGATCCAAGGAGCTACAGCTCATTTGAGGATCGTCGTGCAAAGTAGCACGGCCTCCGTGGAAGATACAACACCGGGGTTCGAAGAACCCCGATTCGATAGCCATACTGGCTGAGATTTTAGCAGCGGAATCGCCGGCGGAGCCGGCGGTGGAACCCACTGCCAAGAGGCAGGACATGTACGTAGGTACGTACTCAGGTATGATGGACTCCACGACTTCATTCAACTTGTCTCTTCTAGAATGCTCAATCTTGTACTCTGAGTGGAGGAAACTCAAGTGACTCTTCTAGTCTGATAGTATTCTCCCTTGCTCTTGCAGGTAATGTTAGCTGCTGGATCTCTTGAAAGGCGGATGCGACGACTTAAGCAGCATATTTCAATTTGAGGCCAAGGGTCTCAATTCAGATACGGAACCCTCTCGTTCCAGAGAAGACATATAGAGCCTTTAATTCTGGCTGAATAACAACCTTTTTGCTCGTAGCCAGGGTCTGCAGAATCAGCCCTTGTGATTGGGAGAAAATACAACATATAGAATGATAAGCATTTTCGTCTGGTATAAAATCTCAAACTCAACCGACGTCGTGAGCAAAAGAATCCACCTTATCATGGGCCCGAAGTTCAAAGAAGAAGAGCGTCTACAGCGATCTGGCAGAGGAAAAGGTGCCCGAACGACCATCATGCGGTGATCAGATAGGGACATTCCTTATGAAGGAGCAACGTCACTGATTTTCGGCTCTGAAGCCCGGTGGCTCGGCAATACTCATCTCGAATATCAAGCTGGCATTATCAATGTGCCTTACTCTGTTCAGAACACGCTCCGCCCATAGAATGGCCACCGGGTATTCGCCTCGCAAGATATTTTATGCTTTGACCAGGAAGTTGCAGCTCGTATTTCCGACTACACCAGAACCAAGTCCACTTATCTCACCAGGAGGAACGGTATTTCAAATTGATGACTCTCAAGGCTGATGCTGAGAGATCTGATCAATGTTGCCCATTTTGTCTTTACCTAACACAGGAAAAGCTATATGCAGCTACCACCTTTGTGGATATACCTATCAGCAGGTGCCACGATTCTTCCTTAGTGGTTGTCCGTTTGACGCTTTCACCGAGCTGAACGCAGGCCTTGCTCCAATGACCGACGAAACTTGGCATTAAGCGAACCCGATGACATAAGTCGCATGCAGAAGCGACGGCCACGACTAGGAAAGATTGTCTTCAGCGTTGCCGAGAGGCCGGCCATAGCTGCTCTCAAATATTTCTTATAACCCCTGCATCAATGAGAATGTTGTGGCAGCCCGGTCACGTCGGACCCTCACCACTGTCGAAATGAATGAACACTACTTTCCCAAAGGCCATGCAGTATCCCGAAGGCGGTGGCCAGCAACGAGGTCAGTGATGGAAGCAATCCAACGAGAACAAATTCGAAGACGGGCACAATACGTGATTCAGTCGCCGAGAAGAACACATCTTGGTGGATATCGTCTCGATCCATTCATCTCATATCCTATACCTGCCACATCTTGCGTGCAACACACCGTGGACTATTGTAAGCACAAATTCGAACCGTCGTTTTCGGCAAGGATTGACAAGGCCTAGTCGTTCAGACGTGGGCTCATCAACAACCCTCCATTTATCATAATAGTCGCTACCAGAATGAATTGATCGAACTTCTCTTTCCGTTTGCTCTCCAGCATGATTTGCTGTTTGAATCCCTTATTAGCGTGGTGAGGGCATCCCGTCTCTTGATCCAGGGAGCGAATCCTGCTTCTGACAAGGTCTTCCTCCATCATCGAGGAATGGCTTTGTCCAAGTTACACGACCGGGTTGGATCGCCTGATAAGTTCTGCGACGATGCGGCGATGATGACGGTTGGTATTCTCCTGACCATCGACGTAAGTCATCTGGTTGGCTCGAAATGCAAGTCACTCACCGTGGGAGTATATAATGAGTGATTGGTCCTCGGTCGGAGTACACTACGCCGCGCTACAATATATGGCTCGAATTCGCGGGCCCGTGGAAAATGGAGGCGACATGTACGACATGATAAGAGTCAATATGACAGGGTGAGTAATCCAAATGGGATTATCAGAACGGCTATTCGCTGATGTCGTCCATACAGCTATGAGGGCATCGCAGCACACGGAAAAGCTCAATTGGCAGCGACAAGATCCCCCGTGGAAGAACCACAGCTGGAATACCCTAGGCACCCTTTTTCCGCTGAATTATGCATCACCATCGCCAAAATCCCTCAAGGGTTCAGCGAACTCGCTTTGGGCGGCTCTCTTTCGACGCCCATGATCAACCTCCTGGCAAAAATTTCGACAGCCACGGGGTATTCATCCGACAAGGACGCGCCGTCCAAGGTGGAGCGCAACATCACCTACAACCTGTCAGATGTCACCAATGAAATTAATCTTCTCTCGCCCCTCCCATTGAGACCATTCGAGAAAAAGCTCTGCTATGGCCTCGTCTCGTACTGCTGGACATTCCATATGGCGAAGGCTTTGTCGGCGTTATTTCGCTCGGTAGTCCAAGACGCTGTCGATACGTTCATTGCACAGCACGACAAAGTCATCCGAGATATTTCGGAACGGTATTGTGTCATATGGCTGGCTTTTGCAATCACTGGAGCAGGACAGCAATGCGAACGTCCAGCAGAGAATGTTGATCAGGTTCTCGATCTGATGTTGAAAACATATAAGGAGATGAGGGAGTGGGAACAACTTCAGGAGATTTTGCATCTATTCTTCTGGGAAGACGAGCTGGGCGCGAGATGGAAGGCTTATTGGGAGTCTGCTATGGTTCGATTCATTCTACCCGAAATCTGAGCTCAAGGAGGGCAGGATTCACCGAGTTTCGTGCACGTGTGAAACCCGTAAAAGTTTGACCATATAGGCCGCCCTTTATATCCAAGACTAGCGCGCCAGTTCAGCTCGTACTCGAAACCACGTTCAGCCTACAACTCGAGTGATTCTTCAACTCCAAATTCGCAGAGGAACTGAAGGCATACATCCTGGACGCTGAGGCTGAGGCTGGGGCTGAGATGAATGGTAACGGCACTAGAGAGTCTGGGTCAAAGGCGAATGCACATCCTGTCAATAGGAGCATTGCACGTCCGTCTCACACGCACCGGTATGCATAACTACAAGGCTCAGAAGCTCTTCACAAGGATCATACCCCAATCTCGCGGGTCTTGACGGACCTTCTACATTCCAACGCTTTTTAAAAAATGGCTAGCCCTCGTCACCGATCTCAGTACCAAGGGACCGATTCGCCAGAACGCCATCGCCCGAAGATTCCGGCGCGGAAGAGATTATGCTCTCGCCAATCCCTACCAGGGAGACCAGCCCCAACTCGAGTTCACAATATCAACTACACCCTCCGAAGGCTGGGAATCGAAAGACGGCAACCAGGACGACGAGGCCGATGAGGCCGGAGACATCAAGCACGGCGATGGCATTGTTCCATCCCACGGTCTGGGCGACGATGATCTCTCAAACAGCAACACCACGAAGGGCAAGGGAAAACCCCGGGAGCCCGATAGGGTCCACGTGGATAATCCCGCCGAGATCGAGTTCGGCGGCGAGGAACCCTACATGGCAGGTGACGACGATGAAGACGAGGAAGAGGACGAGGAAGATCAGGATGAGGTCGAAGGCGAATGAAAGTGGAGGGAATTGAGCACGATGTCCCATCTTCATGATAAATGAATCTTTTTGGGATCTCTATGGTATATATTATATTCTGGACCTACGAATCCCCCTGTCTAGATGGCCCTCCTTCAAGACATTCAAAGAAGATCGACGACCCGAGGGATGCTATTTTCTCCATCCACGTGGATTATATGTGCAGTACTCAAAGTCTTTGCTACCACCCCTTTGCCTCTGCTTATGCCTCTTCAATGCATTTGTTTTCTCCTCATCACAAAGGTCAAAAGTCGACGTGTGATGTGTTGCTGACTTAATGTCACTTGCTTTGAAGGGTACAGGTATCTCATCTGCACTTCAGAAATAACTTTGTATTTTGCACGATTATGATGGTCAATGATGGATGGTGATCCTGTCCCTCGTGGTCCCCCACCATCCATCCATCACATTCTGCAGGGTCATGTCAATCCAACATTTCGCTATGTGATTCTGGAGATCGGGCACAACGGGGATTCGGAGAGTGGACAGACGGTAAGCGGCTGGCTGACTGTCCCTCATTCAGCGGAGAGTTTGTAATGATATAAATCAGATTGGAACCCCATTGCTGCTGATGCTCGAGCCTGATCTTTTCTCCGGCGACCATCGCATGGTTCCCTGATGGCCGAAATGAAGAGGGGAGTCATGATAGCAACAAGAGTCAGGTCATGACTCTTGAGGTGTGATAGCCGCCATTGTGGGAAGGTTGAACTAGCGCCTGGCGACTCGACTGATTTCTTCACATCGGTCTGATTCTCTTGGGATCAGCGAGCTCCAACCGGGTGGTTAGTGCGCCCGAGGTTTCTTGTGGAGTGAATAGCTCAAAGTCACTGCCGTAGGCGTTGTTATACGTTGAGCGAGTCCGTACGAGACCTGGCGCGGGAGTGCCATCCTGGGGGGAAGCGCCGTTGGCCGTGTCCGAGTCGTTTCCAAGAATGCTATTCTCTAACGACAAAAGGGTGTTATCTCCGGCGGTAGGGGTGGCAGCGGCAGGGATCCTGACATCGGTGACCAGGCCGTATTTAACTGGTATTTTGCCCACCTGCTTGAGTAGATCCGGGACGGCAGAGGTAGAGTCCGCGCTGCGGAGGAGGGGAGCATCGAAAGCCTTGGCCGTTTCAATGGGACTCATTGAGACACTCCGACCCAGGCGCCAGAAACCGTGGAAGGTGAAGAGGACAACGACAATCGCCGCCACCGATGCAAGAGTGGCGAGTCCCAGGAAGAGGTAGTCTGTGTGGTACACCGTGTGGTTTCCTGATGCCTGGGCCTCGACGTGTTGGACGGCTGTGCTACTGTTGGCGGTTGCCACGGACGTGCGGAAAATGAGCTCGCGGAACCCCTGAAGAAAGTCATGCATTGGATCCGTAAAGTAAATATCCTCACAGGTCACACCGACTTCGTTGATACCATGCGCATACGACACGGACGCCATGCTCTGGGAACCCGACAACTGATAACCAACGGCGCCTCCGAAGGACAGCTGGAGATCGGTGTTGTATTGGTTGGCCAGGGCGAGGAAAATGCCGCCGTAGGTCGTCCTTCCCGTGAGATGAGTTTCAGCGTCAAGGTGGTCGAGGTTTCCGACGAGTACATCATCCCAAATTGTAGTTCCGGAATCCAGTGCCACGGTTGACGCGACGCCGTCAATGACAATGGGGTAGAGGACTGTACCCGCTCGAAGGGTGCAGTTGGTGACAGACAGATCCCCAGCACACCCGGGATCGGCCTTGATCTGCATGTTCAAGTTTGCTGTCGTGGGAGAATAAGCATCGTAGAGCACTTCGGCACCGAAAACCGTGGGACTAGGGAAGTTCCCTTCGATGGCATTGGCTTCAGAGATGTTGAATGGTACCCTGTACGTTGAGCAGTTGACGTAGAAACCAGCGGCTGAGACGGTGGTGCGACAGCTACCAGTACAGGACGATTCTGCGGCGACTGGCGATCGATTGTAGTAGTCTTTGGCAATAGTGGTGAAGTTTGATGTCAGCATGTTGACCTCATCTCCGCGATTCGAGACAATGCCCGTGTATCCCTTTGGAATGAGCTGGCTGAGACGAAGATCAAGTTGTTGCAAATCAGTCACGGTGGCATTCCCGATAGTGGAGGCTCGCTGAAGAAGAGGGCCATTCACCGGGCTGATGGCGACGAGGATGCTGGCGATGGCCACCAGATTCACGTGCCGGCCAGAAGTGATGGCGGCGAGAAAGCTGTTCCCAAAAGCCCAGACACGGTGAAGATCTCCCACCTTGGTTCCGTCCTTCAAAGCTTTGTGCCACCAACTGATGTTGACGCCGGCCAGCAAGGAATATGCTAGGGTGACGTTGGTGAGGGTGGAAGCGATGGCGAGATAGACGGTGGGCTGGAATTTCCATTTGTTGGTGGCCACGCCATCAGATGCGACCAAGATGGCGACGGCGACGATGACTCCCACCAGAGCAAGAAGTAATCCTCCAATTCCACCATAGGGGAGGTGAGTCAGTCCCGCCCGCCAGTGAAAGCGAGACGGTCCGATGGCAGAATATGCGGTAGCGGTTGTCGTCGCCCTCCTGAAGCGCATCACGAGCTGGACTCGGCCGTTAGAAATGGTGAGGTTGTCGTGATCTAATCATGGACCTGCAGGTCCCAGAGGCTATAGTCATGGTCGTTAAAGTTAAAGCCTGGAGTACTTGTATGATGGCGCTGGCTTCCACAATCTCCCCAGCCCGAGTAACAGAGGATCTGGTGAAGATTGAGGAGTATTTCGATACACTTGGCCCCCATCACCAACGCAAGTGCCGAGGAGACAACCTGGTCTAAGTTTGCCATGGTGTGACCATCTTGCCGTTTAGAGGAGACATAAGGCGGGATAGATCGAGGTTCTAACAGGCTGAGGGAGATGCAAAGTGCCATCAGACTTCTGAAGCTGAGTTGGTTTACCGGTGATAAGTACGGAGTGCGACGTAGTAGCTTGAGGCCTTGTAAACCAGGACTGCACCTCCTTGGCCGCCCAGGTACCGTGCTAATTACTATGGGAACTACAGTTGGTAGGTCCCTAAGTAGGAGTAATAGGTGCCGAAGTCCTTTCACCTTTCATCGGGATAGTACTGCCTAATTTCCACCTCATGGTCTCAGTAGGACTCCCGATACCCTACACCGGTTCCAGACTCCCTAGGACTTCGATAGGTTCCTTGCCCTTTAGTACGTGTCTCGGTCTTGGGCCCTGGAGCCCCTTTGGCCCCCTACACCCCTGCCTCCACTAATACCTACTCTTACCTAAGGTATCCATCACCGCCTCACCGTCTACTTACTCGTATCTGATTTGACAGATCAAACGTCCTTATCCAACTCCACTTGATCATCCTGGAGAACCATTTTTAATAGGCTAGCCTTGCTCTACGAGTACTTATGATAGACACACATCAGCTCCACAATCATGCGCCCATATGCCAAGATAGAAACCTTGTCCAAGGTCAGTCCGCTGTCACCATCTCACTAAAAACTCGGGCGTTTCAGTCTTCTTTTTCGTCCAGCCTCATCGCCAATTCGTTCATGCCGCACTCGTCGTGGCCAGAAAGTTCTTTATCTGGTCTTAGGCTCATCAACGTCCTAATAAGGTGAACATGCCTTGAAATCTGGCCCAATGTTGACCAACCTTTTGGAAATCGCGCCGGGATGCCTCTTTATCACTAAAACCGTCCAAACCTCGGACCGGAGCGGTGACAAGATATCTCTGGCGGTCGCCGTCAATCTTGTTGATGCATCTGCAACGGGACCAACCACCGAGGTGCCACGCCATTTGGGATGGCGGCGAGATGTCACCACCTACCTAGGCTCTCTGACTTATGTTACCAGTCTGGATTCGCTATGTGGCTACGTGACCGAAGACGTTCGTAAGTATCTGTCGCCTCTAGACATCATAAAACTCTCTCGCACCCAGGCCCGGCAAACTTGCATTGACCCTGCCACACAGATCGACCACTATACTGTTCCGCGGGCCAATACTGCTCCACCCAAGACTCATATCTGTTATGCTGTGCGACGACGACCGAGCGAATCAGCTCCGACACTTATTTCTACACAATAACGATCCAAGACAGAGACGCAGACCCGACATATTCCACCAGCACCGCCGTCCAAACACTTTCTCTGACCGTGGGCGCCGACTGTACCACTGCCAGCACCACATGCTACAACTACGACAACACCGACAGCTGCACAGACAGCACCTGTACGGCGAGCGCATTGATGTGCACCGACCAGTATTTCCCTTCCTGTGCCTCCCTCTACAGCATGAAATACAACTATACCATACTCGGGACATCCTCGATGATCAGCAACTCGGTTCAAAAAGGACTCAGTTACTTTTGTGACACGGCCGCGTTTGGCTTGTCTTACACCTACTTCGCATACGGCGCCGTTATCACAAGCACATTGACCTCGACAAAGTCGACCGAGACCGACACAGACGGCGGCGAGACATTTACTCCCACGCCCACGCCGTTCAGTCTCACTCAGGCTTCAAGGCCTGCCGCTGCTTCAGGGGCAACGACGTCCACTGCACCGACGTCAACTTCAACTTCAGCGGGCAACTCACTCACACTCGGCAAATCTTCTCTATCTGTTCTCAAAGTCTGGTGTTTGTCCTTGTCCCTGCCCGGTATAGTTTGGTTGATATCATAGATGTACTTATCACGAGTACACGATCCGGAGCTTTACTGGCTCCGCGAAGCGAAGGAGGTCAGTTACGAGCGACGAAAGATGCAGTGATGCTCATGGACGAGATAATCTCGCACGAATTAATCAATTGGGGCCTCAAATAGATGCATTATGGAAGTTGTTTCATTTCCGTCGACCTCACTAATACTTTTGGAATGGTATGAACATGTCATGCAGATCATCATCGGTTCAGTCCCAGAGACTGATGCTGCCCTACGGGCTAACCGCCTTGCAGCATAGCTAGGGTGTTGATTCAATGTCTATAGGCAGCTGCTTCAGTCCTATTTTCAGGCTAACCGCTCGGAGCAGATGTCCAGCTAACTGCCCAAACGTCCTCAGACTGTTCTATCCTTTAACGCCTGCAGTGCTGCGAACGACTGGCTCCGGTCATGTCGACAATTGTTTTGGGAATCTACAAACATAGATGTAACGTCATGACTTTCGTTGCGCTGCTTTCCGAAAACGGAACCATAGCATGCCGTTACGCAGCCTAGCAATACACCACGGAGCGGACGAGAGCAAAGAACGAACGCTACAACGAAAGAAGACGGTAGATCGCATCCAGACTTGACCCATAGACACCATCTTCCTCCGTTGATCATTCTGGTATTCTCCGTTGGAACCATCCCACCGTCGAACAGTCTTGTTCTTGCAGACCATAATGTCTTTGGCAATCTTGTCAAGCAATCTATAGGGAACACAGTCAATATCTTCTGGGAAGAGGGAGAAAGAAGTCGAGGGGAAGTCCATACCTGAAATCGTGAGACACCACAACCATGCCACCTTCATAGGCATTGATAGCATCGGCCAAGGAGTCAATCGTGGGAATATTCAACCGCTGGTGGTTCGGCCAGGAGTAGCATGTTCGGACCGTCGATAGCCAACAGAGCGAAGACGACTCGTGAACGTTGGCCTTCGAAAAGTGTTCCCATCAAGGCAGTCTGGGCGTCACCTGATAGACCATATCGACCCAGTTGTTGTCTCCAGTACTGATAATCTTGCGATGTGGAAGAATATTTATCACGAACAATGTCTAGGGCTGCTTCGCCAGAGTGCTGTGAATATAGGCCTAGCTTCAAATGGGTATACCTGTTGACTATACCGCCGGTGGGCGAGAGTTTACCGGTCATGATTCGTAGCAATGTTGATTTAACCAACACCATTGGGGCCCATCAGGGCCGTTCTGCTGTCCATGTCGACACCCAAATCCAAGTTCTCGTAAAGATTGTCCTCCTTCTAGCCGGAATAGCTGAGGCAATGAATTTCTTGATATGAGAGATTTCCTCCTGTTGCTTGACATAGGTCTTTTGCTGGTTGACTGCTTGTTCGGTGCGAGTCTTGATGTAGCAGGGTGCAACTTGGGATGTATTGAATGCTCTGTTCTCTATCTACTTGTTGCATTTCTGACGTCTCTTTTATTGACGTGAGAATATCTCGTCGTCGCGCAGAGCAACCGTCAGGAATACTGTTGTCTATGGAAGCCTTGCCTGTATGATAACTCCCTTGTTCGAGAGAGTCGTAGTTACCGCCATAGTACATCAATTGCCTTTTTTTGCATGTCAATCATGTTTGTGCAAACGCCGTTCAGGAAATCCATCAAGATCAAGATTTTATCCCATTTCCACAGATATTCTTCTTGCCACACATGTCAATATTTGTTCTCTAATATATTCCTTTCAACTTTCCTAGTGTGACCGGGTTTTGCTCTTCAGTCTCTGCTCCAGCCTGGCTCACCGCTGCGTTCACGAATACTCTTTCCTCGCCACATGAGCACCCCGATACATAACGGAAAGAAAAACACTATCAACGCCGCAAATATTCCAAATGTGGCGCTGAACGAGACTTGCCTCAACATCGGAGGAACAAAAAATGGTGTGGTATATGAGAGGAGGTTTCGGCTGAGATTGAAGACTAAGCTAGCCTCTGCACCCTGTCGAGGATACGATTCAAGAACATATGTCTGGCTAGAGAATCCGTAAACCTAATGGTCACTCGAATTATTGCTCCGGATACTCACATAACGGTGGTTGCAATCTCGATCCCCAAGATGTAAAGCCCTTGGCCCACTAACGGAGTAATCCAGCTCGACCCGAACTGGATAGAGATACCGAACATTAAAAGGCCTCCTGGTATTGTCACTAAGGCAGGCCAGATCGCTTTGATACGCATCTCTGGCCTCCATTCCTTTCCTTGGCTGAGACACCTTTTCGCAATAAGATCTATTGCCGGTCCAGTATATGCCTCGCCAATTAGAGCTCCAATCAAGCCGGAAAATGCTGTAAGTCCAACACCAAGCACCGAGAAATTGTACGGTGGCGCCTCAAAGATTAGCGGAATCTCCGCCGTAATGCCAACGTGCAACATATATGCAATCCCGAACCAGAACGACGCCAGGAAGACTGCCGGGTAGGTGCACATGACAAATGGTCTCGTGAAGAGGAAGGAAAAGGTGTGCTGTCTATCGGGATAACGCTTTGGTATCCGGATGCCGTATCTAGCCCATAAGCTCGACTTCTGACTGGCGACCTGATCGGGTTCGGTGATAGGCGTGGATCGATCGCGAACATAGATTGTCTCGGGAAGGAAGACAATTTGCAGGAGAAAACCAGTACCAATGAGGATCAAGGAGGTCCACTGGGACCATCTCCACCCCAGAGTCTTGTTGTTGATAATGGCGCCTCCGATGACGCCACCTGCAAAAGGAGAGACGACGATGGCTAAGGTGGAGATACCGACCTTCTTGCCCTTTTCGTGTCGGAAAAACTGCACTATAGTTAACTTTGATCATCGCTTGCTTCATGCAGCCGTACTATGTCACCGATACTGGCTGGACCTAAGGTCCAAAAAGCAGATCCTCCAAATCCTTGAATAACTCTTCCGACCATGCAAGCTCCATAGGTCTGAGCACTTGCGACCACTATTGTACCCACTATAGCAATCAAGTTTGAAAGCAACAAGACTGGTCTTCTTCCGACGGAGTGGCTTAATGGACTCCAGAGAAAAGGGCCAACAGCATACAGAGCAACGGGCGTGTTTCCTAGGTATACGGCTATGTCTTTGGTTGTTCCGTAAGTTTCGGCCAGCTGGAGAGTTCCGGGCACAAGAGATGTGACAGCCATATAGCAGACGAAAGCAAGATAGGAAATAGTGACCATTGCCATATGCTTGCTGAAAGATGACCTGCCAAGGTGTTAGACTAGTTTAGCGCCACCCCAGATCTGTGTTATTTTCTTACCAGTTCAAGGGATCTTGAGGATCATCAGAAGGTTGTGGCATAAGAACGATGCCATTCCGCAGCTTAAGCATTCCATTACTGTTGGAATCATCCTTCGTACCTATCACAGCTCTTGTCCCCTGTAGGCCCTGATTTTCTTCTCTAAGTCAGTCCAGAATCGGGGAAAGTAAAGGATAGACCTACCCAGGTGATCTGACTTGATTTTCGAGGCCATGTTCATGTTGATGGGGATGCAAGGGAAAGCCGCTATAGTTATTACCTTTGGGCGCCTGTTGGGGAGCCAGGCTTTACATAAAGACCATGAAGATACTTCGCGGAGGTTTACTTTCTCCCCGCGTCCCCAGCTCCGAGCTTCCTGGGGAGAGGGTCTTCTCGTGGCTGACGTGCCCCACTGCGTCGGGTGCAAGATTCCTATCACCCATCTGAGCATGGCCACTGTCGTGAGTTGAGGCTAAGGATTTGCGTCAAAACCTTACTGCAATGGGGGCGACCACGTCCTCTTAGCATTCGTAAAGCCGGGTGCAATCATCCGAACCCCAAAACAGGTATACTCATTTCAAAAAGCGACCGGGGGGTGTTCCTTAGTAGCTATTAGCTTCTGCACGGGCTGGATCGTGACGAGGATGAATGATCCGGCCCCCGAATTTCAACCCCACAGATGTCTTCAAGTGCTTTAACGCTCGGGAAAACACTCCCGGTGTTAGTTACCAGGAGGACACGAAGGAGAGAAAGATCATAGACCTGTTGCGCAGAGATATGCTTGTCGTCTCAGTGTCCTAGCGTCCAGCGTTCCGTGAAAAGCAGAAGACGGGCGGGCTTCTAGAAGCCGTGGCAACAGTAGTCCCACATGGGTACATCAAAGCAGCGACAGAATGCAACATCCCCGATGATCTAGATTTGTACGTCGGATGCATGTACCCTATCATGCCAACTGCGGGCAATATCCCATGCACAGAAACCTCCACAACCCTAATCATCTGACGGCGGAATAGGTCTCCGGGAAGTCTCGGCCTCTACAAAGTCCTAAGGACGGTCTATCCGTGTCAAATACAAGTTCGCAACAGACAAAGGACCAGAAGCGGCGAGAACTTGATTTACAGGTGTTCAAAAATCTTAAAGTCATGGACTCAACATCGCCTGTGAAATTGGGGAGACCGCCTCTTTCATCGCCTTTGCAACTATACATCAATGGACAATGCGTCTCCTCAAAAGGTGGCACGACCTTTCCGGTGCACAACCCGCTGACCGGTCAGAAGCTGTATGAGTGCGCATCGGCCGGGCCCCAAGACTATGTGACCGCCATCGTACATGCCCACAAAGCATATAAGGCTTGGTCTCAGATGGGCCCGTCCGCGCGGCGACAGATCTTCCTTCGCGCCGCCGATATTCTGGAGACGTACCTCGACGACAATGCTGGGGGTGATGCTGCGGAGATTCTCTCGAACGAAGTTTCGGCTGTTCTATCATGGGTCACTCTGAATGTGAAAGCCGCTGCCGCGATCCTCAGAGAGACTGCCGGTCTTGTCACGCATATCAAAGGTGAGATTGTGCCTGCCGATCGACCGGGGACGACAATTATGATAACGCGAGAGGCTTGTGGTGTCGTGTTTGCCATCAGTCCATGGAATTCTCCGGCAAGTGGAACCCTCTACCCTCGATTCTGTGCCCTAACGCATTCAAGGTGAATCTTACAGCTCGAGCCGTGGCAACACCACTAATCTGCGGCAACTCCGTCATCTTTAAGCCTTCGGAAGTCAGCCCCAAATCACAATTTTTGCTTATTCGGGCATTGATAGAAGCCGGTCTGCCTGCTGGATGTGTCAATTTCCTCCCCTCAAGACCTGCCGATGCAGCAGCAGTCACTGAACTGACAGTCAAGCATCGGCTCGTGCGACGTATCAACTTCACCGGTGGTGACAAGGTCGGCAAGATCATTGCTGGCTGGGCCGCCAGCTGCTTGAAGCAATGTCTACTTGAATTAGGTGGTAAAGCCCCTGTCATTGTGCTCAAGGACGCCGCTTTGGAGGACGCCGTCGAAGCTGTTGTATTTGGTGCTCTGACGAACAGCGGCCAGATCTGCATGTCAGTCGGATCTTGAGCCCTGCGAAAAGTGTTTGCTGATCGCAGAGGTGCAGGTCCACAGAACGAATCATAGTCGATGAGTCCATTGCCGATAAATTCAACGAATTACTCTTGCAAAGAGTCTCGAGGATCAAGATAGGAAACCACTTGGAGGACCATAGCGTTTCGTTATCTGGCCTGCACAGCCCAGGTTTGGCTTCCCGGGTTTTATCACTTGTCGACGAGGCCGTCTCGGCAGGAGCCTGTTTGATTGCGGGCGACAGAACTTCGACCGGCCCGAGAAAGACAATTGTACAAGCTCACGTGCTAGACAAGGTAACCCCTGAAATGGGCATTTTCCACGAGGAAACATTTGGACCGGTCATCTGCGTTACCCACGTCAGTTCGATAGACGAAGCGATCGATGTGGCGAACAACTCTGAGTATTCCCTCTGTGCCAGTGTGTTTACCCGCGACGTCATGGCTGGGCTAGACGTGGCAAAGCAAGTCAAGTCCGGCAGTTGTCATGTCAACGCTCCAACGGTATTCATTGAGCCGACGCTGCCCAATGGAGGGGTGGGAGGACGAAGTGGCTATGGACGATTCGGTGGAACCGCTGGAATACACGAGTTCACTGATCAAAAGATCACCAGTCTCGTGGTGCCGGGAATGAAGTATCCGATCTGAAGGCTGAGATGAGGTTGTCGTGAATAGTTGCCACGGCGTCAGAAATTGTCCTCCATGCTTCCTAAATAGTGCTCCAAGTCCCTCCAATCCGACATCTGAGTGGTGAGAGCCTCTAATGGATTTGTCCATATGAGCGATTCATTTGTAGAGCTGAGATCCATTCCTGAGTCAGGATAGTAGAATGGTCTAGATGCAACTGGCCCCACGCCTCCCCTGTTGGGTGAGAAATCGTATTCCATCCGCTGGGAGAGAGCCGGAAGTTCGCCCTCACTCATATCCATGCTCATTTCGGGCGCAGGCGGAATCTGACACTCAGTTCGTGCCAATCCATGAATGTCATTTTGAACTATTGGTCCCGAGCTGTCAGGAGCGCTATTCAGATGGACAGGTCCATGAGCAGCCTCAGGGTCCCAAGGAATGTGACTGGGGTTGACGCTGCCAACCAAACGACTGTTTTCCGCTTCATGACGATCGTATCCGAGAGAGTTTGCTGCATCACCAGCCCGACTCGTCTGGGTGTCTATGTCGCCGAACTCGTGCTGGGAAAGTCGTGATTCTTCGGTGGGCGGTGGCGCCTGCTCTTCACCACCAAGCTGTTCGGCCTGTGCAGTTGGTTGCCCATTACGCGCTCGAGAATTCGTCATTACAGCCTCTGCGAACTCCTCCAAGACATGAGAGAGTCTCTCCATGGTCCCACATTTCCGCAACTGGTGAAGCACCTGTCGAAGTCGACCAACCAGCATTTCCATCTGCGCCAGAGAGCTGTGTATCCGTGGCTCGACTGTAGCCTGTGACTGATGACACCAGAGTATACGGAGTAGTAACACCATCCCAGCAGAATAAGCATAGAACACGTCAAGCCACGTCATACCCTCTAAGTTCTCTGATTCAAAGAGAAAGATAATCATTGCAGCAACGTGACTGGCTGAGCTGACACAGTAGTGAGACAAAGCCTCCTGTGAAACAGCAGAAGAAGGGTTATTCGAAGACGTCGTGGTTTCTTTTTCATGCCTTCCGCCACGTGCAATTACCTTCAAGAGAATTGAGCGTGTAGCCAGAATGGCAATGTTGTGATACTGCATGTGGAAGAGAACGATAGCTCTTAGGTCCCTAGGATGATAGCGACAATAAGATTTTCGAATCTCTCCCAAGAGTTGCTGTAGGGGAATATTTTTGGCATTTGGAGGACGGAGATGGTGCGGCAATTGCGTTTCCCATTTTCGGAGGTCCTCAATGATAGATACTGTTGTAATAGTATCTACGGGCAGTTCTTCGTTTACCCTTTGACCCTGGGACGTTTTGGGAATATGCTTCGGCATATTTCTCCGACACTTTCTCAAGAGACGCTGAAGCTGATGACTTTGCTCCATGTACGCAGGTGGAGCTAATCCGTCAAGAAGCACGTCCCATGGGGTTGAAACGTCGACTTCGTGGTCGTCAATGGCACTGGGTCGTCCGAGAGACATGCAAAGAAACTGCTCAAAAGCGTACAACGTGCACCAAAGTCTCTTTCTTGCTTCACGCTCGACAGGCCGGAACGATGTGCTGGTATCGTTTCTGTGCAAACCAATAGCGAGTGCTATACGTATCGCAGAGCCTACAATCATCCAAGCGCTATTCCTCTCCTTGAAGTTGTGAAGGAACAAAGCCAATAGTAAAAGCGCCTCCAAGCTGGATTGAACACATTTACCAGCTAAAGCTGTCAGATGAGACCGGGCCGTTTTCAGACAATTGTTACGTATCCGGGTGGAATTCTGTTGACCTACATCCCCCGGGAAGGCGTCGGGCGGACGAGGATAGAGAGTCGCGAACGCGACAATCATGTGAAGAGAGACCAGCCAGCCGGAGTCGGGACCTTGCTTCTCCGGATTGTGCTTAGCAATTTCCCAAGCATCTCCAGCATAGACCCTTGCCGAGGAGAGAAATACTTCAAGGTCCTCCTGAAAGCTAGCCCGGTTAAAAATGGGGAAGTTAGGATGAACCTTAGTAAAGAAGATGGCTATGAAGTCCTCCAGAGTCCGCAAGCCGATATCCTGAAGGGAAGCGTACAGATCCATACCCGGAGCTGTTGCAGGAATTGTTACTTCGTGTTCAGCAATCCGCGTCTGAGATACATCGCGCGAATGTTGATTGCTTGCTCGTCTTCGAACCTCCAGAGCCTCTGCAACATTGTCACTGGCAAATCGAGCATTCGGTTGCCTTTGTTGTATCAGATCACGAAGTTGAGCGAAGAATGATAGACTGCCAGACGGTCCAATATAATGCATCACCCCACTAGAGTCGGAAACCAGTCTCGAGGAATCGATAGACTCTGGGTGAAATCGTGAAGAAGATGGGCCTTGGTTTTCCTGGAGGCGGGAGGTCGAGAGCGGCAAGCGGTCATTTTCTTGCGGGTTTGAAATTGCTTCGTGGCCGTCTTCATTTCTTGTCTGGATCTGGGTCGATATAGGTTCAAATGAACCCTGCTCTTCCCACCCAGGACCCTCTAATACAACATCATTGAGTGGACAGCCAATTCGCTTTGCGAGCGCATGCAGGTCACGCGTCGTTTCGAACTCAGCATGAGGGCAGACATGCCGGACTATGGCCTCGAGAACATGGCAGCTAGAAATTTTGTCAGACAACATGGCATCAGTTCTGCTTAGCTAGACAAACCGCTGGTTAAGCGCGTCGATTGTTCCATAGAATCGTGGTCTCTTCGGCGTGGTGGAAAGGCAAGCGGAGCCACTCTTAAGGCATGACTGGCAAGATGTTGAAGAGTCATCGCGGACACATTTGCATCGACGCTGAAGTTGGTAAGCGGTGGTGCTTTGCCCATCGGAAACCGATCGAGCTGTCCTTACCTTGCGGCAGCGATCACAACTTTGCAGAGCACGTTTTCTCAGATCCGCCGGCACGCACCGATCTTTCTTTGATGATGGCATCGCAGCCTCGACGCGACAGAGCTGTACTAGGTGCAGCGGAACACGAGAACGACGCATTCGGTTTCAGAATTCCTTTGAAGGGAAGACTGGAATCGCGGGAGGAGGGAAGAAAGTCCGATCGGAACAGGACTCCACATGCTGACCCAGCGGAGCCCACAGCCACTTGGAGCATGATGGGACCCCGATTTCGTTGCTTAGGCATGTGGAGACTGTCACTGTTCTGGTTCACATGGGTTTTTCATCAAACTGGAAACGTTGACCTACTGTATTAATCTAATACACTAAAGGTTGAAGTCTGGTTAAATAATGTCCTCATCTAAAGTAATTTTTGTTTGTGGCCAGCCAAACCAAGCTATCACGGCAAACAGATTTGCAGGTTCTCAACAAGTCGACCACAACTCGTGTTTAAACAGCACTGGGGCTTCCAAACAACGATTGGAACGCATACACTGTGCTTTTTTTTTTTTTTTTTTTTTTAAATCATGGCTTCGGCGGATTCGTTCATCAAGCTGCCAGATGGACGAGTACTTGAGTATCTCTTAGAAGGAGACGTGAGCCGCCCAGTTGTCTTACTGTCAAATTCATTGTTGGCCCCGATGAGTCTATGGGATCCGTTCGCCGCGAAGCTAAAGCAAGAGAGATTCAGAGTACTGAGGTACAACCAACCAGGCCACGGCGCTTCGACATCACCGGGAGATGAAAACGGGACTACATTCTGCTCGCTTGCAGCCGATGTGTCAATACTGCTTCAGACACTCGGACTCAACGTTGTCTTTGCATGGATTGGGATCTCTATGGGCGCAGCTACCGGCGTCGTGTTTGCTGCGTCAAATCCTGGAGTAGTCCACCATTTGATTGCTGCCGACACAATCACTTCGTCTCCAGTTATCGCCGGGGTTGATGATCCATTTGGTCCATGGGTTGAGCTGGCCAAAAGAGACAGGTCCAACGTCATCAAAATTTTGTCGGAGAAGACCTTGGAGCGCTGGTTCTCCGAAGAATGGAGAACATCGAATCCTCAGGAGATCTCTCGGCTGAGACAGCTCATGAACACTACCGATGTTGACGGGTTCATCACCTGTTGCCGGGCCCTTCAAAGCAACACATTCGATTTGAAGCCATATCTTCTAAAGCTTGGTGCCGCTGTCGACGAAGCTCTGTTCATTGCAGGGCAGCTCGATGCAAAGCTACCAACGACTATGGATGACATGCGAAAAAAGGCGCAGAAGAGTTTTGAGGCTGCCGGGAAGGCTAACTCGCCCATCGAATTGGTGGTTATTGAGAAGGCCGGTCATGTACCAGTCATTGACGGGGAACGGCAATTTAGTGATGTTGTGCTGGGGTACTTAAGGGCCTGGAACCAGACGTAAATGATGTCAAAGTGATTGTATTCGAGGCTCTTCCTCTCCATCAGAGACGAGCAACTATATGGGTATATATATACCTGCCAACAGGCAGCAAAACGAGTGTACAGAAAGTACCTTGTCCTTCCAATAGCTTTCAGAGCATCGCCAGGCTGCCGCGGTCAAAGACAGGCAACAGCAGGCAGAATACAGCCAAGTAGAGCAAATAGCAACGAATGTGGCATGGCGCAAGGCTGGACAATGCTGAATTTGTATAGGGGACGTTGGCGACATTCATGGTGTTGATGATCCAGAACCTCGGAGGCATTCGCCGGCCAACAGTAAACCTAGTACGTGTCACGGCTCGAACTACCAACGATTCGCCTTCGACGATCCTGAGTCTGCAGGTTAGAGTGTAGTCAAACTTGTTGTGAACAAGTAGCTGCGGCCGATAGGTTGTTGCACACAACCACGCATAACCAACCTACAACTCGTCAAACAACCTGCCACCAAATTTCAGTCCCCTTGCCACCAAATTCAAAGAGGCGTAATAGTACCACACTCCTGGTTTTCACTAACCACATGGATTACAGCAAAAGCCTCAGGATGCATGTAGCCGATGGAGCGACAACGGTCTATTTTGCCACCCGGCTGCACGCATCCGGCACATTTGTTTTCGCCCGGGAACGGCGAACGACGACCTGCAACACGGATCCACGCGTTTCAGGTCCGTAGCTCAGCGATTTGTTACCTTTTTAAAAGTTTCGAGGACATTAAACCCTCCGTGATTGCCGATCAGCGAGTGTGCTTTCGGTCTACAGAAAGCTGTACAGAACGAATATGTCCCCTTCAACACCAAGACGAAAGATTTTGGTAGTCGGCGCTGGACTTGGTGGCCTCTGTGCCGCCCTGGGCCTCCAGACCGACGGGCACAAAGTCACCATAATTGATGCTGCTCCTGAATTTGCCGAGGTGAGTCCGTTTACAAAATGCATTTAGATATCGTGGAACTTGGTTTGACTCCGAGTGGCTCTCAGGCCGGTGCAGGAATCAGAATCCCACCCAACAGTTCGCGACTACTCCTGCGATGGGGAGTCGACATTGCCAATATGAGCAAGTCAGTCTCGCGGCGGTACCACTTCGTTCGGTGGAAGGATGGCTCGACTATCACCAAAATTCCCATGGAAAACATCGTCCAGGAGCACGGGGCACCGTACTACTTGGTGCATCGTGCGGATCTGCACGCTGCATTGCTCAAAGCCGCGACTGATGCAGGGGTTGAGATTCACACCAACAAGCGCGTCACTGAATACGACTTCGACACTCCATGCGCGATAACAGTGAAGGGCGAAATCTTCAGAGCCGACTTTGTCATCTGCTCTGATGGTAGGTCGAGAAAACGGCTGATTATACGGATAAGAGCTGACAAAAAATTCAGGCATCAAATCCCTGGCGCGACCGCTTTTGACTGGTCAACCAGACAGACCGCGCGACACCGGAGATGTTGCATATCGGATACTGATTGCAGGAGAGGACTTGCTGGCCGACCCTGAACTTGCAGGCTTAATCACTGACCCATGTACAACTTCATGGTGCGGTCCAGACGCCCACCTGGTTGGCTATCCCATCCGAGACGGTGCCCTGTACAATATAGTTGTTTGCGCTACGTCTCACGGGGAGACGACTGATGAAGTCTGGGTGGTCAAGGGAGACAACGAAGAATTGTGCAAGCGATTTGGAAGCTGGGAGCCTCGTTTACAGAAGTTGTGCAAGCTCACCCAAGACTTTATGAAATGGCGACTTTGCGACCTGCCGGCCTTGAACACCTGGATCCACCCATCCGGCAAAGCATGCCTTCTCGGCGATTCGTGCCATCCTATGCTGCCATATTTGGCCCAAGGAGCAGCCCAAGCTGCGGAAGATGCCGCTGTCTTGCGTCAATGCTTGGGGACATATGAGGATTTGAGCGAGGCGCTCAACAAGTATGAAAGTATCAGATTGCCTAGAGCTGCCACGGTCCAGCTGAAGACCCGGGAACACCAGTACATCTTGCATGTCGATGATGGAGAGATCCAAAAAGAACGTGACGAAAAGATGAAGATGAACGCTGAGCAGAACCCGGTATTCTGGGGTTATGAGCCAAGAAGGGAGTGGCTTTTCAGCCATGATGCCGAAGCAGCGCTTGAACAAGCGAACAAGGTTTGGACACCTCCGCCCATCCAGACGGCAGTGGCTACCGGTTAGGCTGCATTGAATAAAGGGAATTCACAAAGACATCATAGATAGAGACTCTGCAATGTTTTCCTAATTCAAAGACAAAATGTGTCCCCCCTGAGTAAAAGGCCATTATATTCAATGGAGCGGAAGGATTCGTGGCCACCGGGAAGGCCGGCAAGCCTCTACGCGCTCGTATACCCTCTGATGGTTTAGTACTGTATGAGAGTTTGGATGTCAAGGCCGTTTCAAGTATCTCTGTTACGGATGCTTTTAATTTGCCTGAGGAGTCATCCCATCCGGTACAATGGTAAGGACGCGTTTTATCTTATGACTCTATCTTGACAACCACTCTTCCTTCGACTTTAGCCTGCTCAATATCGTCCAAAACCTGAGCAATATCGTCCAATGATCTCTCCACCAGCCTTGGTTTTACTTGGCCACGAGCGACAAATTCTAGAGCTTCTTCAGTATCCTTGAGGGTTCCTGTTGACGTTCCCACAATCTTTATGCCTCTCGCTATGAAATCTTCAGGGAAAACTGGTATGGGCGACGGTATCGGGGGTAGGCCGATGCAAACCAAAGTGCCAGACCGCCGAAGATATTTCACCGCATCGGCATATGCTCTTCCATTGGATGCACAGATCAATGCCCCAGATACACCGCCATCGGTCAGATTTTGGACTTCTGCAACGACGTCCGGAGTTTCCAGGACGTCGATATAAGCTTCTGCACCAAGGCTGAGACAGATCTCCCTCTTCTTTGCGTCCAGCGTAAGTGGTCTTAACCCCATTGCCTTTGCATATTGAATGGCAAGATGCCCGAGGCCGCCCCCCGCTCCAGCCACGGCGACCCACGATCTCTTACGTAGCTGTGCGATTTTGAGAGCCTTGCAGACGGTTACCCCTGCGCAAAGTATCGGGGCGCCGTCAGCGTCACTGACGCCTTCTGGGAGACGAACAAGGTATTCTGAGTCCGCCAGGGCGTATTGAGCGAAGCATCCTTCCACATCCTTGCCACTTACTTGTCGGTTCGGGCATAGATTTTCGTATCCAGTCGTGCACATCTCGCACTCTCGGCATACCTTGTGTAGCCAGCGGACTGCCACTCGGTCGCCAATTTTCCATACATTGGCATCGACGTCAGGACCTAAAGAAACAATTCTTCCAGTACCTTCATGTCCAGCGATTGATACAGTAGGTTGAAGATAAGGAAGGTCCCGTCTGCTCAGATGCAGGTCCGAAGCACAAACTCCTGAGTAATTCACACGAACAAGGACCTGGGTTGATCTCGGCACAGGTGTACTTCGTTGAGCTTTTGAGATGGTTTTCGTGATAGCATCCTGCACGGCGGCATAGGATGATGCGGGGACTAGGGCAGTGACGGCTGACGGCATGGCAACACTGACTCTCAATGGATATGGTAGAGTTTGAGGCAAATGACGGTGTTTGAGGTGCATGGAAACATATATGGTTCGATCGTGCATCCACGCGTCGATCTACTGGCCTGGGCCCGACGCGGCCCTTTGATATCGGGTGATTGTACCCGAAACCTCCGGTTGTTGCCCAATTGCATTGAGCTTTCAATGGTCATTCTTAGCGTCAAGCCACAACAACGGATCTATGTAGGAAACTTATGCCCGATGTACTAGGGGCCGCGGACAGGATATTCTACGTGGTAAAAGCGTAGCCTTTGTATTTTGGGGGCAAGCTCCCAAACCCCTAGGCCCCGCTGCGCTTGAGACATCACGTGACTGAGCTGACCATATTGGTCTTGGCAATTCTTGGCGGCGCACACATGCGGCCCTACCACGATTCACGTGATAGCCAACCCCTCGGGATCCGGAAAATCTATAATCCGGTAACCACCAAATCTTTTGCTCTGATTGGCTGGCCCCATCGGATCCAATCCACGGCCCACCCAGGAATGGGTAGAGCACGGCCGTAGCCCGGAAAATCTATAATCCGACAACCAATCACGTGCTCTAATTGGCTAACTCCATCGGATCCAGTCCACGGCCCATCCAGGAGGGGTGGAATGCCGCCGTAGCCCGGAAAATCTATAATCCGAAAACCAATCACGTGCTCTAGTTGGCCGACCCCATCGGATCCAATCCACGGCCCACCCAGGAATGGGTAGAATGCCGCCTTGTCTGCTAGACCCCCCGATCGGATCCAGTCTATGGACCACGTGGGGACGATGTTAATCACGGTGTCCTATGCCATACGATATCCTCCATCGGATCCAGTCTATGGACCGTGTGTAGACGATGTTGATCACGGTGTCCTGTGCCGTACGATTCATGGCTCATGAAGTAGACGACGGTATACCCAATTAGGAAAGCCGACAACGACATCCGCGATATATCTAGCAAATATCGATGCATGGGGCAGAGCGTCTTGAGATCAATCATCGACTTCTCATCGATAATCAGGAACCGACAGCTCGCAAAGGACGCCTGGAGCAACTGTAGCGTTGCCACCGATAGATCCGACGTTGTCATCTTGACCGGGAGCCGTAAGAGACTATGCAGGGTCTTGCCCACGATATTGAATGCTGCAATGCCTGTCGGGGCTGCCCGAAAAACAGGGTTGCCCTTTCCGGCGGCTGTCGCGATCTCCTGGATCCTGGCGCATGCTTTCAGTAGGGTAAACGTCTTTCCGGTCCCGGCCTCCCCATCCACGTTCAGAAGGAGTTGTGGTGGCGCGGAGTGTCTCGTGAGGCTGATCTCATTCGTGTAGTGGGTGACGATCATGTCATAGAGCTTTCTCTGCTCCCGATTCAATGGTTCGGGTGAGGAATTCACATCCACCACCAACTCAATCGGATTTTCGGCCTTGATTTGCTCCCAGACATCTGGACGTAGGTCACCATACCGCCCGATATGCGTCGACCAGTCATACGCACGGTCGATTTCCCGGCTCCCTAAACCGTCCAGCAAGTCCCCACGGGTGGGCAAATCGGCTCCCGGCCGCCGGCGCGCCAAAACCTCGAAGTCAGCCAGGGGATGTTCATTTGCGGCCTCCTCCGGGGGATCCTCATCGTCCGAACTCGAGTCCGAATCCGAGCCTTCTCCTTCCGGGTCATCGTAGAAGTCTGGCGGGTGTGTATGTAAACGTCGACAGGCCCGAAATGCGTCGATATATGATCCGTAGCTCTCGTTCTCGACGGAGAGGAGATCGGACCAGTCCGTAAATGGATGATGGAGCATCAGTTTGACGCGGCAATGGTCCGAATAACTCTGAGATTTCGGATCGTTCGGATACCTGGGGTAGTAGTTGATGACCCGTGAACTCGCCCGCGGCCGGATCTTCCACTTTAGCCAATCCCAGAACTGGAGGCAGCTCAAAAGACTGAGGTCCCGAAGGGCGGCGTTCCCGTTTCTCGTATCGGTCAGACGATCTCGATACCTTCGTAGGACCGATCGCCTGGCCGAAATGTCCCCCGACTCCAAGACAATCAGGTCGTCTTGTACTTCTTCGGCCGGCAATCGAGGCTGACGACTCCCCGCGACGAATGCTGAACCGGAATCTGGAGAAGGAGATGGGAGACCTCCTGTGCGGACCAATCCCGTTCTCTAATAAGTGAGGGCGTGCCGAAGGCCGCTTTTATTCACAGTTACTAGCGCCTTGGCATATTTCACAATTAAAGCCCGGAGATCTCGATGCGATGTTCTCGCTTCTGTTTCTGCTCATACCGCTACACATCCTGCTGCTTATGCTGATATTCGTGCTCATGCCAGGCGCGCTGTTTTGCCGAACTGCTCGTCCTCGGGACTTTCTACTTCCTTTCTCTTCGATCCGGTAAGCTCTGCTTCCACTTCCTGCATTCTAGCTTCACTCTCATATCTGAAGTTTTCATTAATTTCAGAGAACACTCTATTTCTCTGAGAGAGTCGATCGGCCAGAGTGTTCCCCGTTTGTATCGCAGCAAAGAACCGCTCGCTCGAATCTGTAGCCTTGAAGTGCTCTAGGCAGCCAAAGATGGTATGGCCGTGTCCTCGCGAATGGATAGCCCACAAATCAGGTTGCTTTCCATTTGCGCTGTGCATCACTTGAACAAGTGGAGCGTAAGCCGCACTGCTTCTGACCACCCCTAGATCAAAGAGGAGGAACAGGATCGGGTTCGCCATCTGAGTGAACACAAATTTCATCGGCTTGCGATCAGAACTCTTCTCCTTCGATTTGCCCGAATTCGACGTCTTCGGGCTGTCATTGATAAACTCCTCCTCGAAGATCTCTCGAGGTGTTGTGGCATTCTCTTTGTTCTTTACCTGTACTACGATGACTCCGCAATTCGAAGGGTCGAACGTCTCATCCTCCGTGCCATAGTACACCGGAATCAGTATATCGTATGTTTCCTGGTTCCAACATAGCTGCATCGCAGCGCTCCGGCGTAACAGGTCCCGACATAATGCAGGAATGTCCTCGGGGGTAAGTTGTGTATCAGTTGATAGAAAATGAGTGAAGTTCATTCTGGCTTCCAGTGTCCGCTTAGGTATCTCTCGAATTGAACCGTGATGATCTTTAGCATATAATGCCATGAGAAAGTCGCACACCGTAAAGGTTGGTGGAAATACTGGCTCACGAGCCCACCGAACCCAGTCGTGTGCAAGGATCAACACTAATCGAGCATAGAGTTCTCCTTTGCGCCCCTTTTCGATCAATCCTTTCTCAAGAAGCACCATACAGAGCGTGGAAATGCTCAACGACCAGCGGCCTTCGATGCAGAGATGCTCCATTGCTGCCTTTGCTAACACTGGCTCGGATGGCGTCGTTGTGTCCATCATTCCCGTCTCGTGGTCCATAGATATGACCACTCTCATAAAAGAATTCACCGCCTCCCTTGTGAAGGAGAGAGTGGCGGGGTTCTGCCGGCAGACATCCAAAGAGAGACGAAAGGACAGCGCAGCAAAGACGTGGTTCGGGTCGAGATCATTGTACTCTGATCGTTGCTGGCCGCCTAGAAGCTTCAATTTGGCCACGTCGATCATATTCTGTTTCTGACATATATATGCGTACCAGAGAGGCCTACCGAATAGAGCCATGTGCTCGAGGTCCGCAAACCTCTTTAACGACTTGACGAGCTCCTCTTTCCTCAGTATTGGATTCTGCATCCTTCGTCGGTCCTCGATGTCGAGCTGGAGACTCACAAATGGGGGAAAGCGCATCAGTTCGGCGGGCTGTGTAAAACTGACACGAGCGGAACGGTCGCGAGAGTAATCGCCAGTTCGGATGATATTGTTCGGCGGGACAAGGTGTCCGATGAGAGATTCTGTTGAGAGGAAGAAGGACCACATACGAAACTTCTTCAGGCAACTGATGACTCGATTAAGCGCCACATAGAGTCCGGTGCGTGGTTCACCAGAGAACCCCTTTTCTATCAAACTTGACGCCTCGTCGAACACGATGACCAAGAGTGAGTTAGTGTCACTTACGTTCCGGCACTGCTGAATATTTTTGATCAGGTTTTCGGCAGCATTGAGGAGGCCGGTTAAGGGATCGAGGGGTTCTGTCCACGCCATTTCGAATTGACGACGAATGCTTGAGGAGCGGTCATCGTCGAACTTCTCGACCCAGGCCGGACTGAAAATCAAATCGTTGGCGATAGCCCGAGCTCTCTTAGCTACCGATTCGCAAAACTCGATGCGCATCTTGGAGCGTTGGTTCTGAGTGTCGTTAGCATCGGTAGCTAGTGCAAGCGGTGCCATCTCTGCGTGCCTGTCACCTGCAAGCTTTTCTAGAGTCATCTCGCTAAAGGGCTTGCTCTCCACCCAGATATTGACTGACAGGATCGAATTAGCGAGAGTTTGGTGAAAAAGGCATTAGCAATTTACATATCTCGAAACTGGCTTGGAGCAACGCTGCAGCGAGGGTGTGATTCCACGCTACGATCGCTCTCCTCTCCAGAGAATCACCAGAGGTCCCCTGCAGGCTGGCGGGCTCGGGGATGTTGTCTGGCCGCTTCTCGCGCAGAAATGACAGTATCTCTTTATCAGGAGGTGGAAAGCCGGAAGTTCCAGGCTCACGAAGAATGAAGTTGATCATGGGACAGAGTTGGCCGAAAGCATCCGCTAATCTTGATTTACCCGTACCGCTGCTCTGAACGAATACCAAGGTCTTTGCGTAGTACTTGCTCACATCGAGTAGCTGGTATCGCCGAATGAGGTCCCGTAGCGCAACTAGGGAGTGCGGAAAATAGGCATTGTTCCAATCTTTTTGCAAGGCATGGAAGATAGCCCTTTTCTGAGGGGAGGTCAGTACGTGGAAGGCGGGATTGTTGATGTCTGTCTTAGTCATGGCCTTCTTTGCTAGACTCGGGAGTAGCTTTTCGTACTCTTTCGGATTTTTTTTCTCCAGCCACCTGCATAATTCGGTTATACTCGTATGTTGCAACTCTTCTTTCCACTCTTTCGGGTGATTTTTCGTTAGCCACTGGTATAGCTCCCACATCTCACTGTTACTTAAAACTATTGGCTCTTTTTCCGGTGTAACGGGGTTTACCTGGGCAGCTTGAGAGCCTGTCCCGGTGTACCCCGTGCCTGATTCTGAAGGGGTGCTCATAGTGAAGCTACCTGAAATGGCCGGACGTGACGAGAAGAGAGGCAGGGAGCGGAGGAAGAGGGGAGAAAGCGGAGAGTAAGAGCGGCAAGCAACAGCGGCGGGAGAGGTAATGGATCAGGAGAGGTGATGGATCAATCGATGAGAAGATGATTCAATCCGTTAAATGATTGACTGGTTCCGGAATGAGTAGAAAGGTTGGAGGGGCAAGTTGCCTCAAGTGACATCGCAGGAGTTTACACAGCGATGACACGCGGGGTGACACGACGGTGACACGCTAAGCCAAGAACCGGCCCCTGTTGTAGCCAGGGCCTGTGACTCCATCACGTGACACAGCGTGACACTCCACACTGCAGATAGATAGGCGCTCTCTGCATTCAACCAGCAAATCCGTGGGCCATGGGCCATGAACTAGAGGCCGCAGACAGGATATTCCGCGGGGGTAAAAGCGTAGCTTTTGTATTTTGGGGGCTAGCCCCCGGGAGGTGTGCACCACTTTTTGTTATTATGTACACCGGCTACAACACCCCCGCAGAACGCCACGAACACTGCGTAAAAGACTCATATTTTTACTATACCGTGTGTAGAAATGCTCATCTAGTAAGCAAACGTCTTTTCAGCTTTCAAAATCGCTCATATATGCTTGCAGAGTGGAGGTAAAATAAGTGCTATTCTGGCGTAGTGGTCCACCCTTTTGAAATTTGTACGTCGTACCATTTAACGCACGGAACGCAACGAAGTTTGGTTGATCCAATTTTTAAAGGCTAATAGCAGCTATATTCTCAGAGCACTCGTTGTTGAGATTTTGGCGATTCAATGTTGGGAAAAGAGTGTACAGAATAACAAAATGTGGTGTACAGACTAACACGCCTATTCTGTACACCAACCTTCCTTCAACACACTTTGCGCATTGTTCTATACACCTCTCTATTCGCCCTGGTTCTCGTTAAGCTAGCGACATTCGAATCTCCGCGGTAAGTGGCGTGTTTGTAGAACGCTAGCGCGTAGGAGTGATCTTCGGGTAGAGGGTAGAGAAGCACTTCCTTCCTTTTCCTCTGGTAAAATTTGTATCCCCTGCACGAGGTATCGACCGTGCAGGGGATAGAGGGTGACCAATCGAGCTTGTCAGGGGCCGTGGACTGGATCCGGTAGGCGACGGGGGATTTCATTGGATCCAATCCATGGACCATCTCAACGTCGAGGCTTGACCGTTCACGCTCAGTTACGAAGCATCTCGAGTGTGATTAATAGAGCTTCTCTAGATGGTCCACAGACTGGATCCGACGGGAGCTGGCGCGGAAAATATTTAATCCGATGACGGTTTACTGGAAAATTGTTAATCCGTTAAGGGAAAAGTTGCATTACGTAATTAGAGATGACGTCACTTTAGCCAATCAGAGGCCGGTGTATAGAATAAGACTTATCACGTGATTAGTGTACTAAATAGTATTTTCGCTTACTAATCAAGGTGTACTGACTAGAATAGGTGCTCACGTGCAGGGGGGTCAGGATTCAAAAGAAAGCTACGCTTTCAACTAGGTACGTCTACCCGAGAACGCTGTGGCTGTGATTCTAATTTCTCTGCAGGCTGCCAAGAAATTTCTGGAAATTCGCCACTTGCAACTCGTCACGTGGTCTGCCACTCATCTTCAAACTGCCACGGCTTTTTGGATTTGAGCAGACAAAATTCATTACATCCTCCTTGCCACTCACCAAAGCAACAACTTGACGATATCTTGTGGTGGAACTTCCACATCAATAGCGGACGAATTTCCATCCGTGTTGAAATACAAACAATCTTTGAACAGAACGCGCGACTCACTCTCCGGGACTTTTCCGAAATGGCGAACTATCTAGCCTCCATCTTCGGCACAGAACAAGACAAAGTAAGTTCTCTCCATCTCCTTGGAATCGACAAACACTAACATCGAGAATAGGTCAATTGCTCGTTCTACTACAAAATTGGCGCCTGCCGCCATGGTGACCGATGTTCGCGCAAACATGTCAAACCGTCCTACTCGCAAACGATTCTCCTTCCCAACCTGTACCAAAATCCCGCCTACGATCCGAAGAATAAGATGAATGCATCCCAGCTACAGAACCACTTCGACGCCTTCTACGAGGACTTTTGGTGCGAGATGTGCAAGTACGGCGAGATCGAGGAGGTAGTCGTCTGCGACAACAACAATGATCATCTCATCGGCAACGTCTATGCGAGATTCAAGTACGAAGATTCGGCGCAGGCAGCTTGCGATGCTCTGAATAGCAGATGGTATGCTGCGAGGCCGATCTATTGTGAATTGAGTCCAGTCACCGACTTCAGAGAAGCTTGTTGTCGGTTGAATTCTGGAGAGGGCTGTGTGAGAGGAGGATTCTGCAACTTTATTCACAGAAAAGAACCGAGTCCCGAGCTGGAGAGAGAGTTAGAGCTCAGCACGAAGAAATGGTTGAAGATGCGTGGACGAGATGAGAGGAGTATGTCTCGGAGTCCGAGCCCAGAACCAACAAGGAAGAGATATTAAGGCTACAAGAGACAACATACACAATCAAACATGATGCTCTCAGATTCACGACCTGTGCGCAGCATGACTGGCTGAGACCGTCACACTTCGAAAATGCAGCCTGTGCTAGCTAGCCTGGGACTGGACCAGCTTTCATCCGTCCGTCGAGACATCAAGGAGACATAACGCATGTATGGGGATTACGGCGCTCATCCAAGTCGCACCCAACTAGACCACGAGGGATAAATCCTTTACCTCTGATCCGGCTTTCCCAGCTGGATACGCCACTCATATATCTCCAAAGAACGAGGAGGTTAGCCTACACAATTCACATGCTCTAATTGCCGATGTATCGCGCGTGGACTTGAGGATGCGAATCCGATTCACAAGTGTCACGATGGAAGAACAGGGGACGAACGAGCAGAATCAAGTCGTCCGGCTGTTTTTACTCTTTTGGCTGGGGATATGGAGACCTGGCGCCAAAGAACCGCCACGACGCACGCATCACGAAGATGCGTCTGTGGTATTGGGGAAACAAGATGAGATCTTGAAGTAAATCCCAGCTCGGGCACGTCCAGGAAAGGGTGTAGAGATCGCGAGAGAGGAGGGGCAGATAGCGTCGAATCCGAATGGAGGACTTGGTCGTCAACCTCGTTAAGCCAATTGATTGTTTCACCTTGAAGTTTCAGAAAGTCGATATCTCACTGACAGTCAGTATCTCTCGAGTGTGTCCGCCTTCACAAGACACCAAAGGAACTTGGACCGGTGCAGGTGATTTTCAAATTCGGTTTCTATTGATCGATGTGGGATATTGTAGTAGTTCTAGCTGTCTATCTGATCGGTAATTCTCACCGACGTAATGACCATGTTCTCGTTATTTCGTAATTCCCAATCCCATTCTAACTGGATGGCCTCCCAGTTCCCCGAAGATACCAATGACATCAATTTTGGCTCAACGCTGGGTGTCAAGCTTTGCCGGAAGTTTATGGTACGGTGACGGTAGACCAACCAATCTTTTATTGTGATGTTCGATATGATTGTTGAGGAGCTAACATGTTGCTCAGGATTTGATGTTGTCCGTTGTCCGTGAGGAAATTCGTCCCCCTGTCAATGGTCGCCTTGGATAGTAGAATATTGTTGGAAGCAGGTATGTCGTGCGTAGTGGTGGTTTGTTGGCTTCAATTTGTGTGCTCAGTCGACATGGTCATGACGACTTCGACTTGAATGGTCCGACTTTGGAAAACCACAATAAAACAAGAACAATTGCTGCAATTAGAGCGAGAAATCCAAAGGCAATTATCCATCCAACAATTCGGGTTCGACGCTGTTTCCTCCGATTGCGCTCAAGCCACGAGTCCCTAGCCAAGATTAGTATTTTGCTCCCATGTGCCAATGTTATTCCCAGCTACATACGCATGTTTCAAGGGCGCTCTTGAAGATGTAGTCGACGCTGATCTGGCGTCCGGAATGGTGGCTTTCTCTTCATCCAAATGCACCGCCATGGAAAAGCGTCGCCAGAACGCCGGATCGCGAACGCCCGCCATGGCCAGTGTTCCGTTGTTTGTGAAGACTTGTCGTATATGAGAGCTTAGATTTTAGTATGGAATCTCGAAGTTCGGATCTCGGAATCTGTGTCGAGAGATTGAAGGATTGTTCAAGTGTCTCGAGACGGACGGGATGAGAAAAGACTTGGTTCAAACGAATGGATGATGCTGAAACACGAACGAGTGAGTGCAACAGATCTTAACAAATGGGGGAGAACAAGAACGAAGGAGAGATGCAGGACCAACTCTTGTCACATCCTTGAACGGCAAGAAGAATTCAAAGAAGCAGGCGGAACAGAGGTGGTATAGAAAGAGCACGCAGGAGACTGCTCCTTAAGATCGCCATCGGCAGTGTTACTCGAATTCCGCGTCCCTGCGCTAGTCCCACGAATGAGTTTGTTCTGGTTTCACAATGTTCTTGGGAGCCACATTGAAATTCGCCTGATTGAGTGTCGCGTGGGCGTGGGCAGTCTCTGCTGGCCAGGCCTTTGCAAACCCCAGAGCTCAGGTTCTGGTTGGAAACGATGGGCGTTCCGATAAACAATCTCATCCAACGCCAATCATAATAGTCCGCGCCAAAGTCTGTTTAGAACAAACAATCTTATACCGAATTAAGGAAACGGGGCTGGGGACGGAGAGAGGAGCCGGGAGGGAACAGGTCACCACAAGTCACAACGGGCCGACTATTGATTGGCTTGACAGAACGAAGCGATGGAAACGGTTCAGATGGAGAGACAGGCGTTGGGTCAGGGTGGATTGAGGAAAACCGTTTGATGAAGGGTGGAGACGACGGGAGATTGCTGGACCTGACATTGAAAAAGATAGATTTGATGTCGGCAGCAATCACCGACCGCAGCCAAGCCTTTTCTCCCCTTTGGCATCAAATACAGCTTCTTGAACCTCGCTCTGTATTGCCAGGGTAGTCCTGGTCAGCAGGCAATTGTGACGCGGTCTATTAAGCTCGTGTTGATAAGAACACACTCTTCCATACGTTTAAAGTTATCAGCTATCTGAAGTAACAACGAGGGGGCGCGTGTTGCGCTACACGGCCCGAGCTATCTGGATCAAATTTGCTTGAACCGTTGATGACATAGCTGGCTGAGGTCATGTTAGATATTGACAAGGCTCAGTCGCCCGCGTATATTCATCCGGGAACAAGAGGAGAAACTTTTTTATTGCTGTTGAAAGAGTTGACGGAAAATAGCAATGTCCGCAATTAAAGGCACCGGAATTAGTCGCTTCCAGCACTTCCAAGGTTGGTTCCAAAGATTATCGAACTCTGATTTTGCTGGATATCTCAGGCTTTGGTTGGCTCCTTCGTTTGGAGGTGTTCCACCGTTGCTTCAACCTTCTCGGTCATCAATTCTTTCACCCCTTTCAGGAAAATTACCGCAACAAGAGCAAGAACAACAAATGGGATGATACTCGCCCATGCCAGTCGATACGCGTGGGCATATGCCCAGTGGCTGGCACCCAACGTCTTTGCCTCTATTGTCGCATTGACGCCAGGGACGTCGGACAACCCTATTCCCGTGGCCAAGGCTTCTAACAAAGCAGATACAGATGACTCTGGCAACCCTGCTTCAACAGCTGCATTGCCAACCTTTGTCGGATATGACGTGAGTTTGCCATTGATAATGGCATCCAAGACCGCAGATCCAAATGCTCCTCCAATAGCGCGGGCTGAAAATCCCAGACCTGTAGCGGTGGAGAGGAATGCATGCGGCGCGGTGAACTGCACCAAGGCGACAATAAGGGTAAGAGGTCCAGACTGGCCAATACCAGAGAGTACGTTGAAGCCGATCTGAGCATTGTTCATATTAGGTGTGATTACCGAGTAGCAAATTGTGCTATTTGGATATTAGTTTGGACCATGGAAGTGGAAGATTTTATACAACTTACACGACCAGGAATATCAGGAACGTCACGATCAACGGTGACTTTAAGTCCTTGTACTTCGTGGCATACAATCTGCGAATTTCGCATCATTAGTGTCACTCAACTTACCGTCTTCCTTTTCAACGGCTTGGCTCACGTGAGTGGAATTGACGTAAACAGGGTCACCAGATTATAGGAGAGCTGTCTGATGGAAATATCCCATGCATTGTTCTCAAAGCCGAGATTGAGGACAATCTGAGGAGTGACACTGTTGACGGCGCTGTAGAAGAGCCATCCCTCGACTGCGAACGCGAAAACCGAGAGACCGAAGTTGGGCGAGCCTTTGAAAAAGACATGTGCCACAAGACCATCCGAGCGACCTTTCCATTCTGCGCCATGGGTTTCAGTCGAGCACATGAAAGTTCAGCCACGAATTCTTCACTCACCATATGCACAAAACAAGGCCAAAAATCCAAAGCCAATGCCCAGTGGAGCAGCAACATGAGCATCCGACCAAGCGTATGCGCCTCCAGCCCAGTCCAAGGCCAGAAGCAGCATGGTACAGGCTATGATGAAAAGGAAAGATCCGATTGGATCGCATGCCCAGATGTATTCTTTCAGAGACATCTTGGGATAGTCCGAACGTCGAATGGGGTGGTAGAACAAAATGAGCCCAAAGAATGTAGCCAGATGGAAGGCTGCTTGCATCCAAAAAATGTCGCGCCAGCCAGATGCACTCGCGTTCGTGACTCCACCTGACCCCAGGATACCGACTCTGCAGAAAGGGGGGGAATTATCAGCCACATTCATCATACATTTTCATCCTGCAGTGGACGTACAATCCGCCGACGGCACCTCCAAGGAAAGCAAATCCATTCGCAAGAGCTCGATACTTCAGTGGCAAGACCTCACTGGGGATGGCTTGGACAATTGCGATCGTGCTCAATGTCACACCGATCAGGATTCCCCCTCCGATGAGCATGGACATCGATGTTGCTTTTGCTGAAATGACTGCACCGGCGAAGGCGATCAATGGTGGAATCGACGCCAAGTATTTTCGATCAAGCACATCGCTGAGCCGTCCAACAATGGGCGAGAGCACGCTCTGCATGAGGAGTGGTCCCTCTATGCATGACCTCGTCAGCGCGGCTCAAGAAATGGAAGGACAGTACGAACGGATAATCCAACCAGCGATTGCTCCATCACCCAGGTCTCGAATGATGAATGCTATAACGGATCCAGCTGCCACGACAACAAAGACTTGGGCCATAATGGCAAAACATGTCACGAAAACCACAAGCCAAGATCGCCAGCTCAAATTGATGTGTTCAGCCTCCTTGAGCTCCTGAATATGTTCCATAGGAGCTTCGAACTCGGCGGCGCGTTGCCGCTCTTGAGCCTGAGCATTTTCAATGGTTTCCGTCTGTGCTGGATCCTTTTCTGGGGCCATCTTTGATGCGTCCTAGGACCGATTGTTCGTAATACGATAGTGATACCAGGGAGTACGAGCGAACCCGCGCAATTATAGCCGAGGAGTTTCATTCCCCCATAACAGGCCCGAGGTGAAATTATTTTTTTTTTTTTTTTTTTTTAAAAAAAAAAAAGGGGGGGGGGGGGGGGGGGGGGGTTTCTGGGCCGGTACGGACATAAATCGCCTTCTGAGTCCAACTCTTTGCCATTGTGTTGACCCCGGCAGTTGATCTGGGATGTTCTACCGGTCACACTCCGGCGTCAGGTCTCCACAGAAAGCGAAGCCTTTAGAGCATATCTGAAGTGGAGATGGGGCAGGACGACCAATCTGAGTGATGGCGAACCTGGAGGGGGAGAGAGATTGTGGGTTACTCTCCAACCAGACCGCTCAGGGGGGGTATTTCCAGGTCCTGGGGCTTGTTGGCAGCTGCACGTGGCGACCTTTCGGCATCTGCTGGATACGAGTCAGAATGATAAATAGTTTCAGGCTGATGACCAACCAGGCTGAGACCCTGGACGAGGGACTGTTGTCTAGCATACCTCTTCGCTGGGGATGAAGTGGGTAAAGAAAGCCAGACTGGGGAACAACAGATTCGAATGTGGGATGTCACCTTTTGCGGAGAAGCTCTGTGTGGGGTCTCGGCCAGAGCGCCCCTATTTTGACATCCTCCCATCGTCCTCTCTGAGTTATACTCTGCGATATGTTCAATGAACACCGTTTTCCTGATTCATGCTGATCATGGCGATGACGGCCTACTGTCCATCGAACATTGCCAAAGCCATTCACAGAGGATACCTTCCAAGTCTAGGGAGATGTCGAGATTGTCGAATGCCCGGCGTCATGAAGAATCCATTTTATCGACGACGCGACATCCGTCGGCGTGGAAAAGAATGCTATTTTGAGAATGAAGACGGACATGCAAAGCAAGCCATCAGAAGAGATGTTCCTCTGAGAACAAACTGGAGACTCGTATGATGGAACTAGCTGCTGATAAAGACGCCCATCAGAGCTCTAATATGAACAAAATGGGGTGTTGCAGGAGAGCGTCTTCATCATGAAGAATAGGGTGCCGTCGGTACATGGCCGGCATGGAAGGATGCACTGCAGTGAAGACTTCAGGAGGCAGGTCCTCCGATCTTATACTGCTTTTCAGACTTGTTTACAAACAGACCTGATCTTTCGTACCTCTCCTTTGCGACTCTCAACAGTGTTATCTCAGATCTCTCACTTTCTGCTGGCGTCTATGTGTAAGTATCCCTAATCCTTCCCCGTAACCTCCCGTGGACAGAATTTGCACTGTTGCTCGTTCAAACGGAACGAAAACCGGAGATCCAGATCCTATTTACTCACACATCTACCAGCCCTCCCCGAACCAACCTTTCCACGACCCTAGAGATTCTGGCATACGAGGTTCTGACATAAGAAAAAAGGGGTTTTGTCAGTAGTCGTGTTCTCTCAGATTCGAGGCTCCTTTACAAGTCCTACAGACTCTTTCACGTCTGAATCGTCTCCGAGTGTGCCTACAACGGATAATCAAGTCAAAGACCAAGATATGCAGTCAGAAGCTAAGAAGACTCGGCCAATATCACCCAACTCCCAAGAAAGCCTCATATTCTCGGATGATGAAGATACGGGCAAAACAGTATTGGAGACACGAGGAAACTGGAAACCACAACCCTGTCAAAAGAGAACAGCTTCCAGTCTCACAGATTCCCCACTCAGCACTCTACGAAAGGGACCAGCTGGTGTGGCTTCCAAGGACGAATGGGCTGATAGCAGTGATGAAGAGGAAAACATCAAACGCACCCGCATTTCAAAGCGAGGAGGCAACATGTCTAGATCCAAATCCGCCGGTGGCAACGACGCGGACACAATCGAAGTCAAGAAAGCGTCAACTTCTTCTCGTTTGTCCATGACCGTGGCCAAACCAGCAAAGCACTCAAAGAGAGTTATGTCGATGTCAAGTATGTTCTCTGCCCCAACTTTCGATACAGAGTTATTTGGATGCTAAGAACTTCTACCAGAGAATGCCGTTGACCACCGCAAACGCAAGAACATCGAAGAAAACTACAGGAAGAAAGTGTGCACCCTTATTGACGCCGATATCCTTGAGCGCGTGAGGGAAGAAGGTGGAATTACACCAGCCGGGAGGATGTACAAGGCTGCCTACACAATGTTGACACGCCTTAGAGGCCAGAAGAACGCAGGTGCGACCAGTTTGAGGGCCGAAAATGAAGCCTTAAGGGCCAAAATTGCGGAAGCGGCCGAGCTGCTAAGGTCTTTCTTAGAACAGAAGACCATTCAACACTTCTAAATAAGGGAATAGGGCCGGCTTGATACTTGGGCTGTATGATGGACATCAATGCTCTCTTATGCAGCAGATGGACCACACCGTGGCTGCAACTCCGGGCATCGCCCTTGGCACATCGCTTGTCCTGGGGTGGGACACTTACGTAGATAATAATTCCATTTTTTAATGAAGTACTCTATACTGGCAAACAAGGTCTAGTCTTCCGGAGAGTGTGTGAACACGACGATCCCAACTTCATCATCAAAAGGTTATCATCCGGAAACCCCCGATCTATCGTCTCATCGACAAGAAGGCATTCTCTCCAGTTTCCAGTCACAGTCACAGTTTCGATGGAGCCGTCATTGGAAACACCGCTTTATCGTGTACACAAGTGACGCAGAGTTTGCCATCCAGATAAATCTTGCCCAGGATATTGGCTGTATTTTTGCCGGCCGCCTGGACTTCGCAGTCTATTGTCACCTTGGAGCCCATCGGTACTGGTCTGAGATAACTCATGGTGATAGTCCGGCTAACATGTCCACCATCGAGGAACCCAGGTTTGGCTATTGTCAACAATGCCGTTGATGTCAAGTTGTCCAATAACGTAGCTGCCGCGCCGCCGTGCAGATTTCCAGATTTATTGCACAAGTGGCTACCGATTTCAATCTCCCATTTCGTAAAATTCGGCTGCGCGTTGAGAAGTGTTATGTTGGGCCGAAGCGCATATGCGTCGAAGCCGAGGAAATCCTGGTCGGAGACCACTTGATTTTGGAGAGCAAGGACACGATCTCGGATCGAGAGGTCGAAGAAGCCTTTTTGTTGGAAGACCATTCTTGAGGGATTTTTCTCTTGAACCATGGTGAGGATCGGGCTGTGTTCCTCGAGGTCAAGTCTGGATGATTGCACTCAGTGGGCCCAAGCTGAAGGGGAATCATGTAAATGTAGAGTCGCTCAGAAGATACGAGAAAGAGTTCAGGACTTCCTCATCTGCAATGGTACAAGAAACATTTTATAGGGAGCCATCGGTATCATCAGGTGGATGGAAAATACCGAGGCTGCCGGAGACATTTGATTTCATGGCCTTTATCTCTCACACGAGGTGCTTCGGAAAATTCTGGCCCGGCCGTCAGCATTTCAAGTGGCAGATGCAGTGCTGTATTCCCGAGCACTGCTCTCCAGTGGAGGGATTGTCTGCCATCAAACACACTCAGTCTAGTATCGTCTGCCTCGACTACCAAGCAAGGTGAACTGCTATAACAGGCAATTGGTGCGGTGCCACGCACTCAATGTTACGCTACCACCTCTCATGGGCAAAATGCCAAACGGCCTCAAGACCAATGCATCTGAGGCGTGTCCTGCTTCGCCGCAAATCTGAGCATTTCACACCACCACCACCCGTTTCCTTCATCTCCATCTTCATCTGACACTCACTTCTCGATCTACCTGTTTCCGCCTTCTCTCCTCTTTGGTGACCTCTCTTCCTCCCCCTCCCTCTCCCCCTTCGTTGATATTCCGCCTGACCATGAGCCTACTGGGAGGGGATTATCGAGATGATGAACGAGGACGAGAGGTACGACGATGCCACCCTCGAGAATACCAAAACCTCCAAGCGAGACCGACTCAAGGGCGCCCTCGCCCGCACAAAGAGCAAATTCAAAAAACACGGTGACAAAGGTGAAGAGGCGGGCAAGGTGCTCAGTGATGATGTGAATGACTTCCTGTCAGCTGGGAGACCCTCTACATCGAGTTGGACATCTGGAGGAGATACACTACCACGCCACCCCATGACAGACCTCTCATCGTCAGGAACCACTCTAGACCAGCGCTCGCCGAGACCATCGACCTCTGATTCATTTGCCACACCGAAGCAGTCACCGAGACGGATACCTGTGCCTCGAATCGATGTGTCCAACTCACAAAGATGGCCTGGTGCCCAGCCGATTGGGAATCAGAATTCAGAAGATGGACCGGAGTTTCTTCGTCCCGAATACCAGGCACGCAGTCAGTCAGTCAGCTCACTGTCGAAAAGGAAAGGGCGTGGGAGAGGTCTAAGCGTCAGCTTTATCGAAGCCCCTCCCGTCATTATCGGCGAAGGAGGTGATGATGCTCCAAAGCCTCCTGTCGAGATTTCCAAGGCGAGAGCGAGGGCAAGATCTGTCTCACCGATGACCAGTCGTTCTCAGTCACAAGCTCCCAGCACAACGGACCGCCCAGCTCCTATCAATGGCTCGCCTTCACTACACCATGTTGCCCCTCGACATGAACATGGACCACCGGACGTCCTCCGTCCCCGGACTCTGCAAAGAGTCCAGACAGGGTTGTCATCACCAAGTCCATCTGGATTGTCGGGCTTGGACAAGGAGTTTGACATGACTTTACGACTCGGATCAGGAGTCAGCTCGCCGGAAAGCGCAGGCGCCTCCCCGATCACTCCTGAGATCGTCGCTCCGAAGCCCGTACGCCCTGTTCATCCACCACCGCCGGTCTTTGAATCGGCAGAGCCACCTGGGCTGAAAAAGGAAATACCGAGCGCGAATTTGCGGAAGCAATTTCGAGAGGGAGATGCCCTCAAAATGCATCACGACCTCGAAACCCCCGATCCCTTCGAAGATCCAAGTCCCGGGGCTGCATCTAGCAGGGGGGTCAGCCCTGAAGAGCAGCGATCGTCTCGACGGATTTGACCTGGCGCAATAATTTTAGATCATTCCACTCAAACTGGTTATGCCAGTGCTCTATGTCTATGGCTTGCGCGCCTTGCTGGATTGTGTCTAACATCAGGACGAGTTTGATGCCCCGAGAGCCTTGAACCCCTGGATGAGATCATCAAGGAGATCTTTCTCGTCCTCAATGCCAATGCTGATCCGCAAGAGATCTTTCTCCACCGACGAGTCGGTCATCGTCCGCCATTCGATCAGACTCTCGACTCCGCCCAAGCTTGTGGCATGGTGGAAGAGGTGCAACTTGCTTGGCAATGTTCGAGCAAGCTTCGGAGTCTTCAATACGATGGAGAATACGGGACCGTATCCGTTAGGCATCTGCTTCTTCAACCAGGTTTTGTAATCCTGGGTTTGAAGACTTGCATGGTGGACCTGTTTCAGCACCGATTTGATAATGTCGACATCTGATTGTGACAGTCCAGTACCCACTGTCAAGCCAGTCAGAGCACCATCGAGCGCATCGACTATCCTCCGAGCAGTTTCGCTTTGTCTCATAACTCTCAACTCTAGCGTGCGCAAACTCCTCACTCCTAGCCAACCTTCCAAACCGCCCATGACGGAACCAAGATACAACCGGTCTTCCAGCATTTTGGGTATCCATTCTTTTTGCTTGACCGCCAAAACACCACAGAGCATGTCGGAATGTCCGCCAATGTACTTTGTTCCGGAGTGCATGACGACATCTGCGCCGTGCTTGAATGGATCCTGCAATGGCGGAGGTGCAAATGTGGAATCAACACTGAGATATGCCCCTCGCGAATGCGCAACATCGGCATAGTGTTGGATATTGAATGCCAAACCTGTAGGGTTGACTGGTGTCTCCAAATGTAACAGATCGCCCTCCTCCAGGTCTTCGGGTTTACAGTTCAGCGGAAGTATCTTGCAGCCTGAAAGTCTCTGGTGCAGCTTCAACACTCCATGACATCCGTGGTATCCAGCACCAATCGCTACTCTCTTGGGATTCAAAAAGGTAATGAGAGCGTTGAACGCTGACAAACCGGAAGAGTATGTGAGACAGGGATTGTGCAAGAGGGTGCCCAGAATTGCTTCCAGACGCGAGGTACTATGAGTGGTATGGCGAGAATAGATATGCTCGGTGGGTGCATAAATAGGTTCAGGTCGTTCGTAGTAGGGCCGCAGCTGGGCGGGATCTTTGTCGTATCGAAAAGTGGTGCTCACATGTATGGGCGGAGCCACGTCATCGACGACATTATAGGCATCATCGGCATGAATCGCCTGGGTGGACGGAGATAAGGAGGCAAGACTCAATTTATGAAGCTCGACGACTTTGTGAGGATCGGTGGGCGCAGGAGGGACTCCGGAGGGGGGGTCCGAGTCGACCGAATGAACTCCATTGGTGGCCATCCTGACAGGTATTGGAGGGCCTTTGGATAACTCAGAATTGAATTGGGCCTCCTAACAAACTGAGACACGACGTTTTAGAGGAAAATTGAAGAATGGCTGGGTGTTGAATAATGATCTCGATATCGTGATTAGTTTTGACAAAGTCTCAGTCAAGCGAAGGGCGTAAACCCGAAGTGCATCTCCGCATCTCCGTGCCTCGTGCCTTGGCGCTGCATACGCCGGTAGGGTATCACGTGCCAAAATGTCCTGGAATTCAAGCCACTGTAGCCACTTATATCGTTTGATTTTATCAAACTTATTCTGTACATTGATCACGTGATCAATATAGTTCTATACGCCGCCACTGATTGGTCCGGATTTTTCATTTTTTCCGGTCAACGGCGACAAGCTCCGTTAGTGCGGTGTATGTACTAACACGCCGCCTTGTCCGGTCACATGAGAAGCCCCCTTTTTCTACCCAAAACATCTACCACCAAGACGGGGTATCCGCCAACTGAGCCACACCAAACCTGCTGCTTCATCCTTTGACTGAAGCATGATGTACGCACCAGCTATGAGCGTAAAGAGCTTGACCACCTGCCAGGTCGAGTATCGTACAGTTTGCTCCTCTCAGCAGACACACACAGGTCAGCCGTGCACGAGAATCAGTATCCAGTTAAGAGCGGAGGACCTATTAGAAACGGCAACCCATTACGACTACCATCCTCTTGGCCCCAGACAGGTCTGGCTTTTACGCATTCAACCCACACCTTCGAAATGGGATTCATTATAGTATCATTTACGTGCATACAGCCATCGGAAACGAGAAATGGAGTGATTCAATTCACTTAGCTTGGCTAGACTGGTGATTCCAAGCTTGATTCGAGCAAGTCCGAGGACACCACGCACTCGATCAGTCAAACCAAGAGCGTCACAGATCAAGTGGCAGTGCAACAAGCACAGATAGCAAGCCTTCAACAAGAACTCAACAACAAGGTCGATGACATCCGAAAGCTGCATGGAATTATCCAACGGAGTGGTCAAAACAGTTCCAGTGTATCAGACGACAACATCAACAGAGCTTTCAGCGACTTGAGAGATGGCATCCTCCGCATCGTCAAGCTGTTCGAACTGAAACTCAATCAGGTAAAGAGCCGGATAGGGTTGGAGCATGCGCTGGGAAAGCATAAAGGTCTGACTTTGTCTGAATTTTAACTTTGACTGATGTATTTGTTGGAATCTAGTTCCAGCATCGGAAATTACAGACTGGCGGATCAAAACGGTCAAAGTTTGTCGTGCCATGGAACAGAAAGGACGTTTTGGTACCTGCGAGTATCTCTCAGATGACATAAGAATGGCTTTGAAGGACTTTCGGACGAATCCTGACCTAGAGACCAGGATTTGAGCTTCGAATCAAGGAAATGGATGATCTGTGCATCCAGGCTTTTGTAGAAATGTGCACACAAGGCTGAGACGTGCCAAGACCCCTGGGGAACTCGCCGATGCTGCTAACCTCTTAAGGCTTAGTGCCTCCACTCACTGCTTAATACCGAGGTAAATCCAGACTGCGGAGGTACACGACCTTTTTGCTTATAGTTCGTTTATCAGCCAGAGGTACAAAATAGACTTTCCTTCTAAGAAGATAGATCATTTTCCTCACCTCCAGATGAAAAGTGTTCGGTGACCAGTATGTCGTCCGACACCCAAGAGGCCGCTTGGCAGGCCATTGCACGCCGCAAACAAGCTGAACGCTCCCAATGTATCCCCGCCAAATGGCTGATTCCCACTCGCCTATTACCCAAAGATCCTCCGACACTTCAAGACGGGCCTCAGAATGTCCTTGATTTACCTCGCCAGTGCCTGTCGCAGGCAGAGATCGCCATTACAGAAAACCACACCGTCGCTACGCTCGTGTCCGCAATCACTTCTCGCAGACTCTCCGCCGTCGAAGTCACCGAGGCCTTCTGCCATCGAGCGGCCATCGCACAGCAATTGACCAATTGCCTGACCGAACCATTGTTTGAATCTGCGATAAATCGGGCGAAGAAGCTAGACGCATACCTACAAGAGCATGGCAAACCCTTTGGACCGTTACACGGTCTCCCGATATCGATGAAGGACACATTCAACATTGAGGGCGTCGATAGCTCCATCGGTCTAGCGGTTCTATGCCATAAGCCCGCGAAGAAGAACGCTCCACTGGTCAATCTGCTCCTGTCTCTCGGGTGTGTGGTCGTGGCAAAGACGAATATTCCGCAGACTCTGGCGTCGCTGGACTCGATCAACAACGTCTTTGGCCGCACCATGAACCCTATCAACAGACTTTGCACGGCAGGTGGGTCTTCAGGCGGCGAAGGTGTCCTCGTCGCTATGAAAGGTTCCATGATCGGGATTGGTACGGACATTGGAGGCAGCATTCGCGTCCCTGCCATGTGCAACGGCGTCTACGGCTTCAAACCAAGCAACGGCCGCGTCCCGTACGGCGGCCAGGCCGAAACTGGCTGGAAAGGCGTCAGTCGCACCAGCGTCCAAGCCGTCGCGGGCCCTATTGCTCGGAATATCGAAGACATCGACATCCTCATGCGCGAGATCGCCGTGCGTGCACCTCGGTACGGCGAAGACTGCATGCCGACACCGTGGCCTCAAAATCGCTTGCTACGGCCTCAAGGTTGCGGCCCCAACGGCGAACTGGTCATCGGCATCCTCCGTAGTGACGGTAACTGCGCGCTCCTCCCGCCCATCACCAACGTTCTCGACGACGTCGCAGCCAAACTCCGCACGACACCTCAGATCTCGGTCGTCGAGCTCCAGTGCCCAAAGGCTTGGACTAAATGCCAGTCCGTCATGTCCAAGCTCATGGGCGTCGACGGCGGTGCTCTCATGGCCGAAATGATCGACTCGACGGCTGAACCGCTCGTGCCGTGGATGAAGACGCGATTCCGCAAGCGCAGGCCCATTGAGTTCGTCCGACTCGTTGAACTCCAAGCCCAACGCGCCGAGTTGGAGCGCGAAATGCTCAATATCTGGGTTTCAAACGACAGCGAGGGTCGACGAACGCAGAAACTGGATGCAATCGTCTGTCCGGTCGCGCCGCACCCGGTGCCGCCGATTGAAGGATACAACGCGGTCGGCATGACGAGTTCGTGGGTTCTCCTCGATTATCCCGCGGGGACGGTGCCGGTACGGGATTGCGAAATGAGGGATCTGGAGCTGGGACGTCCGCAAGCTGGGGAGAGCCTGGGTTCGTGGGACGAGAAGAATCGGGAGCTTTGGGATGAGGGGAAGATTGATAGGCGGGTGTATTTGGGGACGCCATTGAGTGTGCAGGTGGTGGTGCCGAGGCTGATGGATGAGAAGTTGGTGGATGCCATGAGGTGGATTGATGAGTCTGTTAAGCTGGATGGTGAGAGTGGAAGCAGTGTGAGAGCAAGGCTGTGAAGGACCCGGAGATCCATGATTCGCGTCGTGGGTAGAAGAAAAGTCTGAAGAGAGAAATGAAAAGCAAGAATGAGATGCTCTGTTCTGTTCGAATATGGAGGGTGAGGCCGAAGATGATATATGACCTCGTAAATATGAACAAATACTGGCAAGTCAATAACGATACGTCTAGGAGATCCCCTGAATTTCAGAGAAGTAACTGATAGATAGTCTATCTCCTTGATTCAGAGATTTCTGTCTTTTATTAGTAATTAGGATTAGGAACCTTGGAAGCGACTATGATCTTGCTCACTCGCTTCCCTTGCTTCGCTCGCTCAATACCAATACCAATGCCAATATCACAACCTGGTCAAGTAGATTGTACACATGCTCGCTGATGCCTCGCTTTTCGTTCGCCGGAGACCCCAATCATTGTCCTGAACAGGATCCATAAATGCAACGGTGATTATGCTGGTGCCATTCCAATAGCTTCGACAATCTTGTCGCTCCTTCTCCTAGACAAACACATCTTCGCGTCACAAACGTGCGGCAATTGGCAGATAGATGCTGTGATTCCTTCCTCCCTTCCTCATCAGACATTCCCATTCAATTTTTCATCTTCTGATATTGCTCTAGTGGATAGAGTAGACTAAGAATGAATTAGGCCGTCTCACTCCTCCTCTTGCCAGTATCGAGTTTCAACCCATTCCCATTCGTATCCGCAGGCTCATCCACATATCCACCTAGGGGATATGTGCTCGCTTTATTGACCTGCTGATCATGGCGGCCTGGGACAATTGTGTCAAAGTCACGTTGAATCTCAGGCCAGAGCTGGAGGATCTGGCGCTCAAAGACACCCAGGGGCTCCTCCTCGAGCTGGATAGTTTCGGTTTTGCCTTTTGTCTGGACGATCTTCACTTTCCCGCCGATGAGCTTTTCGGGGTATATGGCTTTCTTCCACACGACATTCTTCATTTTGCCCACGGGACCGGGTGCGCCTAAGGCGATGGGAGTGTCCGGGTTCGTCTCCATGCCGTGCATTACCCAGCCTTGCAGAGCTTGGGAGTCGTACTTGCCTTTGTCGTTGTAGCCCAGGCCGTCTTTACCCATGCGGATACGAACGCTCGAATGAATGGTCTCGTTGGTCCGTGCAAGGCGTGGGAGGATGTAGCCTTGGTGTCCAAAGAGGCGGGTCACGCGGTGTGAGAGCTTCCACAGGATCCAGAGCAGAGTGCCGTGTTGCGAGGCGAGTTCTTCCTCCCGATATTCCCCTGGCGTACGGATGCGCGAACCACCCAGCTTGAAGAAGAAGGTCATGCTGTTGTGGATTTTCCCCAGGCCCCAGGGGCGAAGGTGGGGTTGCGTGTTGGTACTTGTTCGCATGCGGCCGTCACGGGTGAATGTTTGGTGGCCTTGGCTGAGAGTTTCTTGGGGCTTGATCAGGTCCATGATGTAACCCTGGTTGATCGTGAGGATTGGATCGAGGAGGGATACCATCCAGGCGAGTGTCAGGTTTGCTAGGGCGGTATCGTCGTAACTACCTCCAATATCACTGTGGACTCCGGGGAACCAGGTTTGTTTGAGGACTTTCAGATCATTCGGCTCCACGCGTGGCCAGTCCCAGACTGTCGGCGAGAATGAACGTCGATGTTCATCGAGCGCCAGCGCCTGAAATGCATACTCGATGTTGGATTCGACGCGAGTGTCCACGAAAGCAAAATCCTTGCTCGGTGGCTGTGGGAGGAGACCGATCATGGGAATGCCCAATCCACCAACCGTATCCCAAACAGCAACGCATTTGATTTTGATATTCGGCCTTGTAAGTTCTTTCTCGATCAGTTGCTGCTGGTAATGCGGATCTGTGACAGGGGGCTTGTGCCCAACAAAGGGTAAGTTTGGCCATTTGGTCTTGAAGTCCTTCTTCAGTTGAAACTCCCAGTCCTCAAAGACCTGGACGAAGTATTCGAGGCCCTTTGCTGTCAACAAGCCCGCAGCATTGATCAGGCTGGAAATCGAACGGGCTGTGAATGCTCCTCGGGAGAATCCGATCAAAAAGATCTCATCGCCTGGATTGTAGTTCAGACAAATGAAACTGTAGGCTTCACGAATATGACCGGCGAGACCTTCTCCGGTAGCACCGCCAACGTACTTGTCGTATAGTGAGTTGGAGCCCGTGCCGATGCCATTCTGGTAGAAGACGATTTGCGGGATGGGACGGTGGGGAGTCACGCTTTGGTCAGTGCCTAGTGGTGGAATAGCGCGGGCGATTCGAGTGACGTTGCTGGGAGTCTGGTAGTCGCCGTCACTGTCCATCCAAGTGCCGTCACAACAGACTACGATACGCTTCTTGAGATCTGAGGGGGCCATTACTGAATCGAATGGTCATCGAGCACGAAGCGCGCTGTTCAATGGGCTCAATTTAAGAATTGCCGTTCCAGTTTAAAGCCAATATGATTAGTTCAGTCCTCGAAAGATCTTCGAAGCGGGAGACTGCAGCAGAATTGGGCCGGTTTCAATCCCTCTCGAGATGTAATCTGCCTAGCCTAAGTTCGGCCAGGCTGTTCCTGTGCGGGAAATCCAACGGCAGAAGATATTTTATGTCGCTCTTGGGCAGCCAACCCCTTCAGATTGAGACACTCTCATAGTGACGTGTCTTCAAAGAGGGTGGTCGCTGGCGGTGAACATGACCACGATTTCGGCTGACGCCTTTGTCTCGCACAACGCCCTCCCTCAGCCCCTAGGCCGATGTATTTGTGTGCCGGGTGTTGCGGGCCAGTAGGGCACAACAGATCCGTTAACCAACCAGATTTGGTGAAGCAGTCATCCAGCGTCCCGAGGGATCGAGATGGACGCTTGTCGGGGGGCTCATTGGTGGACGAAGGCGGGAAAAGGGGCCTAAATGTTGATGAGAGGGACAAGGGCACAATTCACGTGATCTCAGCCTCACCATGGAATGCGAGATTCTCACTAGGGGCCGACTTGGACACTTGTACACCTTCTCTTCATTAGTCTTTAATTCATATAACCCTGCTCGAAAGGCCGCTTGACGCCTCACCGTGTCCACGACATCAATTGCTTTCATATCTTCATGGCTACACAACGCAATGTGTGGCGTCCCTGCGATGTTAGGCTGACTGCCTCTGCCTTGTGACGGCGCAGACCACGATCGTTTATCTTTCTTTCCTATCTTTTCCTCTCTCTGGCAGTGACCATTGTGTTCCCTCATCAAAGGCTCTTTTCCTCCATCACGCATGGCTGAACTTAGAGGGACGATTGTTGGTCTGGCCACGTTCGGAATGGAGCTTCATGCTGATCCTTCCAACACATTACAAAACGAAAGAAATATGTGCCATCGCTTTTTCTTGCGGGCCTGCAGTATCTGATTGGCATGTCTGGCTAGATTGTCCGTGGATTGGGGATTTTTGACCAGCTTCGAGGTAGTGACCTCGCTTCCAATACTCGGCTCACAGTCGATGAAAAGGAATCACACGAAGCATGGCCTTGAGTGCAACCCTTTTCCGTTTTCTTTTTAATGTAAACAAAAAGCCTTGCTCTCTCTCGCCGGAAGCGCCGACGTTACTTAAGAATGATGGGTATGAATGATACTGAGGCTGATGAGATACTTGGTCCGGTGTGAAAAGCTTTGAGCAACATCAACAAAAGGTTTGCTCAAATATAGGGGGGCGACATCAATGGTCATTTTGGTGTGATTGGCCACGGTTGCGTTCCGAGCCTCAGGTTGCCAGAGGGAGCCAGCCAGGCCAGAAGTCTGGTCTACCATTGTCGAGGCATTGAAAATATACTGTGCTATACAATTTTCCTCAGATGGGAGTGTTTCACGTCCAGCAGGTCATGATCTTCTGGCAGGAACTTCAGATGACGATCCCGAAGGGTGAGTATGCGAATATTCACCAAAATGCAACTACCATTTCACAAAATCGACATCGATGGTTGAGATGCGTCTCTCACTCTGTCACTCTTCTCATCACTCTGAGCTTGTTGCTATATGGCCACCATGCTATAAAATGCTGGAGCAATTTTTGGGTGGAGACCCGGAGATCCCCAAATTCATAATCTTCATTGTCTTTGGATATCTGTCTTTCTTGTCTGGATGACCGGGGGACTCGAAAGCGCCATCTGCTAAGTATGTACACAAAAGCAAATCTCGACCTTCCCGACGTCTGATTCAGTCTCGAAGTGTGCATCTCAACTCTCTCTCTCTTCTTTTCCCTTGGTCTATTTCTTCCTCCACCATTCAATGCTGCAAGGACCCGAATTGTTTTCGATCAAAACGTGAAAAAACTGATACGATACCAATATCAACAACTCACGTCTCTCTCGCTCTGTTTCTGCGTCATTCTCGAGACAAATTCCACTGTGATTGCACGGTTGCTCTGATGCATATTTGTGCTGTACCTGAGTTAGTCTCGTCTCATCGGGTACGTTACCTCGCTTTTGATTTGCTTCGTAGCTGCTGTGCTACTAGCCGAATTTCCTTTTATTTTTCTTTCTCTTTTTTGGGGGGGTTGACCCTTTGGCGATATGCACGCATTTTTGGTGTTTCATGGCGATTGGCCTCAGCCAGCATCGATGCTTTCGTTAAGTGCCATGGAGGCGGCACTTTCATACGATGGTCCGTTAGGACAATCTCTCGAAGATGCACATATGCAAAAGATCGCTCCTGGCGAGCTCTTCCACTCGTCAAGCCGGTGCTGCAGTAGGTGTTGGAGCCGGCGTGGGTGTCATCAATCTTTGTCGTTTCACCGAATCACCATTGGTTTCCACGTCCTGATTTTGCAGTCAGTATCTTGAACTTCTACGCCTTCATGACAATAACATACCTCGACATCATTGATGCTTCGCCTCTCCGGTTTGGCCTCGGGTTTAGGGGCCTTCACCACCTTCTTGACCGGTTTGCTCGGTCTGACTTCTCCAGCTTTCTGATCGAACAGGTCTTCTGGCAAGTCCCAGCTGCACCAAGTTAGTCATGTGAGTTCACTCCACGATGATAAAATGACACACCTCTTTGTAGACGCCAGTGTGAGAAAATGGACGTCTCGATTGAATCCGGCCCAGTTCTCGCAAATTTCTTTGAAGCTCTGGAAAGCGGGAACCAGATTTAGACTTCCTTTGGCGACGGTGTCAATGCCGATATAGAAGGTGTAGGTATAAACGGTGTGGGCGCCCGGTTGGCTTTCGGGTTTTGCATCGTCTGTTGATTGAAGAGTCGCTCCGTCACCATTTGCCGTCACCAGTTCGGGATCAGTCGATTCAACCGTCTTTGTCTCTTCCACTTTATACCTCGTACTGCCTTTCTGGACCTCCCGGATTTGCGCTTCATCCTCGCACTTGTGGACACGTTTGAACCCCTTGGTGAATGGGCGAGCAAGGGTGATATCGTGGATTCCCTCCAATTGCATGACAAAGATGCGTACTTTGGACTCCACAAGGCCTGACCATGCTTTCGCCGAATCTGCATTCAAGGAGCTGGCCGTCACACCCAGATAGTATTTGTGGTCCGCCGTGAAGAATGTATGCTTCTTGAAGAGTTCACTCCACTGTGCCTTTCCCGAGAAGATCTTGTTGGTAATTTGGCCTCCTCTTTCCAGTTCACGCAGGATCACGGTCTTCCCGGATTTGGAGATGTTGTACGTTGCACACATACTTGGGAATGCCGGGGTGATGATGGGCATGATATTTTTGCGGTCGCCTGAGTATATCGCCGGATTCCACACTTTGAAGCCCTTGTTCTGGTCCGCATTCTTGACCTGCTCGATGTCTTTTAGCATCACCGGCGTCGGCCATTTCCAATCTTTGATGACAAAAAAGAACTTGTCGACGATCGTTGCCCCGACGGCATGAGGGTATAATTGGCAAACTCGAGCCACCAGCATCGCCCAAGCCACTCCACCAGGATAGCCGACAATATTGGCATAGATGGCTCTTCTCTGGGCCCATAATTTGATCGCTCTCAGCGCGGTTCGGAATGTCTTCTGTTCCGGGACAAGAGACAGAATCTCGTCGGTGACGCGCTGAAGTCGTTAGCAAATGTCCGTACTCTCTGAAATCTGGAACTCACCGGCCCGGTGACTGCGCGAATGGTTGCCTGGTCCAGCCCCATGAGCAAGTTGTTGTCGTTCAGAGTCAGGTCTTTCGGTATGGTGGACAGGCTCGCGATCGAAGCAAAAATGAGATCGATTTCGATGCCGTTGAGAACCAATTTGATGATAGGCACAAAAGAGTCCGGGACCGCCGTCAACGAAGTAATTGCACCCGGCCCAGCTAAGCGTTCCAAAACTGCGGGAAATAACTCGAAGAAATCCTCTCTCTTGACGTGTTTGGGGGCGACTGCGAGGGTGTCAATATCGGATCCTGCGCGCCGTCAGTCCCTGCAACACATCCGTACTCCATCGGCACTTCCTTACCAGGTCCAAAGACTCCAAGACGATAGCTTCCGTAGGGATAGATCTTGCCGCCGAACTGATCGATTTGAGAGGGAGGCAGTCTTTGTTTCCGACTGACTTCTCGCACAAACTCTTGAGTGACTCGGTTCAGCAGGCTGAGAGTGCTCATTCTCTTTTTGGTTTCCTCCTGAGGCTCATAGTTGTTCTCTCTTTTCAACTCTTCAATTAAATCGGCAGTTTTCTCATTGTCCAGTGGTTCGGGCAAGGCAGTGGAGATCGGTGGGCTGACACCCCATTGCTTCGCGGTCGCCGTGGTCATAATGGGCTTCCGACTCTCGTGAAATTCAAAGCTAAAGCTTTCGCTCTGGTTCCGGTCGTGGGCGTGGGCGTAGGCGTGATGACGAGCAGCCGGTGGAAAAGAATTAGCAGTACCAAAGGGCGAAAGGAAAGGTCAGGAAAGGCAAAAACATCATCCCCAAACTCCGAAAGAAAGATGAGTGTCAATATGCACGGACGAGATAATGGAAGAGTGTTGGGATGAAGTGAATTCGCAAACAAAGCCCTGAACCATCATCTCACAGCAAAGGGACTTGAAGGGGCCTTGGTGCCACGGATCATGATGCGCAGCGTGAACCCACAGCGAAGAGCCCAGCGAACTCCGGGTCGCCAAGCAACTTCTGCCTGTATGGTATAAGTACCGCGGGTACCTCGCCACCCATTTATGCACGAACCGATACCGATAACAGATGTGCTCCGTGGAATATCATTTTCTGCCATTACACATGGGTCAGGTTGTTTTCGAGAAGAATCAACCACCCTTGCTTCAGGATCGATTCAAGAAAGATCTTCCGACTCAGTTTCAGCCTAACTCGGGAGCCTCAGCAAACAGCTTGGCCAGCTTCTCATCCAGCCATTGGACGTCTTCCATGTTGCCGGGCGGACCACCTGCCCAGTGGCCCCAGACAGATGGATAGACGTCCAACGTGCCAACTCCAGGTGCCATACACTCCACCTCATACTCCGAGTCTTCTGGTCTACGAGCAACATGTCAGCGCAGGCCCAGCCACGGTAGGAATTCACTCACGGGAAATATAAGTCAGTCTTGCTCGGAAGGACCCAAGTCTTCGCTTTGATACTGGCCATGGCCTTTTCAAAATCACCATTGTATGGCTCTTGTTGACTGACATCTCCCGCTTGCCACGTATGCAGCATCACAAGCAGATTCTCAGGATCCTTGCTTAATGCCCAAGACTCCCAGAAATTTACCATGAAATCTTCCAGACTTTTGGCCCCATAAGCCGTTTCATGGAGTTTCTGACGATAAAAGGCCTGGCTGAATCCCCAGCCCGCATAACCTCGACCAAAGGCTTTCAGACCAACCGTCTTTTCCTCGTCCGTCCAGGTACGATTCTCCGATCCCTTCGTCTCGATCCGGCCAAATGTACTCCCAGCCGAGGAAGCGCCTTTCGCGGCCAACAATGCTGATTTCACGCCTTCAAGAAAGACTTGATTGTGGATGGAAGTCTTAGCCGCGCCGCAGAAAGGCACACAGGTATCCATAAAATCGGGATATTGTGTGGCCCACTGAAAGGACTGGGCTGCTCCCATCGACCATCCCAGCACGCAGCGAAGGTGATTGATTCCTAGCTTTTGCGTCAAGAGTTGATGCTGAGCTCTGACATTGTCATACAAGGTGATGTTTGGGAAAGGAGCAATGTTCGAATTGGAGGGAGAGATGGACTGTCCATTCCCAAAAAGGGCCGGGATGATAATGAAGTATTTCTGGGGATTCAGCGTCTTATCTTCGCCGATGAGCCATTCATTGTCAGCTATGCTTCCAGAATACCAGGACGGATAGAGAACTGCTGGTAAGCCAGAGCCGGCGGGACCGAAAGTTTTAAATGCTATCCATGCTCCCGGCAAGACGTCACCACTTTGTAGTTTGAAATCGCCCAGATTGTACCTCTCGTAGTCGCTTGACATGGTTCTGGCAGCGCGGGATTCCTCTGTACTAGTCTGGCTCTGGATACTGATGATGCACATGAATTGATTTCTCCGTTGGGATATCAGAGAGTCTCCCATTTCACGGGAAATGACATGACGGATACGGACTGACCCCGCAAGTCGCTCATCTCCATTAAGAGAGATGTTCTCGAATCCTGTGGTCAATGTCGATACCAGCGCCGATCGGAATTCTCCAGCCAAAAGCGCCGTAGAGTGCACAAAGTGCGTCAGGACTCGATTCACCAGGTAGTATTGGCGTGCGGTAAAGTCATGCCGTAGACATGTCGTCCCCAGATTGATTTCCTCAGAGTACTACGTATATGACTGGGATGCCGAAGTCTCAGGGGGGCTCAACAAAAGCATGACGCCGAAGCCCCTGACTTCAACAAAGGACAGTCAGGCACTTCAAAACCGCATATCTCTATGCTGGGGGCCGGCCACCGGTCCTGAACTATAAGTTGCTCATCTCTGGCCTTGTTCCTCGTCCGATGGGGTGCTCATCGACCCGATCAAAGGATGGCTCGTCCACCAATCTTGCTCCGTTCAGCTATACCCAGGTATTCAACCATGATCCTCCCATTTTTGGAGTCGGATTCAGCGGTGGCTTGGACAACGCCAAGGACAGTCTGAGGAACTTGGTAGACAGTGGTGAATGTGTCATCAACATCATTAGCGATCATTATCTTGAGGCAGCAAATGCATGTTCAATCGATCTTCCTTATTGAGGCCTTCTCTCCTTGATGACAGAGGCTGATCTGGCTGTAGACATCGATGATAGATTTGATAAATACCGTGCGTGTCGTAACATCAATAGCAAGGCGCATACACACATATACATGTGTGAAGGCTTCATCGACCAACATAGCGGATCAGGCGGCAGATTCCATCCACGTTTGTTTCATGTCGATCGTGAAAAATTGCGTTTTGATTCACCCGGTCAATCATTCTCGCTCGCCATGGTCGAGACTCTCGAGAGGGGTGGTCAGACCCCGGAATCGCCACCATGTTGAGCTCCGAACTTCCCTCCCCCACCCTTGTGAGCCGTCAGTGCGTTTAAGCCGCGCCATCCTCACCAGCCTCTGGTAACTTTCGAAACCCCGCAAATGTCGGCGTGAATGGGTGGAAAGACTGAGCTCAAAGCAGCTTATTTTCGTAACCACAACCGAGATCTTCAAGTTGGGCGTCAACAACGCTCTTTGTCTCTGTACGTGGGCGCCAGCTCTCTTTGTCTTGAACTTGTCCAGTCTGACAGGCCGTCACCAGATTGCCTTGTCTTTATCAAAGCTCAAATCAGTCGTTCGCAAAGCACCCGAGGAACCGAACCTTTCGTATATAATGTTATATCCCAGGGCTGTCATCGCGAAGCCCTTCCGCGAAGTATGAGCATGAGCAGCGTGTCAAATCCTGTCCCACCGACGCCACAAATTGTCCCAGGAAACTTTCTTCCACCGCCCCGTCAAATTCGTTTCGTATCCACAGACGGCCAACCACACACAAAGAGGAGGCGCATCAATGCTGCCTGTCTGACATGTCGTAAGAGAAAGACTCGCTGTTCGGGCGAACGACCGGAGTGCAAAACATGTACGGAAAATGGCCATGTCTGCTCAGGTTATGTCGATCGACCGACGCGAAAAGACGGCGACAGGCTCGACGATGAGGGTGAAGAGGAGCTCATGTCGAGTTCGTCTACGCCTCTGAAATACCCTCGAGAGGAAGAGGATGTGGCTCGGCTGCGGCCAAAATTGGACAAACAGAACTCTACCGGCTCTGTGCCGACGGCGCGAATGGGTGAGAGAGATGAGATGGGCGAAGTTATCAGTCCGGCTAGCAATCATACCGCGAGTAGCTTGACTTCGTCCAGAAATCGCGTCCCATACTTTCGCTATTTTGGCCCAACCGCGATTGTTCCTGGGTTCAAGCAAATGGTAGTCCAGGTGAAAGACAATCGACGAAGTCTCGCTTCAGCTTCAGGAGAATCTCCATCTTCTGGACAGGCTTTTGACTCGAATTCAATGGTCGGTCAGGAAAGAGTTCCGGTGGAAATACCGTTCTACGACGCTACAGATCCCGAGCCGAATGCTCCCCTCATAACACACCTTTGCGAAACGTTTTTCAATCATCTGGGCTGCAACTATCCATTTCTTCAACGCGAGAGGTTTCTGAAAGACCTGGAAGAGAAGACGGTGGACGCGATCTTAGTCGACGCCGTCTGTGCGGTTGCTGCGCGGTTTTCTTCGAATCCGTTACTGTGCAGGTCCAATGATCCTTCCATTCCACTGGATGCGGAAAACAAGGTCAGACGGGCTTTTCGAGGTCACCCATTTGCTCAAAGGGCCATGTCGGCCGTCATCGATACCTTTTCATGTCCCACCATGGCCGTAGCTCAAGCATGCTTATTGCTAGCCTACGAAGAATTTGGAACAGATCACGACAGCGGCTTATGGATGTATCTGGGCACTGCCATTCGAATGGCGCAAGATCTTGGCATCCAGAAACTCGAGGGTTTGCAACTTGAAGGCCGTGTTGGACCCACGCCGAAGACGGCCAAGCACGGACAAGAAGGAAAGGCTGAAGAGCAGCGGAGATTCGAGCAACAACAGAGATTGGCGCGTAACCTTTCCGACCAGGACAACGCGCAACTTGATGACCGGAGAGCGAGTGAACAAGAACGAATCGACACGTTCTGGGCAATATTCTTCCTCGACAGGGCCGTGTCATCCGGCGTGGGTCGGCCAGTTACGTTACGCGATAAAGATATTGAGATATCTTTTCCTTATCGCTCCGACAACATGATGATCAATGGCTATCCTGATCCATTCCCAGCGATGATCAAGATTGTCCACATGTATGGGCGCGTGGCGGATGTGCTGAATAACATCAAGGAGGTCAGCCAAGTCACTCCAGACGTGTTGAAGCGGCTGGCAAGCATGGAAAAAGATCTGACCGGTAAGTCGATCTTGTCAATACGATTCTTTTCGCTCACGAGAAAAGGCATATATCAACGACTGTCACCCAAATTACACTTCAATGCGACGAATTTCCAGCATTATGTCAAAGCGGGCCATGGCACCAACTTCATCCTATTACATTTCTGGTTTCACACGTTGATTGTCCTGGTCCATCAGCCTACATTACTTCATTCCTTCGAAGGTCGGATTCAGCAACTTTTCCCAGATAGCAGAGAACTGTCCATGTCTTCGGCCAAGACTATTGCCGATATCCTCGCCTTTGCGGAACTGATCGACGTTAAGAGTTTTATTGGCAACCCATTTACCAGCCAACCGATGTACGTGGCCGCATGCGCTTTTCTGGCCGAAGCTGCCGCTCACACATCTCAGCCACCATCTCGTACAACATCACCTCCACCCAACGGACACCCTTCGCGGACGAAACCGGAGGCCATATCCGAAAAGGCGTACTCAGAACAGAAGGCCGCTTCCGCACGCCATACTCTTCTGGCGACGGCGGCCAACCAGAATTATCAGCGTTGTTACAAAGCGCTGAAAACTTTGGATTCCTACTGGGCCGGTTGTCGTTATATTCTGACGGCTCTGGATCAAAAATCGAAAGGATTGATGGATCCTCTTCTCTTTACGGCTGAGGACATTGATGGGGAAATGCCCTCCACCGAACCTTCCTTTACAACGCCCGGTTGGCGACGAAGTACCACCCTCGCTGCTTCACTGGGAGTCTATGGAAATGCTTTTAGCAGACTTCGGAGCTTGAAAGGGCTCGGAGAAGGCATGTCTTTCTCACCCAAGATGGATTTGAGTCAAGCTATTGGCTGGTCCTTGACTGGGACTGCCAACTCTCCCGCTCCAAATATCAGCTTCCTATATCCCAATACCGGCAGTGAAAACGGCACGGTATCGCCAAAGTCTAAAGAGAGGGAAGCAGCTGCAGGGAACCGGCATATTCCCACCGATATTCAGGCGCACAATATCAGCTTACAGAACATTCAGACAAACTCGCCCAAATTCGATCAGCTGTCTCAAAGCTATCACTCAACCATGCCACCCCCCAGTAACAGACTATCCTCTTTGCCCTATGATCCGGTCTCAACAGCTGAAGCAGACCTCTTGCTTGGCCTGCATTCTCCATATGCGACGAGCTCGACAAATCAATCTGCCATACTCCCAGGATCCGGACAACAGACTTCGAACGCTTTTGAATTTCCGACACAGCAGACCCCCCCGCATCCCGCTCCGGCGAATCTTCCACAACAGTTCCTTGATGCCCAAAATCAGAATCTCAACAACATGTTGATTGAATCACAGGATATTGATATGAATGGACAGCAACTGAACTTTCATTTCCCGGGCGGCGACATGATCCCCTGGCTTGAATATTTGCCACAGGATGTTTTGGATTATTTTGGAGACCCTCAAGGTGATGGGGGTGAAATCTTGCAACCGGGGCCTCCTCAGCCTTGATCAGACGGGAAGGAAACCAAAAAAAGAAAAATGCGTATTGTGTCAATATCTGACAATCCAACGAAGAGGTGCCCATTCAGAAGTCGCCGGTCGGACGAAGACTCGTTCAGAAGCAGCTGGTTCAAAGGACCGGGCATCAAAGACTTCACGTCATACATTTGTATGAATACCGCTTGGCTCCACACACTACAGAATAATGATCATTCCCTCGCAATGGATTCTCGGCTTCTTCATTGACCCGGAAAGATGCATGACCCAGCCACTACAGGCCCTTACTGAACGATTCCGCCTTCAACATCGAGGCAGGACTTTCCGGACCTCCTGGCAAAGAGATATGCCAAACTTGCTAGGCAGTCATCCTTGGGCTACTCCGTCAGACTGAAGGATGGAAGAGACTCGATGCCAGTCCCAAGAAGAAATTAGGTCAAGGTTCTTGTTCGTTGAAAGGAAGACTATGGCAAGAAGAGTGTTTAGAAATGACCGAGCGGGGAATCAAGGGGAGCCTGCCATGCAAACGAAGAATGCGTTCCACACAAGAGCTAAATGTCCCATTCGCATAGGACAGGAAGAAATATCAGCACGTTGTAACATTCATTATATCCCAGACCACTCACTCCACAGTAGAAAACCAACATTGGACCAAAACTTTGCATTTTTGTGAATCTTGGGTGGGTAGATGCCCATTAGGTAAGCCTACGTGCGCCTAAAAGTTGAACATTTTCTCCATTGCCGCCCCTGCTTCGCCCCCCTCACTTCCCCTCACCTCAGTTACGACTATGCCGGAAAACCTGCCGTGAAGATATAGAAATATGTTAACAAGTGCCCAGAAACCGCTTTGAATTTGAACGGTGAGGTGGCCGAGTGGTTATGGCGCAAGTTTCAGGTTCACCTGGAGCTCTGGCTTCGAAAGGTTTTCTTCGAATCCGCTTACTTGTGGGTAAAACCGCGTGGGTTCGAGTCCCACCCTCATCAATTCTTTTTGAACCTTTCCTTTAATTCTCGATGGGCTTTGGGGTGTATTTTTGGGAAGCCTTGGGGTGGGGAGCAAAAATGGGCGGAAGTGAAATGGGGCTTGGCTTTCAGATGAGGAACAATGTGTACATATGGTCTATAATAACGGTCGTGTCTCTTTCTCGAGTAAGATACTTTTAGGAGCCGATGGAATTGTGCGGGAGGAAACGGGTGCGCCAACGAGAGGGCAAAGATACGAGCTGAACCGGCCTCCATTTCTCTTTCTACATCTGAAGCATTTGTTTTGCAGGACTCGATGCCGAAGAGCAATAGAGCATTGCAAGGACCTGGGAATCTCCTGGCCTTACTTTCCATGAAAGGAAAGTCCAGAAAGAGTGTTTTCAGCACGTATCCTGAATCGGGTTGAATGCCTTTCACCCAAGACGAAGAGATTTGTCGGGGGCAAGGCTGACAGCGCTCGGGCCCGAGCATGCCCCCACAAAACATCGACCGAGCCACCGAATGTGTTTGCCTAGATGTCGGCTCTTGTTACGGCGCTCTGTAGATCCCCTGATCAGCCCATCCAAGCTTTCAATTTCGCCTCCCATTCCCAGGCACCCCAAAATAACGAAATCAAGAATCGGGATTGGACTGGCAAACAGCTTGTCTTTTTGCCTTTCTATGGCGCATCAGTCGGTTCACAGAAAGGATGTGGCGCCTTGAGCTTCTCGCAGCTTCGAGCCACGTCGCCGCCTTTGCTGCGTAAGCTGATTCGTGCCTCTGCGCTGCTATACGTAGGAAATGTGTTTGCCTGGACGCGGGGTCATACTCTCGTGATGCAAGTTATAAAAGATCTCTCCTTTCCTGTGGCTTGAATTGCATCTCCTTTCACACATCATTTCCCCATCAACCATCATTTTGCTTCGTCCGCAAGTCAGACAGGAACCAAATGCCTCCTATCTATTACCTAAATCCCCCCCCAAATCCTTTCTGGGATTTTGTCGCCGGGATTGAAGATCACCCATTCTTCACCCATTATCGGGGCGCTGTTCCACCACCACCACCAGCTCGCCCTGGAACTGAACAAACCCAAACTCAAGCCACTGCTACTGCTGCTGCCGCTGAGGCCAGCGAAAAAGCCAAAGGCAAGCAACCAGAAACCTACGTCGAGGATCCACCTGAAGTTGATCCTTCAACCATCCGTCCTGAAGGCAAAGACAAAGACACTAGCATGCCATTCCGTGGTCGCGGTCGTTTCGCAAAGGCCTTTGAAGGCGACGAAAAGGACGACGAGAAGGGCCGTCATCGAGGCGGTCCGGGCTGGCGTGGACATCATGGCCACTGGAGGGGGGGTCACCATGGGCCTCATCCTTTCGGACCACCCCCATTCATGTTTGGTCCACGTTTTGGCCCATGGGGCCCACCACCGCCACCACCAGTAGGAGGCCAAGAAGGTCCGGAGGGCCGTGGTCCATTTGGCGGATTTCGTGGACGCGGGGGTTGCCCTCGCGGCCGTCACGGACATCATGGCGGTCCTCACTCCCGCTCACCACCACGCGAGCACAGATCGGGTGGCTTCGATCTGAGCGCTTTCCTCAACAGATTAGGCGAACGTCTTGGTGTCGACCTCTCCTCCGCCGCCGAAGGACTAGGTCTCGACCTTGACCGCTTCAAATCGCGCTCAAATGACAGCGATTTCGAACCGAGAACCGACATCTTCGACACCACTACCCAATACATAATCCACATATCTCTTCCAGGTGCGAAGAAATCTGATGTCGGTGTTGAATGGGATGGTGAGCATTCCGTTCTCCGAGTCACGGGCGTCGTCCATCGCCCCGGCGTAGATGAAGAAACAATGACGCACTTGGTTGTCGACGGCCGCAAGAGAGAGACGGGCGTTTTTGAGAAGAACGTGCGTCTAGGTACACAGAAGGAGCCTGCCTGCGTTGATGTCCAGGGCATCACCGCCAAGATGGTCGACGGCGTCCTCGTGGTGCAAGTCCCCAAGGTTGAGAAGAAATTTGAGAAGAAAGAAGTCCGTGTTGATGGGTCGTCGCCTGAAGTGTCCACCGAACGGCCCGAGGACGCGTACATGAATGAAAATGACTTGCTCTTCGACGCCCAGGAAGACAGAGATGAGGAGATGTACGATGCCGAACCAACTCGCAATCGGCCCTTCCCAGCGAAGGCGACTTTGAGCGAGACGTCGAAGAGCAAGCAAAAGGAAGCCGAACGGGAAGCGAGAGATGACCGCTCCGAAACTGTGGGGTTCGAACATGAAAACGAAACAGTCGAGACTCTTCCCAGGTATGAAGCTGAGGATACCAGTCATCGCCAGCATGCCGGGGAAGAGGAAATGAGCGATTGGGAGAAAGCCGGGTCGGAGGATGAAGGCGAGTACGTCAAGATCAACGTTGATTAGACGGTACGCTGCCTAAAACCCCAGGGAAGAAATTAGGGAATATCGTCACAGAGGTGTTAATGAAAGGTCTCTTTTGTTTGTTTGGCGTTGGCAGGGGGTGGATTCTACCATAACATGGCTCAGTATGGGTGTCTCTTCTGCATGCCAGTGCGGCAGAGGAGGACCAGAAAAATATCAAAAAACATGATGGCGGTCTCTCAATCGCCAAAACACACATCAAGCAAGTTCTCTATTCTTGGTCTTCCGTGGCTTTTCTTCGCGTCTCTACATCAATAACCGCGTGCCGAAATAATTGCCAGATGGGATTCCTCTCTGACACATCGAGAAATCGCATCACGGCTTTCACGGTTGAATTGGCAGGCAGGTACATTCTTCTTGTCTCTGTTTTTCCCCTCCTCCATGACCCAAGTTGCAAACACGCCAACCCCTTCACCCAACACAACCCCTGTACCAAATTTGCCGTCGACTTATTTCATTGCGCTCGGATTCGGCTGTTCAGTCGCCGTCAATGTATGGCTCGTCTAAAGAGCCATGGTAGAATGTTCAACCCTGCAGTACTAAGTTGACACTCCTCTTGCAAAATACTTCATTACTGACACTGCCCATGCCGGGTCGTTTTCACTCTCTTCCTTGTTGGTGCGGTGCCGGCGACACGTTGCGCCGTTGTCTTTCCTACTCAAATGTTAGGTGGGATCGCTACAGCCGGAATTGTCTCCGCCGCGCTCCTGGTCCTATGGTCGTTCATGTTCGGCTTGGTGGAGGCACAACTATCATTCGAGGCCTCTTCATCGACATGCTCACGACAACGCAACTCGTATTTTCCGTCATCATGCCTGCGACCGTAAAGCATATCTTGCCCCTATCAGAAGCGGAATTGCTCTTTGCATTGGACATCTTTACCGTAAGTTCCTACCCACCTTCCTCTTGAAGCATTCAACCGGCAGGCTTCAAATCCAGGCCTAGGATGACCTTGAAACACAATCAATCGTGCCGGAGAAAAGGACGGGCAGACCAAATGTTGCATGGGGTACACTTTGCGACTATGCCAGAGTCCACTTCGAGCCAAAGGGACGACCGAGACCATGCAGGATCTTGGTGACTGAGAGTTTGAAGCATGTGAAAGAATAATGAGAGCTAAATACATCATATATGGAGATACTTCAGGCTAAAGGATATTTACTTCGAGCGCTCCACTTCAACAGGTTTGCTTGTCTCACGGAAACAGTCACTGCTGCTCCACTACAGAGTCCCAAGTCTACTGTAGGTTTCATCATGAGACCTTTTTCGAACGGTCGGTGAGACTGAAACATCTCGACATTAACGGCATATGTCTTGCTCATGAAGAGAATGTAAGTCTCCAGAATGACGAGGCCGGCATTCGTCATCAGCAACTGTGTATTCCGTGCTGGCAAGTGGATGTCTGACAGGAATACTGTTCAAGAATCATGTTGGCACGTGTGACATCCAAATCCATCAAGTAATGTTCTTTTGCCCTCGACACGAAGAAAACGTGTCCGTCGTTGAAGTCTTTCCCCCAGGAACGAACCAATCGTTTGATACCGAGTTTATCAGGGGGGCTCAGCGGCTGTGACCTTTTTAGCGGTGAGATACCACTTACACTGACGCGGATTCCCCTGTTGGGCTACCGAGCTGATTCATCCGACCACCGATCCCAATACTAACAGCTGAACAAACATGTGGCTCGGACAGCAAAACCTAGCTTTTCACAGTACTTCATCACTTCGATCCGAAGGTATCTCAACCGGATCATCCGGTCAAGAGCAATCCCGATAAGCACGAAACCAGAAACTCAACTCGCTTATCTTTTGACATTACTCCCGAACCAAATTGCCACCATCGACAAAAATTTTTTCCATCAAATTTTCAGTTTCATCCACCATCGATATTTGCAATTTCCAATGCGTTCGCATTTTTGCCTTGTCAGATATCAACGCACATGCTTCTCAACTTGTTGGTGGGCGGCAGGATCCATCACTCTTTATGTACCCTCTTGGGATATCATTATCCACCCGCGAAACTGGCCTCTAGCTGGTGGCTCCTCCCCCTTTCCACTCTTCTCGTCTCATCTTCTTTAGGTCTCATTGGCAAAATAAGCCCATCATTCACTCCACTATGGGTCGGCCATCCCTACCAGTTGTTTCCACTTTTTATCGTGGGAACACTATGTACGATATCAAACGAGCAAGGGAGAAAAAAAAAAAAATTTTTTTAAAAGAAACGTCTTTTGATATCTATTTGACAGTGCCCATCGCCATCAACAAATGCCTAGATCTTATTTGTTATCGAAATGCTCGTGGATCTGTCATGCCATTTCCCATGCATTCCTATGCCACGACATCTGGTTCCATTCATTTCCTCAACGAGTAGTGCCCATGTGCGCTCAGGGCGTTGAGTTGCCTCCGACCGCTTCTGACCCTATGATTCCAGGAGAGTTCCTCTGCAATTTTGGAATCTCTTTCTTCTGTTTTGTGACGTGCCAGCATTGCTTTCGCCCTTCGACTCTCGTTTTATTAATCCAAATCCCCGAAACCACTGACACAAGCGAACCTTTACGTATCCTATCGTTCAGATCCAACGTCAACCGAATCATACCTCTCGTCAAAGCCACCAAAAACACACATCTACACTAGGCTGGCTCGGCTCGCCTTAATTTATCGTCCCATACGTATTATCTAACTCGATATATATATGCGCTCCAGCCTGACGCTCTCGCCAAATGGCTGAAGAAAACACTAAACCAGCACCGGGATCCGAGGATACCAGCAACAACTCGAGCGCCAATATCAGTCGACAGCACAGCTTCAGAGGCAACCGACACAAAGTCAAGTTCAGCAATGTGGACAGCAATGACGAGGAAAAGGACTTGGATGGGGGACCTCACACCAGAGGGAGCAGCGATCGGAGGAAAAGTGTACCAGAAATTCGGATTCCCGGAGAGGAGGACGTGGCCGATCATGTCTTGATATCTCCAGATCGGGTGGGAAGAACGAGTGCTGCGGCAGCTCATGCTCAGAACCGGGCTAATCGACTAGCCAATCGATTGAGCAATCTCGTTTCGAGTTCAAAGACGACGACTTTGGACTCGGCAGCGAATACACCGCTGGCTACACCTCCACAAGGTAAGTGGATCAGACCAGACGTACTCCGATCAATTGTATCGTTACCATCCTTCAGTGGAATGCTGACCAGATGTGACCAGGGTACGCATCACCCAACACTTCACCACCAACGAAGCCACTCAATGACTGGATCGTCAATGTCGATGACATCCCACTTGCATCGCTTGACAAGGAAAAGGACAAACGACCCTACGCAATCCACGACGACACGACGGACGATGATACGGATGACGACGATGAACCCAAACCGTTAAAGCGCACCAATGAGAATGTCGAAGAAGCAAAACGACTAGTCAGGACATTGACGGCCCCCCATAATAATCTGTCAGGATGGCAGAATCAGCCCCGATCAGGCACACAAACTCCTGCCATCGACAAACGTCTCCACGATATCGACTACATCCCACCACCCGACGAATATCGGCCTGGCATCTTCGGGGCCATCTTATCCTCGAAACTCGCAGACCTCAAGCGTGGCGGCATCACTCGACCCCGATACTACGACGACCCATCCTCCGGTGCTGCGACACCTAAACACTCCCATTCCCCCAAAGACCTCTACTCGTACTCTCGAGGGCACTCGCGTGTGACATCTGAAAGCGGAGCGTACCACGACTCAACACCATCCTCAGGTCGAGCCACGCCGTCATCCAAACGTCCCAAATGGTACGACAAAGGTCCCGCGAACCAGTCGACGGGCTCGATGGCGACGTTAGTCGCACAGGCGTCCATGACGTCCGCGGCCCCCGTCTCGCCCGGCATCAGCGACAATATTCCCCGCCCGCCCATGAACAGGAATCGTTCGAGTAACAGTATGATTGCGACGGCGGTGGATATGATCAAGCATCCCGGCCATGTAAGCTCACACATCACACACATGTCCCTCCCCCCTCACATAACCTCCTTGGCCTGTACGTACCATCTGTATTGTGCCCTGATTGGAACACAGCAAAGGAACGCCCATACTGACGCATGATGTGATGTGCTACAGCACTTCCACCACAAACACCACTCCTCCTCACCATCTATCCGTGCCGAAGAAATCCGCGTCATCCAAGACGTCGCCTCCATCATCGCCTGCCGCAAATACCTGAAGAAACTCGCCCGTGTACTCATGGCCGTCGGCGCCCCCTCCCACCGACTGGAAGAATACCTGAAAACCTCTGCCCGCGCGCTCAACATTGACGGGGACTTCCTGTACGTGCCCGGCGCCATGCTCGTCTCCATCAACGACCCCATCACCATGAGCACTGAAGTGACCCTAGTCCGCGAATCGCAAAATGTCGACCTCTCGCGTTTCGAAGACGTCTTTGCCATCTACAAATGCGTTATCCACGGGAAGTATGCCGCGGAAGAAGGCCTCGACGAAATCGAACTCATCATGCGAATGCCCGAGATGCACCGGATTGGGGTCCGGATTCTCGCGTACGGAATTGCCGCTATAGCCGTCGGCCCGTTTGCGTTTTCGGCGCGCCCGGTCGATTTCGCGCCGAGTTTCGTGCTCGGATGCACGCTGGGTGTTTTGCAGCTGATCGTGGTGAACCGGTCGGCGCAATTTGCGCACGTGTTTGAAGTTCTAGCGGCCGTGTTCATTTCGTTTGCAGCCCGTGGTTTGGGCTCGATTTACGTCAGCGGGCATGAGGAGCCGGTGTTTTGCTTCTCGGCCATTGCGCAGAGTAGTATCGCGTTGATATTACCGGGTTATACGGTTCTGTGCTCTGCGTTGGAGCTGCAGAGCAAAAACTTGGTCTCGGGTTCGGTCAAGATGGTTTACGCCATTATTTACTCGTTGTTTTTGGGGTTTGGAATATTGATCGGGACCGTCGTCATGGGTGAGTTACTCCCCCCCGGTTTTACTCTCCTTTCTCCTTTCCCATCTCACATATCATCCTGACCTCTACAGAAGGGGGAGAGTGTGTGTGAGAGAAAAGTACAATCCCCTACGGAACATGTTGGCTGACTTTTTATTGCTCTAGGCCTCATCTACCCCGGCGCCCAGTCCGACGTAACCTGCCACATCCCCTCATGGTGGAATTCCGGCAGCCTCAACTACACACTAATCTACGCGCGCTTCATCTGGGTGCCCATTTTCGCCATCTGCCTGGCAATCATCAACCAAGCCAAATGGCACCAAGTCCCCATCATGACCCTCATCGCCTTCTGCGGCTATCAAGCCAACTTCTGGATCAGCACTCAAGTCATGAACAATGTCCAAGTGGCGAACGCGATCGGCGCCTTCGCGATCGGAGTCATGGCAAACTTGTACTCTCGCTTCTTCCACGGCCTAGCGGCCGCAGCCATGTTGCCCGCGATATTCGTGCAGGTGCCCTCGGGCCTCGCGGCGAGTGGGAGCCTCGTCGCGGGGATTACGAGCGCGAATCAAATTACGGGCAACGCCACGGGGATCAGTGTGATTAATAATGGCACGGCGGGGTTCTTGGATGCACAGGACGGATCGAGTGCTGCTGCCGATGTCTATGGCGGGACGATCTTCAATGTTGGATATGGTATGATTCAAGTGGCGATTGGGATTAGTGTCGGGTTGTACCTGAGTGCGTTGGTTGTATATCCTATTGGGAAGAGGAGGAGTGGATTATTCAGTTTCTGAACGATATTAAAAAGAAAAGGCAAGGTCAGGAAAGTGGCTTGTTCTTCCCATGATTGTGCACTTGTCCAAAACAAACAGCGTTGTCATAAGGGGTTGAGTGTCAACGGGCTGGATACTTCCCATTTATTTGACTAGAACTCCAAGTCAATTGGTCCCTTCGCTACGCGTGTTGGGAAACACACTAATCCCCATATCCCCCGGATTACTGTTAGCTGGCCTGGTATTCGTGGGTGGGTCCGGGGCGTATGAAGGGATTGTCAAACAGGGCTGTTATGTATTAATTCGGCTTCTGTTCCCTGTCCAAACTTGACTGAACCAATAAGACGTAAAGTTTCCGTACGACGGTAGAACTACTTACCGCTGGTGTCCTGACTCATGCTATTATACGAGTGCTCAGCTTTAGACTTGGATTGTTCGAGTTCAAAGGTCTTAGCATACATCATCTTTAGGCCTGTTCCGGCCGTAGTTTGTTCGTCCAGGGACCAGTTTGACTGAGATGAATCTCCCACTGAGGAGTCCAGCGGCATCTGTTGCCAGCCACACACCGGTACTGCCAACAAGCTCGGGAATCTCTAGAGCGAAGCGCGTAAGAAATTCTGCGCGAAATGATAAACAAATCATTTGATGGGATGATATGGCTCTGGCTATGTGACAGATGAGTCTAACTTACCGACAGCCATCCCTGTATCGACGGCTCCTAGCTGTGGGCCACGGGCATTGACAATTGTGGTTACTCGGCAGTCGCACATTCCATCAAATACTGGACGGAGACATTGTATAGGTGCCACGAATGTTCCGAGCCCTGTGCTGAGGGTGATGACCATGCCCTTCCCCTCCGCTCTAATCCTAGGAAAAGCTCGGGTCACGAGGTCGGCGCCTTGACATTGATCCCGAAGTCATTCCACCACGTGGTAATCTGGGTTTCTGCGATCAGTACACCTTCTGTGTCGACTCCTGCATTGTGGACCAAGACGTCTGCATAGCCACATCTTGCCTTGACAAAGTTGTACAGAGAACAGAGCTGTGACAGCAGCTTCATCGGAGACTAAAGTTGGGTCTAGCTATGGCAAAAGCTGTGACAGTCCCACAGGGCACCAATCCCAGCTGCTATGCCTGTGATTATTACTATCTTACCATCCTGCTCAGTCTTGCGCTCTCTCGAGAGGTTCGGATGAAGAAATCCTTCATCGTTCTCGGCTCTACAATCTATCATCTACGTGTCGCAACAGGTCCAGAGCGCCTTGCACAGGGACTGCAGACTGCAAAGGCTCAGTCAGGTTGATGAGCTTATCAGAAGATCGATGAAATCTCATCTGGCCCGTCCCCCGTCACACTTTGCGTTCCTTAGCCTGCACTCGTCGCACGCCGCCCACACTCGGAGATAAAGAAGGAAGCATAGAAAACGGGACGGGGGTCGCGGGGACGACAAGAAGAAGAGGTCTGCTTCCGAGAGTTCAGTATGGTATGTCGCGATCCTGCCGCCTGGAGTATTGCGTGGCCTGAGGATGTTAATCTCTACAGCAAGAAAAGCTTAATGCGACGACTTACCCAATCTTTGCAAAATGCTACTCGCCTTTTTCCACCACCAAGGCCCTTTGCCTCGGCCCGCAGCGTCAGAGAGTCCCCCTGAAACGGACGATAAATTCCGATCTTGATCCAGGTTTAAGTTTGAGGTGCACTCCGTTGTTGTTGAAGCGATCTCTAGCATCGTATTTAGTATCTCGTACCTCGTATTGGGAGGCTGCCAACCAAGGAGAGACATCCCCGCTTCGGATCGAATTGATAATACAGAGCATCGTTCATAGAGCGTTCGAAGATAAAGGATAAAACCTAGGCTCACTGCAGCGTTTCGTAACTGCTCTTTCTACATCTGACCATTTCCACTTCAGGCTTGTCGACAGAACTTCCCCCTCCCTTCTCATACCCAATATGATCCAGTTAGGGCTTCTCGTTCTCTTTTTTGTCGCAGGATCTATCGCTTTTACTGCTGTTGATGCATTCTTATCCTCACGTCGCCATGCCAGGCAAGCCAAGGAAAGCGGCTGTCAGGCTCCTCCCAGATTCCGGCACAAATGGCCATGGGGAATGGACAATGTCCTAAGATTGATACAGGCCGACAAAGAACATAGAGTTCCCCAAGAGGTGATGAAAACGTATCACGAGGCGGGGCACGCTACGTTTATCTTGACGATGCCAGGCAGGACCAACATCGTTACGCATGATCCCAAGAACATTCAAGCGGTCCTGGCCACACAGTTCGACGACTTTGAACTCGGGCCCCAGAGGCGGAACAACTTCTACCCCATGCTTGGAGTAGGGATATTCACTGCAGATGGTAAGACTTGGTAAGTACCCACCCATCTCGTCTTGTCTACAAGACTTGTCGGCAGCACAACGGGTCGTTGCTTACGGATTTATCCTGCAATCTAGGGAACACTCTCGCGCCGCCTTAAGGCCCCAATTCGTCCGTGAGCAGATATCGGACTTGGAACTCGAAGAAAGACACATTCAAACCCTTTTCCAACATCTGCCAGTAGATTCGTCAGGGTGGACTGCTGCCACAGATCTTGGGCCTATCTTCTTCCGGCTTACCCTCGACACCGCCACCGAATTCCTCTTTGGCGAGAGTGTCCACGCTCAAAGCGCCGCACTACCCCCAAATGCTTCAGCGCTACCGACGGCTTTCAATCACCATGACATAGGAGCAGATTTCGACCACGGCACATCTGTCTTAGGTATCCGAAGTCGGTTGGCGGGATTATACTGGCTCTATAATCCACCTTCCTTCCGCAACGCGATCCGTGCGGTACACCGTTTCGCAGACGACTGCATCGAGCGAGCCGCCCAGGACCCCTACTCCGATAAAACAAATGACCGTTATGTCTTCCTCAAGGAGCTCCTAAAGCTCACGGACGACAAAATCGAAATCCGAACTCAATTATTGAATATTTTCCTCGCAGGGCGAGACACCACAGCGGGACTCTTAGGCTGGACCTTCTGGGAACTCGCTCGCCATCCTGAGGTCTTCCGCAAACTCCGAGCCACGATTCTCGAAAACTTCGGCCCTTATGGCTCCAATAAAAAATTCACCTTCGCCACACTCAAGTCCTGCACCTATCTCCAGTATGTCATGAACGAAACGCTCCGTCTCTATCCCTCCGTCCCGCTCAACTTCCGACAAGCTACTCGGGACACGACCTTGCCTCGCGGCGGCGGACCCGACGGCATGAGCCCCGTCTATGTCCAACGGGGCCAAGAGGTGAATTACTCCGTGTACGTCATGCATCGACGCCGTGACATCTGGGGCCCGGACGCCGACGAGTTCGTGCCGGAACGCTGGTCTAGTCGTAGATTCGGCTGGGAATATTTGCCCTTCAATGGCGGCCCACGCGTGTGTCTCGGCCAGCAATTTGCCCTCACCGAAGCTGGCTATGTCATCTGTCGGATCCTACAGAGGTTCGATGCCGTCGAGAAAAGCGTCGCTTCGGACGAGGAATTGCATCAGTATAGTCTGACAACAGCTCCCTTGACCGTCATGGTCAAGCTCCATCAAGCCGCCGAAGCAGACAGATAAGCTCTCCGGTTGGTTACATGGGACGAACGCGTGAGGGCGCTCGAGATAACGCCTACCGCAAATGCTCTGGACACGTCCGTGTTGCTTCTTGGGACGGAAATCTAGCTATCTATCAGTAATTAGATGGATGTGGGTGGTTCGACTACCTTGGACCCCTCGGCGCGAAGAGCGTTGGCTTTCTGAGAGCAAAAAGGGAGCCTCCCAAAGAGCGAGGAGTCATCAAAGAGAAACGAAGTGAACGAGCAAAGTAAAAGGCAGAGAGAATTCTAGGTCTTGAATATCTAGGCACCTTTAAGTTTCCTTGTGGGAATGGACGTCCTTTCCTTGCCTTGTCCTCGCATTTGGCCGGACAAGTTTGGCCAACTGAGAAGTCGTCAGTAGTGGAAATCCAGTCCCCCAAGGAAGGAGAAGAAGAAGGGATTGGCTCATTGCTTCAACTTCACCCTCATTCTCATCCCATCCACAGGCACACTCGTGACTTGATTGAGACTCCAGACCTCTCGGTCGGGATGATCGGTCCCATCACCTTTCGGTATTCCCTCAACCTCTACACGACCACTCATCCCGACCTTCTCCCAGCTGAACCCTCGAACAACCGCACACATGACGACTTTGGCCTCAATCATCGCGAGCTCCTGGCCGATACAGTTCCGTGGCCCGCGCTCAAACGGCCGCCATGCCCCCGTGGGCAAAGACGCGGTGTAGTGGTCATCAAGCCAGCGTTCAGGGCGGAAGATATGCGCGTCAGCACCCCAGACGGCCGGGTTTCGATGGATCAGGTACTGGGCACAGTAGATGCGGAGGCCATTGATGTTGACTTCTCTTTTCTCTGCGGAAGGTGAGGATGAGGTGCGAAGCACGACGTTCACGGCCGTGGGATTGTCGGAGGAGATCTCGGGAATGTATCTCGCGGTACTGGCGGGCGGATGTAATCGGAGGGATTCCTTGATAAAAGCAGATGTGTACGGTAACTTATGGCCGAGAATGGCTTCTGCTTCTCTTCTGCCCTCGTCGTCCTCGCGGCCCAGGATGTCGAGAGCGTCAAATTGATGGCCGTTGTCGCCTTGGCCGAACACCGCATCGTGCTCGGCGACGAGTTGGGAGAGTATCGCGGCATGGGGTTCAGACCATGAGGCTTTGGAGAGTTCAAAACACAGCCACTGGATCATGGTAGCAGTTGTGTCTTGTCCGGCGAAAAGGAATGATTTGATCTGCGAGACCGTGTTGCGGATCAGCCCTCTGCTAGGAGTCAGGCCCGAGAGCGCAAGACGGGTGATGGATTTCTGTTGCGTCTTCTGGGGTGAGTCTTTGGGCGGTTTCATGTTCCCATTGTCTGGAGACGTCTGTTCGGCGGAAATCTGCTGGCGAATAACCCGGGCCAGTTCGTGGTTATAGACTTGTTCGTAGAACCATGATTTCGTCGGCCTGACAGGATCGATGTAATGCAGCGGATTGAATCCTTGACCCAATTTAAATACTAAAGTCGAGAGCAGTCTCGAGGCGGTCAGCATGCCCAGGGGTCCTTTATGGCCTTCACCCTCCGGCAGAGACTGGGCTTGAAAGTCCTTCTCGATGGTCAATTCCGTGATGATATCAGTGGTGAGATCCTGAGTGTAACGTTTGAGAGGAAAGACTTCGTCTTTCTCGGCAGAGGCTTTGAGGCGGTCCACGAAAATGCGCGTCTTGGAGATGATCAGTGGATCCAAGGAATGGAGATGAGAGGGCGCAAAACCTCGATTGAATCGTTTTCGAAGATTCTTCCATTCCTCTCCTTCGGCGATGATCAATGACTCGAGACCTACCAGGCGATGCATGGTCTTGAGGGTATCGCTTTTGGGGGCCGAATACTTGAATTGCGAAGTCGGCTGGACCAGAGCTTCGGAGACGGTAGGGTCTGCGACGATCAGAAAGCATCGATCCACGGGCTCCATATCCATCAAGAACGCGTCTGGCCGACCGAGAGAATCCCAGACTTGCTCAAAAGCATAGTCCGGATGACGATTAAGGGCCGGATTGAGCTTCTCGCCCATATTGATCAGATGGCCCCACATTGGATGGCGGGGAAGACCAGGAATATCGAGCCATCTTTGGCGAGCTCGGTAGGTTCGTAGGATGAGGTTGGAAAGTCGTAATGTGAGATAGACGACTATGAGGGTGAGAGCGAGAATGAAGCGGTTGTTGGTGGGGGATTCGAGAATGTGCAGCATATTTTTGGGCTAGAGTCCAACGGGCAGAAATGATCTGATATTGACGGTGCACAGCTTAACTCGGTCATAAGCGTTTGAATCCAGCCACGAATACCTCTCAGCGTTGTCAAAGGGCCCAGGAGTAAAGATATGTTTCGTCGTTGCCCGTTTCATTAAAAGCATGGTCAATCTCCAGACGAAAGGCGACAAGCGAGAGAGATATATAGTGCTGGCTCCTGGTTAAGCGATTGGTTGCGAGGTGAGCTGACTCGGCAGCCAGAACCCGGCTTCTGAACCACACAACCCTGGAACATGCAGAATGGTGATCAGGGGATCGGGTTTCTTGAAAGGATTTATCCTCATTCTTACTGGATCAATCCTACTGCAGCCGATAGACAACGCTGTGATGCGCTTATCAAAGTGGAAACCAAGGCCGCCTCCCGTCGATGGATTATGGCGGTTGTAAGGACGCAAACTATGGAACAATATCCAGCGTCCGCACAACTTCGAAGACATGTCCCATTCACAGTTATAACTCGCAGCTCGCTCTCTGGCTCGGAATCGTACGATTCACAACCGAAAGACCAACATCTCGCACCTATGCTCCTTTCCAACCGGCCAATCCATTGAGCACCTCATGGATATCCAATGTCAATCCCGAATCGATCTGATCAATAGATTCCTCACCCGTAAAACACCCCAAGCCTTTCACAGGTCGCTGACCAGTGTTCCGACTCGTCGAGTCGACTCGCAAGACTCGCGAGTCGACATCGACGCTAGACTTGGTTGTTAAGCGAGCCAATCAGGGCAAAATATCTTGGAATTGTCGGATTATAGATTTTCCGGATTACCGGTGCTACATTGTTAGAGGGGTATTTGCTGGTCACGTGGGGCAGAATTTACCAACACCAAGGATTCCTATACAAACCGAGCGACAACGGGGTCAGGATAAATTGGCGGGTGGCAAGATTGAGCCGAGGTTGGTGGCCCCCGGATATGATATCCGGCGCCGTCGCGAGTCGCTCGTGACTCGACAACTCGGAACACTCGCTGGCGGACGAAGGAATCTTGATCTTGAGGATATCTTGCGACCAAATAATTAGAGGGATGAGTACACATACCAAGAGGTTGAGATAGAAACCACCACTGATACCGGCACAGGTTAGGGCATCTGGACATCTCTTCTGGTGGGATTATTGGCGTTGACGTGGATGCGCATCGGGTAAGCGACAGGTGTCGAGTGGTTGACGGTAGTCCGAATGCTGTTTGCATTACCAGAGTCATAGACATTCCATTTGGTGGGGTATTCGAAACGACGAGTTGGGAGATCGGGCACGGAAGAGGACTAGGTCATTGTTTCAGGTGCCGAATGTCGAGTTGTCAATGATCCAGGCAAGGCTGCCAGTGGCATTGACAGCGAAGTTAATGTCGACAAAGATATCTGTGGCCGCTTTGGCAGGAGGAGCAATGGAGAAAGACGGCTGTGTTTCACCAAGATCATCGTTAGCACAGATATCGGTAGGATCTTTCCATGCAGTCGTATTGGGCTTGCTGTCGTTGTTGGCATTTTGATAGTGTATCCGTTGGCTGATATGTGAGGTAGCAGTTGCTAATGACCGAGCGCATCCACATTGCATTTTTGGGAATTCCTGTCGCTTTAACAATGACGTCTGCGCGCTGATCGATACTCAAAGTCACGACCTCAGTGGTGTATGGAACAAGAGGCACGAAATCGTAGGCGATAACTTGCAGTTAATGGTTGTCGATGCTGAGGACTTCCGCTCCGCCATTGATCAAACGCAAACGATATGTCTTGCCGTTGGTGAAGTGGAACTTGGCATAGCCTGCGTTGAGTGTGCACTTGGTGCTGTTGCTGACAAGGGAGCAATCAAATGTGCCTTGGCCGTTGATGAGGTTGGTATCCGAGTAAGGCGCAACCTTGCTCAAGTCCGTACCCATAACGTGCCCGACAAGGTCACAATATTCTGCGTGATAGTCGTCGGTATGTCGAACAGGACCGAGGGCCTCGTGGTCGTCAGCATTCGTCGGGCCGTAAATTATCATGGCACCGAAGAGACCGGCTGCGTATTCCACCGAGGAGAGTTCTTGTATGGATTGGTATTGTTTGCTGTTCGGAACCCACAGGGAAATGGGTTTTGGAACAGTTCCACCGTTATCCCTCAGAACCACTGCCATGACCACCAATTCCGGAGGCGCCGTTGCCACCTGCATCGCTCCCATTCGTCCTTTTGTCGGGAGCAGCGTTATCTCCGGCAGTGTTACCCCCAGCATCGCTTCCCGTAGAATTTGATACTCTCGACCCCCCTCTTCTTATATTTGAGCTTCTTGGAGCACTAATGAATTGAGGAAATTTAGGGGCGCTGGGCTGGCCATTCTTTGGAATAGTTCCCAACAACGCCTTCCCATTTGTTCGTGATTGAGGACGATCCCATGTGCCTGAAGAGATTTTGAGTGGTTGAATAGGTCGACGTGGGAGAACTGTTGGGAAGATGGTGTTTGAGATTGGGTGAGAAAGAGTTTGAGGGGAGAGTTCGACTGAGAGCACGGGTGACTCGTGGGTTGTAGTACTCATCTTCAATGTGATTGTCGTCGTCTTTGAGTGAGTGGTCGTCATCAATGCGTTAAGGGTTACTGAAATTATAGCCGGACTGTACTGAAGTAGTCGAAGATTGGACCGCTTCAGACGTAACATTGGTGGTAAATAATAAGGCACAAACAGTTTAAAGAGGAGTAATGAGTGACGCATCTTGGTCAAATTGATACCTGCGCAACCGGCCAGGAAAGAGATGAATGCGGCGATGCTTATCGGAAGTTCCGGCTTATCGTTCCAAACATGTCAGTCGTAATTCGCGGTATTTGCTTTCCTAAATATCAGAGGTTCTTCGAGCAGTATGGCTACCCAGATTGCCGCCCAATAGTCCATCAACGCTAGAAAATTAGTAAAAAATAACAGCGAGGTTGTTTCATCCAGCCAATGCACAGGCAGTATAGATGAACACCAATTGTATTCTAGATCACTCGAGGAATTTGGGCGCCGAACCGATCAAGTCGTTGAAAGTCGACCCCAGACGAATAGGTGGGGGGGAATCATATTGCCGATACCTCCTAGAACTGCAATGACTGCACAACATTGTCCAAAATCGCCTAGCGGAGAGTAGGCCTGGACAAGCAAAGCACCGGAACCAGAACCTCCTTGTGAATTTGTCCAGGCATCCATGTCCTGCTGTGACATATCGATGCCTGAGACAACGCCAGGTCCCAGTACAAAAGCAAACGTGAAAGAGAAGACCTGACCTAGGAGGGTCATGGTGAAAATCAGAGACCTGGAGGCTGTGGCTGGCCAGTAGACGAAGAGATCCATACCCAAGCCCGCGTACGTGGTGGCAGTAGAAATACAGAGAGAAAAGAAAGGACAGACGATTTGCGAAAAGGGTGCGACTATCCCCAACACTCGGGTTAGTCAGGTCGAATTTCTTCGCCGATATTTCGAACAAAATGGAGAACGAATTGGGTTGAGGCAACCAGACAAATAGAACTTGACCCCCCATAACGGCGACCAGCAAAGCGTAGCCTAACATCACGATGACATTAAAATGACAATCAGCTAGCTGGGATACCAGCTCGTGCCGTAACGGGACCAGGCCATAGTACGCACACCGGAAAATGGTCCCCCCCGTTGTAATCGAGGCCACCGGAAGGGAGCCCAATAGAAGCCCCAGAGCTGCGCAAATGGAAGAGTCCGTGAAAGAAAGCTCAAAGACCGCTGGGCCTAGCACGCCGAGTGTCGCATCGTTGATGGCTAAATTAATGGAAATCCCGAGTTCGAAGGCCTGGAGATATGCAAACCACGAGATGTGTCGCTTCTCATGACTTTCCACTCGTTGTATTCCACGAGTCTCGATGTGTACTTCGACAACGCACGCTCAAAAGAACGCACCCAGAGGGGAATGCGAGCGGGCCGGGACGAACTCAGGGGTCTGTCGTGATCAGAGGCAAGGTCATCAGCGGGAGGGAAGGAGGATGGTTGCGGTGGCGGTTGGGCTCGTGTTTTCTCAGCATCAAGGCGATCAACCTGTGTGGCCATAGCAGACGGCGGCGAAGATGGTAGAACACTGCGGCACACAAAAAAGATGAGACTCGACGCCAATCTGCGCAGGACGACAAACATTGGCATGCATGAAACCGACCTTTATCGATGTAGGAGCTAAGAGGGTCGCAGGTATTCGACAGTTGATGGACTGGCCGATGCCCAACGTTGATCGGTTGTTTCGCTTCGTGGGCGGATGGACAACTCGGACGAACAGGTGTTCATGCAGAGAAAGCCCTTGAGCCATTTCTTCTGGGATTTTCTAGGCTGTCGAGCAGCGATCTCGCCACGCTTATTGGAGGCTTAGAGCGGACTGCAGTCGCAAATGAAACCGGAAGGCATGACCGACTCTAGCGGTAGCGGGTGGTGCAAATGGCGGTGGAGTCGTACTTCAGTTCATGTTCAAACGAAATGTCGTGCGACCTGAAGACGGGCGAGGCTGTGGATCAGCAGTACAGTACAGAAGCGAAGGGACCTGAGGTTGGAGGTTATTAATTGCAATGGCATTTTGTGTGAGTCACAACATCGCTCTCCTCGACATTGTCTATGAAGGTGAAGGGAAGGCGAGGGAAGGGCGCAGGAAGGGCTTTGAAAAAAAAAATTCCCAGGTCAAAGTGCGGTCGTTTTCTTAGGGCACCCTTTGCCAAGCACGTTGGTATTCTGATTGGCTCCTGGCGTCAGAGGCCTCCTGAGTGATCCGCTCAGAGTTTGTTGTACTGTCGAGATAATACCAGTCCCTTGACGGCTTGCGACAGAAGCTCCTGGGCTTTTTTCGTCACTGCTCGCAGCCTCAACAAATGTGAATCGAGATGTATAGCTGACCACTGACCGCTCCAGAGTCTAACGGATGTGTTTGGGTCGCTGCTACCGCCTACTGAATACAAGCACCAACTACCACCACTAGGTGGCTTGGAGGGCTTGACGCGACACGGACCGGAAACCGCCTTGTGATTGGCACACACAGTAGCGCATGGTTGACGGATATCCGAGACACTTGAGCCACCCTAAACCCATCATCGACAAACCGGTTTCGATTCATGTCCGGGGAAACACAAATTGGGGATTCGAAGAGAAACAATGTCAACCAGAGGTCCAAACGCCCCCGGGCCAGTTTTCATTATTGTGACCTGATGCATGTCTCCCTCCCTTCATTCGTTCGTGGATACATTCATTCGTGCGCTTTCTACCATGCTGCTGGCACTCTACTGTCGACGTGGGCAATTCAATCTGTGTCTCTGTCGCTGAACAAGATCTCCCATTAAGCTCCCACCCCCCCCCTCCAAGCTCAAACCGACGGGAAGAAAAAAGTTGGCTTAAATAACCTTCCAACGCCTGCGCTTCATGTTGTTGTACACACTCATGACCTGGATCAGCTGTTCTTGAAATGCTCTTTGGCGTATTGCTCGCATGCCTGGAGATAGTTCGAGTCAATGGAAGGTACGCGTAAACTGAGGCAAAACCGACCTTTGCTGGCTTGCCTAGTTTGGCACCAATAGCTTTCCACTTGTTCGCGTCATATTCTTTGATGGCTTCTTGAAGTGCAGCTGACTGCTAAAGTCAATTTGAGTCCAATGTCAGCCCAATGTGGCCCATCGCCTACCTCATCCTCACCAAATTCTGCGTAGTGCATATCCTAACATGGCATCAGCGCTCGTTGTGATAGAGGAATTCGTCAGTGCCAGTCATACCTTGTACCAGTGCTTCTTAACACTGCCTTCAGTGCGAGCAGGAAAGGCCTGGCTGTCCGTAAGCATGAGAATGTCAGATAGATGTCGAGCACCATGTACTTTAGCAATCTCACTCCAACTGAGACCAGCATCACGCATTTGCTTCAGCTTTTGCTCCTCCTGGGGAGTCCATGGAGTGTTGGTTCGGCCCCGCTTTTTGCCCGTTTCTTCGGTGAGCAAGGCTGGGATAGAAACATTAGGGTTTGCTTCGGCAGCCATCGCGGATCCAGGAGGAAGAGTGTCCAACTTGGGGCTGTGAGATGCTCGTCGCTTGCGCGGGTTTGAAGGGGACGATGGAGGTTGAAGCAAGTCCGCATTCGGTTTGGGTGCCAGTGGCGCTGGAGGCGCTAAGACTTCTTTGCTGGCTGTATTTGGCGATGTGGTGGCAGGGCCTTGTTTCTGGCGTTTCTGAGGAGGAGGAGTCCTGATGACTTCAGCTTCAAGGCCAAAGCGCCGAGGGAAAGAGATAGTAGAGAAGAATAAATAAAGCATCCGAGAGGTCAATGCAACAAGGCTTGACTTGATATGTAGATCAGGATGTACCAGCAGTGAGAAGGGGACTTACGACATGGTGACGAAAGAGTATCGACTTAGCAGAGGTTGAAGGAAGTTGAGGATGCCATCGGCATGGTCAACGGAGTTCAGGAATGCCCCCTTGCGCAAAGACCAGCCACGCGAGCACCAGGTGCTAGGGAGAGGCCAGGCGTAGGCTTAGGGTTCAAGGCAACCAAAGGTAGCACAGCAGCGGGAGGAGTTTGGTCTGGCTGTGCTTGGAAAGGCTGTTTGGAGTGATGGGCGAGACGAGACCGGTTCCGAGTTGGTCACAGCCAGGAAATAGATGTGCTTGTGTGTGGTTCTCAGGAATATGTGTTCGTGTGCGTGTATCTTACGGGAACGAGGATTGTGACCGGGGGGGGAGTGTGACTAAAAAAACGAAACCAATCAATGTTATGCACAAGAGGAAGAGTAGGAAAGCGGGCATGGGAAGAGACAGTACGACAATATGCCACCCGCGTAGGAAAAGTCTCTTAATTAAATGTATTTTTCTTTTTTCCTTTTTTTTTTTTGGGTGGTTGTCTCGTGTCTTGCGATGTCAAGAGGGACAAGACTCAAGCCTAGGAGGGGGTTTACGGATTGAAAAAGTACTAGTTCTTAATGGTCAGCGACTAGGCTGGCGGTGACGATGGCAGAGGGAAGTACGGAGTACTAGGAAAACGGCGAACAGGAAGGAGCACTTGTGGTAGGATCAATCAACAGAGTTGACAGGTCAAGGGTTAGCCGGAAGCAGCATTGTTAATGTAGATAGATGGGATGGATGGCGGGACTGACGTTGAAGCGAAGGGTTGTGGCTCGAGGTCAGCGGTGCAGGTTAGGGCAGAGTAGGAAAAGAGGCAAGGCCACTGAGGCGCTTTGGAGCAGGGTGCTGGAAACTGAGGAACGGGAATGGACAGAGAGAAAAGAGACTGGTCATATTTTGTGTTTTTGTTTCGATTTTCTGGGTTAGAAAGGATTTGGTGACTGCGATGAACTTTTTTCTTTTTTGTCGTGTGAGGCGCGCATGAAAGCGATGCAATGGAGGGACTTGGGGCACAGACAAGGAACAAGGACCTGGAGGGCACATGCCACGATAGCCTATGACCAGGGTGTTGGATTGGGTTGAAGGCATGGTCCACAGAGGTGGAGGTGGAGAGACCTGGAGAGAGTAATGTGGATGTGGATGAGGAGCAAGGAGGTGAAAGGGAGGCGGAGGGGGCGACAACGATGACAAAAGAGGGCGATACGTGTTACGGGTACGGGTTCGAGGTACAGGTTGGTTGGATGGCGGGTTGGATTGATTCATGATTGACGGCACCCAGCTCGCCAATGGTTCGATCGGTTTGGTCAGATGGACAGAGGCTCTAGGAGACGAAGTTGAGCTGGCTGTGGGATGTACATGCAGAGGACCGGCAGGGAGGGAGGAGATACTTTGAGAAACGGTACGAGGGGGCGAAGACGCGAGCAGTAAGGTAGCGAAGGAGTAGCGAGTAAGGATGCAGCCGGCATTGCAGGTAGCGAGCTCGAGGTCGAGAGGGATTTGAGGCCATGAGATAGAAAACCACACTGGATGGATGATTGACGGAAGGGCGATTGCGGGGTAGACACAAGCAGAATGACGAAAAGACCTGCTCGAGAACCCGCGCACCACCGTTTTGATTCGCAGGGCCAGATAACGCAAAACGATAGGAGCCTGCTGGCCAGGCCATAAGAGACGACTAGTACAAGCGAGTAACAAACAAATTGTCAACCAGCATGTAGCTACTAGACTCTTTATAGCTCCTAGGACTAGTGGGAAAGCAGGTCACTGATGACCTGATGATGCTTGGTAAGAAAGAGCCAAACGCAGCCAAAGGGAAAAAAAATACCCTGCAGCACATCCCAGCGAGTCACAGCGCCCGTACCGGTCGGGTGCCGTAAACCATTTGGTACGCCGCCTCTGTACCTTCCGAGTACCTCCCGAGTTTCTTCAGAGTCCTAATTTCCTCGTACTGGTACTGCCATTAGTAAAGCAGTCCTCATGTCCTGCAAAGTACCCGGTACATCGTTTGACATGACGCCAATTTACCCCCTCACGATCATGTCCATGGTACAAACTACCACCGGCTCCACAACTCCTAAGATAACCACACCTCGAACCAAGACGATGGTGACGGCGAGGATGAGCGATCATGGATTCGGTCCGCTCAAGTGGCACTCCTCTCTTTTTCACTCCTCCTCTTCTCCCTCTCGTCTCTTGCGACAGCCAAAAAAAGCCTCTCTCGCCCCTCCATGCCAAAACAGGCAGTTCCCAAACGACCCCCCTCGTCAACCTCATCTCTCAAATCCTCCACACTCCAGCCCAGCCTGAAAGTCACTGCGACTTTGGGAAGACTTGTACGTGACTTGTCCACACTAACTCAAGCCATGGCGTCGTCGTGGTTGTTGGCAAATTCGGACAAATGATGCAGCTGTACAGATCGATCAATGGCATTCCTATACCACTCCTTTGGGGGGCCCGCATTGTCGTTGTAGGTCGGATACTCCGTTCTCAGCTTGCCCCTTTAGGCCAACCTACCTGATAAGGCCTGGTCATGCCTCGCTAGTGTTGTTTCCGAATACTTCGTCTTCGACCTCTTCGTCTTGCGAGCGCCACACTTTGCCTCTCCTCAAATGAAACACGCTCTTGGAAGTGTTGACAGCCGCCTGCGTCTGCTCCTTGCTCCCAGTCGCTGGTGCAGGGCATCACTGTAGCATCGATACTGCTGGGTGCTGTACCTTCTTGGATCCCCCTTGTCAACAATATCCAATCCACGCGATGGATATCCACCGGAAGTCGTTGCCCTTCCTGCACTTGCTCAATAGCAAAATCATTGGCAACATCACATATGAGGGTCGTGCTGAATAGGTCCTGGCCGACATCCTCCAGATTCACAAGCCACGTCGGTGCTGTCTCGCTTTCGGTTTCATCGTGGTAACCATGATCCCCAACTTCTGACCATTGATAGACTACCTGGCCCGCCAAGGAGACCCTACGTTGTCGGTCAACATTCAGGGCGCTCCTCGGTTTTGACAAAGGACGAATGTTTGGTGAAAAGATCCACCCAGTCCCTGATCAACTGGCCCGCTAATCTCGTGGAGAAATCCCCCGTCGCTCCAGACCCTCGTGCTGGATACAGCACAAGCGGCTTGGTTTTATCCCGAGTCGACATGACCAAAAACTCGATATTCATCCGCCACCAGACTCCCCTTGTTCAACAAGAAACAAGGAGGCAAAGCGAAGTCTCGCTTGACCCCATGTTGGTCAGTTCTGCTCCGGCCATGTCGATTTATTTCCCAACCCGTACCACTTCCACAAAGCGGCAAAGCCGGTGTTGCGGAGAGACAAGCCATGTTCGGCTTAATCCGTAGGGCGAGGACGTGTCGAAGGCCTTGATGTCGCTTATTTCTCTCTCTCCACTGCCAACCAGAGATCGTTCAATGTCGGTGGAAAACCAGGTTGTCAGAATGGATCCTTGAGGAGTAAATCAATCCAGTAAGAACTCCTGCTTCAACCTCAGCTCACAGACAACATTAGCCGCTCGGCCATTTGACATTACCTCTTGATTCAGACTCTGCATGTTGCAATTCAATCTCAAAATAACGCGTCCGCGTCCGAGCTGGCTCCTATCTTCAAAGAGATGAACTTTAACACCGTGTTGACTGCTCATCGCTCTACGAAATAACCGAGCATAATCCACAACCTGGTTTCGTCCTCTCAGAAATCCTTCTCGATCACACCATTCGCCCAGGAATGAATATCGCCACGCTTCCGCTCGACATCGTATTTCAAGGCTACTCCACTGACCGGCTTCGGTCGAATCTAGTCGAAGTTCTTCCGTGTCGACATGCTTTAGCATGTCACAGTCCAGCTGCCATATCAGGTGCTTGATGTATGGTGCACTAGGGTGGCCGTTGGTGACCGCGCTGGGCAATTTGCCTGCAAACACCTGAGTTAAGACATGAAAGGTCGTGTTGGCATAGAGCACGGGCCGGGCTTCGAGGAGGATAGTTCTGCTGACTCGTAAAAGTTGAGATGACCTTGGGACCTGGTTCTGCCGCTCGCTTTTCAGAGGCAGCAAGCACGAGCTATCATCGTCGTTCTTAGGCTCGATCACAGCCTTACCACAACCAAACACTAGACTATAGATGTCGAGGCGAATTTCGAGCGGTAGGTCGAGTAAGCCAGGCGCCATTGACTATCTCCAAGATATAATCGGGATCCAATTAAACAATGAGCGCAAGTGGATGTAAATGAATGTGCATGCCACGCCTAGCAGCGGCGTCGACTGGAGAACCCCGTCTTAGCCTTGTGAAAGACAAGAGATCTCGAAGGACGTAGTAGTACCAAGCCTGGAAAGTAGCAGTCCCCATCAGAAATGTGTATTGCCGGGGGGAACTGAGGGCAGATATTTTTTTTTTTTTTTTTCTTCAGTGGCATCAAAGGAGTTCCATTAAACCCATTCGGGTCGGAGGCGGAAGCCACGCCAGATAATTGCGAGGCTATCAATGATAAAACTTCGTAAGCCTTACTTTGGTGAGAAAATGCGCGCAACGTAAGCAAGCCACACCGTATCAAAAATTCCCCCGCTGACCCTGCATTTGCGCCGCCCGAGGCTCTTCCTTTGCCATACGGAGTAATTACCTTTGGTCTTTTGATCCATCTTGCCCGCTGAGTATCAGTAATTCAGTCTGAGCAACTTAGAGTGACTAACATGAACGAGACAAACTTGATGGGGCTGGGCTGACAAGAAATTGTCTCGGTCTGACCTCAAACGAAAGAGCCAGAAGATGTAGAGTCAAAAACCGTGGAGCTGGGCAGAAAGATGATGAAGGCGAGGGTGAGAACGGACCAGGAATTTTAGTGCCGAGTGGGTTTTCTCGTGTTGGTGCAGATTTTACGGTCAAGCCATCTCGCATCTTGCATTTGACGCACACCTTGCTAGAATGAATGCCCAATCTCGCAAATCGGCCGAATAAATGGAAAAGCCGTTCTATTATTTCCTATTCACACACCGACTGGGGGCTCTGGTGTGAGGATCGGGTTCTGCTCCTTCACTCGTCATCGGAAGCGTAGACTGATCCCGGATTCGCTTCTTCTAAGATAGGACCAGTCGTCCCGTCTGGTTCTGGGAGGCTTGTCCCCTCTGAAATCTCAATGCTGGAGACGAGTGCTTCCGTGGGAGCCGTGTGTAGAGAGAGTTCGTTGAACTCTTCATTAACATTCTTCGTCGACGATCCCGCTTCTTCCGAAGCAGATGATGCCAGAGAAGTCTCTGTGACCCGTGAAATGGAGGTGGTGACAGTAGCAGTTGAGATCGCGATTCTCGTCGCAGTGACCGTGGTGGTGAGAATTTCGGTTAATTGGGTCGAAACACTATTTGGCGCTGCAATATCTCCTTTCCCTGGAGCTTCTCTCCCCGTCAATGCGAAGAACAGAACCAGGGAACTCAAGACACCGGCCAAGAAATTCTTGTTGTCTCGAAAGAAATGCTTCGCGTAAGCTACCATCACTGTCGGCACATCGTGGCCGACAGGCATTGGATGTGGTATCGCTGTCACTGGCTCTGTCGTTGCTCCAGGTCCTTCGTATAATCCATCGAGCTCGACCTGACTTGCAAGCCTTCCAGCATCTCCGTATTCATCGCGTTCATGAGCACTCGGGACCTTGGCTGCTTGAAAGTCGTTAGGGGAGTCCACCGGTCCCGTTTCAAGACGAGAAGTTTCGAGAAGAGGAAGTCTCGCCTCTAGACCACGTCTGAGATCTTCGGGAAGCCAGACTCGAACTTCAACATCAACTTTTTCCATTTCCTGCCACGCAGCCCCCCACGCTCCTGCTCGCATGAGTCCATTGGCAGCAAATACCTTAATTTCCCATTTGCGATTAACTTCATCTGCTCGTAGTCGACGACCGCAATCAGGACATTTGATATCATTTGGCAGATCCATCTCACCCTCATCTTCGGTATGACTGCCACTTTCGAAGCCGCTATCGCCACCTTTGCCATCATTTCGAAAGAAGTGATTGTGCCGAATCCTAGGAACTTGCAGTTCCAAGCTCTCTAGGAGGCGCTCTTCAAGAAGCTCGTAATCTTCTCGAGGGTGCGGTATGAGTATCCCCCTTGTTCGCACCTCCGTGTCTCCAACTAGTTTGTCTCGTAATGCAATCCACCGATCCCTGTATTCCTCGGGTAAAAATTCACTCAGTAGAGAGTCTTCATGGGGAGTCGATTGTAGCAGCAGGGTTGGTGGTAATAGCGTGCAGTGAAGGAGCACCAGTGGGAACTCTTTCTTGAGGTTACTGCTCGCTTTCTGGCCTGAACCTCGGCGAGGCCGCCCCGATCGTTTTGCGGGAGAGGTCTGGGTGGAACAAGAGCTTCGATGGCTGTAGGATGACATTTGTGATCCGCTGCGTCTGTGATGTCTCCAAACGCTATGAGTATCACTGAAAACTTCGTCTCGCATTTGCAACGCCCTGACACTGCTTGGATGGCGAAACACCGAATGATACTCTCTTGCGCTCCTGGGCGACGTCATTGCGTAGTCTGTCCCCCCGAATGGCTCAAATGTAGACGTCTCCCCCGAGCCACGTTTTGAAGGTGTTCTTGGACTTCCATATCGGCCTTGTTCCGGAGGTAGATTTGGCGACACTGAGACTGGGAAGGAGGAGATTGAGGAGCATCCCGAGATGCGTCGATCGACATCTAAGAAATCGTTTTCGAGTGCAGGCTCTGCCACCAAAACATCTTCTGATTCTGCACTTGAAGTACTCTCATCGTAAACCGCGCCAGAAAAATTATAGTCGTGAGGCTGCGAGGGATCCGTTGGTGGTGGAGCTGGTGGAGGAGAGACCGACTGCTGCCGGAGGGAAAGTGGTGACGACTGTTGGTATGTGAAGTCTCTTGCCTCCACAGACTGTGGAGGAGGCGAGGAGGGAGACGGCATCAGTCTGGAATTAAGAACTATGTGAGATGCGTAATACGTTCCTTGCGCAGGACGTAGAGGTGGTGAATTCTTCAGGATGGTGATGCGAATGTACTGGTGTTTTTATCCGAGGGTTGCGTAGGGCAACACTGCGCGTCATTTCCACGAGATCACGTGATTTCAATTTGACCGGTAAACCCAACTACCCACAGAGTTGACCTTGCTTTTGATTCAATGTATCCAATCAATAAATGTATCGGAAGTTGGGGTTCTCCCGGTCGGTAAGATCATCAAATGCGTGCACATAGTGTTCATCCTTGGCCTCCCGAATCCCAGCAGACGCCAACGCGTCTTTCTTGCGGTTCTGACGTACGAGTTGGAACCGAAGGAAGACTATGACCAATACCAGCAGGACGTAACAACCCATGTGCGTTGCGAATGCAATGAAGTAGCGTGGTGCATCATAGGACAGAAAGACCTGGGGACCTGGCAACAACAGAGTCAGCACAACTAACTGGTTCGAAAACCCGGGCGGCCCTTCGACATACCGATTGCATTGCCGGTGCACCAGGATACAAAATTCATGGTCACCACGATAGTTTTCTTAGTCTGACCGCCGATATTCCTAGAGATCATACTCATGGCCAGGGTTTGGGCCGCCCAGAACGAGAGCACAATGTAATAGCTGATGAGAAGACCGACTTTCGTGGCAGTATCGCGGTTCTCCACGCTCATAAGCACAATGGTCCCCACGAAGGACCTAGTGTTAAGTTAGCCATGGTCGAAACCAAGTGGAGGTTAACAGAGATCCTACGGTATGACAAATAATCCCATGACCAAACAGTTTTGGCCAGTCCTTTTGACGAGCCACGTCGAGCTGAGTAGAATTATGATAATTACGGCACCGAGCACCATGGCGAGAAGTTGCGTTTGAAGCACAGTGAAATCAAATCCTGGGGCAGTCAGTCCGTGCAATTTGGTCTTCTCCTGACGCGAGTTCTCTCATACCGGTGATAATGATGTTTGCGAAGGCACCCAGCCCCGAAGTTGGAAGAGTGGTGCAGATGGCGATGAGGCAGTAGCAGTAGGTCTGAGGATCGAGAAACGCCTCTTTGACTTGTTCTGGCCTGAATTTCTTGTTTTGTAACCCAGTCTGATTGCTGCGGACCCTCTCGACCATCAATCTTTTATCCTCTTCTGAAAAGCACTTGGCTTTCATCGGGCTATCTGGCAGCCAATAGCCGACGAAGAGTCCCCAAAGAACGGAAAGGCAACCGTAGGCAATGAAGATTGCTTGCCATGATTTAAGAGGTCCGGACTCGATCAAAGTAAAGCAGTAGGCCAAGAGACCACCCACGATTTGTTGTCCTCCGTTCATCATGTACCAATATGTGACTGTTTCCGCTTGTTCTTCTCGCTTGTACCACATGCTGCTCAGGACCAGGAAACTGGGCTGGCAGACAGCTTCGAAAATTCCGAGCAGTGTTCTCAACGTAACCAGAGCAGTAAAGTTCTTAGCGACAGAGTGAAGAGCGAGAATGGCGCCCCATAGGCAGATGTTCAGACTGAGATATTTGGCAATTGGAACTCTTTGAATCGTCCAGTTGGTAGGATATTCCACGATCAACACGGCAATGTAGATACACGTGGTTAGCCAGGAGTACTGAAGCCCCGTTCAGTCATTTCTCTTGACAGTCATAAACAGTCTCACCTGCTGAGCATGTAGACCAAGGTCTTCTCGAATCCCCATTATTGAGGCAAAGGACATGGTCCCCTTGTCGAGAGTTTGAAGAAAATACGTTGGGACCATGATAGCAAGAACACGCATGTCAATCATTCTCCTCAATCGTTTGTTCTCTGCCTCAGAGATCTCAACACGTCCAGTGCTGGCATACTTCGCAACATCTTTGTCGATTCGGTCAAAGTCCATAAAATCTTTGTGCGGTTCGCTTCCTCCAGACATGACTCTCTCGACTTGTGCGACATCGTCCTGTTCGGCAATTTCTTTCTCCGAGGTCTTTGTCCCCTCTTGAGAAGGTACCGACTCTGTGACAATGTGGTCTGAGCCAGCCATACTGGTCAATAAGAGAGCTTGAGAGTGGCCTCGAGACAATGACTGACCGAATTGTAATTATAGGAATCCTCCAGACGCACAACAAGTGGAGGGATATCCTTATATAGTTTGATTTCAGTCTTTCGGTACATTCAAAGAAAGAGAATTCGGTGGAGGACCGACCGAGGAGGCTACGGGGATCAAGACGTGGGTGAAAGAAAGGGCAAGGAGAAGCATCCCTGGGTAGCGCAAAACCATAGGGGCACCTCCGGGATTTACCCCAGAAAAGGGAAGCCCCCGTATTGAAGTCCCCCCCACAGGGTATCCCCACGGTTTGTCCGGCTGATCTTGTGCCGGATTTGGTTCATCGATAAAGCATCAATCGAAACTATGTCGAGACCATTTCTTAGCTTCAGACACCCGCAACACATCATCTCGGCGTATCTCGGTGTATATTGAAGCGCGCTGTGGTAAAAAGGCCATCAAAGTCGCCTAAGCATAAAAGGGGTTTTGGATACGAGTGCCGAAATGAAGTAAAGAGAGAGCTGGCAGTAAAGATGCCGTCGCCCTTGACAGTGGAAGGACTGAGTGCCGAAGACGTCCGTGGCAAGATTGATCTTCTCATCAACAACCTTGTCAACATCAAGGACGATACGGGCCGCTTTCTGCTGAAATTGCCCGATGGGCGTATAATCGACACAAAGGGATGGAATGATTGGGAATGGACTCACGGTATAGGCCTCTATGGCCTATATCAATACCATGCTTTGACTTCCTCTCCCACACCCCTGCAGATCATTAAGGACTGGTTTACCGCAAGATTAGCGAAGGGGACCACCAAGAACGTCAACACCATGGCCGTATTTCTGACACTCGCCTATGTCTACGAGGAAACTGACGATCGTAGCTGTATCCCTTGGCTGGATCAATGGGCAGAATGGGCCATGTATGAGCTACCGCGAACAACTTTTGGCGGGATGCAGCATCTAACGTATCTGGACGAAAACCATCATCAGCTTTGGGACGACACTCTCATGATGACAGTTATGCCACTGGCTAAGATCGGAAAATTGTTGAATCGGCCGCATTATATTGAGGAGGCCAAGCGACAGTTCTTGTTGCATATCCAATATCTTTATGATCCCCTGACGGGACTTTTCTTCCACGGTTGGCAATTTGATGAAAAGGCACCAGGTGGACTCGGTCACAATTTTGCTCGAGCTAGATGGGCCCGAGGGAATAGCTGGCTGACCATCGCCATTCCTGATTTTATCGAACTTCTGGAACTCGCACCAGATGATGGCCTCAGATTGTACCTGGTTAATGTATTGGAAGCCCAAAGTAGAGCTCTGCGAAAATTGCAGACATCTGATGGGATGTGGCGGACATTGCTTGATGTTCCAGAAACTGAAGGCAGTTATTTGGAGGCCTCTGCTACGGCAGGATTTGCTTATGGTTTGTTGAAGTCGGTCCGAAAACGATACATCTCCAAGGATTACCAGGAGGTTGCGATGAAAGCAGTCAAAGCTGTCATTCAGAGGATCAGTGATGATGGAGAGTTGAAAGATGTCAGTTTTGGTACCGCCATGGGAAAGAACTTGAAGCATTATATCGATATCGAGAGAACCAGCATGCCGTATGGTCAAGCGATGGCAATGATGGCTTTGGTCGAGTTTTTGAGAGTATACGTATAATATAGAGCAATTCCTAAACAGTTGATTTTCCAGACGCCACAACATCCCCATATGGATTCGCTACAGGATCCCAGTATTCGTCGAGCTGTTGTCTCCAGGCGGATTGTCTTCTTGGTAGAGGAAATATGAGCACTGATAAGTTGCCAAAGAGGATAAACGTTCAATGAAACAGGCTGGCCTGTTGGAGACTAAGAAAGTCACTTCGAGACCAGCATGCGGACCGGCTTCTTTGATCGGGTGCTCGATGTGTTGCATGTTGCTATCTTCTCAGATATCGCGATGCCCATAAGGTGGCGCCATCGGAACAACAAATCGAAAGAGAAATTGACAAAGCCAGAAGAGTTCCATCTATGTTTCTAGCTGCCCAAATTTATAGCCTTCCTCGTGAGAGGAGAGAACCACCGTCGGTCGTGATGACGGCGCCATTGATATGGGATGCCGCTCTGCTGGACAAGAAAACAACCAGTCCAGCAATATCTTCGGGCTGTCCAAGTCTCTTGTTTGGTACTTCAGCTGCCAATGCAGCCCGTCCACCTTGTAGTTCCATCAAGCCCGAAGCCATCTTGGTCGGATAAAAACCGGGTGCAACGGCGTTCGTGACGATTCCCCTTGGGCCCAGCTCGACGGCGAGATTCTTCGCCAGATGGATAACGGCCGCTTTGGACACCGAATATGCATATGTGGCATTCTCTCCCAATGTTCCCACACCGAGACCGGCGACGCTGGCGGTCACGATGACTCTGCTGGGGTTGACCGTGCTGGCCCTCTTCTTCAACAAAGGCTCGAATTTCTGAACGGTGTAAAAGACGCTCTTAACATTCAAATCCATGACCTTGCTAAACGCGCTTTCGGGATGGGTCTCGAATGGAGCACCCCACGTAGCTCCGGCATTTGCGAAAAGGATATCGACATGGTCTGTGGTCTTCGCAACTTCGGCGGCCAGACGCTCAATCTCGGATATTTTGGAGGAATCGGCAGGAATTGAGATAGCCACTGCGCCAGGACGTTTATTAGGGAGCGCATTGAGGGCGGCAACTGCTTCTTCACAAGCTTTGGCTTTCCGGGAGGTGATATATACTTTTGAGCAGCCAGCTTGGAGAAAGCTATACTACCAGATCAGCATACGGCATGGAACCAGGATATGTTTGGTTTACCCAGAAGCGACATTCAGACCCAGGCCCCGGCTACCACCTGTTACGACAGCAACCTTGCCCTCAAGGCTGAAAATGGTCTCAAAATCCTTGAGGTCGACATCTTGCTGAGCGACACTCATTTTCACGGTCGTTTTGCAATTAGCAGCGGGCTTTGAATACAAGAGAGAGATCCCATCAGAGAACAACAAAATACCGTCTCTACAGCACGAGCAGAGGAGACAGCTCTGCAATATACGAGATAAAATAGCCGAAAACTCCCTGGAAAAGATAACTCAGAACTCCCCGGGGAAAATTGGAGCGCACCGGTCGACAGCCGAGGTACAGTACTTTGGCATCTACCGTGATAAACACCTTCTTTGGGAAAAGTGTCAGATAGTCTTCGGAGAAGTTGACCCTGAGTTTGCAGGGGACAGCAAACTCGACCTTGAACAGAATGTCCTTTACATCCAAAGCGTTTCAAGCCATCTCGCAGGATTCCTGATCGTCTTTTTGGGTTGTTCTTGATGCATCTGGGTTTGCAGGTCGGTGCCAAAGTTGCAAGTAGCCTTGCAACCACGTGATCATTGTCGTTTGTTGATGTAGCGGCGGGAAGAGAACGTATGAGCTAACCAGAACTCTCTGCTGGGGTGGCCGCTTTACTTATAAATGTTCCGTGAATCTAGAGTCCTTGGCAGAAATCCACACGTTATCCAAATTAACAGCTGGAATCCACCCTTCCAAGCGCTTCTGGATAACCGCAGCCCTAGAGGACATTTATGAGATTCGAAATGGCCGCCAGCAACAAGGTGAAATTCGAGATAGACCCCGAACTTGCGGCGGTAGGTTTCCTCAGACAGGCGTCTTGATAGTCAACATATGGAAGAAGCATGGTCAACCCAAATTCCTCTATCCCCGAGCGGATGCCATTGTCGAATCGCGGCGCCTACATGGCTCAAGGAAACTCACGTTTCATGAAGAGTGCTTTGGTCAAACAGACTTTGGGGGATGCCTCACAACGGAAATGGACCGAGGAAGACAGACCCATCATCGTGCGAGATGGCACCCCGATCACAATTCGAATATACCGCCCCATATCTGCTTCCGGCCGTCGTCCCGTCATGGTCTTCGCACATAGTGGCGGATGGTTTATGGGAGGACTTGACACAGACCAATTTGAATGTCCACTTTCCATGTATGAAGCGCAACATTATTATCGTTCGTGTCGCTTATCGCCTCGCCCCTGGATTCTCCTCTCTAACTGGCCTCTACGATGTCATGGGTAAGCACACTGTGAGAATTTTATTTCCGGCTAACCATCACAAGTGGAGACCTCTCCAAGGGTTTTCTCACTGGAGGCGTCTCAGCGGGCGCAAATTTGACGACAATGGCCGGTTTTCTTTGCGAGAGAGGATGAGCTCCGGCCTGCCCTCACCGGACATCTCGTCATTTGCACAGGCTGGGCCCATCAATACACCAACCAGGAAGGACAATCCATTAATCTGTTTCTAGATCAATTGGAGATGGGCAGTTGGGAGACATACAAAACGTCCCGGTGGCGAATCGGGCCGTGAATCAAATCTACGCAGGTAAGATACCTAGAACTTGTGGCCGCCCTTCTGCCTATGATGACTTAGATTTGGCGAATTGTGATACCACCTCACTTGAGTTCACAGTCTTGACCCGGAAGGACTTATCAAGAATGGGACCCCTTTTTCCACCAAATTGCAGGGATGGATATGTGGGAAGGACAGTGCTCTTTTCTACTGCGACCTGGTGAAAAAGGCTGGTGGTGCCGTCAAGGCCGAAGTATACCCTGGCGTACTTTCTGGGCAATTTATCCCCAAATGTCCATTAACAAGAAATTTGCTCGGGACATGGTAAATGGGGTGGACTGGCTGCTGAGTCAGACAAACGACAAATCTCCTATCTCACGACTCTAGAAGGCACGAAGACAGTCACTACTTCCGAGGTGAGTTTCAGCCAGTCTAATGCGTTTTTCGCATAATTTCACCAAGAAAGCGATTGTTGTTTGCTTCGAGGACAGCACGTTGGTGCAACTTTGATCTGATCTGTGGGAATCGCAATTGGAGATCCTTGTGTACACTCCTTTCGGCCTCGCCCTACCGATACATTTTCCTTGTTGGGATCACCTGTCCTAATCAGTGGAACCATTTCAGATGCTTCTCTCCTCAAATGAAGTCCCAGAGATTGTTGGTGGCATCTTCCCAATCTCGGGATTCGGGTGCTGTCACTTTTCGGATCAAGCGGCAGGATGGCATGAGTATATGTTACTTCAGCGACAAGCTTCCGCCCTCACCTCATATCGTCCGATTCAGTTGAGGAAATCTTTACATACACGTTGAACCAAGCCGACCTTTGTATTCTAGCTTCCTCCGCGTCTTGAATTTGATCAAAATTTTTGAGATTGGATCTTGAAACCCTATCGAGCATTACCCTCACTTCTCCTGCTGAAATCCTCTCACACACGATGTGGACTCTCTTTATCCGTTTTCTCCGTTGGTCCTTGTTACCGTCTTCTTCATGTCTCCTGCTGCCATCAACATCAACTCATCTTCCTCTCTTTTGCCTTTTCTCTCTCTATCAATCATCATGGCTTGCCTCGTCATCCCTCTCTCCATTCTCTTGGTCCTTACCATTATGACCACCACCCACCCAATCCAAGCTCAAGTTACCATCGACCCAACCTCGCCAACATCCACAGCCATACCGACAACCACAACCACTGGCGACGCTGTCTGCGGCACCAGCGCCAGTGATTGGCGCATGAGTCCTCCAACCGCAATGCTCCTGGCGTCGATATTCTGCAACGACCTGTACCAGCCCGGCAACTTCCCCGCCAGAGGTAGGCTACAACGCCCGCGTCAGCTTGATCTCGAACTGAATATTTAAACTGACAGCCATAAAACAGGAAAAATCTTCAACTCAACTCACTATCCGACGGAGTTGAGTCCTTCCGCCGGCTCACCGAACTACACAGCCATGGAACTCTCTGGCCTCATTGTCTCGATGTGGCTGAGTCGCGCCAACACGACTGTCATCGACGGCGTCGAGTACATCCACGGCACGGACGAGCAGTGCGCGCGTGACAATTGTACAGCAGGCTTCGAGAGCGCGATTGATTTATGTCTGTCTATCTCCTCTCCTCCCCTCTTCGTTTCCCACTACCCACCTATGCCCCTGGTTAATCATAACATTCACGCGGATTGACACATCTAGGCCAATATAACTCCCACTATGTCGGCGGGATCAACTTCTTCCTGAGCGATTGCGGTATCTACCAGATCCACATCGCTAATTGCAGCGGGAATTGGCTCGATCCGGACTGTGATCGATGGCATATCTTGCATCCGGGTGTCGGGTTGAGTAAGAACGAGAGTCTTGTGGGGGCGGCGCCGCCTAAGCCCTTGACAGCAACGAGGAGAACGAGTACGGATAGCGTCAACCTGAGCGACACAGACACGTACACAGAGACAGAGACTAATGCTCTACACTAGCAATAACGTGTTCAAGGAGTGTGAAGAGATAGACTTAAGGGGGCTGGAATACTAGTCATGGGGGAGGGTATTGGAAACTCCGAGCGATGTAGCTGAATTTGACATTGAGATTGAAATTCCAATGCACTGGAGGCCGGGGGAAAGAGGTGCACACACATCAACAGCGACATTTTCTAAGCTCAAGTTGAGGCAACAATGACAAGGAAGCACGACATGTCATCCTCGGCTTTTTGGCCAACAGACACATCTTGCAAGTTTTGCTCATAAAATTTCTTTGATTTTGTTTTAAGGTTTGAGGAGAATCGGACTTCGAGCTAGCTGGGCAGACAAACGGGTGCAGATTTTTCCAATGAGGACTATGGCATATGGCGAACCTTTATAGTATGATAATATCATATCCCACCATACCATTTCACCGCCTGCATGGTTAGACAAGCCGGCCCTCTATCCAAAATTGAGCCTTTTTGAACTGGACCACAGACCAGACAAGTAGACAGAGTAGACGAAGACCACAACCAACATCACAAGGCTCACTTGCACCATTGAAGGGAGGAGACGATTTGCATCCGTTCCCACAATAATTGATCCAATCCAGAGTAGTTCCGGGATTTTTGGGGGGGAGAAGACTCCATTTCGATTTTCGACGAGGACGGCCCAGCGGCGTCTGTCAGTCATTGATAACGAGTCCCGGATCATTCTCACTTGTAGGGACCGTGCCGGTAGAATTCCATCTCCCCGCTTAACTATTAAGAATTTGTCGGAGTGAGCGAGAGCCGGACGAGGCTGACTCCATAGAAGGAAATTCCCACCACAGTAGTAGTGCTTAGTCTTTGTATAACACAAACCGTACATAGCACTAGTCGGAAATGTACCTCATGGTCTGGCCTCGGGACCTCGTCGTCATCAGTGTCTGGAGAGAAATTTCGCCATCAGCATAAAAATTGGATGTCTTCCAGGCAGATTCCACCATAGCCGTTCTCGGCAGCAAGATTTTAGAGAAGAACTCCAGTCTGGCCGAACAATTTTGGGAGTATGATGCACGGGGTTTGGGCAAGGTTTTATGGTTTGTCGAAATTTCCGAAACCCAAGGCATACCCCATCCCGAATGAAAATGCTCGATGAGGTTGAATATATCCTGGCTGAATGTGGTGGTGATCCTCCCGAAGAACCAGACTGGAAACGACTGTTTGGGTCCAATGTTGCAAGAGCAGACACCGATACCATAAGAGAGAAGATTCGAGTTCAAGAGGCAAAGCGGCATTTGACCTGGGTCCTTGTTGCGTGAGTGATATTCTACCTTACTCATCTAACTTGTAGTTGACCACCATCTTGCCCAGTCTGAGGGTTCAAGCGGAAATTCAGAATGCAGAGAAACCAAACGGCGGCGTTGACATCTCCGTTCTGCTGTCTCAAACGTGGGTGAATTCTGCCTCGCATGAAGCCATGAGACAGTACATCAATACATTGGTAACCAGTTAGCAAAAAGTTATCTCGTGAAGAAGGATGGTTTGATCATGGCGCCGAGTTCCTTGAATCAACGTGATCCTGCGTTTTGGGAACACAAAAATGACCCCGTCTGCCGACACTTGGTACGTAGAGAGGTTTCTGAGGCGTGATCCAGGCGCCCGGAATGGATTCGTTTAGTACTTCAGAGATCTCTGGGAAATTCTTTCCTTTCGGTGCACGTACGCATATTTGGCCCGGTCGTGTTAATTTGACGTACGATTTGTGGAATATTTTGGGCACAGACAACAAAGGTTATCTTCTGGCATGGGGGAAGGGGGTCCTTCCAGATTTCCAAAAATTAGGCAGCCATATGCCGGCAATGGAACTCTGACTATGGAAGGAGACATTCGCGTGTAAATGAGGAGAAGATGATCTTCATCCGTGTCACACCGGCTTCAGTAATTTTGGGAGATTTGTCGGCAACGTCCGCACATCACCGAATGGTTTTTGTTCTCGCAAATTCCACCAGCTTGACAGGTTCAACGACAAGGACGGGAGGGACAGGATCGTTGCCGCGCGGGAGCTGCCTCACAGAGAATGAAGATCATTGTTAGGCGTGATTGTGCTAGAGAATTGCGGTCAGCGTTGACAAATTGGTGGTCAACCATATGAGTGGCTGGGCCGGGTAGTGAAACAGGGAGGAATTGTGGGTAGATGATCCATCCATGTTCAACTGAAAAAAACAATCCACCCCATGATGAATGGCGTCATTGTATCCCAAGGCGAACCACAGACGTCACCGTTTGACCATATTTGACCCATGAGGTAACGGCCTGGGACCAGGTGCCTAATTGGCCGAATCGGCCGGCTCAATCAATTGTGTCTGCAGGGTCTGCGTCTGTCGGGGAGAAAAAGCTGGAGTCCCTGCATGACCGAACCCTGAAGTGGCAGGAGACCATCTGATTGACGAAGGCGCATCAAAGCTTACCGGGCAGCTTCGATAACGTAGGAGGGGCAACCCTGAAACAGTGGTGGCAGAGAAGAAATATAAAGCTCCAATGGACATGTTTTTCGGTGGGTTTCAAAGCTGCAAGCACGGTCTCGCAAGTGATTCGTCTTTTCCGAACGGGTAAAACTCTGCAAGACTTGCACCCGCGTCATTCCCGAGCCTGTGGGTATGTTTGCCGCCTCTTTTCTGTCAAGTCTGGCAAAAGGGTAAGCTCGCCTCGACGAGTTGACATTAGACAAGTTATTCAAAGTGCCAGTGTTCCACTATTCTGCCTCTCGCCGAGCAACTAAGGACGATGATCTCTGATTTCGCTCCGGCGATTTGGCGGTTCGATGAGTTTGACTCGTGAAAAGAACTTCTGAGGGGTCAACTGAGAGGAGGTTCGGTAGTCGCTCAGATCACCAGCAGTGAGCAACGTTTGCTTTTGGCCGATAAAGACATTTCTTTTCTTCGAGGAATATGAACGGGGGTGATTCTTGACCGATGGGGTCCATGGACATAACTAGTCTTGTCCTTGTCGTGTGGGAGAGCGAGGATTGGACGAGATGTCGATCCGAAGGCGACATGAAGCCAGTAGGATGAGAGTAGTCAGACGTAGGGAATATGGGAAGGAGTGTAGGCACATCATCGTCGACGTCAAGCTGCATGGACAGATGTATAATTTTGCCTGTGCTTTGCCTTGTTTGGCTGCGGCGCCTCCTTCCCTGCCAGTCCAGCAACCACTCCCAGAGCTGCTCCGGCTTCCATCTCCACGTTCATTCTCACTAGGATGGCCCTACTTTTATTGCGATTGACTGATACCGCCCGCCCATCCCGGCCACCCATCGTTAATTTCTTACTGTACCGAGGACGGGGCCGCTGGCCACCCTGGCAAGTGATCCGGCTCTCGGGGCTTGCAGGCCGTCAAAACTGTTCCCTCTGCATTTTGCCTCTGCCGCTGCCGCTTCGCATGGCATCGTCCCCATATTTCCTGCCCGTCCACCACTGACAGCCTTCTTAACCTCCTACACCCACGTTACTTTATTACTCGCCCTCTTCGCAAAAAATCCACCAGCCTTGCGCCACTTCACCGTTGCGCCCTACGTCCTTTTCAGTATGAAACCCTGACAATTGGACGCCCTCAATAGCAAAAGAATAAGGGCATCGGCCACTGAAACACTCTCGTTCTTTGCTTCCTTCCTCGAACTCACCCTTCGAGTGAAACCCACGACCACAACGCACACCGTCTCATCCAACCCTGAACAACCCACCCCCTGGTTGCGTTGTCGATCAACCCCCAAAGGTTTAAAGGATCCGCAACAAGAGGAGAACGACGTGGTAGTTAGCTCGACTTATCGTGGGACAAATTACCAACGGATGTCGACTGTCGCGTATCCACTAGCACCAAATCTTCCCACTCATGCGCCTGAACTCGCCTGGATACCCACGTCCGCCTCCCCCTCCCCGGTCCTGACCCTCGACCCTCGAACGGTCTTGCTAGTATTCCGTCTTTGGGGGAAACATCTACAACCCAAATCAGAAGCCCCCAGAAACATTTGGTCCTGTTTCTGCCAATCCTGCTTGCTCCCGGCGATCGTCATAACTGAGGAAATTCATCCTCCACTCTGCCACTCATACTCACCACCCAGATCCAACGCAGAAGAGAACGCTTGAGCCCTCGCCTCCCCCAAGTGTTTTCCCTCGCCAAACGCGACCTCTTGATACTTTGTTCTTTCCATCTCCCTCTCCGAACAATCCTCCCTTCAAACCCTAAATATCGCCAGCCTGGTTCGTATCAATTGAAACCGGTGCTCCTTGTTGTATGCCGACCTAACGACCCTCAAGGCTGCACTGGACTGCGGTCAGTGCGCTTTGTCCTGGATAAGGCCAATGCGTCATTCGACAACTCCAGAACATCGGCCCGCCAAAGTTGCGAAAACAAGCAGGATTATTATTTAGAGAAGGAAAAAGAACTCCAAGATCTGTCAACGCCAAATGCACTGTTCCCCGTCATCGCCCAAGGCTACGGCTTCTTTCCCCCACCCTGCCTCTATGACGGCGGCCTCCGAATCCGTCGACATTCCAAGTCGCGCTTCAATATCTCCCTCCGTATCTAGCGCATCCTCTTCCGCCTCTGAATCTGATACACAATCTCAGCCACAATCCCCTCGACCGTCTTCGAGACGTACACGAATGGACAGACCTCGACTTGGAGAGAGGCAACGGTCAAATTCCATCATTGTTCCTAAAGGTCGGGATGTGTTTCAGCGAGAAAAACCACAATATCCTCCCGATGATGCAAGAGCAATGAGTCCTAGACGGAACAGTGAAGATATTGAGAGACTAGAGCGTGGTGTTCGTGAAAGTCTCAAAGAGTATGATGATTGGTCGTCGATGTGATCTTGTTTGTACTAACTGTCCATTCTAGACAAGCTCGAAGTCTCCAATCCTCACTCGCCGCCTTAGCGGAAAAGATTGATGAAGTGAAAATTGATCACGACAAACTCGAAACCGAAAACCGATTTCTCCAAGACTACATTGGCGGTCTGACGAGAACAATGTCGAAAGATAATCTCGGTCGCAGTGCCAGTACCAGTGGGAAGAAAAAAGGAAAACGATGAACGACTTTATGACTCCCGCATTACACTAACTTTTCCTTCGTGAGCAAATATCTAAGGACGGTTTTGATCATGCTAGCATAGCGAATGGACTGGATGGTGCAGGTGGGAGAGATTTCTGGTCTAGGCCTCAGCACACGCAAGAGGAAAACGGGAACGACAAAACCTCTGGATGGGAGTCTTTTTTTTCCACGTCACTCCTTTCAACGCACTTTTAACGATACCCACGTCTCACTTTCTTCCAAACAAATTCGACGATGCGCAACAAGAAAGTAGATTTTGAGAAATTTCGTTGTCGTTGTCACTTCTTCAGGACGAATTGAGCATCCTTTTTGGGGCAGTCGAGAGACTCTTATCAACGGACCAGCAAAGCTTATCCACTATTATACCAAGGTAACAGGGGAAGGCATGGTTCCTTCTTCTATCTGGGCACAACTGATCTTGAAGATCGAACTTATTGTACAACAACGCGACAATTCCAGCGGGCCTTTACTGGTTGGCGTATTAGTTTTTTATTTTGGCAGATTGCAGATTTTACTCATTTGGGCCACTTTGTTGACTTCTATGACCAATGGGAAATCTGGTTAAACAAAAAAAGGTCAAATACCAAATGACTGGCGAGAAGGGAGGGAGGTAATGAATGATGCTACTGTTGTCTTTTATCTGGCTGGTTGGCTGACTGGCTGTTCCAAAGCTCAGAAACGGAAACAGCAATCTTGTGAGACCATGCGAAGATAGAATCAAGTTGATTGGCAGCGTGTGAATGTGAATGTTTGCATCCATCCACAATGAATCAAAGTCAGCATCGATTGATTTACTGATTGATCAATGCATTGAGTCACATTACAATTCCTTGGTATTGCGATTACGGCCTCGAGTTCTACGTGGTTGCGTTGATCATTCGCGAGAATATTGCTCCCTCCTGCTCTGTCTACTGCTAGTCGTTGCCCTGCTCGGCCTCGCCAGGCTTTATGGAGTCATCTGACAACCTACTCACGGTTACTCTGATCGTCTCGCCTGGTCTCATCTCATAACCCAATCCTCTACAAAGCACAGAGTACTCTCCCCTTCCGTCACGTATGACTCGGTAACCCCCAAAGGACTGGTGGTTACTTGGGCATATTTCAATCGACTTGTCTGTATCTCTATCCAACCGGGCCCCCACTTTACTCGGTGTTGGGCACGTCGCAGACTGCATACCGTATGCCGTGCGTAGTGCGGTTCCCTGTGTAGAGTGCCATAGCATGCCGGCTCAGATCCTGCTCACAGGATTCGGCTGCGCTAGATCCAATGCCGGCTCCAGTTGGATTTCGGTTGGAAATAAGCTGCGTTGGACTTGCAGACTGTAGTGCTGGTGCCCGGATCCTCGGAGTGAAATCCCATTCATTCCAGCCCACCCCGTCCACTGAGAGGTACAGACATAGACGGACGTGTACGTGTATCGATGGTAAGGTGTCGGTCTACCATGTCCGCTCTTTGCGTGCGTAAGGGGGGATGGGATGGGGTAGGTAGTCTTGGGCTTCACTTCGGCTCTTCTCTGTGCTTTTGCTTTGCTGTCTGTTCCTGAGAGGCGGATACATTTACCCGGCTTGGTATCCGAGTCATGTCAGATGTGTTTCCATCCTTTTTCTCCTTCCGGTATTCCAGACTATCTTTTGCACTATGCAGGTATCGTGCCGGCCAGATAAGAGGTATCCGCGTGACGCACGTCCCTTCGCTTGCCTTCCGTCCCAGGCCACGGGGGATATGGATCTTCTCTGGAGCTAATAGCTTCTTGACACAAGGCCATTGTTGAGGAGATTAGAATGCGGGAAATATCCATCCCAATGTTCTGGCTCCGGGTCGAGTCGAGTCGGGGTCAGATCCACATGTCGCTTTCCGCACGTGCGAAGTCGAGATGAGTTGAATTGGACAGCCACGGTTGAAGAATGTATGCAAGGGACACTGGAGCGCAACGCGAACCGTAGGGAGACTTGGCATCATGGAATATCTCGTTGCAGAATCGCCCGCTTTGGGACATCACCGTGAGGAATCAGTGGTGCAAGAGGCATTGGAGAATCTTTTCGCCTGCAGACTCGAAGCGACGGAAGCGCCAGGGCTTGGCCTTGGGAAGGATCGACCTGGCACTCCATGAAACATCTCAAACCAAATCACTTAATATTAAAACATCTCTTTGGCTTCCTCCATGCCTGCATGCTTGGTCGGCTACATCTTAATCCTGCGAGTCAGCAACAGCAACGCCCAAAGTCTGGTCCGTCTAGCCCTGGGAAAAGAGACGGAGCTCCTAGTTGGGTCTGAATAGGGTAACACCCTCTTGAATTGGGAATACAGCTACGTCTGGCAGCATGGACTATTCGCATCTTCACCCCGTTGTCATGGCCTCATCATATTCCCTCGCTATAAGAATATCATCACGAACGGAGATCGATCTCCTTGTGGAGAGCTCGCTCATTCATTTCTATCCAGGCGAGACCTCAAAATCCTTTTAATACCTGCATTAGCACCTAAGCTTTGGGTGGTCAGGTTCGTGGTGAGCACGGCCAACACGAGGCTGTACAGAATCGGAGGAAGCAAAGTTCAAGACGGCTGTCAGACGGGCAAGTACGTCAAGAATCGAGAACCCTGTAATACGCAAGACCAGAAGTTCATCGTGATCTTTCAAGGCGTACACATCATGTGCGAAGGCCGACCGGCTTGCCAAAAGTGTGATCGAAGCAAACAGAATGCGGAGGCTATGGCAATCCGGTTCAGAATCAGGAAGAATATCAAAAAGTCCAGGGCATTTGTCCTCCATCCACCCGAGCTTCCCTATTCAATAATCTCACAACTAGATATGGACACTAGGGAGAGGCGAGCATTTAGCTTCTTCTAGACTCGAATCGCTCCCAGAACTAGGGGCAAACCTTTCGTCCGCCCTGTGGTCAAGATGGATTGATCATGGCGCACCAGGAGGAAGCGATCAAACATACGGTCATTGGGTATTGGCACCCTGCCCGAGCGTTTCCTGAATTCTGGTTCCGATAATGCCGGCTTGGTGGAATTTGTCATGCAACAGTATGGAAATGCCATGAAGAGTGTGGCCAAGTTTGACAGACACTCAGCATAGGCGGTGGACGTTGCTTTGACAGTGTCCATATTGTTCGCTGGTATTGAAATCATCAAAGAACACTACATGTCCTCGATAAGTCACATCTACTCTGACATGAAGGCCATGGCCGAACTGGCTCTTCGTCCTGAGCCATCTCGAGAACACGACGTCCAGAGAAATCTCGTGGTCCAGACGCTCTTATGTCTAGATACCCAAGTCACGGAATTTGGCGACGATGGGTTCCAAGCGCCACCAACGTTTGCAATCACTTCATTATTTCCTGTGTCTGAATCATCCAGACACCAAAGCCGCTCGGTCATGCCTTGAGATGTACTGCGATCAAATCTTGCATTTGGTCCATGATGTTGACAACGCCATAGAAAAGTCTGATTTTTCCAGGAAAAGCTTCCTAATCCATGTATCAACGATATCAAGTCCTTTGGCAAAACCTCAACAAGATGGAAACAAGCCTTTGGTCACATGCTCCAGAAAAGTTGAAGCCGCCATATTTCCGTACTGATTCTTCAAGTCTCAGGTATTGTTTCAGGCATCACTTGGGACACTAGCATGGCATGGGGGGAGGTCATCCTATGAAAGACGAAATTTCTGTGTGTCAGATGGAATACTGCCTCTCAAGTCTCAACATACACCATTTTAAGAGGTATTATGTTGGGAGACGAGCTCCGTGTGACGGATCCTCCACATCCACAGGTCAAAAGGTGAAGCAGATGGAAGTTTAACCAAATGCATATGCTCTTCTACTTCCTCATCCCAAGGTGGCTAAGGGAAAAGAGAATTCTGCTCCCCCCAACCCAAAACACCACACACGTGCAACTGCAGTGGTTGTCCTCGTCTGAGACCACAATCATTAAAGTCAAACCTGACTGGCTTGCTCATTGTTTGCTCACAAGACATCTTCTTGACATGTTCAACGACCCTAAGCTTCTTTGGACTCAAGTGTCTTCCCGTGAATCTCGGCGACTTGTTCGTCACTTCCTCGACTGCTGCCTTGCAGGCGGTCGAGGCCAAGCTCGGCATTGATTTGAGCCATGCGTTCCTGATCCGCCGTGGCAATGCCACTAGAGCCGAAAACGATATCCATCTCTTCAAGGGTGAGCTGCTTAGTCTCAGGCACTATTCATGATATTAGCGGCTTGTCCCACGAAGTTGAAGTGTATTGATGGTTTACCAAAGAACCAGATAAAGCCAGCGCCCATTGTGATCAACAATCCGAAGAGAATGAACGTCCCGTATCTAATACCGGTGATCATGTCTGGAGTGACTTGTCCCACAATAAAGTTATTCATCCAGTTGGATGAAGCCCCAAGGGCGATTCCATACGGACGAGCCGACAATGGCCATACTTCGGCGACGACGATCCAGGCGCTGCAAATAACTGTCAATAGCACGGAACAGCAGGTTGAATCTATCCTCGTTGACTCACCAGGGACCCCAAGACCAACCAAAATGCACAACGAAGAGCCAGACTAAGAGGAAGTTTAGCTTCGACATTTTGTTCTTAATATCGGGGGAACTTACCCATGACAATAGCAGCCCAGCCAGCTGCTTTGTGAGTGGGCCATTGATGCTCATTTTTGGCAAAGATGACAGCAATAATGAAATGGCAGAGACCCATCCCAATGGCACCAAGAGCCAAGGCAGGTCTTCTTCCGATTCTATCGATATACAAGATTGAAGGGATAGTTGCCAATAGCATCACAATGCCGACAACACCAGTTGCCAGAAGCGAGGTGGTGTTTGATGACAATCCAAGAGCACCGAAGATCTGCAACGGTTAGTTTCTGTGATCCGAAGGGTGGATAATTCGGCACTGCCAGGATTCGACTGATTTGGGGGACTCTCAAATTTTCTCAATCAGGGATGCTCGGGGCTCGAGCCTCGAACCTCGCCGCTCAAAACAGCGAGAACTTTCTATCTTTCCTGAAAGGGAATGGCGTGGTAAGAGAGACGTTTTCCAAGGGCGTTTTGACATTCCCAACTCCTCCTCTTTGCCAAGTCGAATAACAGACACAGCGCGAGATCTTTGTAACTTACCTGAGGAGCATAGTAAAGTACGGCGTTGATCCCTGTCCACTGTTGGAAGAACATTGTCACAGTGGCAACAATGACGCGACGGAACATCGGCATCGTCTTGAAGAGAGATGCGATGGCGACAAACTGCAATTTGATGGTGTTGACGGGGGTCATTTGGGCCAGATGAGGGAAAGTGGCCTGCACGGTTCTCTTCTCGAAAATGGATTGCGCTTTGATTTCGAGGAACTCAAGTTCAATGAGTTCATGGTCAATTGGCATGGACCTTAGGGTGGCTAATGTCTTGCGTGCCTCTTCCTCTCGATCGTGGTGAATGAGCCAACGAGGAGTATATGGCATGAAGACCATACCGACAAGAAGAATGAGGGCGGGGAATAGTTGAAGGGCAAGAGGTACCAGCCAGGCGGCGTCGGATTGACCCTCACCGGTTCCTCCGATGTAGTTGGTGCCATAATCCTGGAAACAATCAGCTTGAATACCTCAACGGTTTCAGCGTCCTTACGATCCAGAAGCTGACCATAATACCGAACTCGATGGCGAATTGTTGAACACCAATGAGCAATCCTCTCAACTCAGGAGGCGAGCATTCCGCAACATACATCGGTACGATCATGGACAGTGAACCCACGCCCATACCGACGACGAAACGACCTCCAAGGATGGCAGAGTGGCCGGCTGAAGTTGCTGTACATTGCACAATGACACCGAGAATGAAGATGCAAGTGTTGACCAAGATTGCGTACTTTCTTGATATGATTTCGGCGAGGAAGCCCGAGTACAATGTTCCTAACCAGGCACCCAGTTCGAGAATGGACGTGAGCCATCCCTTTTTGGTGGAGTTGGTCGTATAGTCTCCCATATGGTTGTTGAAAGAGGTCATGGTTCTGTGAGGTAATGAATGTCAGTTCCGTGATCACCATTGCAAAGGAATGCCATCGTGAGGACAAAAGGACAGCAGAACAACAGTGATTCCCAAGGAAAACAAAAGGCGATCACTCTCTTGGATGGAACTCGCTCGACTGGAAATACAGGCTCTCCCCATCTCGAATCGATGCTTCCCAAAATAACTTTCTAATCCGACAATGCGATCAAAAACGTCCGGGTAGATGAAAGACAGAACACTCACAAGACGCCACTGAAAACGCCTTGGTTGTAACCATAGAGAAGACCACCGATGCAAGCAAAACAGGCAATTCCAAAGACACGGAAATTCCTGAGAAGTGCCTGTGGACCGGCTTTACCTGTAAGCTGCAGCCGATGCTGAAGAGCAGCATCGCTGAATTGAGATGGTTTGGTGGTGCCGACCATTTTGCAATGTCAACCGCAAAAATGTGAGACAGAAATGGAAGGCAAAGAGGATTGAAGAGTATCTAAAGACAGGATGATCTATATTGTACGCTATCAAGAGAGCGCTCCCGACTCTCAACTCCCAACTCCCAACTTTTTGTCTTCAGGCTAATTCGGAACCCCCTCGAGCAGCACATGGCGCGGAGAAGGACTTTGCGTAGACCACGATACCCGTAGTTATAGATATCTCATTGGAGGTGATGGACATACCCCTGGTAGGCGGTCACCCCCACCGGGACAATATTTGAGCGAAGCACTTGGAATAAGGGCCGGCAAGCATGTTTGGGGATCGGCAACTAACCTTCCATTTCGAAAAGGAAGCTGGCATCCGGGAAATACTCTCCCGGTCTGACAAAGAGTCCGCTCTTCCAAAGTGAGAGGTTGCCCGTATATGCATCTGGAAACCCCTTTGTGTCAGACTGGACCATTTTGGGACCCACACTGCACAGCACGGACCCATGAATGAAGAAACACGAAACTGAAATGCCCGTCGAATGTTCCATGGAATCATGAATGCGAACTAGTCAACCTGTCACCTGCTGAGAGGGCGGACTGCTAAGGGTATCATGAGAGGCATTACGGGCCCCAATTCCTCCACATGTCGCCTCCACCTCCACAATCAAAAAGGGAGAATTTAGCCTAATACCTGGACGGAGAGGTTGTATTCGGGTGTGCTCTGGATGGGTTCGACTCAATTTTATCCAAAATGAGTACGACATCGGGTCTCATCTGCACCGTCTCGTGGCATTGAAAGAAACCACTGCGGTCATTGGTGCATATAGAGTTTGGCCTTCGTCGGGTGCCGTATTTCCCTCCGGACACCCGAAGTCTTGATGATAAACAGCTAGCTTTCTCTTGTGGTGGATAAGGCAGTGTGGACCTGCGATTACAACAATTTCCTTCATTAGAGGCTTGGACCTTGGACCTTCTTCTCTCTTTATATCCATCCCCCATCCTTAACCAAGCCGCGGATGACTACCGTTGACAAAGTCTTTTTGAACGAGAAGCGTTTTCAATGACGTCTACTCTGATTAGGAGGATGACAGATACTTTGGACACAAGATATCCGGAGGTTAGTCGAAGCAGGTAAATGTGTCATGATGACACTGTAGGAACATCGACACAAGGATTCACCCTCTGCTATGTGCATCTTCTGATGGCTTTCTCTTCTTGCCGTCTGGAAAGTTATGCAAGGACAAGAAAAGCGGTTATAATAGCAAAAATGCATCGCGTCTTGGGAAACCCCTTTGTCGACATCCCGAACTCAACGTGAGCCTGGCCAGCCAGGAACAATATAAAGAAGCAAGAGGCATGATAACCATCCTCAGACATGACGGTCTATGGCCTCATATGCCGATTCGGGGGAAAGTTCTTCGCCGTATGAAATGGCGTTGAATTACTGTGAGTGTATGATTCGAGACTAGCTTACGAGAGACTATGTCGCCTAAACTATCAAGAGGTTACAAGATGCTTGCCATGCATTCAAAGAGTCACATCAACAAGAGGTCTCTCGGTAGATTTCCGCAACTCCTTCTCCGCCCTGTGCGTACACATATACTCGAGTCACGTGATCGAATTTCCTCGCCTTTGATAATGATCAGACCCTTTCAACACCAGTCCGTCCTCTGCAAGCATCGATGAGGCTGAGCAACTACGACAATATATCACTTAGCGCCCTCATATTTTCATTTTCTCCTTCCACCAGCTGATTCAATGGAGCTGTGCGAGCTGTCGCGTTTGCATTGCAGCATGTCCCCCCCTTCAACTCAAACCGCAGCTGCAGCCTCTCGGTGTTCAGGATCATTGGCCTTTCCTGAACCGGGGTTCCTTTGCCACCGATCCGCTCTTCTCGATACGGTCCCTATACTGGCAGAAGAATTAGGATGCTATTACAAGATTTACAGGATAGGATGGATTTGTGTGCTGCCGACCGACGGTGAGCGTGCTGGATGAATGCCACGAGATACTTCCACACCCGTTGCACGATCCGAACAGCTACGTTTCTGGTAGAATTGGGAACCAAAACAAGGTGATCGCATGCTTGCCTGCTGGTACGATAGGCCTCATATCGGCAGATCGCGTCGCCGCGCACATGAAGGCCATATTCACTGCCATACGTATGGGTTTGATGGTCGGCCCCTGGCGGAGGAGCCCCGAGTACACAGCATGACACTAGACTGGGAGGTGTGGGCCTTTACATACCCAGGCCTATCTCACAATCAGCTCTTTGACTCATCCCATGTCCATGTCCAAGGTCATAGTACGTGTGACGGTGAAAAAGCCGGCCGGAGAAGACATGAATCCGGTGATTCATGACGGCCTGATTGCATCCGGCAGCCAAGTGATGGGGGATAGCGTAACTCACGATCGACTAGAGCAAGAATTGGATGTGTTGTGTTTTGAGATGGAGGCCGCACGCGTTCTGGATAATGTCTCATGTCTCGTGGTGAGAGGCATATCTGATTATGCGAACTCGCGCAAGAACGAGGCATGGCAAGACTACGTAGCGGCAATGGCTGCTGCCCATGCAAAGGGGCTGCTCGGCGTGACGCCTAGCTTTCGACTTAAGAACTCATCCACGACGGAGGTTCGATAGGACGATGATTCGGTCGAACGATGGCACATCCTCGATTAACCATGACCTCAAGGAGCAGAGTTCGTCCAGATAGAAGCGATTTGTGTAACTATGAACGGTGCTTGCTTTGCGCTATCATGGTTAACCCGCAGTTTGTTGTACGCAAGTCCATCTGCGCCGAGGCTGGGAGACCAAAAAGTCCACGGTGAGTTACAACGATGTATGGGCTCGATGGGGCCGAGCAAGTGCGTGTTATTGATCCTCATACGGACCAGTCTAACCTAGGATAATCCCGAAGATTGCAAATTGCCATTGAATGCGCATTCTGCTTTCGTGGAGTTCATGCGTCACTCCTTCAAATATATGCCAGTATCAGCACAGATGTCATCCGTGCATGTCAGTACTTTTCTCAACGCTCTGAAGTTGCCTCGATGGAATGACCCTGGGGCAGATCAATGCTAGCTTGTTCTCATCTGGCTGGAGGACAATGGAGAAGACGATGGTGACGAATAAGAAGATAGTCGACCACGGAGTACGAGGCAGTGGTCAGTAGTCTGGGACAATCTCGATCATATTCAGCTCCTAAGCCGGGGCTGCCACCCTCGGGGTGATACCGAGGGCCACGAGGCGTCTGGTCCACCTCATACGCTAAAAATCATGCAAGACGACATTGCACGACGGACATCACCAGGTCGAGTTGTGATGGTAACCTCTTGCGGCCCAGATGTGGCTCAGCGTTCTAGCTGAAGGCTTACCAGGAATATCAATGGGCCTTTTTCTAAACCCGAATCTCGACAAATTCTCTTGACGTACCTGGATATAACAAGTTCTACCGGTGACCAGGATCCCGACCCAGCAATTGACCGGCTTTTGGATGCGTTGGCTTACAGTCCCCCGGCAATCACACAGGCAGTCGTCTTTATCATTCGCAACCGGACATCCATTGGGACAAATATGGCTTCATTCGACCACGACGGTCAACAATTCTTGGAACACCTCGCCACCGACCTTCATGATGCCCGTCGACCACGAAATAATCCCAATACGATTTTCCGCACGTGCAAGGCTTCTTTCGACCAAATCCAGACTCAGGACTCGACAAAAGCTGAGATATTGTCCCTGATGGCGATAGCATCCTACGTGGACTCCTGTGTGAGCCAATGTCACAAGCACAATTCGAGATGTCAGTGAGCACGCTCCTTAGGCTATGCATTGATTAGCGAACATGGGAAAGATGAGTATTTGTTTATCCATCCACTGGTCCAGGTGTCTATTCATTTTGGGTTGGGTTGAAATACATTGACTGGTAGAAGTCCGTCACCACGCCCTGCAACATCTGGCTGAAACACTCCCCTCGGATACCCAAGAAGACAGGGAAATTTGCAAGATTCTCATGCGGCATAGTCAAGTAGTTCTCCGACATGGACTACCCATCGGTGAAAGTGAGGATCCCAGTCTTGCTGTGTTGCTATTCAAGATGGTATGGTACGAGGATTCCGTCGGGTATTTCGACGGTGCGCATAATTACATTCAAAAGGCCTTGAACTTCCAACCCAAGCTAGCCGAACACCACGCAACGAGAAGTATATAAGAGCATGGACCTACTCTCAGGGACCAAGGCAGGTTCGAGCAGGGAGAACAAATGATCCGACAGGCAGTGACAGGCCTGGGACAAAATGCTGGGAACAGATCGTCCCGCCACCAACATCCGTGCAGCCAATCGAGCGCTGGTGCTCAGGGACCAAGTGAGATACGAGGAGGCCGAAAAGAAAATGCACCCAATACCGACGACGGCCGAAGAGACACAAGGAAAAGAACATCCTATAACCCTAGTCTTTGTGGACTAATCTGGCATCAGTCCCTCGGGTCCGGGGAAAATCTGACGAGGCTGAGGTGATGCATCGGAGAGCACTGGCTGAGTTCGAGAGGTGGCTGGGCCGGAATCATCCGAGTAAGATTCTGAGCGTTCATTGGGTCGCAGCCTTACTCTCAGAGAAAGAAGATGCGGATGGAGCGTCACAGGTTTCAACTCGCGAAATCATTTGATGTCAGATAACTGATGAGATATCGAGTGCCCTGGTCTCATAGGTGTAGTGTATACAACATGGTTGTTATGATGCGGACATGACCTCTTCCTCTTCCCTCCTCCCACTTCTACCTCAATCATTTTTGAAGGAAGGAATTCTACTCCTACATGAGGCTAGAGATTAATCGAAAAGGAACGCATAACAATCCTCGTTGAGAACTACCACTTGGAGAGGCTGCTGGGGGCGAATTCCCACGTGACCTAAGGGAGATTTGTACGACATTCATTGCCCCGCCCCGAATCCATCGAACTTCACTTCCTTCACCTCCTCCCGCAGTATCACGTACCAGGGACTCCTCTCGTTGGAACTCGCTCTCTGAATCTTTCCGACTGCCTATAAATCTGCGAGAGCACGGACGGTAGCAATCTACACGCAACTTCTATGAGGGAAACCCGCTGTTTCCGAACGACATCGGGACATATTGACCGGAAGGTGGAGGCCGACAGCTGTGCTATTTCCTTCCAAGGAGTCGATTGCACGGGCATACCACGAAATACGCTTAGGGCCTATTCGTCCCAAACTCAGGTCCGTGGAATCAGGAACCTTCTCATACTGACCTGGTCTAACGAGGACTGTTTTGAAGACCAACTTCTCCCGTCTCAAACCCACTTTTCCTGACCAAAGGAATGGGCCTCTTCAAATCTCTCAAGGGGAAACTCGACGTCGGCACCGATGACCCCACGCAATCCAGCAGCCAGGACCAGTACAACACATGGTCGACATCACAGGAGAAACATAGAATATTCGGACGGAGCGATGAGGACCCTCAGTTTTCGACATCAAACACAAGCCACGGTCGAGCTGGTGAGGGACCATACGCACCTCCGCCAGGCCCGCCACCGTCTCAGCGGCGCGGGCAAGGCGGAGGCCAGGAATTCGCTCCCCCACCAGATCCTCCACCGTCTCATCGACAGAATCAAACGTATGGCGGCGAAAGTGTCGATGGCTATGCTCCTCCCCCCGGCCCTCCTCCCTCACAGCGCCATCATCTACCGTCAAGCAATAACGCCGATGGCGACGAGGAATTCGCTCCACCACCCGGCCCGCCGCCGTCTCAATCTCCCAAGGATAGTAATCCACCGCCGTACCACGACTGGACCGTGATCCCGGACACAGCGCTCCTCCCTCCCCCTCCGCCCTTGCCGCAAGACTACTCACCAACGAACAATGCAAGCTACGTCTCAGCGGCCCGGGCCCATGAATGGTGCATGCGACACCCGGTTTTCACGCCTTCGATGCCCGCACCGGAGATCTACGCGACTGTCGCGCGCGGAGAGATGGCGCTCGAGAAACCGCCTCCCGCACTGACGGGCCGAGGGTTCACGTTGCGGCGCGAGGGCGGCCTGACATCAAGCACATGGCGAATCAAAACGGGACCCACGCAACAAGACGCAGTCACCATGTCCAGTCTCCCCATGTACTTCGCGGCTGTAGATAACCCGGCCCGCACCCGTCGGCAGAAGACCATCTACTTTGAAATCACCGTGCGAGGGATTGCCAACGCAAACTCTGGCGTCGCCATCGGCTTTGCAGCCAAGCCTTACCCGCCGTGGCGTCTACCGGGCTGGCACCGCGCGAGTATCGGGGTGCACGGCGACGATGGGCGGAGATTCGTCAACGATGCCTGGGGCGGGCGCGACTTCGTCGATGCCTTCCAACCGCATCAGACTATTGGGGTGGGCATGACGTTTTCGACGCAGCAAGTTTCAGGAAATACAGTCAAGACGTCTGCATTCGTCACGAGAGATGGGAGAACGGATTTTGAGCGCTGGCGCTGGGAAATTGACGAGGAGCGCGATGAACGTGACGAGGGCGTCGATGGGCTCATGGGCGAAGGCGACTTGTATGCTGCTATCGGTGTGTTTGGCGGGGTCGAGGTCGATGTCAAGTTCAGAGACGGCTTGGATTGGAGGCCTGAGGTTTGAGGAAATCAATACTGATGAGATGAGGATTGATAACAGCTACAAGCCAAGTGTTTGAGATTGATGGCTTCCAGTCTTACCCTTGCCCGACAACGCCTTGCATTTACACACCCCCACGCCCGCCCAGATCGTTGCGAATACGGCAAGGATGCGGCCAGCTCGATCCTTCCACTACCCGGCAAGGTCGGCAAAAGTGCGGATTCGGAGCGTTCCTTCAGACGAAACCGGGGTACAGGGGTGGCAGGACATCTTCCTCTCTCTCGCGGTCCCCTGTCGTACCATGCATGACAAGAAGAGAAGAAGACAGATATTGTCAGTAAGTTGGTCAAAATGGGAAAATAGATAAGGCTGAATCCTCAAGCATACCCGGCCAACCTGCCCGAACCGGCCTAACTTACTTTAAATATCGCTCCTTCAAATCCTCCTGAGTTCCAATATGTCCTCCGTCAGATAGATTGAGAGACAAACCATCGGCCACGAGCAATCTCATTCCTACAGAACGTTCCCTGCGTTGGTAATTACCCAGGGACACAAAGCACTCATCGTGATGGAAGAACGTTCTCCGCTCATACAACAAGTGTTACATGACGCCTTCGGTCCCCTCCCCTCTTTGCCCGCCAAGTTTGTCATCTGTATCTTCTCTTTTAAAACCGACAAGCATTTGTCGTAAGCATATGATCAAAACCCTGGATCTTTCTCCGTGTGATTCTTTTCCTTGGAGCCCATAGGCCTCATGAATCTGGACGAGGGAGGAAAATCAGATCTCACCGGCCCGCCGTGTCCATTGCCACGTTCAGGGCACCTCCCAGCCACCAGTCAATGCTTGGACTAGGGCGGTGGGGTTGAAACCACCGCAAAACCAACCAAAGTATGTCCATGCGAAGGCGGCTAAGCGACCCGTCGCAAGTCAGACAAAAGCAGGCCGCTAATGCAGGCACCAAGTCGGCGCTTACAACCCCCACTAACAAGAAAGAGTCAATAGTGTCGAAGTCAGGTTAGTGGTAAATAAGCGTTGCATTACACGTTTAGGTTAAATGCAAGATGTGGCGCCCATACAGCCATACGGGAGAAACACTCACCGACACCTCAGATAGCAACGAGAATGAGATGGCAGGGAGTTTGTTGGGGGATTTCTTTCATGGACAGTAACAACCGTTTCCTCCTGGCCACAAAGTGGATTACAGTCACACGGGACGTTGAATCTGATACGAGTTAAATGTACACTAGACTGTCTTTGGATAAGTCAATACAGGTGCTAGTTTGAAGGGGGAGACGACCTGAAATCGGGTAATAAACAAACGTCGCCGGCAACGTGAACTATTGCGACAGTTCGATGGTACCCTACAATGGGGTCATTGGTGGACCAAAACACTCCAGTCCCGCTTGCCGAAGCCCGGACGGCCTCAAACGTGCCTGTTGTCATGAAAATGTTGCTCCTTCCTCCGTGTGCCGAACAGGGGGCTATAGGCTCCACCATTAAAACGCTGGTGAGAGGTTACCATGGACAAACGATCCTCAACAACTCGACAAGTAGAGAGAGAACAGAGCACTCTTTCATATCCCAGAGCATTCAATACATCTTAAGGTGCACCCAGTCTGACACCGTGTTTGTCCTGCAGGTCTTCAATTACAGAGTGTGTCAGTACCGGCGTCTGAGAGCATGTGAAAGACGAAGGAATGCCGGTTTTGAGATCTATGGTGTCCAGACTTTGTTCCGTTCGATTCTTTTTTCCGAATATTTCACTTCCCGTGTAGGCCATCTCATTTCGGACACCAAGAAACGATTCTCCCGGGATATCAAATCTGTACGCGTTCGTGCAGAAGAGAGCTGCAATTCCGACTCTCGAACATGCTCTTGGGCTTTCTGACGTTCCTCGTTTTCTATGCGGAGCTGGTTTGTAGAGGGTGACATCTCATGGGTGAGACGCTCATTCTGAACCTGCAGCCGGTCAAGCCTCAATGCGAGACATACCGTAGGCTGTGAGCCTGTCGACATCGAAGAAGAAAGTCAGTTTATGTATGAGGTAGGCTGATAAATGTGACAGACACACTTGAACCATTTGTGGGGTGCTTCGCTACGCAGCCGAGGTTGCGCGACAGCTTCAATGGACGTGCCGACTTCTCGACATAGCTCCATGTATGCTCCAATGGAATGCTTTCTCAGTTGCTTTTGGAAGAGATGATCTCTCTCAAGCTGTCGCACCATATGTATCCATCTTCGGGTTGTGGTGTAAGTCGCACCAGGGATGGTTCAATCGACATTCTAAGCTGTGGTCTTAATGGTCTATCAGCGGTCGACGACCTTACGGAAGCTGCCCTTACAGTGTACGCCAATGACTAGCTAAGGTTCGGCGGACACTCTCGACGCCATTTGGCCCTATTTCCCACTCTCAAGACGTCCTTCCTTCGCCTTCTCAAGCAGGATACTGAGCAAGAGGGCCTCTCATTCCAAAGCCCCAACAGGAGTCAGTCCGCCGTCAGTACCAAACACAATGTCGACAAGAACTAGAACTGGGACATTTTGCAAAGTGGGCTCGCCACAGGTCTTTGCGGATACCGACATTTGAGCTTTTTCTCTAGTGCAAACCCTCACTGTTCAACGATATTCTTCTTCCGAGTCCGTACTACCTCGATCGAGCACGAGGAGAGACAACGGACGGCGTTAAATGGGCCCAAAAAAATGACAAGCTGTATTGGGCCGGTTCTGCAACGGGCGGATATGCCACCGATACCAACTGGATGACAATGCAGCGTCAGCGACTGGCCCTGACGACTATGAATTCATCGTCGCCAATCCGACTGCTTCACAAGAAAGAGCGTACTTGGGTTACACGAGATGCGACCACGGGGGAAATTTCGGACCTGCTGTCGATACGTATCGTTGGTGTGACCGGTCAGTGCACACCCTCTGCGTGCAGGGAAGAAAAAGAGGCATTTGGCATTGGAAATCAGGAGCTGAAAGATGCGGAAAGCGAGGCTCATTGGCACCGGCTCCTTCTTGACATGGATGGCAATAGCTTCAGTGGAAGGTTTTATCGTCTCCTCCGGACGAACTCGGTCGTTTTGAAGCAGACCGTCTTCCAGGAATGGCACGACGATCGCTTGGTGCCTTGGGTCCATTTCGTACCCATCAGTACCAGCTTTGAGGAGCTTCCCGAAGTGACGAGATTTCTGGCGAAAACGGACGAAGGCCGGTCCATTGCCCACAGAATTGCGTCGGAATCGAAGGAATGGGCACGACAAGCACTGCGCGAAATAGATCTCCAATTAGTATGGTTTAGGTTATTGCTAGAATATGGCCGGCTAGAAAATGGACATGATGTGTAAAACAGAAGTAAATCAACAAGCCCCCCGCTTGAGTTGCCTAAAATCGATCAGGAACTCACGTATTTCTGTGCCGAAGTCCCGCTTCCGGAATGGCGGATACGGGAAGAATGGCGCATTGTCAAGCCCGGAATCTTGCTATCCGCCAGAGAATCACAACAGACCATCTTATACACAACCTCAAGGGACATCGGTAGAGAAATCCAGCTAGATGTGTGGTATTGTTCCTGAGATGTGAAATGAATTATCGCTGTTAAGTTGGCTTACAACGAGATGGATCGAATTCCGAAGTGTCATCGTCCAACAGCTCATTGCTTACGAGGCTCTTCAATTCCTTGGATGGGTCCATAAAAGCCGAGACCGATGACTTTGTGATTGCTGCAACAGATAGCAACCCGCAGTCAAGCCAAGCAGCTTGTTCGGTCCCCATATTGGTCGAATATGGATTTCTGGTTAGGTCTCGCAATCAAACGGTCTGCAAATTGGTCGGCGGCACGGTCCATTGGCGACGTTTGGAGACCAGCAGTTGGATTGTAATGGGTGGTTGATGTGATAGCCAGCATCCAGGGTGGCTCATGTTAGCGGGGGAAATCAGCGGGGAGAACAGACGGCGTCCGAAACGGCAAGACGGCGGCGAGAATGGACACTCGCCCCTCGTCCAACGGCATCAACAGCGCTCTCACCTCCGTCCGGCAATGAGAGGGTGCTGAGGCGCACAGATGGCGCACAAGACAATAAAGGGGCCTGATTTCCTCGCACTGTGGGCAAAGGCAGCTAAAAGTGATGCCGGTATAAGGTCATCTTCCTCAAAGTATCAAAGGAGCTGGTCCCAAATTGGTCAAGACCACGAAAACAACAACTCAATGACCATAGCAAGATAAGAGCCCATCTTGTGGTGGTAATGTTTAGTTCGGGGGTTGAGATTGACTTAGGACACCACGCATCTGTTCTTCGACCATTTCGACTACATCATACCTAGCTTTTGCTTTGTTTCGCGTGTATCCGGGCCCAACGATATTGTACACATACCCTTTCGGGGGGGGGTCGTCCTCGCAGCATCTACACCTATAATACAGAAACCTCCCTTGAATGATCCTTCCCGTGACGCGGCGAAGCCTGACAGGGGTGCAACCAATGACCTTGGCCTCGAATCTTGACATTGTACCATGCTGATGTGGGACTCTCCGCGCATCGCGGTCCTGAGCTCGGTCTCCAATGGGCATCAATCGATGGGTTGAGCTGCGAGGGTCCGACATCAACTGCAGTGGCCCCCTAGTGTCTCGGTCGATCTGCAAATGGTATGATCTATGTGACCAGGAACAAAGACCACGAACTGGGCATCAAAACGGCTCCATTATATCCGCTTGTGTTTGTTATTTGGCCTGGCGAGAGAGGCGCCCTCCGAAATGAGATTCCGGACGAAGCCGTGCATCCGAAGCCGTGCTTTCCAAACGCAGTCGACGGCCGCGAAAGAGACGGTGGACGACATGCTCGGTCTTTCGTGTATAAAATGTATGGAGGCCCCCGCCATTGAGTCGTCCGGGCCCAACATGGGCAGCTGTGCCGGGTCTAACACCGCGTGTGTTGTGGTCGAATTTTGGAGGAACACTGTGCTGGCAGTAGTCTTAAGTGGAGGTAGCGAGTACGTTCAAGAATCGGTGTCAAAACGAGATCCTTCAGGCAAGACATCTCAAGATCAGCCGGCGAGGCCGGCTCGCTGAATCAATGGTGGATATGCACCGCGCATAGAGCAGCAAACGTCCAGAGGCTGAACAGTAAAGTGTGCTCACATGATTAAGTAGCAAGGAACTGGACGAGCATTCGGTGTCGAGTCATAAGTTTAGAAGATCCAAACGGTTGGACTCTGAGCGGGGTAGGATCGTCGTCAAGGCATAGGAGAGGATCATCAAGAGGATCGTGGGCGGTAGGAACATGATCTATCCACTGAATCTCGGGCCGTTGGAGCCATGACGCATTTCCTGGGTCCCGATTATGATAGGGAGAGAGATCATGATGAGTATTCTTTAATGTAGGCGCTCGAAATCGAAAGCTCCGTGGCGGCGGGGTTAAAGTTTAAGCTTCCGGAAAAAAGTACGCGAGAGTTCGGGGGGAGTTTTCGAGAAACCAAAAAAGAAACTGGTCAGACTGCGCTCTTGTTGGGCATCTTTTTCACAACCACGAAGACGGGTTGAGTTGAGAAACAGTACCAGTGACTCCTCGACCCACGATTCTCCTGTTCTGAGCGTAAAGACTTGCACCATCAAGCTCCCGCAAGAGACACCGGACGTCTCGCGGCACGGCGGTCTCTTTGGAGAGGTAACTCAGCCTGGTTTTCACTTCTCTATTTGAAGGGGGTATGACGGCCGGAGTGATGTCAGGTTAGTTCACGGTCGGAAAGCCCACCTCGTCAGCAGCAGTGAGCTGACGTCCCGTCGCGTGTTTCGATGGCCTCCTCACCATCACGACGTCTGTCACGACCCTCGCCTACATCCCTGCATAAGGCCTTGGAGATGGTCGATCATGCGGGTAAAAATGCCGGGCCCAAATCAAATACCAAGACAGAATGCATGGGTGCACGAATGCTTTGGCACAGGTGCTGGTGGGTAGCGTATCCGCACATTGGAAACGGCGTGGTGCAACGTGCCCTGGGTCGGCTCCTGTGGCAAATACTTACATCGGCACCACGAGGCGTGTTATATATTATCCCCACTAGTCTCGAAGAACCGGCGCCCCCTACTTGCTGGGCGGATTCTACCTCACAGAAACAAAAAGAGCACGCTGTCATATGCGACTCCTTGGTGACGACTTTCATACTCAAAGGCTCACTCAGCTCCTCGGGGCCCTCTCAGCTTACGATTGGTGAACCTCTTAGAATCAAGGCTCCACTCCAACTTGAGAAAGATAGCTGAAGACAGGGCAAATTTAGATCGACTTGAATTAAGACGAGTAAAATGCGCCCCGAGCTCACGTGCGTATTCACCCTGACCGCGCGGCTTTAAAGACGAGCTTCACCCTCGGACTCGCCGTCGATGTCTCCTCGCTCACATTCACGCTCACCTTCCTCCTCGCCCTCCCTCCCATCCTGTCCCTGTCTCGTCTCCGCCGCCTGTTGCTCTCCCAACGACGGTCCCAAAATGGGCACTGCCACCAGGTTCCGTTTCGGGTCCCTTCTGCGTTTCGTTGCTGGCGTAGCTGCCGTGCCCCAATGAAGTACCGACACCCGGGTGCCGCTCTCCTTTGGGCCCGCACTTTTCCTTCCAATTTACACCCTTTGCCGGCCTGCGACCACACGATTCATACTCTCCTTTTAGTCGTCTCTGCTTAATTACGGCTGCGATCCGAGAGCAAGAGTTGACGGCGGACGAACTCCTGCTCGCTCGCACTGAAGCCAACGGCTAACCGAAGACGAGTATACAGGGCGTCCGACGAGGCCCGTGGTCGAGGGAAAAAACACGTCACAAAAACCAAGGAAAATGAGGACGGGAACCCTGCAACGCCACATCCTGTAAGTACGGCTGGCGGATTCACAAGATGACTCGATCTTAAGCGACGAACACCCTCTAAGGGTCACCCGAATCGAAAGCGCCAAAATTTGGGCGGCGCCGGTCCTCTGGAATGGGATGCCACCTCAATCTTTCCCAGATACGACCGCCGCTCCTGCAGAACCGTCCACAGGCTGTCCGTCGAATCGATCAAGGTGCGATGCTTCGACGGGGTGTCCTGCGGTCCAGTCTCTCGATGATGGAACGTCTGACGAACAACCAGGTCGAGACGGACTGGACTCTGGCATGCTCTACCCTGCATCCCCATTCAGGAACAGCGGCAGCGAATTGGCGCTCGACGCGGTCACGTCCGAACCAGATTTGCCCCACATCATCAATGACCTATTCGATCTATATCTACGGTCACCGACCACCTCTCCGTCACCATCCGACACTGCAAGGAGCCTGAGTGGCACAATTACCGTTCAACGCGACGGATACATTCGCAAAACGCCGAGGAAGATGGAGCACCATGTAAGGGACCGCTGATGGACAGTATGAATGTTCCTCGCATTCAGTTGCGAGTCGGCCAGCCTAAAATCACGCTTAGACTCGGGCTTCCCCAGCGAAGATGACAGACAGCAAATTGTTAATAAACGTCAGACCGGTCTGAAGGAAAGCTGCGGATGCAGTACTACCATACCCATTAATGTAACCTAGTCGACAAATAGATCAGGGAGGGAAAAAAAAAATAGACTGAGCTTGGTCTTAACGTATAGCACAGCACAGTATAATCACTGCTAAAGTTGCTTTACTCGCACGCTCCCTTTTCGACTCACGATCTGTTGGTGTTTGTTAGCGTACGTGCGATTTTGGTTTCCTTCCGGTGCGCGGCAACAGAGATTAGATCATGACGACGCTGTTCCCCCCCGGTGACGCGCTGTCCGCACAAATTGAAGCGGGCGTCGACGCCCTGCTGGTGCTTTGCAAACTACGCTGATCCGTGGCCGACGACTCTTTTGTCGTGCCTGGGCCTATCTCGGGCGCTCAAAACCGACAGGTGAGGAGACTTCAGAAGGGAGGTGATTTGTCTGCCCGTTTGTGACGGGGACACAAACAGTCCACCAATCAGAACCGACTACTATGGTCTTCGATTCACCTTTCCGTCGGATGTTTAATTTTGAATCATGGTATCGGCCAATGGAATAGCTTGATCTAAGTTTGCTCCAGCCGGACCCTAATATTCTATATCTTCTTTCAGCATCTCTCCGGGTGCCAAGATGCCACATCACCCGTTTCTGAATACCGCGGAGGCCAAACCATAGAAGTGAGAAGGAGGGGATGCTCTTTAACACGGGTTGGGTGAAGGATTTCGTCAAAAAACAAACATGCTCGCTACCAAAACGACCACCTTTGTCATTGACAAGGCCCAGTCAGCAAAATCTGTGAATGGCGAGAACTGGTCGAGACGAACATCCTTGACTGGGGCCATTGGGGCTGCTCCTTACCGGATTGCCGTGACCGTGGTGACAGTTCGGTTGTATGTCCTTGAGTTCCCATCAGTCTGGCTCTTTTCAACTTGCATCAACTGCATCGCTGCCCGTCCAATTACAAGGCCCAAAAATTTCGACGGGGGCGCAGCAATGGACGAAAATCAATGAGGACGAGTGGCGATAATCAGTCCAGAATAAAGTCCCAGCCAGATGGATGCCAAGCAGTAGACCGTCCACAGCCGACACTATTATTTGTCGGCAGACCAGGATCGTGTCATGGGGGGCGAACTAGTCGGATAGCGATCAGCAAAGGCAAGTCTTCATCCAGGGTCCGGCCCTCATCACCATGTTCGCCGAAATGACTCACATGGCATGATTCTGGCTGCAGAGTCGATCCGTGCACAGCAGGATGCAAGGAACAAAGTCGGAGTCCGCCTTGAGATGTTGGCGCAGGAAGTTTGCACACGAGCAGGTGACCATGTGACCAGTGGTATCAGTGGGGGGATTCGGCGGCATGAATTGGCTCTGCCGGGAAGCGAGAAAGTCGACTTGTTGGCACGGACGAGAAGACAATACGGCCCCCTCGAAGTCATTTTACCGTTTTGAACGATATTCGTTATGAACGTAACCTTGTGTTTTACTGTTACCCAGCATTGCGGTCCAATGGGGATGGGGATATATGGAACGTGAGAGACCTGCTTGAATTAGGCCAGGCAGGATAACAACTCACAGCTGGGTCAGCACGATGGCTGTTCTCGGAGGCCGTGAGAATGTTATTTCGTGAACAGGTAGAGGACATGGGAAGACAATCAGATGTTGTACGGCCTGAGGTTTGATCAAAGTTGAATAGAGTCGAGGGATCTGAGGGTGGTGACCAGTCTCTTGATAGGGGCCTCCAGGGGGTCCGACGGTTGAAGGGTTCGTAGAGATGCAGGTCACTGAGATCTCTCCTAGGCATCGATTTGAAGATTTACGATTAACCTTAGGGTTGGTTTGTTATCTTTGACGGCCAAGTCTTGCGTCAGACCACGAGGAACGGGGAAAGGGCCCCCCCGGGGACACGATGGCGGTGAAGCTCATTCTTGGTCCGGATGCGGACATGCATGAAGTCGATTGCGTGCATGAATCATGGGTTTTGTCGATCTCCCGACTCGGATGAGGCTTGCCGGATCAGCAGTAAGTATCAAGGTATCCGGTAACGACACGGGTATGTGGAGAGGACGGCGGTGATATCGCTTCTGGGTACGGCGCACAGGATGAGGGAAAAAGGGGGCAGCGAGGCCACAGACTGGCATACAAGTCGTCGAAACTAGACTGGCAGTCGACGTCATTGCCAAGACGTCGCCGCCCGTCCACTGATCTGAGGTCGTTGTCGCCGTTCGTCGCGCTGAGGGCTGAGACTGGCACCGCCATTGTCGCCTCATATCCACCACCTGGCGCTGAAAATCGACGGGGGATGCAGGCACAACACCATCCTCTCTGACGCGGAAGAGATCTTCCAGGCACCATCACTCCCCCCACGCACTGACTTGTTTAGGGTGCTTTGGCAGCTATCTGCATCCCTATGCACATCAAACGCGCTGGCTTCGGGGGGAAGTATAGCCCTGTCTTCCGGCCAGCATGATGAATCCGCATCTTCATTCGCAGTTTGTCGACGTCCTGATTCCCAATTGCATTAACTATGCCTGTTCATTCTTTGCGATCTTTGACAAATGTTATTTTTTTGGTTCATCCTGCCTTCATTTGATCCAGGTATCATGTCCCTGGGGGCTAGGAAAGGGCACGAGAAGCCGCCTCAGATGGGCCTTCCTTACCTTTCTCAAAGGGGACCAGAGACGGAGAAGATTCATTGCGATGTAATTGCCATGCATCGCGATCCAGCATTGCAGTATGTCGATCTGGCCAGTGTTCAAACGTGATTTGGTGCAAACGACTTGAGGTCTAGGGTTGCTTTGATCAAACCAGAACTACGCCATTGATGGCCGTCGTGTCGCAAGTCTGCAGAATTAGTTGGAATTGCAGATCAAGCTGCGACTGTAAACCCCTTTGCCATCCAGACACGTACACGGCGCATGACCTGTCACATTGCGATTTGATGAAGATCCCACAAGTTCCTGCTTCATCTAGTAGCTTCGGAGGTGCATTGGAAGTGGTCACACTTCAAATGCTCTCATCTGACGCTGACGTGGATTATAGTTGCATGAATGTGGCATAGTTTCTCACATTATAAGCGAAGGCACACAAGCATCAAATTGCAGGGTTGTTTTTAGTGATGATGGAGATTTCTTGGAGAAGTATCTCTGGCAAACCCCGTGTGTTTCAACTGCATGCCCGAATCATGTCTCCAAGATATATTTTGCCAATGGATGAACACCCCAAAGCGCTAAGCACGACAGTACAAAAGCACGTCAATGCAGATGATGGTCTCCGTCGATCTTCGATCGTTTTGGACTCATATGGCTTCCTATTTGCCCCCCTCCATAAACATAGACGAGCACTGAAATTTGTTCTTTTGTGTCCACGAGCTGCCTGGAAAGGATTTTCAGTTCGATGACGCTTGGCAAGACGGATTCTTCAAAACGGGCACGTTAGCTGGACATTTCCTCCAATTCAAGGTCATTCAACAGCTGTCGGCTCCAAGCAGCCTTTCCAGGCTCGTATGTATTCATATCCGCTGGCTGCCGTGTTCGGGAAGCCGAGTCCACATGCGCTGGCTAGCATGATGTAAAAAAGGAAGTTGGAACGGTCGTGCGCGATAAGCCGGACAGAAAAGATGCAGGATTGCTGCAGTTGTGGTGGGCATTTTCGTGCCTGTGGTCGGTTGACACGAGGGAGAGGCTCGCTGTGGGGTTGAATGACGCTAGGAGGACCAAGGACAGACGCCTTATGCACTGGTGCAGCATGCCCCCTCCCTGTCTTGTTGATTCAACAGGGATCGACCTAGTCGCACCCTTTGGCCTGAGAAGTGGCATTTGAAAACGGTCTCATACCCAGATCGTAAAAGTGTTCGACTGGAGCAATGTCTCGATTAGGCCAAACTTTGAGCTCATGGATGGCCGGGCTTACCAGATGGCAAGCTTCATCCTCGATCTCCTAGTGGTGTGATTCTACTTTTAGGCAAGTCGAACCTCTTGCTGTCTCTCAGGTTTCTCCGCGCCCTCCACGAACAGTTTGTCGGATCGACCGTTTCTGGATCAGAGAGTAATTACCAAGATTTGGGTCATCTTTGCCCGTGCACGCGCCTTCTGAAGGCTTGGGCCGGTCACTCGAGGCGAAAGTGGCGTTTTGGACAAGGGGTTCGGGGTGTGTATTCTCCACTTCTGTTTTGGGGGCGGCACGATGATATCCAGCGTGAGAATGCAGAGCGTTGTTTGAGAGAACCCGTATGCCATCTAGTGTCTCCGCCCCAGTTTACAGGGAGGCTTCTCGATGTATATAGTGATCATTGATTATGGGTCTTGGATGCCGATCGGCCAGTTTGCGTCGCGTGCGACTGTTTTCCGCTACAGGGACAGACGTGTTTGGCATGACACGGTTAGTAAAGACGAGCGCCATTTTCAAGCCAGGAACGGGATCGGCTGGGTCAAGTGCATCTAAGTGTAGCATTCGATGGTGAGCAATTCGAATCAACGTTCCACTCTAACAGGGCCGAGTAACTCGTCAAAAAGTTTGCCTCGGACAAAGACTATCTGTGCGAGCTGCAGGCAAAAGGCGAAGGCCGTGCAAGGACTTGGATTTGCGAGTTCCCTGCCTGCGGGTGATTCCGTACTGAGTCGCATCACAAATTGCGCCATCTGGGGCAGCGGGTCCCGAAAGGCTCAGACCTTCTGGCGATGCACAGCTCCATTCTGGGCTGGACCCTTGCTGGCTTGTTGCAGCTGATCGTGAGAGCAAGAACAAGCTGCGAGGGCAAAGGGCACTGGTGGCCGCGCATGTCATGCTTGATTGAGTTTAAGATAGGTGGCAATCAGGCTATTTGCGAGCCGAGCCAAATTGAGAAAATGTTTTGAATGATGCCCAGGAGAAGTGGTGGGTTTCGACAGGTAGTTCTTGCCTGTAGGTTTTTTTTTTTTTGGGAAAAGTGCATATGCCCCATAAAAGTTGTAGTCAGCGTCCACACTTTTTCAGACAACCTGCGAACTTCTGGGCTTCGATTCAGGATCGAAGGGCAAGCGAAGGAGGGCCAGGATTGGTGGGAGTGCGGCCGTGGAGAGGTCGCTGCTGGGCGAAACGATGAGCGAAATCGACGACAAAGCTGGCGAGGGGTGTGGGGCAGGCGGACGAGAATTCAAACAAAAGTCGATGAGCTGGGAGGTTGGATTGATGCATGGCGGCGCAATGAGCTGCAGCGTAGTGGACTGCAAAAGTCTTCTGCAGTTGGCTCGCAGGAACCACTTGTATCGTGCTCTATGGCGCTTCGAGTCTAGTAATTGCGCTTGCAGCAAGTATGATGGGTTGCTTTTGAACGAATTGGTTATGACGAGTTGACAAGTCGACGGGAAGCTAGCGGCGAGTAGGCACGAAACAAGAATATGACGGTGGAGATTTTCATTTTCGTGATGGCGGCAAAGGAAATGGAGACATCGGCCGCGTGAAGAAATTCTGATGAGAAGAGCAAGAGAAAACCCGGCGAGCGTGTCACGGCTGACCAGGCAGCGATGCATCGAACCTGTTCAGAACCAGTCAGATGGTCCGTCATTCTATTTCTCTCCGCAGTTGTGGGATATCACCAAGTGTTGACAGAGCGATTTGCACATGATATGGATACAATTTTTGGTTTTCATGAGGTAGTTGGTGAACTCGAGCTCGATTGGGGGCTCGTTCGGCTTCTGGACGGAGAACCCTGGGCAAAGAGGCTTTTCCTCAAGCCCTGTAAGTTGTCAGCGCCTGCATGAACGCCCACCAAGTTGCCGCAATGGCGCTGGCAGCTTCCAGTCAATGTTCATTGATTTTGTTCCATCTGACGTGCCTGGATCAGTGATCCCTGGTCCCATTTCTTTGATTCAGACTGATCCACCCGTGTACGCGTTGATGGGCGTGAGAAGATGGGATGAGACGTCAGAAGGAATGAGGCCGCGCTCAACAAGCTATAATCCGCATAATATCGAAGCTCACTGCTTTACCTAGTAGACGCCGCAGTTTAAATGATGATAGACAGGCGAGCAGGCGATACGAGTGCGGATGATGGTCTGACGAAGAAAATAAAGTTCAAGTGGCCAGCCACAGAGGGGGAAATGCTTGGAGTACCGAGTACTGGACCGAAATCTCGATGGCTGAGCTTTGGATCTCATGGGAAGTCTTGGTCACTAAAGATCGCTAGCTGGTCGCTGGAATTCGATGAAGGTCCGGATCAGCGGCGGAGTCGTTGGTAGGGAGGAGGGCAGAGCGCAGAGGGGGTTCAGTTCAGGTCAATTTTTCTTCCATTCAGTACAATTCAGAGGGAAAAAAGAAAGGGACAGCAAACATGGGCGGAAATGTGGTCTCCAAAGGGGGTAGTCAGTCTGTAGCCAGTAGAGCAGGTCAGTTGGTAGAGGGCGTCGTGGTTGGCTTGGGGTCGCCGCCGCCATACCCATAACCCATCTGATGCCTACCCCTCCCTCTTTCGTGATACCCCTCGTCTGCTGCCATCCTCCATCCTCCATCCTCCACTGACATGCTACTGTACATCCTCGTATGGGCTTCTGCAGATGCGCCCTTGCGGCAAAGAAAAACTTCAACATGATGCATCTGCCCTGCTCGCCAATCATGACCCCGGCCAATTTCCACCACACGCATATGCGGCTAACACTTGACGCTCATCACAAGCTGCCCTCGTTATTCTGGGGTGTTCAAGCCGAAAACAAATCTCATGCAAACTGCGAACTCGCCTGCAAGTTCAGGCTCAGGATCATGCTCGCGCTCGCGATCCGTTCGCTCACTCACACTTCACTGGGGTCACTTTGCATTTCACTCTCAATCTTAGCCTCCGCCTTCCCCCATATTTCTATCATCCCAAAGTACCTCGACCTCGGCGGCTCGACCCTTTTCTTTTTGTCTCTCGTTACTCCCATACCCATGTTCTTCACATAACTGCCCTCTTGTCGTTGTTTGTCCTGCCTTTGCGGTCGTCCTGAGTGGTTCCACCACTCTTACAGTCGTTATTGTTTGCCCGTCATCTCGAGTCCCTCACGGGCCCCGGATCCTGTCTCCTCCGCAACCATGGACCCCCGTACCTGGTTCAACTGGTTTATCTTCTACTTGTGAGTGCTCCCCTTGGCGGGATTCTCGAGTTCCTCACTGACCAGGTCCAGCCTCTACCGCTACGTTCGCCTTATTGTTAACCTCTGGGCCTTCTGGACTTTCAAACCAATCCCCATTCCAGAAAATCCCACTCTTTTCCCTTCGGACGTCACGGTCATCCTGCCCACCCTGGACGGCGAAGGAGAAGAGCTGGAGAGAACAATTGCCTCGATCCTGGAGAACGAGCCCAAAGAGCTGATGCTGGTCACCATCGACGGGAACTTGACCAAGGCCGAAAAGACCATGGCAAAGATGCCTGCGGCCCAATACAGCCGTATCCGCTGCATGTCGGTCAAGCAAGCCAACAAGAGGCGCCAGATGGCCAGAGCCATCCCCGAGGTTACCACCGAGATCATCGTCTTTGCCGACGACGATGTCACGTGGCCTATCCAAACACTCCAGTGGATGCTGGCTCCGTTCGAGGACAAGAAGTATGGAGGAGTAGTGACCTGTCAGAGACTCAGACGGGCGGAAAATCCCAATTTCTCCCAGCGAATCTACGGATTTCTGGGTGCTCTCTACCTGGAGCGTCGAAATTTCGACTGTGCGGCCACCACGCACATGGATGGCGGGGTGCCTTGCCTTTCGGGACGGACTTGTGCTTACCGCAAGAGCATCCTCCAGGATGTTAACTTCACCAACGGTTTCACCAACGAGAAGTGGTGGTTTGGCCAATATCAGCTTAACGCCGATGATGATAATTTCCTCACTCGGTGGATGGTTTCTCATGGTCACGAGACTTACATGCAGTACCACCCCAACTGTGAAGTTCTCACCACCCTTGAGGACAACCCCAAATTCCTCAAACAATGTCTGCGCTGGGCACGCAGCAACTGGCGAAGCAATCTCACCAGCTTGTTTTCAGAGCGTCACATCTGGACGTAAGTTGACAATCCGCTTGTTTTCACGTGTTCCCGTTCCCGATTTGACCCTGTCCCGGTCTTGGCACTGACAATCTCTCCTTTTTCCAGAAAACAACCGTGGAGCACTTACGCAGTCCATCTCACTACATTGTCGCCCCCTGCTCTTGTGGGTGATCTCCTATTATGGCTTTTGTTGTGGCAGGGCATTTGTGACTGGCCCGTTGACCAAGCCCAGAATGCCGTCTATGCTTTTGCTGCGTGGATGACTTTCTCCAAGTTCGTCAAACTGATCACCCATTTCATCCGATATCCTGTCGATGTCTTGCTATGGCCGGTGTCGATCCTCTTCGGCTGGTTTCATGGTGTCATCAAGGTCTACGCATTGATCACTCTCAGCGAGGTGAGTTATCTCTGCTTCCATTCGACGTCAAGGGCCAAGCTGATCTTTTGAACAGACTACCTGGGGTAGTCGGGCCAATGCCGATGCCAGCGACTCTGGAAGAATGATCAAGCAAAAGAAAGCTCACGACTACTTTGACTCAACAGATGAGAAGCTTCACGAGAAACTTCAACCTAACAACGAAATGGAATCCTACGCCACCTACGACCTAAAACGCGCTCAACCACCCTCCGCATAGTGATATCTCCCGGAACGGGATGACCCCTCCACCTACTGAGTTGCCTACGGCAGGTTCATTGAGAATGCAAAACTCTAATTATTCGAACCACAGATTTTAACGGTCGACAAGTTCTTTTTCTCAAAAAGCTTCACTCACTTTCAAAAACCCACCAAAGGGAAGGACGGAAAACCCAAAAAATAATATTTGAAAAAAAAAAAAAAAAAAAAAAAAAAAAAAAAAAAAAA